CGCCATGCCATCGTTAATTATATTCCAATTATCCGCAACACTCAAATTCGTGTGTTCCAAAGATGATTTAAAATCTTCTGAGCGTTACCTTGCTGCTTGCTTGGCAATAAATCTTTAATTTTGCTCGTAATGTGTTCGCTTGCGTCTGTGGTGTCGACAGGCTGCGGAATAGTTAATTTTCCAGGTGGCATTGCAGTAGCTTGGTATAACATATTTCCGTAAGCGCGTAAAAAGCATCATCGTGCACAGCTAGTTTTTCTTTTGCGGTTAAGTTAGGATTATGTAAAGCATTATTACCATCCGCATATGCATTATATAATGGTTGAGCGAACCGATCCGTATGCGCATGTGTTGAAGGAAAGTTGAAGAGGTTTGTTGCTTGGGCATCTCTGTGTTGTGCCAACTGGTCAGCGTTAAGTAGAAACATTTTACGTGCAGCCATATTAGTTTTAAATTTTCCCCAAAACAAAACTTAAAACAGGAGGTAAAATCAGAGATAATAACGCGGCACCTTTTGCTAGAAGGAAATTTCTTTTCTTGCGACGAGAAACGTTGCGCTTTGATAATAATTTCACATACGGCAGCACACGTTTAAGCCGTGCAGCTTTGCTTGTTTCAGTGACAGGAACTACTCCTTCAACAATTTGTAACGCACACTCAGAAATAGCATCAATGAGAGTATCTTCAGAGTTTTTGATGATTGCTTTGATCAGCTTTGGTTTGCCTTTTGCAATAGATGATAGTAAGTCCAGATTAGAAACGGTATGACTGCGCTCCATTATGAGGGAATGTAAATTTCCGGTAATTTTTCTTCGTTTTCCCCAAAATGGCGGTACGCAGCCGATATTTATCAGGCGTTGTGTGCTGTAAGTCAATTACAATGTAGCCGTACGGTCTATCTAAACATCCGGCAAGTGCTGCTTCAAAATACTGTTGCTTTTGAGGAATAACTGTCTTCCCAAAATTTGAAGTTGTTGTCTATCTTGCGGATTTTAAAACAGATAATGATTTTGGCGTTCAGTCTGATGTCACGAGCATAAGCATTCTTGAAGAAAAGGTTTTGAGTCAGAAAAATGACAGTGGTATTAGAATGACGTCCACCATTGCAAAATAATTGGGCTACGTGTTTACTTGTCTTCTCTTCAAGATGTAGGTCATCAATAATGCATACATTAACGAAATTTTTATCAAAATATCTTGGTTCAGAAATTTCGTCCGGTAATCCTTCGATGAAAATAATAGGTACGCCTTCTCTAAAGTAAATGTCGTCGTAGAACCAATGTCTGGTAACTGAACTTGTAGAACCAATAAAAGGATCTCCATTGCTGAGATTGTTGCTGCCAAATCCTAATAACTGACGTGTACCGTCAAATAAAAAAGTAACAAGCGGCATAACAACTGATTTTAAAGGAATGCGGTTAGTAACTTTTAGTGCGATAACAGTAATAATGCGCATTGTTTGAGAAAACAGAAAAGGCACAACGTAAAAGAGCATCCAGAACAGAATCCCATGTGGCTTTGGCTGCCCATTAGGATCGTCCGGCACGTAAACAGGTGGCAACGGTGTATCCATTGTGGCAAAAAAATTCTACGAAAAAATTGATCCTTTTGTACGATTCAAAATGACAAATGAAGGATGAAATATTTACCAGCAGTGGCAACAGTCGTTGTTGTTGATATAGTGACAGTGGTTGTTCAGGATGCCGTAATCACCCCAAGCTGGGTCCATTGGTGGCCACACCGGTTCGAATGGTTGGCTCTTCCTCTTCGTACTCCGGGTCCTGCGTTGGAAAGCCGTAGATAGGATTTAGACGAATCATTGCTTCGTGTACCTGGCACACGTTGTAATAGAAATCGATGTTCTGGTACGACTGCAGCTGTTCATCATCCGTGCCACATGATGCGTAGATCTTCAGTCCAGTCTTGTCCGGCATTTCCGCTGTAATGCTGATATACACGCGGACATGCTGCAGCCTCCGTTCTTCAACTTCACCTTCCCACTTACGCAGTTTCCACTTCAGATAGTTACGCATCCGGCCGTGGGCTAAGTCGCGGACAATGTACTTCCAGGACGCCAGAGCCACCTTGTTGAACGTACGGTCAGGAAATCGCTGCTGAATCTCGGCAAGCTGTTCCACTGGCTTGACAAATTTAAAACCAATTCGGCGAGGCGTTGCATTTCTGAAACACGCTCAAACTGCACTCTAACTGCCATGTTCAAAACGGATAATCTTCAGCTGCAAGTGCAAAACGATTCTTCAATGCAGTATAAATTTCACGGATGTAGGTGTCCTCAGTTGCCGTTGCTGGCATAAAATACGTAATTCCATCAGGAAACCCCATGACATGACCCGTTGGATAAAGAGCACCAACAACGCCACTGAACGCCATTTTGGAGTGAAATATTCAAAAATTAAACTGAAGAAAAAGTTCAAATGATTGTTGAAAAGAATGAAATGAAAAGCCGGTTATGCGGCAGAATCTAACGCGAACTTGTTTACATAGTGCAGCCAATGGCTTGCACAGCCTACTGGCTACTGGTCATTTGTTAGAATAATATAGATCGGTATACCCGCCTCTTGATCTGCTCGGATAAGAGCAGCGACAATAAGTGGGGTGGGATCAGGCAAAAGCAACTGCTTCGCACCTTTCAGATAGAAAAGTTTTCGAAACATCATTTTAGTCTATCGATGCGCGAGACGGATTAAATTTGGATGGATTGCTTCCGCCGATGCACTGGTCGTCGCTGATTATTCACTAGCCGTTATGTTTACAGCCGTGCGTTCCGTGACCTGTCCATTCCTATGTACAGTTCGCCGAATGCATGGTTATAGATGCGATATGTTTATGGCAAAATTGTTTAGGATATTCTACTTGTGGATGGCACCATTATTGTTAACTATTGTTTTTTCATTCGTTTACAGAGATGCATTACACGGTAAATGCGTCTGCATATGGCGTGGAAGGCATCTCTATAATGGAATGGTCCGATTTTTTATTTTATGGCAGAAGTGTTTAGGATAACCGGACTTCCGAGGCGGCATCTGTGTTCCTTTTATTTTATAGAGGTGCATACCATGGCAAATACAAGTGTATATGCCGTGATAGGCACCTTATAATGAAAAGGACACTTCGCAGGAAAACTGATCATGATCGTATGGCTGTTGCATGCACAAATTTCGAAAGTCGCCACCACTGTGGACTATGATAGTGCAACGACTGTTGCATGAAATATATCAATATGAATGATTTATGCGATTTATGTTTTGACGCCATTTTGACGCCATGATATTGACTTGAATTAACATTACCATTTTGACGCTAAACGAAGTCTGTGTGCATTGGCCTACCACTAGGCAGCAGTACGATGTGCGAAATGCATTTCCGGCAGCGCCGATACCATACAGCACATGCAATGACTGTTCGGACTAGCGTTTTGTACTGACAGTGTGTGGTGACTAGTGGTGATTTTTTTCAGTTCTTTTGTTATCTTCTGATTTCTACCGAAAATGGCGTTTGTTTCTGTCTTGTTCGTCTTGCTGTGCTTGTGCAGTGGTGTGGAGTGCGGAAAATGGATCCAGTGTTACGGGAAATGTCTGTGCAGTTATGATACTGGTATTGTGAACTGTACAGGTAGAGAACTGTCAGCGATCCCTTATCCCACCGAGCCGAAAACCTGGATTCGTCATATTGCCTTCAGCGGAAATTCCGTTCGTGTCATCCCTTACTATGGTCTGTCCGTTTACTTTCCTGGTCTGATGTCTGTTGATTTGTCTGGAAATCCTATCGATGAGTGCGTTACTCCGCCACCGTTTGTGAAATTTCGTGTCATCTCTGTTTGTGGAACTGGCACATCGGCTAGCACTGGTTCTCCGACGATTCCAGCCACTACACATGCTCCTTACATCACCACCGACACTGCTGGATCAACTGCAAATGTCATGCCATCAGAGACGAGCACTAGTGTGGATGAAGACGCGGAGATGAGTACCACTAACATTTTGTATTTCTGTGTTGGTGCGGTTGCTTGTGTTGGAACTTTCGTTGCGTGTGCCTGTTTTGTGGTGAAAAAGTGTGCCAAGAAACAGAACGGCCCCGCTCTGGAGCGACTTGCTGAACCCGATGATGCGATACAGATGCACGTCCGTAATGAGAACATTTACGAATTGTAGATGTTTTTTACAAAAAGATTTATGTACAGATTTTTACTTTTATGAATCTCAACTGTTGACCAAATTACAGTCAGTATTCTGTTTTACACCGCTAGCCATACGAAGTTGTGATTTTTTGTTAGTTTTTTATAGTTTTTACTCTTCTATGATCTTGATGGTTGTGAAAAGATAATTACGCTCTTCTCCGATTTTGTGTTATGACATTGAAATGATCTTCTCTCTGTTCTGTGTCTCTTGCCGGTCAGTGTGCTCGTAAAGTACGGAATGTACGGTAATAAAATGTGGAATGTGTTTGCACAGGTGTGTGTACATAGTGTTTTTTACTTCTCCTGATTCCCTATCAAAAGTTTGTTTACATAAGAACATTTAACGACTTTGAACTTCTCCCTGATTCCCTATCGAAAGAGGTTTTTACGATTTGTTTACTTACGGCATAGAGGCTTTTGTATCTACTGTATTAACAATAGCATATCAACGTAATTTAGATACACAACATACTCCGTATTGCGTAACATGAGTTCACTATACTGAGTGCTCTCTTGCTATACGCGATGCGAAGTGGTTGTACAATGACCGAAAAACAGATTATTATAATAAGCACACCAACATTAACAATCTGACCTAAAAATTGACTAACTCTGCACATTACTTTGGATGTCGGTAAATTCCTCAGCACTGCGTACATAATGACAACGAAAATTTCAACACAAACCGCATATAATTACCGCTAAACCTTCGTTCGTAAATTCATTTTAAAACTGCTAAAACAATTACTTTCTACAATTCTAAAAATTCTCAACCGAGGCCGTAGGCCGAGGTTGAGCTTGTACTTATAATTATCATTTAATTATTGCTATCTAGCATCCATAGAGTGGCTCAGTACGGAGATCGGTCAGTTCGTCGCCGTTTAGGAACATTTCTTTTGCCGCTTGAACGTTTTTGCTTTTTTTTCTGTGTACAGATCGTCTCTTCGTCCTCAGAATTTGATGACAGCTGTGAAGTACTTCGACTACTTTCGCATTGCGGCGCGTCAATATATTGCAGTTTGATTAGGTCATCGAGCAGAGCTGTTGATAGTGTCGATCCTGAAATAAAGTTGAGAATGGAACTGAGTATGTTGTTACGAGTTCGTACACTTCGGTATCACTTTCCGGTGGCATCTCTGCTGAAAGAAGTGCATCAATTTCTTCCATGGTTGGTGGTTCCTGTTGTACTTTCAGAGCAATGTGTACATGCGGAAGTCCTCTCTTCTGAAATTCCACCACTTCGATACAATAAATCTTGGATTTTCCGTTTAGTATTGTGTGAGCGTTATTGATAAGCAGATTCTTCTTCGCGTTGAATACGCGGGTGACGATATCGGGTCGGTCAGCAGCTGTTTGTCCGGGTTTTAGTTTCGTCGTAATCTCGGGCCATTTCGGGTTTGTTGTGCAGGTTATAAAAAATGTGGGATTTCCGTAATGACTTACTATTGCGAGCGCTTCGGCAGTTCTTTTTCTTTGTGCTCTCTTCGATCCAGGAAAACTGTCTGGTAGATAGATTTTACTCGAATTGATAGGTCCGTCTGCGTTGATCGTTTCATCAAACAATAGGTCGTTTTCCTTGATATACCTTAGTTGATTTTCCCGTATATAGTCCAATCTTTTCTCTTCCACACTGCTATACATGTCCACAATGAACTCGTTAAATAGACCGCCAAAATAATGCAATATTTTGTGCCGTAAAATCATTTGTCTGTGGAACGCAAGCTGTGTTAAATTATGTAGTTCTTTATATTTTGGTGACCATCCTGGTTCTCCGCATGGACAGATAAGAACGTATTGTAGTGGCAAATATAGGTTTGAAGTGGAGCGAATGAACGTTGGCGCTGCACTTGTTTTCTTCCAGCAGATAATCGATCGCTCTTGAATTGGCTCATTTTTATCGAAAACAATTAGAGCTGCAATTTCGTTAGATACAGTTTCGGTCAATTCCAAACGTGCATGATCTGGACACTCTTGGTAAAGTTGCTGAAATTCGCTCCATAAAGGATTATTCGTTTGCAGCGTTTTGGTGATCTGTGAAATTATTGTACGTGATAGCTGGAACTTGTTAATATCTTCCCGGATATAGGTGTTATCATGGATGAAAAAACGCAGCGGTCCGCGAGGATCATTTCCTGTGCCCAATTTAAAAGTTTTTATTGGATAGTTAATTAAGTTGTGTATGATTGAATACTTCGTTACCATTGAGCATCCGGTGATATATTTTGCCATTTATCAAGATTAAGTTAGATAGTCCTTTTGTGCCGGGAATTAACTGTCCTGTACATCCAGTTGCAGACATGGCAAAAAAGTTATTGTATTTTCTGGAGTTTTTTTGAAGCAATTTTGAACGAATAACATAGCGCATGTAACATTCCGGTATATGGGGCAGTTCAATAAGTTTTTCGGGTTGCTTTCCTTTGCTGTTACAGCAGTTGCTTCCTCGTTCTGATAAAAGTACATCGGCACCACATCTTTGACACTCCGTCCATTGGAGGTCACGTGTTAAATGTTTTAAATGATTTCTTTGCACAGACACTTTGCGGTTTTGTTTACGGATCAAATTTTTATGGTCATAATATTTCCGTCGTTTCCGTCGAAATGTCCGGGAAGAGTATTTTGATCTTTTGCCCATTTTGATTTAAAAACCGCAGTACAGATTGGTGTTGGTGACCGATTTTATTTTGCATGTAGCCGGCTTTTTGATCTTCATTTGCGGTTTGATCTTCAGAATTACATTCTGCGCGCTTTGCATATTGTCTAAACTCTAAAGAATCATTCATAATCGATTACGGAAATTACGTTTCCGTAATATATTTATATTGAGCTCACGCAGACTTTCCTCTGTCCGGTTATTCTGCCATATTAGGTTCATTCACAGATAATGCACCGCGGCATGTGTCTCACCGTAAAGTTTTAATGCTTCATGTAGCCGGCTTTTTGATCTTCATTTGCTTTATTTTTATTTTTCAAAGGTCATTATTTTTGGACATAGCAACATGTTGTTACATTGCTGTTATAATGCATTCCAAGTTTCGCGGAAGTGCCGGTGTTCCGTCCTGTGCCGGCTATGCGTAGTTGATTTTTTAAATTAAAATAGTGTCTGGCCGGGTTTTCGAGTATGGGCTTTCCGAATATATTATTGGTTTTTTTCTAGTCACTTTGGTTTGTTGGCTCTGGTGTATCCCATTCGTGGCCATATAGATCTGAATCTGGATATTATAAAATTCTGAGCAATCGTGTTTCGGTTACATATAGCCGGGACAACTTATTGAAAGTGCTGCGTGAATTTGAAACTGAAACTTTTATTTTTTTATTCCGCAGTCCGAAAACGTTTAATCAAAGTCAAAACGCCAACTCGCGCGTAATACTCGTTTGTTTAGTGCACAGATCCGTACAACAGGACTTCGTGAGCATGACAAGTTTGAACTGCGTTATTAAAAGTAAATATCATAATATAGTGTAAGTGCGTGAAAGAGTTAATTTGGTCGGAGAAGTGGTGTGATTAGTAACACAGAAAAATATCTTAGTCATCTCGCTTTGCAATGGACTCGCACGACTCGGACGCCATTTAGTCCGCTACAGAAAGCACAGTATCGTATTCGCCAGCACCGACACTCGGTGATTTTGGTATGGATGCACTGGGACGTGCGAGGTTGGGCAGGGATAGTGCACTTCCGCTCCCGGCCGACCCATGCGAATCAACGCTAAATCGCGGCCCTTCGCCTCTCGACGTCAAGCTATACGGTGAACTGCCCGATTCTGCCACGGAGATGCTGCGAGAAGTCGCTCGTCCAGCAGGTGGCGCGGACACAATAGCAGAAGTCTTCGTGGGAATTTCGTTTGGTTTTTCGTTGGCGGTGTTAATCGATAACAGCGCAATACGTTCTTGCTGTTGCGACTCCTAAAAAAGATCCGAAAAAGAAATGGCAGTGCTCATTAAAAAGCGTCGAGGCAGTGTTTATAAAGGTAATATTGTAACGCTTATAGCGTTGTATTTGTTGCAATATTTTAGAACGTATAAAGAAACTAACTTCGCCGGGTTAATTTTGTAAAAAATGCCGGTCTTGTATTATATATATGTCACGAAAATTTAGACATTGAAGTGTGCGTGAACGTACGCCGATGTCGGATACTTTGACCGTTGTTTTCACCTTTGTATTTTATTCATACACAAAAATCAAAAGATTTACTTACCTGTCTTTCCAGTTGACGAAGATTTTCAGTGTGGAGTTCCCTTTCGATTTCTTCGTCTAACAGCGCATCATCGCGCATTATTTGATTTGACTCTTGCAGATGGCGCATTAAGACCGCAACCACAACATTTACTAATGTAAATTGGGCCAGCAGTACAAATATCACAAAGTAAATGGGTGCAATTATGGGGCTAACGCAACAATTTGTGATGCAGGCGTCGTCTGACCGGCAGTCTTCCCGCAGCGCATCCTGTACATTCATTCATTGTGCTGCATCATATTGCTCGCTTACAAAATGGATCAACGGTCGAATGACGGTACCTTCATTATGCCATTCCAGTTGTCCCCGGTTGCAACTCGAAAAAGTGTCAGGAAAGCCATTCCAAAATTTCGGAAATGAGCGTGTTCGCCTAGTCCTTCGCATGGATGCAGGTCATCGCATTCTGTTAAAGAATAATTCGGTTTTTAGCTCTTGACTTACATCTATTTTGCTCAATTTGCGCATTATATATGCGAGCACCGTAAACCAAAAGGCAGAGTTTATAGATTATAGAGTTAGATATGCTCATTACATTAATGATTATTATGCCATGCCTACCTAACCGGCCAAACAATTCAACTCCCAGGGTAGAAAAGATGAAAAACAGCAGGAAAAACAGCGTCCCCAAATTGGTAACTTGAGGCAACGCTTGGAAAACCTTGAAAAGTAAGTAACAGCATGAGTGTACATTCGTCCACTTGAACTGATCATCGCGTGTGGCATTACCGTATCAAGAAGCGCTCGAATCCCGCGGGCCATTTTCAGTAACTTGAGAACTAATGGAAAATGGAAGGTTTTTAAACAATAGCTGTCAGCCAATCGAACATGCAAATGGTATACTTCGAGCAATGCGCAGCACTCTCATCACCCGTATGATCGTGGGATTGATGGGAATAAGGTCATTCTCCATTTCTTCCAAAATGATTCCCACGACAGATAAGATCACGATGGCAATATCTAGCTGGTTCCATCTAGCAATACAGTTCGAAAAAACTCAGCAGCTAGTGCTGTTCGGTATGCAGTTTTAACCAAATTAACTAAAGGTCATGTGTCTCACTTGTCGGAAACGTAGCGCTTAATTCCCAATGCCATCAGTTTAAAAAACGCTTCGAAGAAGAAGACAGCCGTAAAAAAGTAGTTGAAGATCTTTAGGGCATACATCAGCTCCTAAAATTGCCCTTACTAAGGTTACGCAAATCCATGCTTTGGTATGCGAGGATGCATGCTCAGCTTACGTTCGGCATCAAATAGTACTCCATCGCCATCGTCACAACATTGAGTCCAATTACCAACGCTATGGCTAGATCGAAATATTTGCTGGTCACCACGTTATGCTGATATAGGCGAAACTTGGAATAATTGGCGTAATAAGGAGGTGCTCGCAATTCTATAATTAATGTGGTATTAAAACGGTGATTTAAAGCGCAAATGCGGGCGGGCTTATGAATATGTGAACAATGTCAGAACATGTACGGAGGATGTACTTTGGCGTTTCCTTTCCAGTCGTTCGGCACGTTTTACAGCTCTCCGTGCTCGTTCCTCGGCTTCTTGTTCTTCGCGGCAGCGATGGAAATTTTCGACAACAACACCCACAAACATGTTGAGCACAAAAAAGCCAACCAAAAGTAGGAACGAGATGAAGTACAGTAGACGCCATTCATTGAAATTTTCCGAAGGCTGCAAGAAAACAAAGTGATGTATTCGATGTTCGGGCGTTGCAATTCCGCATTCCCTGGCGAATTATATCAAACTGACTACGCAATTAATTTTTTAACTGATTTAGATACATGAGCTGCACTCTGGTTTTCAGTACATACTGGCTGCACTCTGGTTTTTAGCCATCAGAATCGATGGAAATCATGATCGATTCCCAATTATAAGCGTATTCTGATGTGAAGGCCGCTTGTAAATGTGTACGTAATGCCAAACAGCGCACAATTTACGCATAGTGCGAAGTTTTTTGTACAATTGTTGTCTTTGCATTTTATCCCCACCTGCAAATCGACGCCGACCGCATCTAATCCATTGTACATGATGTTGACCCATCCATCTTTACTGGATAGCACAAACAGTGCCATAAGAGCCTGTCCCAAATTATCGAAATTGTACTTCCGATTGATCCACTGCACACCGACAACACCCTCGCGGCGCAGTGCATCGCAGTCACTGCGGTTGCGCACATTCCGGATAGCAGCCGGCGGACCATGGCAGTACCAAAATGTTCCTTTAAAGAGCTAAAACAGGCGCGAGTTTTGCAAACATTAACTTTACTTTTTTTCTGCTAAGGAGTTTTACCTGGACGCCAAGAATTCCGAAAATTATGAAAAAGATTGCACTTATAAGCACAATGTTGCCGATTGGTCGCAGGGATGTTAACAAAGTTTCCACGACGAGTTTTAAGCCGGGAGCGCGATTAATAACCCTGCAAGTTAAAGTAATATTAAGTTTTACACAACCACGATGTAATTATCACACTACTCTGAAAGACGATGTGATTACTACGATGTAATTATCACACTACTCTACTCCTTAAATTTTATGTTTGAAAAATCACCTTAATGGCCGCAGTGACCGCAACAGACGAAACACTCTTAAAATCCCGAATATCTTTGGACTGTTCGACGGCGCGATCAACCCGATGAAAACGTCCACAAGAGATATCGCAACTAGTATTCCATCCATGACATTCCAGCTGCTACTCGTATATGGATGAGATCCCAAAAACAGCCCGTGACCAATAGTCTGCATAAATATACATGCAAAATTGTATTCGTGCATGGTTTATAATAGAAAACTAGCTGTTCACCTTTAGAGCCATTTCCACAGTGAATATAATGGTAAAGATATAGTTGGACACAATCAGAATTTCTCTTTCCTAAAAATATTTATTGTGTTAAAAGACAATCCTCATGAAAGAGGGCAGATTTCATTACCGTGCTATAAGGCGGAATACTTGGCCGCTCCATGGCCAGTGTAATGCAGTTGAGTCCAATGCACAGTAGTATGACATAATCAAAATACTTATGATCGCTGAAATTGGCGCAAAAAAGCCGAAACCTGAAACATTACTACATTTAGGATTCGCAATCTCGTAACATGAAAAAATAATAAATCAAATTGCCTTACTGGTTGTGCGGTGGAAAAACGAAATAGGAATAATAGTATCTTTTTCGCAGATTAGTACATCGCTCCGGAATCCACCAGATCTTCTTTTCGGAATTATTCGGTGAATTACTATCCAGCCGCTGTGTTCGTCTGGCCTGCAGTGGTGACAATGGTCCTTCGCGGTCCGTATCGGCCACCGGGTTGTCTGTATGGGCGTCCACCGTCAAACCGGGGTGTGCCGGTGAATCCCGCCGACTGAGCGGATACACACTGCACATGGAATCAAAGCGCAGACTCGGGGGCAGCACAATGTCTCCATGGGGGCTTTCGATAATTTCGGGGTTATATGGGACGCGGCGCACGATGGGGCGAGTGCGTGGTGACCTTCCCACCGACAGCGAACGCATGGGAACGCCTTGCTTCAAGCACGATTTTCTCAGTACGCCGCTACCCGGGCTTCCATTGCGCAGTGGACCACTGTTGCCATTGGATTTAGATGTGGGCGAAGATGCTAACGGCTGGATTTGAGCCATGGTACTGTCGCTATAAATGAAAACATTAGGGTGGCTGAATTTAAAAACGGAAATGCGCTGTGATCAATACAACTGCATTATTTTTTTCAATTTACTGCAAAATATGTTATTTTTTTGATTATTTTTAACAAATCCATAATAAATGATGAACTAATTTTCTTACTATGAAGATTTTCGTTTGTCTTTATGTGGATGGTATATTTCGAAGGGATTCGCCAAAGAGCGACTTCGCCGGTTCGGGTCAAAGCCAGATGGATCTTTCGATTTTCGCTTCCATCGTCGCGTGCTAAAGCGAAACGGATGTGCTCTGAACTCCTCCAATTCGAATTCTCGTTCCATTCTGTAGGACAATAAATGCCGTTTTGTTGTTAATTATCCTTTAACTGTGATAATAGATATCAGTCGCGCCGTTTGTCAGCTAATGACAACCGGCTGGCGCAAAATGTAATCATACCGTTCGCTCTCGGATTTGCTCATCCGGCGTTCAGCATCTTCCGGCCGCTGATCGACACTAGCGGCCCGTTCACTTTCCACACTAGATATCACATCGGAAGCGGTCGATTGACTGCTGTTGGAGCGATTAGGCACATAGAGCAGTCGATTGTGTAGTCCCAGATTTTCATTGACATTTAACCCGTCAATGGGCGTGGCCGCGGTGCGCGTAATGACCGGAAGCGCCAGGGAAGGACCATTAAGTCGCGGAAGTATTTTGTCGCTGTTGCCAGCGCCAGATAGTGCCATCGTGGTCATTGCCATTGCTGGTTCGCCATCTCCGTCCTCTGACTCCAAAAATGTACTGGATGGAGCGTCCCTAATGTTTTTTGGCGATTCACTGGTTTTACTGGAGTCGATATCGTCATCAGCAAATCCTTCAACCAGAATCGCCACCAATAAATTAAAGAGGACGTAATTTCCAAAGGTCATCAGCGCAATGAAGTAGATGGCGGCCCAATGACTCGTATATCGCATAGCCAGGTACAGCACGTAATTCCAGTCTTCTTGGGTTAATATCTAAAACACCGGTAATTGTACATTTTTGTTTTCTTTTTGGCATCCTCTGTACAAGCTAACATCAGTTAGCTGAGTAAGCAAAACCATTAATGGAAATTATGGAGAAAAATTCTTTAAATATGTCTATAGAAAAAAAGCTTGTACTGTAAGTAGAAAAGTAACTAGTACGGCTGCAGTTGAGAAGCAAAAGCATAAATAAGACTTAGTAGTAAGCTAACTTAGAAAAAGAAGTTAAGTACTATTGTTGCATTTTAACCTTAAAAAATTGTTAGACTGGCCACTGATTAGTAGAGGAAACAAGCGTTGTTAGATATTTTTGAAATACCTGGAATACGGTTAGTGTACTAGTTAAGAGCGTATCGAAATTCCGGCGATCTCGAATGAGGGTCATATTAGGATTGCGAAAATCTTTGCATTCGCAATCTTCGCCAGTAGGAAGCGAGCAAAACTTATTGGCAAACAAATGGCGTCCCAAAACGCTGGAAGCAATAGCATTTGTAATGAAACACTCAGAGATAGACAGATGTAAGCTTAGCGCTCAGGAAGATGCATAGTGGAAACACTCTTGACTGAAGTAGTGACATGGCAGCACAAAGAGCATCTGTTATTAGATTGATTAGTGTAGCGCTAATAGCTGCAGCATTTTATAAATAACTATAATAATTTTTCGAGTAAAGCATGGATATTTTTGCAATAGAAGCTACAAACTTTACATTCTGATATAAATAATATATATATTCTGTGGCGCAGTGAAATATTACAGGCCACCTAAATAATAAAGTGGGTCGATTTGCAACTGGAGATGAGTATGCATTAGGGACATACTTGAAATACTGTTACGAAACTCCAAATAAATCTATCAAAATTCGTACGGGGGCATTTCAAGACACCGTCGTATGTCAGTCTGCATAATTTCTGGCATCCGAATAAGGTCATGGCTAGTATACTGCAGAACCGAGAAGCGTGCTGTATTGAAAGATTGTTCACCACCACGTTCACACATTCATATCCAGAGTCATACACTTTATGCACGCATCCAGCAGCGGAAGTTGCGGATATGTACTTACCTGAAGACGAATATAAATAACAATAACAACGCAAAAAATGTAGCAACATTATCCATGGTCCGAATCATAACGACAAGCTGTCGCTTGAGCGCCGGCATAAAACGGACGAGTTTGAGAATCCGTAGCAATCGAAATGTGCGCAGCACAGACAATCCACTTCCGCCGGCCTGAACAATTTCTATTAAGCTGCGAATAATAACAAAAAATTAAATCTTGAGAAAAGAAACAGAAACTATTTTTGTGTAATTTTATGAACATACAGAAAAATACTTTACTAATTGTAAAAACTTTGCCGCATGCATTGCGCTGTTTTCCATGTAAAATTTCGTAACAGAGATATCTACTGACCTCAAAACAACAATAACACAGTCGAAGAGATTGTATCCGTTGCTGAGATATCCAAAAACTCCATCCGCCATCATTTTCAAAAGCATTTCGATGCAAAACAATGCCGTGAAGAAAAAATTACAGTATTCCAGAATTATGGTTAGCTCATCCGGCTAAAGGTTAACAATTGCAGATATTCAAGGTTACCCTGTGTGATACGCGGAAAATAACTAATTGATGATAAATTGTGCATACTTGTAAATGATGCTCGATTCCCATGCTAAGCGTGTTGATGAGAATGGCCACGAGTATTCCGCGCTCAAAAAATTTACTACCGACGAACTGTTGGACTTTAGCCCGGAATGCAGTAAGGAACTCAATCAAGCGATTTTGAGGCTTCTCGGGTTCTGCATCTCGAATCCAAAAGTAACTGGTTTCATCGATCTCGCAGTTGCGGTTAAAAAATGCGCGCTGTGTTGTTGCGGCTGGGTCTTTCGAAGAAGTCTCTGATGTGACACAAATAGTAAATCCTAGTCCTACTCGTGAAACTTTAAAGAGAGTAGAATTAATAAACTTAAGTAATAAACAAATTATTAAACATAGAATTAATAAACATAAATCTTTTTAGTAAAATTTTCCCAAAAATAACTCGTAGCTATCATGTATTCCTTCACGCAATACAATGTCAAGAGTATTTCAACGAAAAAATGTTAAGAGAAGTTAACATTTCAGCTAATGAAATAACATTAATATTAAATGTTAACGTTAGCGAAATTTGGAAAAAATTTTCAGAAAATGGTGCATAAATAAATAAAGTCAGATTTACCGGACTGAAGACCCGGCATATTGTGCGTTTCGACGTTGACCATTCGATCTGCAGCTGGCTGGAAGAGCGTGGTCGGCTCTTCCGGCTGCACGGTGATCGTCGCTACCGTTGACGCGCCGGCTGGCATCGCTGCACTGCTCGTGATGGAATCCCGGGAATATTCCTCCGATTTCCTTCTGTCTGGCGGATTATTACCACCATCCATAAACGACACAGTGGACGATCTCTCCGATGACTTATCGGCTCCTGTACCGCTCGACTGCTGCACATCCAGTGTGCGGCGAGTATAATCAAAAGGCACTAATGCCAGACTGCCTTCCAATGACAGATCGGGATGCCGTTCACAGGACATCTCAGCGCTGGACAACTGGGCGGTGGGTGTCGGTCGACTAAAGCCCTCCTTGCCGTAATAGCCTTGGGCAGTGCGCTTCAGGAGTTGTTTTTTGATTTTCTTCTCTTGAGCTTCGGTGTAGTAGGCTTTGGCCTTGCGCTTGGCCCGGCGCCATAAATGACCACAGTAGCGCACTAGTTCCCTGTAGCACCCGCCCGGCTCAGCGCCGCTCCCCAAAGAACTGGTGGAATGGTAGCGTGCCCTTTCGGCAATCATTCGCTCTGTCTCGCGTTTCTTCGTCTCCGAAAACTACAGCAATCCATATTTAGCAATAATGCAATGGTGACAACGATCCTTGTATCATACGAATATATTATCGATTATTGCAAATTTGCCAGTCAATTAATTATCTCTACATCCACAGCGAATTTCTGGTGAAATAAAAGCAATCTCATACCTGGGTAGCAATAACAACAAGGCATAGGTTTATCATAAAAAATGAGCCAATCTGGAAAAAACAGACACACGCATTATATAATTAATGGAGTGTCTGTATGGCGTGCTGTAGTGTATGTAGTACTCGTAGTAGCATCACTTACAACAATCAATATCACAAAATAGATGAACACCCAAAAACTGTGTGCATCCTGCACAAGATACATAATTTCCGACCATCCTTCAAGACTGATCACCTGCCAAAAAGAAACAAATAAATAGCATCAATATCAAATCGTTCGTCAAACTTAATTTTGGCATAAAACACCGCTAAAAGATTTGGCATTGCATTTTCGAAAGCAGCCTTGATGCCCGGATACTTTTACGTATGTATTGTACTCTGTGATGTCTGTATACACGGTCTATTTTTGCTTATGTTCAACTCACATTCTGTCTAATTTCGTATGCCATATTTTAAACAAATTTAAAATACGAAAAAAACTTATTGTTTTCCAGCAGAATTTAAATGGTTTGATATCGATTAAACCTTTTAAATGCTTTTAGCGTCACTCACCAGAAATATGGCTACCCACGCGGTGCCTATAAACAGACAAGGAAATATTTCGTTATGCTATAAAAAATAAATGAAAACAAAACGAATTGCCTATATGGAATGCATTTTTACCAATGTTATCGAACGATATCGCTCCAAGGAAAGGATTTTTTTCTGAGGCACGACAAATTCTGTTAAACAAAGAAAAAACATGTTGTAATTCCTTAAGAGCGTGGATCGATATACTGTAAATACTCCTGCTACGTCATCAGAATGCAGCAATACGGTGATTGTTGCAAAAAATCGTACATTAATGTGAAAAAGTCATAAAAATTGACCATCCCAATTTCATCACAATGCCTCACAACTTAATTATCAGGCAGTTACGCTGCAGTAAAAATTTTCCTTCACAAGAAGATTGTAAATTGTACGTACGTGTAATACTGATGCCAGTTTATGCAGGTGTTTGCTGGTACGGAAACGGAATTGTTGGGTCCCCATATGAGATCGTTTAATGAACCATTGCATGGCCTATTATTCTCGATATATGGCGGTAAATTGTCACATGTGTGCATGCCATCGTCTTTTGGTAGACTGCACACATACTCCAGATAAGTATGTTGGGGTTCGTAATACTTCGGGATGCCTCTGTAAATGCAAAGGTTACAAAAGGACGGAAGCGTTAATCGTTACGTACAGCAAATCTCTGTATACGCCTAATTTTTTTATTGACATAAATGAAGTCTACAAAAATAAACTTATAAATTTCCATAAAATATGCATCAGTTAATTAATCTGTATACTGTCACATGATTACGTTAAAGTATTTCTTGTTTAGCTAACGTCCTTAGTCGTTTTATTTGACTTTATATATTCATACCTTGGAAAGGTAATGTTGCCGCTTCCGCTTAGAGTGCATCGATTTCGTAGTAAGCCAGCCCACAGTTGTACACCAACTATTCCGAAGGCTGAAATGCATTATTAAATGTTAAAACGTAACTGAGGTGATTCCTGGCTAGTCAGGGATTAAGGCAAGTTCATGTTGACTGTGATGTTTGTTAATATTCGCAAAACTCATGATCAGCATATTCGGTTCATACCGCATACACAGCCATCATCGTCCAACCAAAACTTATAATTAAACCGTAGATGTACGTTATTTTAAATTTGTTTAATGTCGTCGCCACGACTAAAATAACATAAAGAAGACACTTACAAAAAAATACAAAAAAGGCAAGGAGAAAGGTGCTTCCGAGCATCGGAAGCGTGTCCAGCAGCAGCATCACCAGTATCCTCATGCCTGGAAAGTGTGAAGCGCTTTTGATATTACCGTTCACACTTTTTTATTCTTCAAATAACGTACTGGGCACTCTGTTGATTGCTCTCAAAGGCCGCAGAACCCGAATAGTCCTGATAGCGGACAGGTTCATATTCTCCATGTTGAGAAGATATTCCACCAGACTGGAACGCGCACGCCAAGAGAATTTGTAAACGCTTGTCCATGCATACGCCATTAAAAAATTGATTTCGCTGTGCTTTTCGAAAAGCAAGCGAGGCTTACCCGGCAATCACAATAAAAAAATCCAGTCGATTCCTACAGATAATTTAATTTTTTTACCAGTCACAGGTTAATTAGATAGGTCAGTTTTTAGCTTTTCGTATATTATTTCAGCTACATTTCCTATGTTCTATGCAACAGTGACTTTATACAAACGACCAGACAGAAATCGCAAAATTAGTATGCAGATTAGAAATACTGAAGTTGACAAAATCTTTTGCCACCAACCAGGAATCCGCCAGGTATGTCTTTTTTCCAAATACTCCCATAGCTATCATTTTTATTACCATTTCCAGCTGCAATGAGCAAACAAATAATTAGCGTCCGCTAAGCATTAATGGAGCATAGGATTTCCACTTACGGCGAAAAAGGCAAAAATTAAATGGTCTGCTATTGCTAGAATGTGGCAACCAGGTGTATCACAGATTCCATCACAGGGTTGATATCTGATAGAGCAAGCGATAGATAAATATTATTCAAATCTGTAAAGATGGGGCGTAAAAAACGAAACTTACAATGCTAGTGTGACGCAATTAAGAAGAATCACGGCCATGCTGACCCTTTCAAACCAAGTATAACAGCCAGAAGTTAAGGAAACCAGTGCAAACACATTATACCAATACAAACGTCTGGATATCGTATGATGACTAATTGATCCACAAAACCAAATTAATATGCCTGTTTTACAAAAATGACAGAAGGTATGCGAAATGGATTTCGTAGTGATCACAGAAGAAATACAATGCAGTGAGATAATCCTGATTCTTGACCCGATTCCCTGTTAATCCCACCCTTTTTCTTTGCTCCATGCTACCGTAATTATGGGCTAGGCAGAGCCATAATTGGTACTATGTTGCGCTTCCGATTACGTTCTCTAGACATTTTATGCAACTGCCTTATCGAAATTTTTTCATTTGACTCTTGACTATTTATTAAATCACTCGAATTTTTTAACGCCGCAGTCGGGTCAACTGACGACCGTGTAACGTCATGATGATAAGAAACTGCAAAGGGACGGCGGGTATCATTTCCCAGTGGATAACGAATTGAAAAACAGAAAAACTGTGCAGATTCAGCAGATTTGTGTTGCTTTCTGTTTCATAACCCAATTGATTTGATCATTGATCAATAAGTCGATGAAGCGAATAATACGGCAAGCAATTTACTACTTTTATGCGATTGCAGACTCCTGTTACAAGCGAAGGGTTTTCCATGGATGTGTACGTAGCCAGAACAACTGAGCTATCCCTTTCCGCCGCCGCGCAATATACTGCAGACGGAATAATCGGCTCTCAACCTCATTTTCGTACAGTCAGCAGTGGCAGCAGCAAAAACTGCGTGTGGTGCCGATGCCGTTCGTCCCCCCAAACAGCCGGGTATCAGCAACCCATTACCGGGAATATATATTCTGTACTTCCCATTCAGCGGATTTTTGGCCGGCTTGTATAAAGTGCTGCATACACACAAAGTGTAGGCTGCGCACTCAATTATGTGCAGCCATACAGTCGCTGCGCAATGACGAGCTGGCGCGGTCAAGCTTCACTTCCGGTCCGCATCATATGGGACCGAGTGAATGCTGCAGTCCCGGATTGATGCCGATATACAGCGGCTAGATTATGTTATACGAGACATTCGGTCCACGGGAAAATGAGTCCCTTGTGACTGATAAATTCGATATCCTTATGTTAGCTTTCAGGCAGTTTTCAGCAAATTAACAATAACTCTTGCCTGTGCCCACACGCCATACCAGTCAGCAGATATGGTTAAGCTGATAATTATGACTGTTATTAAATTTCTTCGCACTCAGGAGCAGAATCTAGCGTGTAATTCACTGCTATTACTTGCACTACCAGTCTACCACCCCGAATTTACTGCTGAAACGTTTCTATAGCTAGCTGAAAAAAGCACAATCAAAAAATACATACGCACGATAACAACGCCTGCATCCTGTCAGGGTAGGAAACGCATTCAGTCAGCAAAAACCATAGCTTTGGCCTTTGTGCGAAATTAGCATCAGATTTATGGTAAATAACCAGCTTACAACCAAAGTGCACGAAATTCAGTGTTACGTCGCTTTTTTTGTAATTTGAGTATACGACAAGCGAAAATTAATTGTTACCTTTTTATACACACGATAGAACTGGTAATACTGAGTTACGGACTAATGCATAATTGCGCAAACAAAACGAATTCAACATTAATAATTACTATGATACAAATGTTTGGTAAGTAATTTCGAAATTTGTATTATGTCATGTTCTTTTACCCATTGTCGGTTATTTAGCGGCAGGCTCGCCGATCCCTCACGACCCTACACGCTTCCGCTTCATTAGCATCGCTGTCAGAATGGAAATTCAAGTGTGATTCATTGGACGGATGACGGAAAAACATTTCCGGCACATCTGTAAACTCTTGTACAGATTCTTTGCACAAAGTGACTGCGTAGATATCGCTGGATTTCAGATGCTACGGTATCTGGATATTTGATGTTATTGGTTTTTAATTCAGTGTTATTGAATTGCTGTATGTACTGTAACGTTTGCACCTGACTACTATGCCATACATATCGGTATCAACCACTTACGATGGTTTAAAATGAGGTAAACTATAACATTACAATAAAATTTTGAATTTTTTTAAAAAATAAATAAACCGCTAAGTAAAAAAAAATTTAGTTTTAAAGTAAAAATTTCTCTGGAAATACTTAAATATTCTGAACTGCAAGAAAATAAAAATTAACAACCGGTAGGTTATTATATTAATCGTAATTTGTTACAAGACTGCAGTACAATAAAACGTTGCTTAAACATAAATTTATATAAATTAAGCATTGGGATGGATATAGTATATACAGAGTTACAAGTATAACAAGTGATGCAGATTACGTGAAAATAGTTTTATAATTCGAGCGTAAAAGCATTGAAATGAATATCGCAAAAGGAAATTTAAATAAGACAGACACATGCCCCACCCCTTTATCGGCAACGATACAGTAATAATTGGCTAATTTTTAAGAGAGGGTTATCTCATTAAGTAATACGGGTTACAGTTATCAGTTCTGCAGCAGGTCTTAAAATCTTTCATAAATTCTAATTTTGCACTAGAAGGGACACACAAAGTAGCTATCTGTAGTTGTTGATTGATAAATCTCAAGCCAATAGCAGCTTCATTTGTAGCTTTTCGGCTAGACTGCTTAATGACCCTTAGGTCGACATCAGAATTATGACCGGAAGTAGAAACTAGTGAGATGCAGTAGATCCATGAGTACGCATGCATATTGTGGGAACCAAGCACGCCGATCATGCCGGAAGACTGATAAACAACCTCAGCGGCTGGTGTGCACCGCGCTCTAACCAAACCCGAATTACTGCTTTAATAAACTTGAAGTCTGACTATGCATTTCGATTTCTCTGCGATGGGATTTACTGGAGCTGGCGCTGTAGTCCCAACATGCTGCCGGAAGGTGAATTCCGGTATCTGTCAGTGAGTAATCAAATGAAATGCTCAGGAGGCTTAAACTGCACAAATTAGTATCAATCTTGACTTATCGGTTCGACTGGGTTTCATTGTAAGAATTATACACGAATAAAGCGAGAATCTTTTCATCTTTAAACAGACTAACGGTAAAAGCTTGCGAAAGCGAAGCATCATTTTATATTTGCGTTTCTGCCGGGTAAATCATATAAAAGCGATAACAGTAAGTTAATGATGGCCTGTTTATATATTCTGTTGTACAGTTTTTATCGTTAATGATATATTTAATGATAAATACGACTATACGAGTACTTACTTACACACTACGTGGACCAATCTCGTTTCACTCGATTGTATAGCGGCAGGTTCATAAAAAAACAATAATAAAAATAATTTAAGAGTATCGTGCAAATGCAGTGTTAATATAGTTATCAATACAATAGGAGAAGTAAGGCCTTGTCCCGAATTCGAAGCGAATCTTTATCTATGAATATATATTTACTATGTTGTACTGTAACTATGCGCCCTACTGAGCCCCATTAAATCTAACTGCAGCCTCAAGGAGGTTTATAATTTTGACTTCTAACAGCACGATTTCTAACAGAATTCTGTAATATTGACTGAAAGTAGTCAAGTTTTTGCTATACATACAGAATTCCAAATAAAATGAGAATTATATGTTCATTGTTGAATTAATTTCAAATAAAGCTCTTTATCCAGGATGAAACGGTCGGTCTGTTTAGTGGCAGTGATAACACCAATGCCGGCAATGGCTTTATGAAAATAGGAGGTTTATTTTGATGGCTTTGAAACTGAAACTTTTGTTATCGAAAATAATATAATGTAACATGAATATAATATAACATGATTAGGAGCATAGCCCAAATAGAAAACCGGCGTTTTCGACTCCAACCAAGTTCTACTTTGCCGTTTTTCAAAACGTCATGAAGTTGAGCTTGACTTTAGCACTACTTGGTCTGAAGCCAACATCGGATTAATTGAATAAAATAAATCAAGGCAAATGTATGTTTGATAATTGTAATCATAATTTAAATAGTTAGTTCGCGCTGTTTTTTTACGAATAAGTCGATGTAGTTGTTTGGAATAATGTTTTCAAAGGAATTCTCTAAACGCAACTTGGAATTTGAAATTACAAAGAGTATAAAAGTCACTAACGCTAATATACTAGTGAGGTAAGTGAAAGCAGGTGAGTGCGGCACACTGTAAATATGTAAGTGCACGCAGTAGCGTAACGTTGTATATTCCTTCCAGATGAGCCATCAAAGGAGGGCACGATACTTTATTATTATTATTATTATTACGGCACAAGAGCAGACAACCCCAAGGGGACTTCAAGTCTGGTCTTATATGTAGGGCTGTGAAATCAAGCTGTACATGCTATTTTTTTCTGTACAAAACAGCAAATATAGATTTTGGTTGGAGTCAGCGTTGGTATCATGTGTGAACGCACCGGGTATACAGGATGACTTATATTCCATTTCATTTGGAGTATGAGCGGATCTACAACTTGGTTGGACTGCGCCCAGCTAATGCGACATAGCCTAAGGTAGCTTTAGCATAAGCTGGTTATGACTCGGGACATGTAAAATTAGCGATCGATATTGTCACGAGAAAAGTCTCCAGACAAACTTCGGATGCCGTCTAAGTTTTTTTTATGGGTAGTACATGAACAGTATAGTACTCGTACATAAACAGGAACATAAATTGTGTAGTATAGTACACAATTTTTGGGTAAAAATAATTAGCTACACTTTTGTTACCTAATCTTTTCCTGTACTAAAATTGTCCTTTTTGAGAACATATTTGATTTTCCGTTCTAACTAATCTTGTTGATAGAAGTTCAGAGCTCGAAAAACGTAGGAGCAATCTTTTTTAAGCCTATTGTCTGCACTTTAAGACGTAATTTAAAATATTTTTCAGGTGAAAGACTATAAAGCCGATCACCTGGTAAACCACCATAACAAAGATAAGCTCTTTCTTCTAGTCCAGGCTCTGAGTTCCAGACCCAGAATAAATTATCATTATAATTTAATCTGGGTCTGGGAAAACACGCTCATAACCCTGTGTGCACTTAAGCGGTACGACATTGTTAGTATCTAATAAAGCAGCACTATCTGTAAAACCGATTTTCATGATGATTTCAGACTCACTGGTATCTAAATTTTCCAAATCACCAATTTCACAGTTAGTATAAAACACATTATTACAAATCAAAATAATTAGCGCTTCATAAACCTATTTACCTCATCAATACTTACTTCATTATCTTCCTACTACAATTACCCTCAGTTTGATTTTACGTTTTTTTCTATATTCATGCATGTATTCGCGCATATTTCTTCCGATTAGAATCACCTTCTATTATTTTATTAAGGATAATAATACTTAAAATTTAACGCGGATCTCTGTTCAAGAAAACTTCCTAACCCATAATGAAGCTAAAAAAACGTACCAAAGTCAAACAAAACACGGCAGCCTGAATCAGCACTGTTCCAAAATCTAAACCGACCACCACGAAATAATCAACAGGAGAAAAATCTTCTTCACTGCATACTTCTTTAAATCCATAATAGCTCACACGCAACTTCTGCTTATTCCGGAATTCCTTGTATACCCACCAAACTAAAAAGATCCAGTCAACAAACCGAATCACCGTAACATTTTCTCGAACAACTTTCTAATGTACATCGCAACCTACTTCCCCTATAAAAACCACCTGTTACTAAAGATCCATAACCATCAGATCAGAACATCATAGTCTGCTCCATTAAGCAATAACTTTCTCGAACCTTCATGAATTTTCCACAATAATCCATCACCATCCCCCACCACAACTCATAACACACAACACACTCCGCTTCCTGTTACACTTCATTAAACTATGAAGTATGAACAACCAATAAGTCGAATACACTTATGTCAGACTACAGTAAAACCCCCACAACCTTCCCTCTATTGCAACATTCACCCCTTCATTATCAGTTTCTTTCAAAACATATCATCTTTTAATATAATCACCTTTAATATAATTTACTATATTATTAAATTCTCTATTCAGCACTTTACATTCCTACCCCTTATAATCTCCACATACAATATGCTCCTGCAATGTACTCCTACATTATGTAGAAGCATATTGCAATGTCCTCGTACATATGTAGGAGCACATTGCAATATGCTTCTACATAATGCAGGAGTACTTGCAATGTGCTCCTACATATGTAGGAGCACATATATGTAGGAGCACATTGCTTCTACAAAATGTTTCTACATAATGTAGGAGTACATTGCAATGTGCTCCTACATATGTAGGAGCATATTGCAGGAGCATATTGGATTACGTTTGTTTGGATACTACAGTTCCGTTTTTCTCCTCCAAGAACCAATAAACCGATGCAATGTGCTCCTACTGTCCTACATAATGTACGAGCACATTCCAGTGTGCTCCTACATAATGAAAGAGCACATAATGTAAACTAAAAAAGATGCCGAGTTCACAACGCCATCTACAAGTTTCACGCATCGTTACTCGACTCATGTCACATGACTGTTAGGCCCTACCGCTTCCTTCAACCGGCCGGACCCTTCCGTACTCTACGGGCGCCAAAATTTACTTTTGTTTACACATGGATATCGAAGACCAAAAACCGAAACTACAGTTTCATATATGCTACGACTGATTCTAGTCGTATACCGCATATAAGAACCTGTCACGGTTCAATGAACCTGCCGCAAAATTATTTATGGATGCACTACCAATAATTGGACTGCCACGTACTCACCATTTCCATTCTACTGTAAACTGCTGCTTCTAAAGTTCTAACGTTCAGCTTTGCCAAATAATAATTAAGCTAGTAACTGTAAGCTCGGGAGAATTCTGAGGGTGCACAGGTGTCTTTGTCAACATTGTTTATGCGAGCATCTGTAGGTACTTAGTGTTGATCGCTATAAAATCCGATATCTTGAATCGATCGTGGAGAAAACTTGGAAATCAGCATCTCTTGCACACGGAAACATATTATTGTTTGCGTACCGGTTACATGCTTGCTGTTGCCGCACTTGCACAAAACAAGCCAACAAGGGTCAAGCGGCCATTATGCTGATTCTGGATGCCCATGTAGGTCACATAATGTACGTTTTACTTTCGAAGCGTTTGATTTCATAGTTTTAAGCAAGAGAATTTCGAGATTGCTTATGGACTCCAAGGTCATAAAGTGTGTGTATTGCTGAATACACGGTATACCGCAATTAACAAATTTCCTGAAAGAACTGTAATATACGTTTGTGACAAACGAAGTTTTTCGTCGGCAACAAGTGCCATTACGATAATTCACGAGCTAGAATTACCATCATTCTCAGCTGAGCACTCGGAATATTCGGAATGCTACGTGAATACAGTAGTTAAACACCGCGCACCCTTTGACTGGTAATTTTCTGTAAAAGTTTCGCAAGACCCTTTTCAAAACGCACATTTAAGGGTTTCAGGAAAACAATGTACATCACTTCCACATGCCAAACCGAAAAGTCCCTCCACAAAAGAAAACGAGGTTAAATAAATAAATATTCGGGCACTTTGCTGCCAGTACCATTTAGAAGCATTGCGCTGTGTATTTGATCGTCAATCGCGCTAAGCGATATGTGAACATGACAAGCAAAGTGCTAAGAATAATAAAATTTCTCCTTCTAACGTTTACCAAGCTCATTACGCGCTAAAAGACGTGAAAATAGCCGGGAGAGTTTCGAAAAACAAACATACACACAGAGTCCAAATTATATCTGTGTGTATGAGAGCACACTCCCGGATGGGGCTGACGACAGTCTGTGGGCGGGATGGAGAGAGTATTAGCGTATGATTAAGGCGAAATTCGAAATCAAAACGATAATAACCTCCCGAGTCCAGTGTCCCCAATTATTAAGCACGTCATTTTTTCGGATTATTGGTCACTATACAATAAGTAAGCGCTTACTGCCAGTGCACAACACATCCCGTACCCGGAAATTAGCTACTGAATATTCCTATCGACCACCTGATTAGTGGGTAGTGTTTTCGCGTCATATATGCGCGCACTATACAATGTTGCCTTACCGTTGTATATCCATATTTGTACGGTAGATTTTACGCGGTAACGTTAATTAATCCTATAGTTTCCTTAATTAATAAATAACCGCCCGTCATAGTGAGAAAAAGGATATCTCGATAGCATCATCTGTAGACAGATTGTCCGCAGCTTGGAAGTTTGCCGTAGACAGAGGAAGGAAACGGGTATAAATCCCGGAAACGGTAATGGTTCCGCTGGAATGTAATCATAATAAGGCAGTGGCTCCTTAATTGACATCCGCTCATTAATCTGCTCCTCATTGTTGTCAATCGCGGCAGCATTATCCGGTATGATTATGCGCGATGTGGTGGGCTGATCAGGAACAGGATGGTTATTGGTGGATGCAGACGAAGTTGACCTGTCGGGTGCAGATGTACTCGGACGCGGCTGGGCCTGATTAGCGACGGCTCTGTCGTCCGCAGTGCCATAAGCTGGATGATAATCCATGTCGCTGTCTTCCTCATTGTTTTCCCTACCATTCAGCGACATCCTTAACTCTTTTGCAAAGGTTTTCTGCACAACCAACAAAAACGATCCTTATAATAAAGTTGTAATGGTCCACATTGGATATCGTTGGCGCGATCAGAATAACAGTAAATCAATCAATATTAGCGGCAGATTGGTTATTTTTCCTGGCTGCATTTTTTTGCGCCAGATTCATAAGGTCAGATAAGCCGCACCAACGCAGAAAGTTGCCGCATTATAAATAGTATATTTTGTGATCCATTCAACGCAGCATTAATGTAGCTAAAGATTTCGGATAAGAATATGCCGATGTGTAACAACGTTGCATTTTCGCAATTAATTGTACACCGGCAAAATTATATTCTGTTGCTCGCATACGTCCACATTTCGCGGCTGCAAAAGATTTTTCCGTCAAATAAAGATCGTGCGGCAGCGGCGGAGGGAAAAACGATAACTGCTGAACTATTGATGGCGCGCCATTCCTGAATAGGGAATGTGAATGGCTTTCAAAACGTAACGCAATACCTTGGTGTATGTGTGTGTATATGGGCAGTGTGCCTGCGCATAGATCGCTGTTGCCTTGTAATATATCGTGCGTAAAAGGAAGGGAAAGGGGAGCACAGGAAGGAAACCGACGGGAGCTACTCAACACGGTTGTGGTGTTAGTGCGCAGCGGCGCGACACACGATCGAAGTGTACGACAATATGTAATATGTGTGTGTTGTGTGTTGTGAGCCTGCGCGCCAGTGCCACACAGGCAGGGATGCAGGCCGGGACCGCCGGGTGATGGGCTCCGTCAGCTATTACAGCCAATACGCAGTGCGTTGAGGAAAAAAGCGCTCTGATCAGTGCGCAGCTTCCCAGTCGCGCCGCGACTACCGCTGCAGTTAGGATTGATGAAAGGATCATGAACTATCTTCATAAGAAATTGGCGCCATCACATGTATACACAGACGCGGCTTCCTCTTAACACTGCCCGTACAAGTCAAAAATTGATTTTTGCCGATTTCGCTCTCGTATCCCGGCTGCAACAGTCCAGAATAACTGGGTTACTTTAATCGCGTATACGGAAAAATTCAGCATCTCTAAGAATTAAAATTACGTCATTTATGGAAACAGTTCTGCGTGCAAACTCAGTGTGTCCCTTTTTTTCGAAGCCCCATAGTGTAGACCGAAGATATGAATAACGAGAGCGCTACACTGTACGCAAATCTCTAATGGAATAGAGGCGTAAAAACCGCATTAACGAAGAGGCTTAGTAGAATAAAAATAAAATCGGAAGCGGTGTTGTTAAGCCAGCGAGTGTCTGTACAGGTGTTCGTTCATGTTGCTCCATGTAAGTGTGGGAAATCCATACAACATCCTAGAAGCACCGGAAGTGGAAATGCTCGATAAGTACCACTAGACTGTGCTGTTACAACAGGGTGTAGCCAGATTCGGATCAATCAATTTTCGCAGTGAACCCACTCTGTGCAACACACCAGCTTTACACCTTTCTTCCTGTATGCTGACAAAATTAGTAGATTGTACAAATTTGCTGCCGGTTAGTTCCCATTAATATGTTATCTGACAGCAGACAAAATTATAATCGACATGTTATATTTTTTTGGACTTTAGTTCATGTTTAAAGTGCAGATGCACAATGTGTGTATTGTAGTTTTATCCAGCACATTTAAAAAGTAACATGTTTACATGAATTCTCAATTTTATTTGATAATTTCACAGTGTAGCAACAATAAATCGCACTGTAATGTCATAAAGTTGTTTGACTCTTTAAGATTCCGATCATGTACATGTGCATGCGGCTAGCTTGCCGCTGCATCATGGAATGGTGACCTTAGCCGACTGTGGGGGGCGCTTGGGATAATTTGTTTTAAGTTAAGCATAGTATTCCCACCGGATCGCACTCGACCGGGTCGAGGACGAGTAATATTCGATCATACCATACAAGTAAATTCCCATTTGGAGACAATTCCTTCCAGTGGAACATTGCCCATAAAGCCATAAATCTCATTTATAGCGCTTAATGGTTGTATCATAGTGTGTGCATACATGTACATTGTCAACGTATAAAACATGTGTGTGCTTTTGCTTATCGGTATCGCAACGTGTGATGCAAGAACAAACAAACCCCCAATACTATCCTCTTTAATTTTCGCAAAACACAGAACACACTTGTAAAATCGTCATAATGACTGCAAAAAGCGACAACGTCGTGCAAACCCAGTTTTTCTTAAATCCTTTGATACATACAGTACGGAATAAACCATGCATATGGTGTATTTCTTGCTCGTGAATAACTTCCTCGCTGCGATTTCTGTTACTAAATTCTAACTTGATTACTTGATTGTTCAGTTACTGCTTTGACTACACTATATCCAAATATAAATATGAACTTTTATTAATTACGAGTCTCGCATGTTTAGAGAACGTGCCGGTTTTTTGCGCGCGTGGATATGATATAGAAGTACTGTACTATATATGATATGGATATGATATGATGTACGGGATATGATATATAAATATGTTGAAGTGTTGCAGAACGATTAAACCCACTAATTACCTATAACACACAATGAATCAGGCGATATAAAAGAACTTTATTGGTGCTTCTTTGGCATTTGATCGCATTCTAAATTTTAACAATAAAATAAATACTGAAAAATACTAATCCCGGTAACAGCCAAGAATAAGGAATTGTTTCTAATTAGAAAAAAAATTAGCTAGGACAGTAACTGCACAGCTACGAAATCAAAGGAACAGGCACTACAGAATACAGTACCTACAATATATACAGTACCTGCCGCGAGGAGGTGCTTGCACTGTTACATTACTCTAACTAGCATTCAAGACGCGAAAAAATCACTACGGTACATGTTATAGGTTTAACAGCAGCATCTGCCAACATTAATTAAGCAGATCAGCAAGAAATGCACCCACAATACAGCACATAAATAGCTACAATTAAAGGGTAAAATTTGAAATTGAAGGCGGGCAGTATAAAATTTGATAAAAGAATACAAATTTCGCTCGTTAGCGTGATTCAGCATTATCTGCATAATCAGCAAGCAAAATTTTTTAGAATCTATTCTTCAGTGATACGGTATATTTTAGGTCATGTTAAGGATTTTTTGATTTTGGTATATCAGGTTTGCGTTTTTGAATATCATAGTATAAGACCAAAATCGAAAAAGATGTCCTTACAAGTACTTACTCGTATTTACGAGTACTTAGACAGTTATACTTACTCGTTTTTTTTTCCTTTTCGTTGGACTAGGTTGCATATGGTTCGACTACTTAAAAAGTCAAGCATTTTCGAACTGGTAGACAATTTTACTATACTTTTAAACTTCCGGTAAACGATTATCCTGTACGTAAGATAATATTAATTTTATTAGTAGTAACATGATACAGTAATAGAGTGTGTAATCTAACAGAATATGGATACATGGATGAAGTCACCTTTACCACGGTATATTTACATTTATATCTACAGTATATAAGACATACAATGCCTTTTGGCCCTTTTCCTTGCCTACACAGAATCTGAGGAGTAACAAACAAGATTTGCAGAGACTGTTACAGTGTAGGCATTACTTTGTACCTACCTATAGAAGCATGTACAAATAAAACTATCCGTATCTTTTAAGTGAAATCATTAAATTCTATGCCACATGCTTTCTTAAAAATTTTTAAACCGAAGGGGACGGAATAAATTGATCAGTACAACAGGAGGATTGAAATGCCACTGTTGAATATTTAAAAAATGAAAGGAATTGATATACTCAACGACGTAAATTCTTTCGTTTTAGATTTCGCATGTTTTAATTTCCACATTGCTAATTACGACGGCGGCGATCCGATTTTGCGGCAGCGATCTGATTTGGCCCTCCCGCTCTAACGTACCTCGCGCCGGAACATATATATGTAGTTTAAAGGAGGTTCGCGTATTCAGATTTCCGAAACTTGTGACTAAAATCTGTAATAATAATACCCCTCAGTGATGATGTTGTGGGAACCGGAAGTGACCACCGACCAATACCATAATGGTCCTGGGTCCACGAGTGACGTTGCTCTTTTACTGTAAAGTACACATCTGAACTGAAGCCTCATTCTCGCAGTTTTGTTAGCAACATTACGACAACGGCTTGGATGGTTATTTATAGTTGTGAAACTAAAAATACATAGATCATGCTTCTCGAGCATGCGAGCATTTCTTTCTTACAGCTAAAAGTACAGTAATCAAGCAGTGAAACAAATAAATATTTAAAAAACGGGCCGGCTAAATGTGTCTTAGGTGGCAGTCATAAACGGCTGTTAGCAACTTAGGGTAGTCCTTCTTATCGTACAAAAAAAGGTGAATTTTTACGAAGAAATTTTTGCCAACAGAATCACCATAGAGTAAACAGAGCATACTGTATTTACTATGCTATTGTGACAGGTTTTCTTTGGTGCCCCACAATCCAGAATCCAGAGAACGGAACGGCGAACAAAAAAGGGGAATCGAAATATGGAGCGGCTGCGGCTAAAACAACTGGCACCCCTTGGAAGGTGGTGAGCGTTCAATTTAAGAAGAGCAAACTGCAAAGTTAACCTTCATTGATTCCCCCAGTAGGAAATTCGTATGTCCCCACTTCAGTCCCATTTGCGATTTGCAATAAAAAATTTCCTGGAAGCCATCAACAGTCCAACGCAGCACCTCCAACAAGTTTAGATTTTTGAGTTTCCTTCCTTCAGTTAGTAAGTAGTAAACTAAGCATTTAAGGTGTTACTTGTGGCAACAGATTTTTACTCTTATCGTTCATTATACCGAGAGGACTGTGCAACTCACCAGATTATTACTTATTGATTGACAACGTGATGGCCTTGTACTTCCTGTTGAACTGAGTGTTGTGCTCCTGTGCTACGTACCAACAAGTTGTCATACACACTGCGGCTGCTGATGTGCCAGCATTCTAAAGCCCTCGGCATTAACCCGTGAATTCTTCTTGCCTTGCTGTAAAACACAGCCTCAATGGAGCACTCCCTGCCAGCCCACACCACAGAAACCACGTCCTATCCTCCCAACATCCACTTCGCTTCCACACTAACCACCACCACCCTGACCGACAGCACCCACTTGCCTGACGACCAGATGGTCGCCACCCATGCCCAGGCCCTGGAGGAGCACGAAGAGAATCCCAGCGCCGAGGGAACACTCGAGCGCCTGGTGAAGACGGACGATGTGCCCAGTGAAGACCCCAATGTGGATGATGGACAGCAGCCCCTGGGTATCGTCGAGAGCTGTTTCCCCTATCTGGCGCGCCGCAATCACCATCATCACCACCACCATCCACAGCAGCAGCCGAGCAAAGGGACCCTGGCGCAGTTTGCAGCGTGTGGCGGGATGAAGTGCCACGCGTACGACGATGAGAAGGAGCATCCGCGGACAGCCAAGAGCCGAGGTTCGTTTCTCAGTACGTGTTGCACTGGTCATCATAGGAGTAGAAGAGAGGCACGAAGCAGGCAATAAGGATGCTGCACTGGTCGTGGTTATAGTAAGTTTTTGTGTATTTTTACAGTTTGTGGTTACTATTTCTGTGAAGGTGCAACCAGCCAGGACTAGGACTGGTTATCAGGTTATTTTTTTGTTGCGCTTTCTTGGTTATTGAGGTGGTGTCAACTTGAATATGCTAAATTTTTATACGCTGCTAAAGATCAGTAACGCAGTTGTGTTAAATGCTTCAATGATGTTTTTTTAATAACTCGTCAGAATTCAGAATTCGACAGTATTTTAATATTTAGCCGTAGTTGCTATACCAATCATTTACAGTAATATTTGGCTATAGTTGTGGCGTAGACAGATTGGATAAGCCAGTTTTCCGTATCTGTTTGCATGCACTTCTCTGAAATGATCGGATCGATTCAGATTGCTAAACGCAGAAGCCGAGGGAATCGTGCATGGATAATTTCTTGTATGTACTGTATCTGTAATGTACTGATTCTGATTGACGTTTCTTTGACAGAGGAAGTCGGAAGCGTTACCACCGCTCTGCTCCATGAAACACCAAATCATGTGCATTTGGTATCTGCGAAACCGGCCGAAAGCGTCCCAGTAACCAGCACAGAGTGACCTGACGGGAACAAACGCTGCAGACGATTCAAAAGTTTTGGGGTACACTTTTCATTCCGTGTTTTATCTTTTATGGCGGTCAAGTGTCAGAAGTTCTTCCAGAGCGGTTGCTAATGATTTATGGCTTCGGTTGTATAAAATATGTTGTTCGCAGTTTTTTCTCGACTTTTTGATTCTGAATTCATAACTTGACAATAATTTCGATGGCTTCATGTCTGTTTTCTTGTACAAACCAGAAACTATTATGGCTTTAAATAGATCAGTTTGGTCACCGGAAGGAAGTCCGATAGATTCTTTTAATAAAAGAATAAAACAACAAAAATACGTGCGCAGCTGTCAAAAAACACAAAACAACGTGCAAAACCCATCCCCATCCGTGATGTGATAAAAAATTAAAATACAAAAAAGCCGAATTTGGTCAAAAACGTTTCCGTAAGACTTTACATACACGAATACATAAAAAACACTTTCTGCGCATAAAGATAAAACACTTCGATGTGACGTTGCAATCCACAGAGTAATTAAAAACTTGAGGTTCTAAAATTCTATACACAAAACACACACATGAACATGAACGCGCGAAAGACGTAGAACAGGATAGGATTGTCCATCCAAGCAGGTAGTACTCATTCGTACCCACGAATGCTTGTTGGGCCGGGCTGGGCTAGTCGGTTTGGTCCAGAGCTTCACTTGCGGTTCAAACCATCGGCATTCATTAGCTGCAGGATCTGCAACAGACGGGTCGGGATTTTGGCGCGCTCCGAGAATTCATCGGAACTCAACGCCGCCATCAAGGGATCAATGTGCTTTTTGGCGTACGTAAAGAGCTCAAGTAAAGCCGGACGGGTATGGAATTCATGGCGGTGCAACTGCAAAATTAAGTTCTCCAGTTTATTCTCCTTTCATTTTTTTTACCGATTTCATATGCGCGACTACACCTAAAAATCAAGTACGATCCCTTTTATGCAACATAGGTACTAAATTTCTGGAGCAACAACTGCAATAACTTTTTGGAATGCAGTATGTTTGATTTTGCAGTAACTAATACATCAATTACCATACAAGTAAGAAATTTAATTACAAGACATGTACGGTGATGTACATATCTGTTAGTTTCCATAACTATACAGGGTAAATAAAGCGCGTTACCTTTGACTCTTCAGCAAGAAGCTGATTAAACTCCTGCTCAGTGATTTCCGGTACTTGATACTTGATATCATCGTAATAGTTGCGCACTAATTCCTGATAATTGGCGATATCTTTGGCAAACAAAAGTTTACTGGAAGGTGAGTCTTTACTGAGTTTGAGATCCGAGGTCGAGCAGCTTTCCATTAGAGCCTGAGCAATCACAGACAAGCAGGAATCCACGCTGTTGGACTGCAAAAGCCAGAAAACAAATGAGCAAAGTTGTTATCCTATCAGTTGTTCCTGCATCTGAAATTTATTAAAATTTAAAATGTGACCTATGACTACCATAATATGTATTGACTGCAGGGGTACTTCTTGAAAGCCGGCGGCTTATCACATGCTTGCGTAATTCAATTACAAATTTTTCTCGACATCTCTTCAACATCTCGACATAAGCGCAACTATGGTTTTGATCAATCAGCATGAAAAATAGCTAAAGCAACCAATTCACCTTAGGTCAGGCATTTCAGTTCATTAGAGCCGCATAATAAGCAAATAATCATAGGCTATTGTATCGTTGTATCATTCTCTGTTAACATCCGTGACCTGCAATTTGTGCTTCTGCGCATGATATAACCAATGAGTCGTTAAAAGAAAGAAAAATCTGCCCACATCCGCCGCCAAAAAAAACCCCATCAAACGTGATTGGTAGGCGTTGACAAATGTTTTCACAAGCTGCCGATGTGGTAATGAGTGATGAGACAAGTCATTACGCCAGCGTCAACATTACCTTGTGAATGTCGAAGATGAAATTGGGATTCTTCAGTAGATTCACCCAAAATCGCAACGGCACACTGTTACTCTTCCACGTATGCACCACTTCCGGATCGCTGATCTCATGGTGCAGCGCCTGGTCATCCAGGAAGTCGAACAGGTGTTTAATGGCCGCCGGGAATGCATAGCCGCGTGTATTGGTACTGAGTATACATTCGAACATCTCGTCGATGAATTTCTTCAGGGTGGTCTTGGTGGTCAAGAGGCGTGTGAGATAAATCTCCGTCATCATTTTGCTGCCGCGCTTCGTGGTCCCGTCCCGACTCGGAGGATCGGGAGTGTCGTGTGGCCGCACCAGATGCCACACTTTGACTCCGTGTTCGGCGTCGGTGTGTACGAAAGGCGACACGCCACGACTGAGGGCCGGACTAGATTTATGGGACTGTAACGACTTATCCGACCTGCAATGCACACAAAAATATGATCAAAACACTTCGATGACCACAAAGCGAGCCGCAAAGTTATGGGTCAAGCCACTCCGATAAAACAGATATATATTTTCATGCGCAGTTATGTAAATAGGTAAGTAACCACATCCACTTCACCACGAAACATTTTTTTAAAAAAATTTGGTCTAAACCGTTTCCGGCTCAAATCCCAACCCCATATCAATTTAAAAACTTACTAACTTTATAAATTTCTTTTCAATTAATAATTTCATTACGGTAATTTTATGTTTTAAAAAGACTATCTTTTAGAAAAATTATTTTTGAAAAGGAATTTCTTAGAGGTAACTTTACGTTTATTATCGACAAAAATTTTCAGGCTCAAAGCAGGGAAAGCTTCTTGACTCCTTGTGGATTCGGCAGTGCTCGTAAACTGATTACGTGGAGAAGAGGCATAATCAGCTACCATCATTCCTGCCCACTTGTCATGCACATCTCCGTCAGAGAAAAAACCCCCTCCTCTCATCACGAAGTAGCCGCAATGAGAGCACACCAACACAATTACTCCTTATATACATCAAATTTGCATAATTTGACAAATCCCCCCCACTAGAGAGCGCGTCTCAAGACCCTCCATCAATTCGACCACTCTGACAACACATGGCGTTAGTCTTCAAGCGGTAATCGGCTTGCCAGCAATAAGTCACTCAATTCTTCGTGTGTATAAAACCTTGACATACTTATCGGACATGATTGTCAAATTATAGAAATTTGTGTGCTTTGGCACCAGCACAAAGGCAGCTCCATCATTAACATGGTAATGCTGCAGGGTGTTCAGTCGCTTCCACATGGTGCCGGCACTGCCCGTTTCCGTCTGCGAGGTAGTGTCTTCATCCTGCAGTGGACAGCGGCCCGCCTGCCCCGTTCGCCACTCCAGATCCAGTGCTTCCGGTCGGGGACGCCGAGAAAAGGGCGTGTTGCGGTAAATCACGTCCAGGGCCTTTTCCTTCACCTGGGTGATGGAATCACAGTCCAGTACTTTTACTTGATAATCCTGACTGCTGTGCTCCGAATCCACACACGAAACATAAATATGCTGCAAATAAAATCAACAGAAATGTCATCTGGTAAACCAATAAACCAACCAAGTCATAACAACCAACCCATTACTGATTTATGTACTCGATGACTGCATTCAATATTCTTACACACCCAATCTTCGCAGAAACATAACTCACTGCTTTTTTCTTAATTATTCATTGCTGAATTTCCTGCCACCCGAAAATCTATTGAATAAAAGATTTATTATGGAACAGAGATGAGCCCAGCGCCGCAAGCAAAAGGTTCTTCTTTTTCAATGGAATTTTTTATCCAAGAGAGTAGAGACATAAGCTGCACTTCTATCTAATTACGTTCTCGTATGGATGATATAACAAAAGCCTGATTATGCGCACTCACAAGCGCTATCACAACTCGCGAGCTCAGCGGACCGCTAATTTGTTAAGATCAGTGTGAACTTTGTGCAATCGAAGTGAGTCTAACAAGTGGAGGTGGCTGAACTCTTGGGTCACTTACCATTTTTTTGTGGTCAATTTTCTGACGGATTAGCTTTTCTTCGCTTAGCGAGTACTTGGCCTCACTTGTAATGCTGTCGACTGGGCCCTTTTCAATTTGCATTTGCACGGCACGATACAATAAATATAGCGGCCGTCCGGCAACATCCTGCAACGAAGGAAAAATCAGTGAAAAAACACGTTGGCAGACGTTCGAAATATAGAGTGATATTCAACAAGTCAAACATACGTTGACCGCCATGTCAAACTGTTGCCGTTAAACCATCAAGTCATTCAACTCAAGTGTTTTTGTTGCGCGTCTGCACTTTTCCTTAAGCCAGCCGCGCCAACAAAAACTGATTAAGCTCAACAAAAAACATCGGTTAAATAATCAAAAATGCACACTTATAAACGGCTAATGTTTATCTTTCAAACGTGTTCATCACACATCTGCATACTGCAGACACATTTACAACTAACAAGCACGTTAAAAAGCGAAAGTGCTCCCGCAAATTGATTTGCATACCAATGAAATTAGACCTGCCAATCATACAGTAAATAGTACTAAATACATACCCGCAGGAAACCGTATAATAAAAAGGTCAGCCATGCTGAGAGCATTTTTTCCGCCACCGACTCGTTGCGCCGCATTAACAGCTTGAGATTCGGATTGCTCTTGCCATCGACACATTTTTCAATTAAGTCACTCAACAGGGTCTTCAAGATGTCCGTACAATAAACCATGTTACTCTGCAGAACGGCCATTAACAGCGACGCCACATTGACACGGTCGCGCATTCCAAAATATCTGCAAGAAAACAAAATCAGAAAAGTGAACCAGTGCTTCTAAGAACCACTTCAGACAGGCACACAACACCAATAACTGTACCGATTAGACTCCAGTGTGCGGATGAACGTCAGCAGAAACGTCTTATTGTGCAGCAACTCCCCGAACAGTTTCAGTCCACTATCGATATTCTGTTTCCGTGCCGGATCCACCACCATCTCACCGGTCATCAGGGGATGGGTATCCGAATTCGGAAATAACACCTTGGCCACGTACCAGCGATAGTCGCGGAACGGAATGCCCCCGGTGGACAAGTCTCCGGTCCAATCAGTAATATCGGTCTGCAGCTCGGCGAAGGCCTCTTTGCACTCACTGGCCACCTGCAACTCCAGCGCATCAATCTGATCCTGCATTGTCTTCAAAACCCGCGAGCTCTCATTGGTCTTCTTCCGGTACAGGATAATAAAAATAATGACAATCAATATCAGGACCCCGCATCCCACAGAAATTCCAATGATTACTTCCGTTGTAAATAGGGACGCACCCGCCAGCGGCTCGTATGACAGTGTCCCAATTGTGAAGTTCTGTCGATCGGTAATGATGACACGCACTTCCGGCAGCGCTCCGATACGCGCTTGTCCATCTAAGCCGCGCGCCGCCGGCTCGGTATCGGGCGGTCGACAAGTCAGCTGGCGCTGCGTTAAGGAGGTCACATTGCACAGCTCCATGCCAATCTCCACACGGTAATCCTCCAGCCGATACGACTGATCCAGATTCTCTCCATCGATAAACAAATACTCGCTCTTATGGTATTTAATCCCGTTGGGGTCGGAGAAGTTGGCCACCACCGGACTGGGATACAACTTAAACTTGGGAAACTGCTGGCCCAGTTTGGAGATGTTCCGCACCGACTGAACGCCGTCCAAATAGAAACTGTAATCCAGCTCCAGAGGCCGTTCCACGGAGCGCTGCCGTCGAGACCGGGAACCGAGATCGGGTATGGCTGGACTGCGGCATTCCATCCGAATGTCCGATGATGCCGTGCACATGCCTTCGTAATCCCTGCCATTATAATGGACAACAATCCGCGGTTGGGCAATCACATTGAGATTACTTCCTTCCACAAAGATATAGCTTCCCCCGGAAGCAGTGCCTCTTGGACCCAAATTAAGTTGTCCGGATCCAAAGGAGTTGACTCGTGTTACTTCCGGGTCAGTCACATACTCGAACAACTGCTCCTCCAACTGCCGTCGACCCCGATCCAGCATCACTTCAATTAAACCTCCACTAATCGATGCGGCACCCGATGTGACACATGTCAGTGTCGTTGCATTCCGCCGCTGCACATCGCAAACGTTTTTCCCCACCGTCACAACCACGCGGCTGCCGGCATTCAGATAACGCCCCTGAATTGTTAACTGTGTACCACCGGACTTGGGCCCCAGTTTGGGGGAAAAGCTGGCCAACTTCGGATCGACGTAACTGAACTTGGAATCGGATAGAGCCGTAAACTGTCGGGCAATAGCCACTTCCACATCCCCGCTTAAAATCTGGTCGCCTTGAAGCTGCTCCACAGCATCCGTCTGGCAGACGATCTTGGATGTACGTTCATAACGGTCAGGAATGGGGCTGCAACGTCGGCCAGCTACTTGCACACCGCTGGCAATGTCACCGAACGTCTTCCCGAGATTAATGCCTTCAATAGTGACCAACGTGCCGCCTTCCCATGGGCCCAGTGACGGATAAAATTGTTGGATTTCCGGATTAGGACAAGTGGAGTTCTTGTTTAACCACACTCCGGGGCACTGATTTGTTACCTACAAAAATAAAACGGTCAAATTACTAGTTAGGTCGTAATTTACATTCATATGAAATCGAATTTTCCATGAATACTAAAAAAATTTGTGATCATCTCACATCACGGGTTAAAATTAGTACATCGAACGGTTAAATGTCATACGTCCATTTCTTATGTAGCTTTTACAAAGAAAACAGCAAAAGAACGATTACGTAAATCAGTGTTTTCTGAACCGCCGATGGTCCTTTTACCTGGCAGCTCTTCTCGCACCAGCCGCATTCGAACTCGCTCGGCAAATCCAGACAGAACCCACAGTTTGATGACATAATCGCGCACTTGTACATGAGGACATGTAGATTTTTCGGATTATCCAGGGGTTTTCTGTCTGCCCATGTAATATCTAACTGCGCGGTGGCATTCGGCGCCGTCGCCATGTAAGCGAACTGCAACGGCGAACACGACACCGTATCGCCCACATAATTGGCTTCCGTTCGTTCCACTCGACCGTCAATATTGAACACACAGGTGAATCGTGTCTGGAACGGTTGTATATTCTCGACTTTAACCATGATTTTCCTCAGCATATCAGACGGCACCAGCATGTACTGATCCTTGACGAACCCTTCAGCCGGGCCAATGCGTGGACAGAAATCCGGTCCCGAGCGTGAACTGTACCCGCTGCGATTCTGCCCGTTGACCAGGTAATCACTGCGACAGTTCTCGCCGGCATTATGAGTGCAGCGATGATTCTGAACACACCAGTCACAGGGATAAGGGCTGGAAACGCAGCTCGTGCAGTCGTCCAAGGAAGCGCAGTCATAAAAGGTCACATTGTCGGCGCCGAACTCGGTCCCAGCACCTTGCAACCGGATGGCAACACGGACCGACACGGCGTTCTCACCGTCCGGGATTTCCGGTAGCAAATCCACCCGCGGTGTTAGGCAGGAAACACCATCTTGGCTTCGAGTGGCGTTTGTTTCCAAACTGCGACCTTGTGCCGAAAATACGCATACAAGCGGTCCATCAGCAGATGGGAGATTTTCTATCGCAAGGGCCAACTAGAACAATATCATTTGAAATTAGAGAAAATAAAAATATTAATCAGCATGTACAGTAAATATCTTATATCTTGCAATTTCTTGAAGTATATTTATATACAGTATTATAATTACTTTATTATGATGTGCACATGTGTTCCTACTGTGATTCGATGTCAAGCAAAAAAATAATGTTCTTTGACGAAATTATTCTCGTTACTCCGGGAAACATTTCGGTAAGTACTGTATACAGAAAGTAGTTAATGTAAATATTTTATCCATTCATAAATATTACCTGAAAATTTAAAGTATGCCTTATATTATGGAGTACGTAGTTTAAGCTTATCTCACAGTTGAAATGCCATTGCATGACTACTGCAGGACACGCTTAAGAAAAAATGCTTTATTGCTGCCAAGTCAGCTATAAATCTTGATACAAAAAATGCTAATTTGTTCGACTGCCGACATTGTTAAAGGTTCACTTAGAATGCAGGCACTTAATTATATTTCCTGTTCGCTGGTATGTAAAAGCGTTAACAAGATTCGAAATAAAATGTCTAACTGTCGCATGTGTTTATTGAAGAAACGTGTGACGACAAAAAACATAATATTCCGCAAAGCCTAATCCATCGACGCCGACGCGAAAACTTTCTCAGTGAATATTTTCTATTATGACAGCGTATTTTGTGTAATGTCCTTGTCGGTATGGGCGGCTACGCTTGGATGAAGACCAAACAACAGCAGCCAAAATATTCAAACAATGAGATTACGGCCTCTAACCATGAAGACCGCGATTATGAACACGTTTGAGTGGTAACATCCGCATATTTAGCCAGTGTATTGATTAAATGCTTTTTCAAATGTAACCTGTTACCGTTCAATAAAAACGCAAACACATTCATAACCACCTTGTAATCACATCCATTTAATGCGCGCATTTTCTTATACGTACCGTGCGTGATGTTGTGCGCTGTATCTGGCTTGGCGTAACGGAGACGATCCGGGTGCACTTTTGGCTCTTGAACGGTAACCAGTACAGATAGGTGTTATCATTCTTCGCTGCATTAGCACTACACTGGCTCCGCAAACTGCACCTATAAAGACAGATAACACATACTGAAAGGTACCCAATTAACTACAACGTGCCGTAACTACCAAGCGGTTTTCTGTCTTCAATCACATCAAAACGATAAAAAAACGCTATAATTATCTGTGTAGGCGTGGTGCTGCTTTTTGACGGCTGATCGCTGCCGGCTGCAAATGCCTGATCTGACATGGTCAGTGCTATAAATCTGTTAACTGTTTTTTATCAAGAAATTGCATTTCACAATAATTTTGATTCGTGTTTGATGGTCCAGACCACACAGAAGTTAAAAACTACTGTTGATATTCATAGTGGTTTAAATGAATATGATGACGCAGGATACCACCATTCAGCGTACTCAATAACGCTGCATATGCATTTCTTTGCGTCTGCATTAAAGCTTTTTCACAAACGAACATTTCAGTTTCTCCCAAGAAAAATTCTTTCTTTCGATAGCGCTGAGACAGAAACCACTTCTACTACCAAAAGATTCCAACGCTAATTGATCAGCTTAACGTTATTTGCACGAAGCTTAGCGCGACAAAAGGATATTCAAGGCCAACCATTCATAACAAAGATGTATTTATTCGTCAGTACTGCCACGGCATATAATCCATGCACATATCTTGCAACGTGCATCTGCAGCAGTGCCGATACATTATTTTCAAGAAAAGGTTAAAAAATTGCATGCAAAATAAAACCTAAATTCCGGAAAATACAGATATACAGAAAGTCATTAATTGTTGTCTAAACAGCAATAAGAAGCATAAATTTATTTCTAATAAACCTTATAGACTTATAAACCTATATCCACTTAAAACCGTCAACGTAACAGCGCTGCCCATAGACAAGCTGCTTGTCTTCGAGCTTTCGTTTGCACAGCGCCGATGCCGATCTGCAAACTGTAATCATACCGGCACTAATATAAAGAGACTGCCCTGAACAGCTTCCATGAGAAAATGTCCATTTACGCAAACTGCAAACCGGTCCAGTGCTCTGACTGTCAATTGGTTATGCTCACTATCCACCACGACAACTTAATTAAACACGATTTACTTTGCTCCTGCAACAGGACGCCATTATCAGTCGTATTTTCCTCTAGAACACCCGACGAAAACAATGACCACTCAACCGTTACAAGTCACCGCCACTGGCTAAGAAAAATTTGCCAAAATCAGTGTTATTAAGAGCATGCATCCAGTCATTACTGCTCAAGGTTAAATATTCGAGCAAAAACGTCTATAATCAACTTTAACAGCGATGATCAGCGTGTCACAACGCCGCATTCGGTCGCCTTGCTGTGGTTTGAAACTTAAGAAAACAAATATAAAAACAGCAGATTGATACTTGTAATCTAAGCAAATTTCATAAACTACACATCTGTATCGCGTGCGTATATTTTAAAAATATACAAAATCGATGCATAATAAACCAAATAATTATTTAATTTTGCGTATTAAACCGTGAAACAATGCATAAATTCTGCGTTTATGCACTATTTAACAGGTCAATAAAAGAAACCTTCCTTAGGCTAACCATTTTCCGCAAAATTCAATATCTGTGGTGTAATCAAAAAGCTTCTGCTTATTTTACCACAACCTTGTTCAATGTAGCAAGAAAATATTTTATTTTACTAAGCCGCACATTCTACATAGTGATACGATTTAGACTGCTCTCACTTTCCGTAAGATACGCTAATCACGCGGAATAATAATCCTATTTTGAGCATTTCGCTCACAGGAATTCCACCCCTTTCGCCAGTGGAATTTAATTATCTGACCAATGAGCCTAATCACATGTTCTAACTTCATCCGTTTTCTGCCGCAGATTTTGGGGATAGCGCACAAATCATGAGTGATCTTTACAGCCTCTTCCGGCTGCCGTTCGACCCTGTATTTCCCGGAGTAACGCCCTTTTGTGGCGCATGATAGCTCCCCTTTGCCAGTCGTATTATCTAGATGGAAGTCTGCTCCTTTTCCCATGCGTCACCGCAGCACACGAACAACAAATCAACACTAATTAGACAACCATGAACGAGATGTGCATTCTGCACTCTGAGTGAAAATTCCCCGCAAATTCTCCAAAAGCTCCCAATGTTTCAGATTGATGGCACTTTAATGAGATGCGACCTTGTCCGCAGCGGAATCGGACGGATCGATCTTTCTTACTATGACCACAAATTAATTCCACTAACGATCTCCGATGGGACGGACAATTTTCTTCTAGCCGAATTGTTAACTTTTGCGACAGAACGATTTTCCGTGTCCACTACCACCGCACAGTCTCGTGCTAGTTGCTGCACCAAGTAATCGAAAAATTCTTGTGCATCCTTATCGCGATGTCCAGCAATGTGGCACAGCGCGGTCATTTATGAGCATATTGGCGCGACGGCAATGTTTAACACATGTAACCTGATTCTGCTACAGTCAGGGCCTTCCCATGGTGTTTGATCAACACGCTCTGAGAGAGATACAAGTGCCCAGCGCTGGCTAGCCTTTATACACCCGCAATGGCCAAATGGCTGTCTGATTAATTATTAAAACCACAACACACCGGACAATACCAAAATAAAACACTCCTAGACGCAAAATCGATTCCTCAAGTCAAATCTATGTGTCCACTTCTGTCATTAATTATGGATGTGCTCTAAATTGCATTTTAGCTTACTAATGAATTTGCAACCATGTTCAAACGCTCTGTGCTCAGTGTTGACTTGAATAAAAAATTTATTAAATATTACCACGAAACTTACTACTTAGGAAAATTGGATTAATTCAGTCAATCAGACCACATAAAAAAGAACGCAAGTGCAGTTTTCACCATATGAAGAAAAACGAAAACTTTTTTTCCTAAAAGAAATTGCGGGCGTTAAACCTCTCAAGAGAATTTAGATCTGAGAACAGAAATGTTAACCTACATTGATTATCCTCAAAGCAAATCATAAACTTTTACGACCATTATATAAAAACATCTATTATTCTCAATCATCGTAAAACGGGTTCCGATCTATATTCTGTTGGACTGGTTCCTTTGCGGACGAGTGTTGATAAAATTTTAATGACCCCGCCAAAGAAGCCCACATTTTTTTCTTTCATTCAGGAAACCGCTTGCCTTTTAAGGACTGAATACGCAACAATTGCTCTCTCGAATAAAAACTTACTTGTTCTCCAGTGAGCACCAACCACAATACGGGTCATAGTGCCCCAAACAATCTCCACAGCTGGTGTAAACAGAGCAGTCTTGTACGCGAATTTTGCTGATCTAAACATGCCACAGAAAATCGTAACGTGAGAAGTAAAATAACTCGTTCAGAATGTCAACCATAAAAAAAACAAACCGAAAGACCGACCTGTGAGGCTGTCGCGGCGTAGATGAATTCTTTCGTCGGTGAGATGTGCATATCCGGCAAAATAGGAGCCGATGACAGAGGAATTTCTTCATATTCGCGGGCGGTTTGCTTGGAGTCAATAAGAACCTGCAAACAGTCATATCATACAGTGTTTGCAAAGATAAACCCAACGGGCATATCCGCTCAATCTCAGTGTCCGCAAATGCGACTTGTAAACAATTAATAATCATATTTTTATTCGTCTTTTGACAAATTATCTGTGCAATCTAATTTGGTTTTTATTAGCGGCACAATCCAGTGAACACAAATCGCTTGACACGTGTGACGAGCCGTGCTATAATCGCCATACAGTATTACAGCGATTATTAAAGCCCCTTTGTTTACAGTCCACCTCCCGGCAGAAATTGAAGGGAAATCCTGTTTGAAGCGTCTGTGTGCCAACATATGTTGACTTAATTCTTCAGAGCTGCGAATCAAGATGGACTCGCCACACATCAAAGATTTTCATGAAACTTGCTGCATGCAACTCATATGTATGCCCACAAAGTCCGGCAATTCAATCTTGAGAGGTCAGCAAGTGCGGCTACCGGACTTTCATCAACATCATTACTTCCACTTTGTTGCTTTTGAATTAGTCCAGCTAGCTGGCCGTAGTCCAATATAAATACACATTATCGATTCTATTCCGTACAACGGCATCTAAGCGGAAACACAATTGCGTTCTTGGTATACATGGCACTTTTTGAAAAGTCCTGGATAAACTGATACCTAATAAATGGCTTTACTGTTAGCACTGGAGTGCTTAAAAATATAACGAAAATGATTGCATAAAACATCAAAACGATGTATTGTACAATAAGTTAATAACTATAATTAAAACGATTCAAAATGCGTATTACAAAACCTCTGTTTACTGCGGAACAATAAAATCATAGAGATCAGAATTACATCCCTATCGAGTTACGAGAATGCCATTCGTAATGGCCGCTGGCCAAGCACCAAGGATAACAGAAATTTACCATTTTAGTTCAAATTTTCCGAATTTTAGCACTAATCCTGGCTAATAATTTTATTTTTGCACATTCAGATTTACAACATGTAAAAGCTAGCTGATGCTGACAACGATACCATGTAAGTACATTATACACCACGGACTGAATGCTTGCACTGACCCACTGCCTATTTTCCTTTCTACAGTAGGTCATAACCACGCTACTTCCGGTTTGCCGCTTGTCATAACTGCAGCCCGCCATTATCCATTATTTATTGAGAAATATTCTCCTACCCAGATAAACTTTCATCCCTTTTGTACCGCATACAGCATGCATCATAAATTCGATTAATGCTGTCTGGCCGGAAGGTAATTTGCCTCACATGTGACTGCATTAGTTGCTCATATAATTACACAATCTTTACCACTTCGTGTGTGCTCCTTATGTCAAATGAATGAACACACAAGCTCGTCGTTTGAGTTGTATGTTTGTTTGGCAAATAAATTTTCCTTCTAGTTGATCGGGTAAACCTCACCGTTGAGCTTTAAATTAACCATTAACCTAATAGTCCAAATTCGAAATTCACGTGCTAAACCAAATGATACCCCAAAATCAATAAAGGTTTACTTTTTGTAGGACGACGGAAGGGGAAAACTTCATTTAAATGTGGCTTCCTGTCATAATAGTCAAAATTAAAGTTTTGACAGGACGATTGCACTGTTATGTCTAACTTGTCAACTACAACAGGGCGTTTTTGTGTGTCTAGGGTGACAATTGTTCAGGGTTTGTTATAGTTTTGGCCGATCTTATTATTTGTCACGATAAATCAGGCAATATATATGCTGACATGCCAAACTGACAGCCTCACTCTTGCGGAAGCTGACAAGGGAAAGGAAACTCACCAAATCAGAATCTTTGAACAAAAATTCGAGCGCTAACTAGGGGCCGTCCCAAATATTCCTCATTCTGAACTTGAGCGGGATAAAACCTCTCACTTAAATCCATCAGGATTACTCTTATGCAAGAAATTCTTATCTAAAATGCAGCCTGTATCTTCGAAAGACATAGCTCATGTTCTTTTCGTTTGCGTGAATTGCGTTTCGTTTGCGTTTGCGTTCCATCAAATTCAGGCTCACAGCAAATTGTCCGCCCCACAATTCAACTATATATTATTATGTTTAAGAACATGAACTTTCTTCGACCAGTTCGGTTCTATGGCAATCAGGGAAGTTTTGAAAAAGTAAATTACAAACGAGTTAATTTTGACAAATTTTTACATCCCCCATTTTCACAAATTATTGCTTGAATGTAGTAATAAGGCTTGCGATTAGTACTTCAACAGGATATAAATATAGATATACATCCTCAATATCCCTTTCCAACACGAACCGCAGAAACAGGTTTATGGGTTATCGGCCTTTTCAGCACATTAGTTTATCGATTTCCTTGTGATGGCAGCATAAAGTGCACATGATCATATATTATCCGTTGCACCGCCAACGAGGAAAAGAGACATGGTCAAGCCGGCTGCTATTTGCCCCACAATTTCCGTCTTCCTAACCGTTTTCAAAACTGTACTTACTTTCTTCAAAACGCCTTTTTCCGTTCCCAAAAAGAGCACAGTGTAGGCATGTGTAACTGATGTGGCGACAGCCGTAATACGGACGTCGGAATATGTCAAGATGGGAGTCGCTGTTATGGGAATGGATCCGTTGAGGGGATAGTTGAAGTCAGAGCCACAAAAGTTATCACCAACTTCTATTAACTGTAATCAGACAATTTTGTTAGGACAGAATAGCCCATTGCGTCGCGCTCAACAATTTGAAATGTAATAGCTAGTTTATTTCCCAAGAGGACTTGCCACATTGACCCCGCCGATCGGCAGGGCGACATAAAAAACTAACCGGGAATTAATAATCCCCGGCGTACCGCCTGAGGTAACGGCTCCGGGTTAGACCAAACCCGTAATTCACCACAACACAATGGAGTTTCCAACACTGCCACTTATAAACAGCAGCCAGAAGTAAAATGGCAGCTGATAATAAAATTATGTGTTACTAAATATTAACAAAAATAGAATCAATAATTACATGACTATTGTTTCTGCGCTTACAATAAGAATTTTTTAGACAGAAACGCAAACAATTTACGATTGCCACTTTTCACTCTCGTTTTTTTGACGTGTGAGCTTCGATTCCAAAACCCTAAGTGGCCATTTTCCAATCTGATTCTTTGGCTTTAAAATGCGGAAGTATTAAATCGTAAAATAAACTAGAGTAGGATATATAATGATATTAATAATAATGATTAGTTGCGTTTTCTTTGCATGCAGAAACACTCGCACGCAACCTGAGCCTCAGGCACCCCGCTCTATAGGACGTGAACGGTGATCCCGCACAACCGCGGAAATCTCTCAGGACGTTAATTACTACGAGCGGGGTCATGTCAACTGATATTACTTACTAAAAGAGGGACTTCAACAACACCAAGCCACCGAGCACTGCCCAGCGGTCAGACGCTTGATTTCCCCGCAACTAATTCCGCCAGCTCATTCTGAACAACTCCATGACAATCCAGTCAACAGAGAAGCTATTTTCTTGACCACTAAGCCCTACCATAAGCTTATCTAGTGCCAGCAGATAGTAATTGTGGCTTCATCTTTCGAGAGCCACTATACGGACAACTTGAATATGCTCCGCTATTGGCGCACATTATGCATCCAGTTCTCAAGTGCGAGATAGTTCCGAATAAATCAAATCTCTGGTCACGCCACCATCGTTACGAATGTCAGGATAATACAAAGACATCTGAGCATAAATACTCCACAGCAGGTCTGCGCGTGTTCTGTATCCTACAGTCATTCTGGCATGTTTGTCACAGACAAATTTCCGTTCGAACATCAAATTTTTGTTTAAAAATAAAATTAGTTTTGCTTTCAAGCGAATTAGTTTTGCTTTCAAGCGAATTTTAAGTGCGAAGGGGGTTTCAGGACGAAATTAGATGCTACCATAATCCTCAAAAGATCTTCCCGCAATTTCCGACCATAATACTTTGTATTATACAAAATCGGTTTTCAGGCAGACATTAAATCTATCAATATAAAATTAATTGTGGTCAGTTATTTGTGATATAGGATACAATACAGCCGATGTGCACATAAAGCAATGGCAGCCTATCAACAAAAGAGATTGACCGAATTTCCCCCGCGAAGTATCTCGGCAGGGATTATGGTAGCCACTGGAGATTTGCCAATACAAGCATTCTTACATGATACCTTCCCAGTTGTGGATTATGCTGTTCATATGATATATCCATTTTATCTAAAGAAGGTCGGTGGCTTATTTTGTACCATAAACCAATTCATACGAAAAACCCGTTTCTCAACAAGTTCGTTTCCTTACAGCAGTTCAAGCGGAAACAAGTATGCCACAAGCACTCAGTGCAGTGCGTTAAGAACAATGATATTTAACAAGCACGTTAATCGTGCGGCAAGTGTTAGAAAGAAAATGTCAAAAATCACCAGCAAAAAAGAAAAATCGCCTGTCATGTTATGGGAAATGGATGTAAATCGAATCGTTAAAAACCTATATTGGTACTGAAATGGAAAATCCATTTTCCAGATTATAAAAATATCCTGCTCAGCACCGACAACCCAAATAGACGCTCAGCTAATGCTAGAGCATCTTTTTAATTTAACTACCAACTGCAGTGTCCGAAAATAAATAACTACTAGTATCTTTCAGATGATTTCAAATTATCGACACAAAAAATGAACATACATCCCAATATCGCATTCTAAAATCGACCAGCATTATCCCGCTCTGCTGAAGGACCGAGACAGGCTACGCACAATGATAACAATTCACGAAAAGCGCCACTGGATTTTGAAAAATTACTCGTAGTCGTATCGTTTCCAATTATGCGTTCGTTTTCCCCCACGCAAAAACGAAATATTTACATTTCCAATAAAGAACTATGCCCTACAAACCAAGCAGCATTTTTGAAATTCACACTGCATTATATTCATGGTTACCCTAATTTCTCGGAGAGATTCCTTTTCATCACGTAAAAAGTCCTGGTGGTAAGGAATATGTACGTCCCTTTTAATGTAAATGTTTCTTCGATATAAGGACATGACAGAAATTCACAACCATAACCTCCTGATATTGGCCATATTAATTTTCTACATTTCGGCATGTACTGGTAATAAGCAATTTAAACCGTTTACGTATATGACAGAGTCACTGATGGTATGGTGAGCGTTCATAAACCTCGTTGTGCGTTAATCACTGTGCTGAAAGAGCCTTCATTGTACTGTATTTATATAAGTTCTATCAAGCGTGAATTCTTACTGTTGAATTTAGCCTAAATTTAATGGTACGTGCCCAGATCAAAGTTTTGCGGCTAATTTGCGAGGCGCTCTTGTCTTATCTGTATTCGTCAAGAGATTTTGACCTGCCTAAAGCAATTGTTGTTCTATATTTCTCAAGCTCCCTTTTGGAGAGGATAACTCGTTTTCGGGAAAAGAAAGCGGGATAAAATAGCTTTGCCTCCCAAAGTCGGTCCATTTTCAGGGAAGAGAGCTGCAGCAATTTGTAGCGCTGGCTAGATAATGAGGTTTTCTTAAGAGCTGCACTTTTGCACTTATTGATTTGGTCCGTTCGCGCAAGCCACCACACAAACCACCACCATCCCATAAAAGCGCAGCTGAGATTTTGACCACGTATTACCCATATACTATGGCCACTACTAGCTTGTTTCAACACAGCCAAATCTGAAGTCAAACTCTTGGGAAATTGACACAGAGCAGCCCAGCAGGAAGAAAAAAGTCATAGCTTACCGATTTTAAGCACTGCTTAGTTTGCCGGATGAAACTCAATCCGGCCATCCCGTTTCCAATAAAACACTGCCGGATATTATCAGTAAACTGCTGTTGAATTTGTGCCAGTGAATACATACACACAGCCGAATGGGAGTCTGGTCGATTTTGATTAGGCTCGCCTGCCTGGTCCGCGAAGGCCACAACAAGAATATCATCCGTTACTTTTATTCCCAAATTTGCTGCCAGTTCTGTTCCCGGGCTGCCCAGGGAAGCGGCCTGCGCTAAATCGTATGTTCTATCAGAATTGGCGCAGACCAGAGGCACCTCGGTGTACGAGTAATAATTTTCATCGTCCTGACATATTCGAATCAGTTTGGTCCGCACTGGTTCATATAAATCCGTCGAGCGTGGTTGCGTTGTTATGAAATAACTGAATCTTCCAGAAGCAAATCCATGAACATAGTTGATCCTGTAATTCTGCCGTGTTTTCGAGTCGATCATCACATATGTACCGGTACTTTTCATAGGGTCATTGAAGACCAGTTGGAAAAGGTTGCGAGGATCTAAACTGCGGCTGCTTACGGCGAACACATTGTCTTCCGATCCAGCATAAACTGATCTCCCGAGGTATAAAACTTTGCTGGTGCCGCCGGCAATGGCACTCGGTGGCCCAGGTGCGACGAACGCCACTACGGACAGTTGGGGGTCCATCGGTACAACGGCCTCCTCTACATTGTCGCTTTCCAACAGCCCCGTAATGTTCTTCATATCGCGCATAACGCATTTTCCGTGATTAGCTGTTCCGCATACAATCAAACGTTCGCGATCGTAGTACGGAAGTAAAACACGGTTTTCATTCTGATTAAGGATTCTGGGATAACTGGAGCAATCCCCGTTTACTGGACATGATGGACTTTCGTTCTAAAACGCAAACGCAAATTAATTTTATAAGACTCGATTTCATAAAATGATTCGGACACCACAATTCAGCGGGAGCAATAATTTTATCAACAATCTCTCAGGCATATGTTTAGTGTTTACAACATACCAAATTTGTTTGATTATGCAGTGCAGGTATGCAAGCAAATTTGTATCATAAATCTTTACTAAATGTACTGGTGTTCTACATTTACAATGCAAAAAATTAATATGTGCTCTGGGTGCGGAGAAAAATCGTAACGGTTAATGACAAATTGCAACACCCTTCCTGGTGCGTCAACATCAGCAGATTCAGCACGTACTAATTGTAAACTGCATATAATTATTGTCCACAGCGCAGGCTGTTGTGATCGCTCGGTATGCTTCAAAATCCTAATCTGATACAAATATTTTCGATTCTGTTATGGATGAATACGACATAAATGTACTCAGAGGTTCTAATTCCCTTTGCAGCATATTTAAATATTTTGCTCAACTTGATGCTCCAGTGGGTTTTTCTCAGTATTCAGATCTGCCATTCTTGTCCTTCCTTTTGACGAATAACATACAGCTCAGCGCGCAGGCATTGTAATTCCCTAGTGTCCTCTGCATGCTGACAATTACACGCTTTTATAACTGGTTTCAAACAGTGATTTATAACAATCTTTAACTACAAATTTTACACCAATGACCCTCGGTCAAAGCGGGCTTGAGATAGTCACGTCGGTTCAATTTTCCACTGTTTGATGTTGCTGTGTTATCGTCTATCGTTGGCGGCTCAATGCGGCACAGACGCGCCGTGAAACACCGAGAGGCAGGCGCGAATATTATCAGATTAGATGGTAAACGATCCCGAAGCCAGCCAATGTGATAAGCATCAACACCGTACATAGCTCAGCTTCTTTAAAATCAACGACATGAAACATTTTGACTCATAAGGCGAAACTAAACTGATCAGAATTCAGAAATGAAGCAAACATGTCGTTCATAATCTGCACGCAGCGCGCGAAGACGCAGTGAGACGCGGTAACGCCGCCGTCGTGCGTTCAAATGCCGCATTCCAACCTTATCAGTCAACCGGATGAATTCGAATCAATTAAACCATAAATTTTTCCCTATTAAGATTAAAATCATAACCATCCCAAGTAACACATCTGCTTGGAAAGTAAACAACAACAACCGAAAAGCTTTTATGCGTAAACTTACAACGGGTCCCGTAACGACAGATTCTTCCAGTGCTAAATCCGGATCCAGCTGAAACAAACGGTTGACAGCACCAACGTACACCTTGCCAGTGGATCGGTGAACGTGCAGATGAGCAAATTTTCCGGTGCTGCCTGCATCGTCGATGGTAAACGTCGATACAATACTGCCAGAACAATGGCAAATAGGGCACAATATGCAAATAATAAACAATAAATTCCACAGAAAAAACGTAGGAGGCAATGTGTGCGTTAATCCAGATTTAATCCGTAATCGCGGTGGAGGACGACCCACTGAACTGACAGACATTTGCATCAAATCATCCAAATGATATGGTCGCAGCATGACAGCAACATCGCACAAACACGATCTTCTTCCCAGCAAGATCCAAAGAAATTATTATGGTTGGAATATTTGGATCTTGAATTGCCTCACTCAAGAGGATATCTGCGGAAACGCCAGACAACGGTTAAAAACAGAGAACACCAAAATGCATTAAAAATTAAAGCGCTCTGTTAATCAGGTCATGGAAATTCGATTTGTCCATTATAGGCTGCGTATTCAATGATAGCTAGAAAAGATCGAAATTTACGGCTCGATAAAGACGCAGTAATTTCAATACTTACAGAGCAACTGCGGCGTATTGCGTAAAATATGATCAAAGAAACTTCATTAACCCTATGATCACATAAAATCATAAACTAAAAACACAATCAAAGAAACATTTTATTAAAAACATAAATGCGTCCATCGGCAATAAACTGCATAGTTTCAAAGAACAACAATTATCTTCTCACAAATATGCGTTATTTGAACAATACAACCACCCCTCTTGCGCCACAAAACTGCATTTTAATAAATATCAAAAAGATCGCACAACCGACAAACAGCCTACAATCCAGCCTACGCGTGTTTCATATCCACCATGTTCGTCTTAGTCATAAATGCACGCGTAAAAATAAAACAACAGAACGGGCAATCTGACAACTGTGATTTGTGAAGCTTAAACTAAAAATAAATGCAGAAAACGCAATATATTACTGTGCAGCACTACAATCAAAATTCGGGAATGCCCAAGAATGCTTCGAAATTAAGCACTTGCAAATTGTTACATGTTCAATTACGCACAAAACAACTGCCTGCTACTATGTATTGAACAATTTGAACTTATCGGAACAAACCGAGATACGTTAAAAAAATCTTCTCAAAAACAGTATGTATACTTCCGGACTTTTCAATTGCTCTGTGCATTTACAATGTTAACGTCCGTGTGGAAAACACAATTAAGAAATGTGTTTATCTGAATTTTGAAGTCTAAAAAATTACAAAACCAGTCAGATCCAATGAAGCAGAAATTTCGGCCTTTCTACAAGTTTGAAATTTCGCATACACTCGTTCTCGTTGGAATGCAGAGAGCCAGAACGAAAAATAAGTACTGTAATGTCACGGTACTCACGTAATGAACAAAATAATGGACAAAATACGAACATTCTATTCTCAAATAAAATATTGTATAATTGTGAAAACACGATCAATGCTAGAGCGAAAAATTTTTCTAAAAATTTTCCACGATAGAACCTGCTGCAAAAATATCAGCCTAACAATTTTAACCTACCTATAATCAATTAAAATGCGGTTTAAACAATCAACAACAAATCAAAGCCGATAAAAAACTATAACACACTGGTCACAACTCACAAGTCTCAAAGATTCAGAAATAACGGTAGCATTCATGTGATGGTGCGCGGCGTATTTGTACCGTATAATAATGATAAGCCACATGTGGAAAGGAAACTGCAGTATCGAAATTCCGCAAGCATATTTTACACTTACCTTAATGGTATTCCAAAAATATAAAATTATTAATCAATATGAGTAATCCAATACAGATGACACGTCCTTATAATTAGCCCAATCCGACAGGCTTGTCTTTCAGAAAGCCATATTCCGTGGATTTGATAAGAATGAAGATCTTCAATTAAAGCTCAAAGGAACGCACAGCAAATTACGGCGCCTTTACTTCTGTTAAGAACCCATATCCTGCATTTGGAGTTATCATATTTTTGCAGTAAGTATTTATTGCAATAAATACAAATCTGCACGTAGAGCAAAACCTGTTTCAGTTTACAATCGTATTACAACTATCGTCACTGCATTTTACGCAGTCACACTGCACTGCCACATCGTTTTCACTCTGTAGATCATGCCAGGGTTGGACAGTTGCGTGCTATGATTTCCGCAGCCGATTCGTAGTGCGGTGTAAAGCTCGTACGGAATACAGACAAAACGTGATGTGGTTGGTTTGTGTTCGCACAAATTACCGCCCACTGCAGTTTTCGGTTCTAAAGCTACAGTAGAGAGAATTATGTGGTGGTCAGTTGTACCGGTAGTCCTGGTAAAGCAAAATTCGAGCAAGATCTGGTTTTGTGCAATGCGTATAAATGCGGGGGAAAAATGCATTCCACAGGATTGATAGGCGGGCCAATTAACTATGGAAAACAAAAGAATGCCACAAAAGCATTATGGCAGCTGCTGTTATTAATACGCCGCAAGCCGAAAAAGCGACATCTCGGAGTTTTACTCACTACTCTATTGAGAGCGTGCTATGTGTATTTCGATATTATTCTAATTAAAACGGTCGTAAATTGGTACGTACTAAATGGACAAAAAGAAGTGCAATGTTCAAGTTTAACCACGCGATTTACTTGCAGTGATTTCACGAAAAAGAAATCATTGCTGTTTGTATTCAGATTTCAGGATATTAACTGCTATACTCGTAGTAAGAAGTAAGATTAGTAAGATACTGCAGTAGAATAGGATTCCAGTACTTAATAAGTAGTAGAGCATTATTATAAAATTAATGTAAGCACATACAAACGATAAAACGGTACACAGCGAACTCTGAACAATCAAGGAGTAGGACCCGAGAACAGTACATACTACATACCTAATATCTACGAGTATATTTTATTTAAGTACAGTATTTTATATTTTTAAGCTACGCAAAGGTAACAAAGTACAAAACTCTGTATTTACGAGTAAGTACAATAACATGGCCGTAGACTGGAGACCATTAAACTAAATTAGCGAAGAACATAAACCCTGCACCTGCACTAAATTCAGTGAATCAGTACTGACGGACAAAAGCTTAACACAAATCTGACCATTTTGATGTGACAATTAACAAAAATAAAATTTGGATATTACCATAAAGTTAAAATTAGACCAAACGAAACCCGAAAACCGGCAGGGAATTGGGAAATAATTAAGTAATGGTAAGTACTCGTACAAATGCCAGTGCATCGGTTTATACTACAAACTGTCTCTTAGAGGCGATTGTCAGCCCTATAAAATTTGGAAATCAGAAAAATTGAAAATACGCGTTTTAACTTTTGAGCCTTCACAAGTCAAGTTGTGGAAGTTCTTTTGTCCACAAAATTTGCAATATTCATTGTGTGTAACAGCGAAGATTCTTTTCTTAGTCTTTAATGATTGTTATTGATCCACTATTTTGCGGGCGTATTTAACCAGTGGAAGCCCCAATGGCTTTGCTAATGAAAAACAGCAGCAGCGTCCTACAGCGGATATCAACCATTGGAAAGGATGTTTGGCCATCTTTGAGTTCTCGCTTGTTTGGTTTGCTGTCTAGGAACTTGGACCCATTTCCCTCCAGTGCAGCCATTTGTGGAACGATGTATAATGCAAGACCGTCCACAGCGCCGTCCACCACTCCGTTCTCTTTGACGACCTACAGAGGGCTGAAACATGTGGATAGATTGAAGCTGCGGTGCAGTGCATGCTATTTTGCAAAACGACAAGGTGTGAGTTATGTTTATTGCCGTCTCCGTCCTAGGCACAATCAAGTGAAATCAGGTTACCTGCGGGCTAGACACTGGTGCTGGTCTGTTTATCATCTTCGAAATATGCGGTAGAAACTGATTGACTTTGGCATTTTTTCCTAATCAGTGCTTGGGTTCCCTGCTACTGGTTCCCAGAGTTCTCGCACCATATTGACTTTTTAAGAATCGTTACATCACCCGAAAATGATAATTTCTGTTGCAATTATTGATTGGAGTTTCACGTAAAGCAATGAATAAGATGCGAACTTCCGCTGCTTATGATGCAGCAGTGGCATGTTAAAAAGATTTGAGATGGCAGTTTGTTACTGCTAATTGCGAGGCTGGATGCCGGTTCTTGAAATGTACAAAGTTGTCATTAAAAGTATTAAAACGGAAATTTCTTCATTCTTTCTGTTTTTATACACATTTTCTGGGCTGATTCTTGATTGCGCGGAGTGTGAACGTGAATCTGTTCAAGCACAAGTCAAAGCAAAATACGAAAGCCAGATCGCATCACTTTGAAGGCAAGCAAACATCGGATGATAGCTTGCGTTAGGTATCACAAAACCTGCCACAAAAAGGCCAATCCGCAGTACATAAATATGGCATCGGTGTCTTTTGCAGATTTCCAATTCGCCATGGAGTGGGGCGTATCAGTCACCAGCAGCTACACACTAGCATCCAGTAACCCTTAAGCTACTAGCTACTAGGGAAGTACATTAGGTAATAAAACAGGTAAAATAGTAGTTCAGAAACTAAATTCAACAACACCACACCATAACTTCTGAAGATGTAGGAAACAATGATCACGACGGAGAATCTGACGGTGTCTTTTCTTGGGAGGTTCTACCGGGCCTCTCCTTGGGCGCTTCTGCAAGGGATTTCAGTTCCTCTTCTAGGCGCTCCTTCGCTCGCACAACTTTCGATTGCAAGTAAAATGAACCACCAACTGCTTTGTCGTTGACTTTGAATAAGTGGTCGTACTTTTCTGTCAGCTCTTTTGGATCTATTCGTTTTCCTGGAAGGTTTAGGATCTGACACGCTTCCTGCAAAAACCGAAAGGCCCTTCGGTCATTAAAGATTAGTATCCGTTCTCAGCGCAATTGCTGGTAATTTAATTTGATTTTTTTCCATACATCTAGGGCCAATTTTATGAAATTATGAAATTTATCCTAAACTGTTTACTAATACCGCAGCTGGTGCAATTTACAGCTGCTACAATTAAGTAATAATGGTCATAAAAGTGACAAAACTAGTAATTTTTCATGTGTTTTCTTACTTGCACTGTCATGCCTAATCTGCTGGATACTGCGGCTGCTCTGGATGAATCCCCCGCTCGAGTACCGCCTCCGCCGCGTGAAGCTGCGGCTTGCTGGCTTCCTAAAAAATGCAACAGGGCTAAAAGAGTGGATAATCATTTCTACAAAGCATTTTCGAAGAAATTCTTGCATAAACGCGATAAAGCGCCTCTTCCTGATTTGGCCTACTGATCACTGATTAACTCGTGACTCTGCCAACAGTACGCGCTGATTTCTCTTTCACAGCAAAAAACTGGACTTTAAATAAAAGCGCAGAACACATTCAGTGCAGATGTAGGTATTCGCATTCTGCGGTTTAACCGTTAAACGGCGCCGGGAACTCACTTTGTATTTCTTCTTTTAGTGCCCTGGCGAAAGCTCTCCCCACAATTTGCGCCCCGGCGAGAACCAACTGAGCTATATACTTCGCCTGCAAAAATGCACAATAAAGTAAAACTCAAACAGTCACGTTTCCCGATTTCCGGTTCGTAAAGGTAAGTTAGTAAAGCACAGCAAATATTCCTAAAGCTAACTGCAAGCATAGCAATTAACTCTTAAACAGAGAGGCAAAAAGCAACCTCGAACTAATCACTTATTTTTCTACCTTAAAATTTCTAATCATAAGTTATAGAAGCTGCGCTTAAAAGTTTAAAGAGCCAAACTGGAATACGCACAGGCCCCGACATGTTCGCCTTCAAATTCTTCGATATGATTTGTGGTTCTCCACTTCTTCAGAAGAAACGATTTGGATCACAATACTCAACTCCACCAAAACTGTTACACCTTGTAGACGATCCGCGAGCCCAGGCCTCGAAAAATTCAGCGTTTCATGTGGCGAAATGGAATTTGAAGAACTTGATCAATTACATTGTCGCTACTGGCTTCTCGTAAACATAAATAACACAACGTGACAACTCTACGACTGTACGACATATACGTACAATAGTATCAGCGTCAAGTTTACAAACAGTTATCAATCTACCTTCGAAGTAGATATAAAGTAGACAATAAAGAAATGAACAGCATCGCGAAAAACTGTTGTGAAAGCGCTGGTTTTCCTTGTGAGATGGAACCAAACGGCTTGTCATCAACCACCGCACAAAGACCGGATGGGATGACACTGATACCAGTAAGACAAGGAAAACCGATCGTTTGGGATGTAACCAGCTGGTGTACGGTTGCTGACTCTCATGTCACTGGAAGCTTCAAGAAATGTGGCAGCGTGGCCCAGCTGGCTGAAAATGCGAAGCGTGGGAAGTATTCGTTTTTGGAATACGGATACCTTTTTTACCCTCTAGTAATGGAAACCCTTGGAGTTTTTGGTCCGGCTTTAAGTGAATTTTTACATTTTATGGGTCGTAAAATTCGGGATTTGACTGGAGAAGCACGTTCTACTGCTTTTCTTAAGCAGCGATTCAGCCTTGCTGTTGTTAAGGGAAATGCTACGGCTGTTTTGAGCACGTTACCTTTTAACCCGAGGGAGGACCGGGAATTTGGTTGTTTTTTTAATGTTTAAATTCTAACGATTACGTAGGGTGTCAGCGCGTGCATTTTTTGATATAAAGTATAAACTATCTCTCTATAGTTAACAACTTTACTCAAAAGACTGAAAAGAACCTAAAACAGTAAAACTGTTGTAGTCAGCTGGATGCTGCTAAATCTGCGATGATGCAATCACACGGTAGCAGATCAGCCGCAGATGTACGAGTATTGCTGATCTGCGCCGGGATGGCAACCGCCGTAGACGTTGTTTCGCACGTCACCAATTACAGGAATTACGCAGTGCGCCAAAATGGGAACTACGCATACGCTACGTATCACGTACAGATTGGCGCATGGTAGGCGCACTGTATTACGGGGGCCACTAACTGACCGCAGATTTTACCGAGCACACAACTCTTTTTTATCATGCATGTGTCTTTCCCTTTGTAGACCTTGGTTTTCTGTTAATTTTCATGTGCCACCCGTATTTGCAGACAGCACAGTTTGCAAACGCGCCCCAATTAAAAATTACAGTAGGAGCACGCGTTGCTATGGAGCAACCACGACTTCCCGGCTACTCGAAGGCTACGGCTTTCAACCGCCCTCGGGCGGCGTGGCGGCGCAGATCAGAAATAGTCGCAAGGCGGTTCAATGTAAGTATATTTTCCGATTCACCAGTAGTACAGTACTCGTACGTACGATTTCTTGTACCGACACATTCCCTTTTCCCGGCTAACTTGTAAAATGGTAAGAAGTTAATAAAATTCAACAACCACAGCTTTGTCCTCCACAGAATTTTTAGCTAAAAAAAACCCAAAGTGATACACTGCTTACAGTTAGAAAGGGCGACGGATTACTTTCTTTTTACTTTTCCCGGATCAAATGTCCAGCGGCCCAAGAAACTATCAGCTTCGTTTAATGTTCCTTCATCAAGGAACATTAAGGTTTAAGTATTAGACAGCGTGGGATAAAAAGCCAGACGAGCATACGTTTATGTCATCATATTGTAGCGATAGAAATTAGATGTACCGCCAGTAGGAGCGTTAATTGCCTTTCTCTACTCGTACTGTTTATTGGTTGTTGTGTTATGAAGATCAGAATCCTTATTTCCATACATTTTACCGACCGCATCTCACGGTCAGAAACACCTTGAAATTAGTCCTGCTGCAGCTTCCTCCGAATCTTGCTCCGCGCCTTCCGCGCTTCTTGCCCACGCTTATGCGTTCTTGCTCCTCAGTTTGCAACTTTGCATAGCTCGCTGAATCTTGCTTTGTGTACTTGCTAATAAACACCTGGGATGACCTTGAGTTGTATGGGATGATCGTGCATCTCCCACCTAGTCCGCTTCCGGTCAGCATCGCTGCCGACCGTGCCAGCCTTTCCCAAACTAACAGCCGACAGATCGTGGTAAGGTGGATTAACCGACCCACTAGAACAGCAGTCAAACTCGATAATTTATGGCAAGTAACAGCGGGTCGAACTCGATATTAAATTGATAATACTAACCAGAATTCTGAACGTGCTAAATTCATTCGTTCGTAAGAAGTGTTGTCATTGTTAATACGCATACATTACATTCGACGCTTAAAAACGTATTGTTGCCTCACCAAATAGTCACCATGAATCGAAGTAAGTAGAATAACTGTACCTATCTGTATCGGTCAGAAATTTTCAGGATTCTTCGTGAATTATGAGAAAGACCACATAATATAATTTTATTCTGCAATCATAAATTCCATCCTTATTAATGTTAAATGTTAATCACACTCAGACAATGTCACAAATTACGGAGAGACACAAAGGCATCAGGTATAAACATCAGACGTAGAAATCAAGGAACATTATGTAGCATAGTAAAGTCAAACTACAGATACACAGACTATTCGGAAAACACAATGAATCATATTCTGCTTACATCTCCATTATTTATCACTTTCTTTAATTGGTCAACCTCCTCCTCTGCAGTCCAAGAAGCAACGGTATGACTTTTCGATGGCGAAGGCATCAGGTTCTGTGCGCGTAATTCGTTTTGGTACGTGCGATGGACTAAACGAATCGCAATTTCATATTCGTGCTCCGAAAACGGCCGTCTTTGGTCCATTACATGGGTTACAACATCCTAAAATACAATAAAGTATACGGATTTTTTATGAAATTTCAAATTCGAAACACTATAAGATGTCAACTTATTTCACAAAAGGTGCTCGGCAACGTTAAAACTATACCCTGTTCACGTCAAAATGCTTATTTTTCCACCAGAAGTCGAATGCGTCATGCACTTACACCGGGTTTAGATGCGGATGCGAACATATCAAAATACTGTCGTATTTCCTCAAAGGCAGGCTCCTTAAAGCCAGTGATTTGGGTTAAGGCTTCCTCCAAGTGGAATACACACCGCTGCACACACTTAACAGCTCTCATGTTGATTTTGACCATCTGGTCGGCACTTCGTATGAAGATATCACGTAGAAGCTGGGCTAGGCTTCGATAAAAAAAATTAAATTTCTTCTCTTGTACAATATGCGAAATAATTCGGGATATATTCCACAGATCATTCACCAGCAAGCCAACGCGTCGCTCTGTTTCTTCGCAGACGTCCTGTAGCGTCAAATCCAGCCGGCTTGCAATGAATGATTTGTGTAAGTAATGCAAACAACGAATACGAATCTCCCAATGTATCACTAGAAAACACTTTTCCGCGAATTCCATCAGAGCTGTTGCGGCAAACCGCAGTGGATCCAAATGGACAGTGGGAATGGGATAGAGGACATTCGATGTTCCAATTAGATTTAACGGCCGCGCCAATTCAGCGCATGCTGAACTCGATAACTCAGTAACAGGTAAGCTTCTGACCATACGGTCCAACATATGCGACAGCCACTCACAGTTTTCCATAAATAAGGCTACAATTCTCATCACTTTGGGTTCATTCATGATCTCCGCCAAAGAACCGTCGTACATTTTTAGCAGCGTATCCAGTTCAGTAGCGCTGCTTTGCAAAACTGATGCTTCGATGGATCCGCGATAAAACCAACCAGGAAGAGCTCGGTAAAATAGACAAAACTGATCGTCCTCTGTCCAACGAACACTTTCCGGAAATTCCTTTTCAGGAAGGTAGGCTGCTATCTTACGGAAAGTAAACTTCGTTCCATCAATAAATTCGTTGACGCAAATGGCTGTCACAGCCAAAATTTTTTCTGAGTGGAGTGGCATAGTGTACAATAAATTGCAAAGATCTTCGATCTGACGATAGAACTGATATACATTTAGTAGAATTTTCACGTTGTGTTCCTTTAGCGCTTTGAGGACACCAGGAGGTGCCAACTTGATGGTATCGTCTGGAAAATTACGCAAAACACATGAGCATTAACACACCTCTCATATCAGCAAAACAAAAAGGGTGTAAACATCCGCCAATACACCAAGGGAAATCGGACATACGGTAACACGAATATACGGTAACACAAAGTACAAACAAAACTTCAGAGTACAAATGTAAAAACAAACTTTTCAGTTTCAGACATGGATGCGTAATATTATCTTGTATCATTACCTCTGCTAATATGGCGAACTTTCTCTCCGACGACATGCTCCACAGAAGGAAGATAGGTGTCTGCCACAAACCGATTCACATAAATGGACAAAACACATGATTTTCCGCTAGCCGACGATGAGGAGTCAATTTTATCACATAGGCGCATCATAGAAGGATACAGCGCTGAAAAACAGTAGCGAATTAGCGATCAACTGAATGACACAAGCGACTTCAGAAATGTAAAGGAAAACTTTAGATACTCCGCAACTTTTTAGTCTGTCTGTCAAAACTATAACTCAGTCGTTCCATGTTACAGAACCGAATCTTACTGGTAATGTTTTTCATTGCGGGAGTGCAAATCTTTTTCAACTCCAGCTCTTCCTGTTCCGATAACAAAAGAGCTCCATCCACAAATTTTCTTCGACGTTCTTCGGCGGCGTATTCATTGAGAACTTGCGTTGATGTAGAGTTTTCAAATCGGAAATCGATCTAAAACAAGGCGAAAGTGGTTAAACTTGAATTTCTGTATCAAAAAAATAGAAACACTCACGCCCTGGATTTTTTTAGGGCGTCTTCTAGCCCAAGCCGCTTTAACTCGTTCAGCAAACAACTGTTCGCGTTTATCCACTGCTTCCTTTATTTGCTCGTTCTTCTGATCCAGATAGTGTGCTAAAATCCGCTGCATAATTCCTTCAATGGCCAACCAAACGTCCGACATGTCGTATACCATGAGAGCCTTTCCAGCAATCGGGTCCATATCAGCTGAAAACCTGATGGTTGTAACGGCCTCCAACAGCGCACTGTGCGCTTCCGCGATGGCTATGAACTGATCAACCAGAAGCTTGATTAACTGATCCAATAATTCTGGTCGATCCTTGCTCTGCAACAGCTCCACGTAATTAATGGCGTGAATAGTTTCCGTTGTGTGGAGAAACACTTGTTGCAGCTTGTCACCCAACGCCAGCAAACTGTTCTTCAGAGCGTCCACCAGGCGGTCCATATCGTGCAGACACCGCACCACGATTTCGATTGGCACATCCGGCTCATCATCCTCCGTGACTTCGGCTTTGCGCAAAGATGTTTTCTTGAAAACATTGGACGTGTTTCGAACATATAGAAACAATTCCAACTGGCGCAACATTAAATCCTTCAGATTGTCTCGCTCTTGCAGCAATTCGCTGCGAACATTGGCAACTGCTTCCACCTGTGAAAAGTCGAAAAAAACTTTTATAAAAAAGAATTCTAGTGACTGAGGAATTCAAGAACCGTTTTTGCCTAAAAAGTTGTCAGTGGTAACTGGGAAGTGCAAATGTGCTTCGAAATCTTTTAAGCTTTTAAGCATTCACACAAAGTAAATCACAACTGCGTCAAAATACAAAGAAAACTCGGAAGTCACTCCAGAGCCTAATAATAACTAATGAGTAATGACCATTGCAGCTATTTTTGCTTTGCCTTCGATTTCTCCTCAATCAAAACACTTACATCATGCAGTTTGCCGTTAACAATCTGCAAGCCATCCATGATTTTTTGAGTGGCTTCCAAATATTTTTGTTGCGCTACAGATTCCCGAATGGCAGCAGGCAAATCCTTGATGGTATCGATGGAGTGCAACAACTTCAACTCCTCCTGCAATTCCACAGATTGCAACCACAAAGTTTTCAAATCCTCCTGCTTGCCTCGTAAATGGTCTTTGGCTGATAGGAGCCAACTGCGCACCGCTGTCGAACTCTCTTTCATGGCATTAAGACGTCCGACCACCTGTGTAAAAGTCTGTGCCGAAGTGGTTAGCTCTTCGCGTTTCTGTTCAATCAGTCCCGACAACTGTTCGTCGCAGCGACGATATTCCCGTTCAATGCGATTGCGTTCTTTTTCCTTCTTCTCCGGTCCTTCGAATGCTGCAATAGTGGCGACACTGCGCATGAAATCATGCAGAAGATGAGCAGATTTGCCCCGCTGTGTCTCCCTTTCGTTAAGTCCCCCCAACATTGGGGTTTCTCTAGATCGCGCCATCTCAAGGCAAAAGGCATACGTCACATAAACAACGGTAACTGATGAACACTATTTTCAGGACTTATAGTCACTTGTGAGTTGTGACTTCTTCCAAACAATTCAAATCCGCAGAGCAGTTTGGTGCCAACACTGAATGACAATAATAGTATTTAAAATACTTTTATCATTATGATTCCAGATTTTTGTGTTTTATATTTATCACACAAAACAGACAAAAAGTTAAATTTCAGTCAGTAATTATTAGATTAAAATCAACAGAGGCTTACAGAGTCAAAACAAAAACGTCTGAATAACTGAAAGAATAAAACTTGTACAGTACAAAATTTGTTTTCAATAAACTTTGGACCGCAAAGTGACAAAGTCTGTTGTTTACGTTGCGGCCTTGTGGGCGTTAACAAGGCGTGCCATAGGACGTAGACCAGTACTGATGATGCCGGTGATCACTAAACCGGTACGAGTACGGTTTGATGCACACAACTACAGAAACGATTCGAAATGAACAAGTGGTTAGCTTGTATTCCACTCTTTCTTGTGTTCCATTCTCCACTGATAAGAATGATGAATTCTCTATTCTTTTAAATGATTTTTGATAAATATTATTTTCAAAAGCAGGCGCTGTCAAGTTCAGGGATGCTGGAATGAAGATAACTGAAGCAGTAACTACGAGTCTGTGACCACTGGTGAGTGGTGACGCTGTTTCCGATTATTATCGTGTGATCACGTTGAGTTTGATAGTGCTGGGATAACTACGGTGGATTTGGAAACGACGCATACCGGCATACGACACTTGAAAGTTTTTTTTTAAACGTGTCTAGATCTCGCTCTGGATTAGTTATCATAAGGCACGCATCTGGATGAGGTGTTATGAAGAGCGCCTATTTGCAATTACACATAGGTTAGTGTATTGAAGTTATGTGGGTAAATTTTGTTATGCTAACTGTGATAATGTGGCAGCAATTGCAGCACTCTATTAGTAAATTGTGCAATAGTTAAATTTGTTAAATGACAAATGGATGCATAGTTAAGATAGTTTTATGGTCCCAACTCCCATGTTGTTTTTAAATTAAGCTGATACAATCCATTTTCGTGCAAACCGTTCATTCGAATTCGAGATTCGCTAAATTAGGTGAAGTTTATTATAGCCATAATAATATCGTGATAGTAACTCCACTGAATTCTCTGCAGCCACAACGAAGGCACAGGCGAAGTGCAACATAACATCACCGGTGATGCGTGCCGTATGTTCCGGAAGTGTTTGCATGGACTATGTTCTTTGTGGCGGATATGGAAATTGAGTCGCTGTTTTATTACTCAATATAAAATTTATGGTTCCTGCGTATCATGCTTCCTCCATAACAATGGCGGAATTACCATGGAAAAACTTTGTATGGGCATGGGGTGATGTGCCGTTTATAATTCTTCTATTTGCGATAAAGTTATCGCTGCTGGAGTGCTCACATGATTCGAACATAACAGGTACAGATTTATCGCTGTGCCAAGGTGGCTGTACATTTTACAAGATACTGATATACAATAGTTAATTACTCAAGCATCGATATAGGTATAATAATTTGTGAAGTGCTTACACTATCTCCTGTAGCGGTGTCATCCGAATACGTGTGCCGGTTACACGTCCATTAATTAATCTTTTGCCACTGTACTGTTTACAAATTCGCTTTTGTGTCGATTATATTCGGCCGCAAGATGGTGCATCGCGAAAAAGATTTAAGCCGCAACATTGTCGCAGCGGCTTTTTTCTGTCTCTCCACGTGTCTATACAACTGTCGATAGCACAGCGATGATAACCGCTCTGTCCCATCAGACCACGACTCCTTTTGCTGCACAACAACTAACAAATTCGACGCCTTTGTCAAGCGAAATTGCTTTTTAATGGATTCTTGTGGGCATTCTGGCGTCCACTTGGAATTGTTTCTCGAGCAAGTCGTGCAAATTATGCTACTTCAGACCACTGTGTACAGACACATTTAGGTTGTCAGTGCATACGATTTTGTAACATATCATCAGATCTCCAAATTAATTACTTTACTTTTGCTCTGGTTCTCGATCTGTCTAAATTTTGGGTAACGAGGGAGAAAAGTTCCACCACGGGCACGGTGTAAAGGGTTTCACTCGTAATAAAGCATTTGCATCCTAATTATTACTGTATTCGTACAAAGTTTATTTTATGGAAATACAGTTAGGATTGGGAAGTTATGATGGGTCAGGTGCCTTTGGTGATCTTGAATGCTGCCGATGTATACTGTTTTATCTGTAAGCAAATTCAATCCGGCTCCATTAACACTATTAAATTTACATAATACTGTTTTCTATGCTGTTACATTTTTTAGCAAAACGATCCACTTTCCGCACTTATTATGGGAAAAGTGTCCCTTCGGTGATCACTAATTCCAAAAACAATGAAAAAGTGGTATTGGTTTTAAATCTGATAGCCTTGGATCTTGTTGTAGACAAGGATAATCTTGGCACTGTAGTAACTCATTACATATTTACACCGTAAAAACAAAAATATCTGAAAGCAGTTATTTTTTATGTTTTTAAATTTTTGGTTTTATGATTTTATCTAACGAATTGATGCACTCGTGTACGTAAAAGTTTCAAAATTAACCATATATACAGTAGTTACAGACTTTATACAGCAAATATAATTATGACTTCCGCTGTAAAATGAATATTTTCTATCGTCCGCACTTGTGAAATGTGGTTATTGCGAGGTAAATTAAATTTGCCAATAAATATGATGTAAAAATCTTTGATATAATATTGCGAATTGGCGATTAGTGCGGCAAGCTAATTCAAAAACGCCGGCATACTTTGTAAAGCATGTTTTATATGCATATTTTGAAAATACACCACCAGAATCACTGAAAATATGCATACGTACTTCACGTTTCTAACAATAATAGACGTCACTACGATTTACAGGAGACGTTTTGAGGACATTTTCTTTGGAAAATGGCTCTGACTTCCGTCAGATATTGTACGATCCCGTTTTGGCAACGAATATTTTACATGTTGGAGGCCGTGAAGCCCTGTACAAACTGCGAGCCGACAATCTAGATATCATCAATTTAATTCCATGGGAAGCCAATGAAACCGATCGAGAAAACTGTAGAATAAAAGGCTATGCCGATCAAGAGGGATGCCTTAATTATGTCACTGTGTTGCTCAAAAGTGGCGATGGAAATAAGTTATTTGTTTGTGGAAACAATGCATTTAATCCGGTCTGCACTTGGCGAAAGGTTTGATCAAGCTGACAATTTCGATTATTTAACTGGGATGGCGCAAAGTGCTTTTTCTTGTATATTAGGCCGACGACTTGAATCAAGAATTATCGCGGGAAGATGGTGCGCTTTCCGCACTTATGAGTCCATTTCCCGCTAATGTGTCAATAGCCACATATACAGCGAGAAGTGGCGATCTCTACTTTGGAAGCCGGTTTGCTTGGAATGGCTTAGACCCGGGATTTCATCGCTACTCGCCGCAGTCTGCAGTGCCTATAATAAGGACACCAAAAAACAGCGCTTTATGGGTGGACGGTGAGGAAACTACATAATTCGTGCAAAGTAATTTTAACAATAATTATTGATAAAGCGCAGATTTTTAACTTTGGCGCTTCTTCTTTTCTTGCTACTTCCGAACTTGTCGTATTAATGATGTGCGAGCTGTTATAATTACATACGCCATTAATTTTGTTATGCTGGTCAGCGGTTAAAGAGTTTAAATTTGTTTTGGCTGATTACGCATGTGTGCTTTTGTGGTGGGTCGTGAATATTATCGTTTTAAGGATAAGAAGCGGCTCATGAGATACGTGACGATCTAGGTCTTTCTATATGTACATAAGCAAAACGAAAGCTGATAGCGTTGGGAAAATGGGTTGGTTTTCGCTCATTTATACGTGTTATTTTAGACGCATACTTTGTGGAGATATTTGAGAAAGGACCGTTTGCGTATGTGTTTTTTCGTGAGACCGCTCGGGAATTTTTCAGTAAATCCAACGAAAAGAAGCCGGTTTACAGTCGTATTGCACGAGTGTGCCAGGTATGACGAAACTTGACAACGGACATAAAAATTTATTACTCGAAGACTGTGGTTATATCAGAAAAATAAAACTGAGATATATCGATTCATTAGAAAACGCATCAGTAATTTACGTTTTCCATCGATTTAACATTATAAATTCAACCTTATGGATTACTTGTTGCAGAACGATATAGGAACCTCAAAAGTTACCGGTGTGCAGGTATGTCCTTATTTCGCAGTTTTGGTCAGTATATTATAAATTTTTGTGCGTTTTATAGTGGACAACGTTCCAGAAAGCGCGAATCGAATGCCCACTACGTTTTGGAAGTTCCTTTGATCGGTCGGCGAGTAATGACGATTCGTTCGACCAAGTACAACAGATTGCCATTCTGAATGACAATGCCGAACAGCTTGTTACTCCAAGAACCGTCTTCGCCGGCATTTTCAACACGCCTGGGTATGTGCTAGTCTAGATTCTTGTTTGTAAACACAACGTTGACAACGTAGTATTATGCAGGTAGTGCGTGCGATGATTATGGGTTGTATTGACTTACTGTATTTTTCTGGCTCTTTATTATGCTGGCCATAGTGAATTGACCGCATGGTTTAGCTGATGATGGCATTCTGACGGTATCTTTCTTAAAAGTGCCACTTGTATAAGGTTTTATAATTTGATCGTAATGTGTGCGTAAAGTCTAGGCTAAACGAGAAATCAGCGAGTCCTCCGCTGACATTAAGCAGACTGTTTGACCCTCTCGATCATGACACCTGCCATCTTTTGTACACAATGTTGTTTGTGTTACCGGCTTGAATGAAACCTTGACGATTTTCTGCTGTCTTTAACATTCAGAGGGCGTTGAAAATTATGCCTAGCTACCGGTAACGTTTTATTCTGCTACGCAGTATGCCATACTACATATCTTGCGTTCAGTGCATTAAAATGCTTGTTTGTACATGATTATATGTATACTTGAAGCATGTAAGATATGTTTCTTTCATGGAAGGCAGATTTACATTGATTCATTACAAAAATAACCATAATCATCATCAGAAATTTAGATGGCTAAACAATTTTCAGATTGTTCGTGCACATAAAAACAATTGCAGTACTGGGTAGTTTTTTAGGCTTACCTTTCCTTCTGTAGGGATACGAATGTTACTGGTACACAGTGCAAAAGTGTGCTAAATCCTTACTTGTTATTGTTAATAAACGAAAACAAACTCTTACTCGTGACAGTCGTAAGTGGTAATGTTTGGAAAACTGTTATGGGTCCATGGGTTTAGAACAACAGAATTAATATTTGTTGGTGTTCCCTTTTATAGCGTAATACTTAATTCTTGCTGAATAATACCTATTTACCATTAGGCAGATGTGGAAAATAAATTGCTAATTAATAATGCCTTCGTACAGTATGTTATACTTGGATAATTTGATTTTGTGAAATTTTGTTACAGCCACAGCCTTTTTGGGGCTGCCCTCTGCGTCTACGAGATGCGAACTATTGAGCGGGTTTTCGACGGAAGTTACCAGGAGCAGCCTAATACTGCTTCGATGTGGCAGAAACTCGATACGCCTGAATACCGAAACTTCAACGTGAGTCGAGCGGCAGAACAGTAGATCGGGATTATCGACGTCGTTTGGCCAATCATCAGTTTAATCTTTCATTTGATGGTTTTTTGTTTGCAGTGTTCAGTGCGGAAGGACAGTCAAGGCAGAAATGTGACGGTGCTTGATCTGAAATTTGCAAGTGACCCTCGGTTAATGTTTGAAAGCGTTGGACCAGGAATTGGGCCACTGTTTGACAAGCCAGTTGTCATCGAGGAAATGACGCAGTAAGTATTACGGAATTTGCACCAGATAGCAGTCAGTGATTGATAGATTTTAGCGACTTGCTAGGTGCTAGGTACGAATACATTCAGTTGAATGCCGACAAGTAAAATTACAACAGATTTAGATGGCATTAGCAAAATAACGGGACGATTAACGGGCGATATCTCAATCGGTTTGTGAGATACAGTACTACAATTTACTAATATTTATCAGAATTTTCGTCACAGTTCCGGATCGATAATAATCTATTGAATAATTGTATACGGTAAAGGTCTGCCAGAATCAAACAGCAAATAAATTAATGCCCTTTGTTGGATTTCGTTTTGCATTGACTACGAAGTACAAATAAAATGATCGAATTAACGGAAAAGATATTTGTACGATCAAATCAGTTAAGGCAGAGCGTAAAGAAATTTGGTACGAATAGTCGGTGAAAGCAATACTACCATTATTTCATGGTACGACTTCAAGAAACTTGTAAATAGAACGACTTGCTTGATTTGCGCTCGAATTACTACCAACGTATTTATCCCTATAATATAAAAACTTGTTTTACCGAACTGAACCTGTAAAGTGTTTTGCTCTCTGCAACTTTTCAGTGGCTTCCTTTTCAAACAGTAGATACCATAATTAAACGCAATTAAGCAGCGCGTTACTGCGTTTAAGCTGGCTACGGGCATCAAATTATACATCTATAAGTGTCAAAAGTGCAGATAATGTTACCTGAACCGGCGCCGCAATTTTGCGGTTAGCGTTTTCATCCGTTTGTGGCTTGTGTCAGAATTTGCTGAAATGGTATTATGGAGGTTCGTTGACTCTCGTCAAAATTTGCGCCGTCGATTGATTAGTTGACAGATGGGCCTTATTTGTTGTCTCTGACTTAATTTTTACAGCTGAATAAGTTCAAACTATTTGATTCCACCAAACAGTTGCGTAACATTTGATTAATCAAGTGCTGAATAAGGAAATAAACTCGCTCAGGCTCACTTGCCGCATCCTTTCGGCTTTCACTGCCAATGACGCGTTAAACCCTCATTTACAAAATTCGAATCCACAAAAACCAACCGCTTCTTTTTCTGGTAGCGCCTGTTTTTTAGTGCATTTGTATAATATAATGCAGAATACACATAGTCATATGTTACAAATATGTTGTAAAAAACCATGTTAGAAATTATAAAAACGAGTTTACAGTTATTAAAAACATCTCTCGTTTTAGGTTCCATTTTTTACAAGCGGAACGCATTTCCATAGGGAATGATCACTTTGTCTATGTCTTCTACGTAATAACGAGCCATAAAGATATCCGCAAATATGTTCTTGATCCGGCGGATACCCGTTCCGGGCGAGCCTGTATCGTGGCAGCATGGACCAGTTTATTTAAGCCACTTGAGAGCATTTTAACGATGAAGCTGTTAACGAAGCAGCAAGCGCTGATTATTGGGACATCTCAACGGGTTATTCGGTTGAGTAACCACGCTTGTTATGAGCACTCTAACGAAAGGTAAACTAAGACCACTTGTGGTTTTTATCGTGCGTATGGACGCGTAGAAAAAACGTGTTATGCTCTTTTTTTCTCCGTGCAGATCCTGTATTGACTCGGGTGATCCACACTGCGGCTGGGATAGTCTTCGCCAGATGTGTCGAGCTCAACCGGAAGGTGACAAGCAACACAACACCGGATGGACGCGTTCCCGTCTGGACAATTGTCACAGTAATACGATCTTTCCGGCATGGGACGAGCAGGCGTGGTATCCGTGTAAAGAGGATGGCAGTCATGAATCGTGTCAGTGCCGGTCAAGAAAATGCATCGGCAGTCAGTGTCATGCAAGACAATTCCAAATGACCAATTGTACGCGGCACGGTGGATGGACAGATTATTCTTCTTGGAGTGAATGTTCACGGGCCAACCGCTGCCAGCAAAACCGTACCCGCAGTTGTACAAAGCCTCTACCACAATTTGGCGGTAACGACTGCGAAGGCAGTGCACTGGACAGCAGATCGTGCGATGTGGGCGAATGCGAGGCAAAAGCCGATCTGCGCATGGCTGTACCATTGGCGGCGCCGGTGATGTCGGGGGCGCGATTTCAGGATTGGGGTCCGTGGAGCGAATGTTCACGCTCTTGTGGACGGGGAACGCAGCGGCGTACACGATCCTGTATGTTAGGGTCACCCACGGGGAAGTGCGATGGACCCCAGGTGGAAAGCAAAGACTGCAACGTGGAAGACTGTCCACCCATGACAAAGATTGGTAGCTGGTCCATATGGATTAGTGATCCTCACAAAGGATCGGCCGAAGCGTTTGATGAACACAGATTTCAGTGTGTGGCGATTATGAATGGAACCGAACTGGAAGTTAATTTGAAGCATAACAAACGAGAATGTCCAAATGCCCGAGCGTGTCACACTGGCCGGTAATCGAGAAACTATTTTTAAAAGTTTTTGCCATGTTTTGAAGTTTTTATCTCCCTTATTGCATGGATATTGTGGTGCTTTTTGTCGACGAATCTGTCGAGAAATGGTAAATTTCTTTTGTTCTACAGTGTATACGATGCCCGTGTGGAAGCTTCCTGGAGCCCCTGGATGGAGTGCAACCATATCGGAGTACAGGAGCGTTTTTATGATTGTAAAGGTGCTGAACAACGTCCTTGTCCAGCATTTGAACAACAAGGTAGGGTATCCAAGTGGTAATTTGCTTGGATGTAAATAGTGTGGTTTTGCCTGATTCAGTCGTCCTGATCAGCAAATTTCTTACTTTAGCCACCGAGGACACTTCATGGGGATGCTGGTCCGATTGGTCACCGTGCACGAATAACGAACAGTCCAGACATCGGATCTGCATAAAAGATAGCAAGGCGTGTCGCCATGGGGAATCGACAGTTGAGGCCAGAGTGTGCAAATTGTATGGTGAGTACGATATGTTATTTTACAGAAGAGTGACCTTTGTAAAACAGCAATGCTACGTGTGCTAAGTCTGAACGAATAACATATAGATGAGAACAATATAGAGACTGCCAGCTCCATCAACCAAGCCGCTGCTTACGGCTCCCTGGGTTATACGGGATATTTGATTGTCGGATGCGTTCTATCATTCCTGGCTGGTACCATTTTAACACTTTCGATTGTCACATATCGCCAAAAGCGGAAAAGTAATCCGCACAACGAAGCCCCGCAGTATCCCATGGCGCCCTACATGGAGCGGCAACCAGTCCAGCTGAATACGTATGCCATCCCGCCGGGCCATCACATACCGAACGGGGAGAGCAAAGATCATGACACTGACCATGACGACTACCCGGAAACGCAGGCCTTCGTCCCGAGCGAACCGGTCACGCCGAAAAACTTTGAACGGGGAGCACCCATGAAAGCGTCTTTCAGGGGTGACAATTTTGGCGGGAAGCCGGCGGCACAACGGCAGTTTTCCACAAGCCAGAAAAGCGATCAGTATTTTGCGTGAAGTATTGTACGAAGATGAGCACAGCATAAGGTGATGGGCATACTACAGTGTAACGCTGGTGTGGATGTGGTTATGAACTGATGCTCAGATGCAGATTGTGATTGTTACGGCAGTTTAGCTGGTTTTAGACTAACGTGTCCTTGGACTTGTCTGTCTTTCATGCACCGCGGGATGCTGAGCTGGATTTGCTGTAGAGGTATTCTCGGAAAGTTTCGGTTGAGTTTTTGTATTTATGAAATCTTTCTTTGTTGTGGCTCGTTGAATTTTGTTTGGCTTTGTTGTACAAATCAAATTATTGAAGTGAGAAATTGATGTTAAATTTGCGATATGATATCTGCAACGAGTTGAAGTATTTGCGGCGTTGCACGACAGCACATTTGATGTAAGCCAAAGAAAGCCGTCGTTACAGACAATCACCTCTTACCGAACCCGTTATCGTAAACACTCTGTTTATTACAGGCATCCATTTTACGAAGTCATTGTGTTTTATGAAATTTACGTGGTTTAGGAGTACATTGGTATACCCACATCAACGTGTGAAATGCAAATAATTACTATAAATCTGGTAAGAGAGGCCAAAAGAGTAATATAAAAACAAATTTGTTTGCAATTCAGTGCTCGAGCCAAGTGCCGTGCATATTAACAGTTTTCGGTAACCTTTCAAAGGAAACAAGCCACAATGATTATAAGTAGAAAAATTTATTGAAGCGAATATAGAAATTGTAGATACTTAATCAACAATGAAAAATCTTAGGATGGTGGACCTATTGCAATGGGAAATATCGTTACAAAGTCCCGCCATTAGTAAGCTGCTTAAATGTGCTGGTCGTCCGGATGCGTGCAATGGGCGGATGACTTCCTGATCTGTGCGACAGATCCGAAGAGCGGACGGTACTGTATACACGTTCACTGGACGCGGCATTGTCCGTCACCGCGCATGTGGAAGGTTGCAGGGAAACGATATCGTCAGCCGGACACAGTTCGGAACTACTGTCCTGAAACATGGGATTGTCGAAGGCCGATACCATCAGGCTGCAGTTGTGCGAAGTCGAAGGGGGTCCGTCGGAGAAAGGACTATCCAACCGATACCGTGAATGGGAACTTCTAGCTAGGATGATTACAATCCCCAAAAGTATTACGACGATAACGCAGAGTGCCGCTATGAACATAATTATACCCGGGGAATGCGGAATATATCCCTGCAACAAAACAATCAATTACGGGTTGTGACCGGTGCGATGACCTTTCGTTTCAACATTTTTTCGGCCTCTACCGAAGACGGGTGCCTACACTATGAATTACGAAAACGCAAACCTGCGCACCAGACGGACTGATTTGTTTGTAATTGTTCATTATAAAATGTTTCAACAAAATTTTGTTATTAGGTTTACGCACGGTAGAATTAAGGATGGCAATGTTAGTGACAAACTTACTGCATACAACGTAGCCGCATTGTGGGCGTCCAGCAAGTGCAGCGCAGCTTGAATTATGACGCGGAACTCCGATGGAGTGAAGACGGCGGTTTGATTGGCTAAGGCGTACACGGTAATAGTTGGTTGCATAGATTGGTTGGAGCTACAAGATCACAGTCACTTTTTCAAAATTCTGCACGATCTGAAATTGCAATAGTCAAAATTCACTCACATTGACAGACCGGTCAGCTCTACAGATGTCGTCAAAGCCGCAGTGGTTCCGCTGGTTTCGCTGCGCTCTTGAAGCCGCTCGCGGGCTACCTGGTAGATGGTCCAGTTCAGTTTGTCCAGGAATGAACTATCGTGAATGGAGCTCGCCGTCAGTCCCGTTCCAAGCGGTACATCATAATGAACAAAAGCGACACCTTGACGAAAAACATTGTATTTATTATCCTGGAGTCTTAAATCGGATGCTGTACCCAGAGACTCTGGCAAAGCGTGGCGGGTATTCTGGGTCGCTTGTTTAGTATATGTGCAATAAAAGTACAACTTACGACTTTCTGTCAGCGAGTTCGCATGCTTTGGCCCGAGTGTCGTATTATTATGATCTGCAGTTAAAAAAGATGTGGACGAACTGGACTACGAATCGCTGACCTTCTGGGGATGGCCTGTCGTCACCGGTGAAACTGTTACTGCGCTGGCTTCCTCTATCGTGTCAGTGCTGTGTGTTGCAGCTGAGATTTCCGGCAAAATTGTTTCCGGTGGAATGCTGGTAGTCAGTACAGTTCCGTTCAGGTTATTCAGCAAATGTGGGCCAGTCATTTCTGGGCTCGGATGGTCTGTTCCTGCTCTTGTGGTGTCAGTTGTCGTAGATCCTGTTGTCTGCGAGGGTTCGGAGGTGCCGGTCGTGATAGTACTAACAAGTGTGGTTCCTGTTGGAGCGCCGGTTGTCACGGATTCTTTAATAAGCACCGGTTCAGTAACCTGTGAGGTTTTAAAAATTATCGTGAACATTCATTCGAAAAACAAACCTGGAGCGGAAAACATTACCGGGGTTTCAGGTTGAGTAGCGTACACGATCTGCACAATGTCATACGCGCTGGAGTCAGTGACTGTTGACGGACCGGCAACCGTCGAAAGCTCCACAATCTCCAATTCGTCGAAATCTTTGACTTTGCCAAATTGTTCCTTTTCGGACAATGCAGTTGGTGCACCAGTTTTGGAGGAGACAGTTGTTTCCGTTACAGTGGTAAGGTTGACGGAAGTTTGTACAATAAGAAGGTTTGGTATCGCTATACTATTTTCAGTTACTGTATGATTTTCGGCCAATGATATAACGGCAGCAGTCGCTTCGCTTGTGGAGGAGGAGCCGGTCTCCAAATCTGCAAGTGCAGATAACGTTGTTGCTGGGACGTGCGTCGCATTGTCCGACGTTGACGTAACCGTGGTCTTTTTTTCGGTGGTCGAGCTTTCGGTAGACGGGGACGTTGTCGCCAGGTAAGTCAAGCTGCCCATAAGTAGCGATACGGTTAACGGCCACACTGTCGAAGACGGTGTTGGATGGACAGTGGCCATCCCGCCGCTGGTGACGGCTTCGGCCGATACATTGCTGGAATGCTTTTCAAAATACGGTTCATGACCTTCTTCTTCGTGGATGGTCGTGCCTTCCATTCGTACCACCTGAACGTGTATAGGATTGATACCGCCATCGGGATCCGTGTGAAGTGTTTCGGCGGCCAATGTGATGTTGCCGGTAGTTGGCAGTGCGTCGCCGATGGGCTCGCTGCTGTTGGTCACCTCCATTTCGTATGCCACCACGTCATCGGTTTGCGAGCCAAACGTTAAAGGATGAATGTTGAGATTCTCCGACAGCATCTTTGCATTACAGAAGTCGCCGGTCCAGCCCGGTTCACAGACACTTTGTCCGGTTCGGGAGTCGCATGTGAAATGGTCGTCTGGACGCGGCACACAATATGTGGAACATTCCGAATCGTAGTAATGGGGCAGGCACTGAATTCGAGATTCCAGTTGCAGGCTGAAATTGTCAAACCACTATGAATTAAAAAAATTTTCAGTTTCACTAAATAAACTAATAAATAAAAGAAACAAATAATAAATAAAAATATTAATATAGATATTAAAATACTATGTAACTTGCACATTATGATACTACATTGATACATATCGGCATGCAAACAACTGACAAATTATATGCCCGGTGCAGGTGGTGGCGTTGTTTATTAATGAAAGTACCAATAGATTAAGAATAGACGTGTTTAGACGTACTTTTATAATAAATTTGTATGTGTGGAACTGTATTTAAGCCAATAATTTTTAAGCGCGCATGATAAGAATGCATTTCGCCATACCTGGTGTTGGCCGCTGTGGAACCGGTCATCCGTAAGCGCAGCATGCCTCCGGATGGAGGCTGTTGAAGAAGTATGTATGTGAAGTTAAATAGCCTGTAATGAATATTTTAGCTTTAAATCTAATATGTCATTGTAAATAAATTTTTAAACACACTAAAAATAAACATCTGAATATGTAAGATGATTTTGTTGTATCGATTGAGAATAGCCACCAAAGTTATTTTCTATGGTACGTAGGGCGATTCGGCAAACCCGGATCCAACAGTGGATCCGGATGCGCAACTCTGGTTCCGTGTCCATTGTTCTTCGCCGGGCGATTCAACAACCCTTTGGGGCGATTCAGCAAACTTTATTTTCGACAAATAGTTAACTTTTACAACGCAGCATCTGTTATTTATGTATTTGCATGTAATAAATAAGTGTTGTCTATCTCCATGGCATGCAGTAAGTTGTTGGTCTGTCTGTCAATATAATGCTTTAAATTGGACGAAGGGTTCACATTCACCACAACGGAGCGTAATCAAACGGCGATTTTTTATAACTTTGGTGGCTATTTCTATTTCGTTAATAGGCGCCTCAAATAGTAATCATTTTATTACCTCAAATAATAATTTAGCTCACCCCTCATTTTCAAATCCATTCTTCATATCATTTGAGTATAGACGATAAAATCAACTTCAAGGAGCGCTAGGCAGTACTATCAGTACGTGAGCTTTCTAATCCTATTACCGGTCCTTTTGCCGTATTAGCTCCAAGGAAACTGCCACGCTCCCTCTCATTGATGCGGATGCGCATTTCCACCCCACGCCAGGCGTGTGTGATGTTAAAGACGAAAGGGTTTTTAAGAGTGTTCAGTTGTTCACCGAAGGTTACTTCTGCGGTATTATCATACGGTCCAAATGTGAAAGGTCCAGCGAAATCACACGTGGCCAACGGATCAACAGTGTCGTTCCTGCATAAAACATTTTATGGTTAACAACCACTTTTCGTATAATAAACACTATCCCCAGTCTTTACATGTTATAAAACCAATACAAAAGAAATCAAAACTTATTTAATTTACCATAAGATATTGTCGAAAATAGGATTTTGAAACAACCAGACAGGCTGCACAGAGTGCGTCCTGTGTAGTGTTGTTTTGTGAGTGCGGCAGTGTGCCGGTAAGCAAATGTTTCTTGGCAGTCATTACAGGAAATTAGCAGTGCAGCTTTAATACATGTTAAAATTAATTTGAACTGAACAAAAATGTGATCAAACAAATTACTTTCCTTCTATGGCAGTTGGGAAGACTATTGCTAATAGTACATACTACTAATAGGAAACTAATTCACGAATTCTTACGCCAGCGTCTATCGATTGAAATTCAAAGAGGCAATGCAGTTTCTGTTCTTGGCACTATCGATGGAACAGACAATTTAAGTGAAATTTTTCTGTTGTAATTAATCCCGTTTTTGTTACAAACTTGTGAAGCGACTGGCTTGAGCTAATAAGAATATAGATTGTAACCCTTCGCATAGGAAACCGGTTCAATTTTTTAGTACTCTCATTTTCCTAATCTAAATCATACTTAAACCCTGGCGATTGCAAGTTATTGTAGTAATTGTAGTGCAGTATTTGTGACTAACCAGGTCGCATCGGTGGTAGTAAAGCAGACGGTGAAATGGGGATCACATTTGTTGGACGAAAACCATCCCGAGTCGCATCTTTGCCCGTCAGACATCATATGCCGAGTATTAGAAAATTTAACAAATCGTACGCGAAATTGAACAGTGGACTAGTGCGCGTCGGCCAAGCACTGGAAGAAAATTTGTTGCAGGTAAACCCAAAGAAATGCCAAGCGATGTATTTATGTTCTGACCGAAATACAGAACCGGATCCGGAAGTTGTCATTAATGGGTCGGTAATTGGCATAGCGAAATGTGTACGATATCTTGGTGTCGAAATTGATAATCACCTGAAGTGGAATGAGCAGTTCAGAAAGGTACAGCGGAAAGGGAATTTTGGCATTGCCATGATTAAACGGGCACAGCAAGGGCTCAGCATGTCACAGCGCAAAGGTCTCTATCACGCCTGCTTCGGTTGCCATATCGCACACCAGTCGCCGGTATGGTCTGCAGCGTCTTCGACTGAGCGCGACAAGCTAGCCGGACTACAACGTAAAGCTCTGAAAACCATCACTGATTACAAGATGCCGGTTACTCCGGAACTGTATCAGAAGCTGGGTATTCCTCACATATTCGACCGATGGCGGCAGAGCGATGCGGTGTGGTTGTTCAAGTTCTGGAACAAAGATCAGTTCCCGCTTCCGCTTCCGGCCTACCTCCTGGACATGATCCAAGTAAAAGATAACACCACGCGCTACAACTTGCGGAAGCCGGCCCGGATCGATGTTACGCGGGCAAAGAAAGTTATCGGAGGGTGGACTATGGAAATGCGGCTAAAGCGTCTTCTTGATAAACTTCTTGCTGTTAATCCTAAAATTCTCGAAGCCAGTTCTGTACCTTCTTTCAAATTTCTACTCAGATCTGTTAAACTCTCCTAAACATTTTTGTTAGCGGAAAATTGTTTTTGTTCGACCAGACTCGAAGTCCCTTCGGGGTTGTCTGCTCTTGTGCCGTAATAATAATAATAATAGTTAATGTTGCGACGATTTCATTTTCATGCGTAGTGCGTGGCATAATTTGCCCATGAGCTCCAAGAAGTAAGTAGTACGCAAGAAAAATTAGGGAATACATGTTTGCGACACACTAGAATCTTTTATCAACGGCATCCAGAAATTATACATGCACAGCAGACCGATGCCAATTGCAATCTTCGTGGGAAAGTTAGTTTTCTTGAACACTAAAATGACTACAATTATCGGCGTTTACAATGGAACTTCTCCTGCAGCACTTAAACACCGACCGGACTGACCAGTGGGCGTTGCCAATTTGACCATTTCAAACAAGATAACGCTTAAAGAGATGGCCATAACAGCTTTCACTTTCCCTTTCCTCTATGGCGCGGCGCACAGACGAAACGACGAAGAAAACAACGACGACGTGGAAATACGGCTGGGAAAGGCAGCAGCAGATCGCTCAAGTACCCTGTCTAGTGTCTACCTCCAGCTTGTCAGGAATGCTCTGCGCACACTGTGCAGTGTGTACCATTCAACGCTCTGACAAATCACATAGCATGCTCCGAAATCTCTTCCTTCTTCAATTTTCGTGTAAACACATAATTGTCAAACACATACATCATAACCACGTTCAGGTACGAAAATTGTCTACTATTAAGCCAAACCATAGCACGAATGAATGGCCAAACAAATCTCATAAATGATCTGACAAAACTGGTTAAGAAAATTTCACACGCGAGGTTAAACGAAAAACAGGAAATCTCTCTTGCTCATTTCTGTACAAAAATCACCATCACAAATCATTGGGAGGACTGGCCAACTTTTGGCCATCGGAAGCCGGGTCGGAATGGAAGAGCGAGAATAGTATCGGGCAATGAGTACCGCCACAATAACAACACCAATGCCGGCTGCCATACCAAATTTCATTTACAAACGGTCATGTTGAGGTGCGATCACCGGTGGCTTTTTCGTTGGTCTTGTAAATTTGTTTTCGCGAGCCTCTTCCTGAAGCTGTCTAACCAAAACGAACGAAAACGTTACTGTACTGGAAAATAAAATATAAAGGCAAATCTACAAAAAAAAACTTCCATCGCCGAAATGGATCAAATTCTAAAAGAAATATGTTACAAAATTTAAGAAATCCATGTTTACGCTTTCTATAAAAGAATCACAGCGAGCGAACTTTTTGAATTAATTTAAAGTTAATCAATAAACTGTCGTAAAAAACTGTCGTGCACTGTCGTAAAAGCACTCCACTCCATGAAAATGCAGCAGAACGATATTTTCAGAATTTAAAAGCAGCAATAAGGGTTCAACAATTGTTCTGTAATCACGATAATAGCATCTAATCAGCCCTGGACTTTAAGCAGAATCGGCCATTACGAAAGCCCAGATAGCAGATACGTACGGTACACGTTCAGCCTCCGGGGCAATCGTGGCAGGAGGGAATTGAAGGTAAAGATCCCGGGCGTCTTTGATTAACGTTTCCCATGATAGAGTGGTGGGGAGATAATTGAGAAATCCGTGAACTTCGGCCTGATCCTCAGGCAACGACAGGATCCGATGCGACAGGCTGTTCACTATCTGTTTTAAGAAAATCCTTTTAAACTGATTAAATCCTTCACGTGCTTAGCATGAAACTCACAGCAGCGCCCAAGTAAATCGGCATGTGTGGATCGGAGGCAATAAACAGATCGCACAGGCGAACAACCAATGTTAGGGGAACATTTTCTTGTATGTTGTGACTGTACCAAGTAATAAGCCATGGCAAAGCAAACATTGTGCCAATGTCTGACCTAAAAAACGTCAGAACGGTTAAAAGGATGATTATAATTATCCGTAAATATACCAATACAAACAAATAAGCACACATATTCAATTGTGCACTGGATTTTCTGAAATACAAGCTTAGCGATTGAATAAAAATATTAACGCTCAACCCTGCCATTAATATCTAATATTTAACACCTGCTAGGTTGCTCATAATTTTTACGGTCGACTGAAAAACACAAAATTTAAAAAAACGTTCCGTAAAGCGATCGTACGTCACACAACCACCATTACGCATCCACACTGTAAGTCACGCGTGACCCCAAAGCAGCCTGCACCATGAGTCCATGACTAATTAAAAAAATAATAATACAAACACACGGTACAAGTAACTATCCATGCAAATTTGGTGATACAGTACACATCGAACCAATAATACCCATAACACAGGAATTCCAAAAATTATCATCTGCAAGCTTTCAGATAGAGCCATAAAGGCAACGACCTACGGTGTTAAAAAATCATGGAGATGGGGGTTACATCTGCGGATCAGTGGATAAATGAACTGCAGCATAGTAACCGTATCTAATAACGTCGGCGTCATGAAAACGCGGAAATGAGTCTGGCACAGTTTTCGAAGAACGGCAACCGTCACTACAAAGCAAAAACACTAAGTAATTCAAGCTGTGTAACAACGAGCAAATTTTAACACTAAGTAGTACTTATTAGTAGTTATTACTAATGATAAGTAGTTCTACACTTCCCGAAACACACACATCCAACAATACTTATAATATTATCCATATGTCCATGGTAAAAGTACTGCATAATACACCGTTATTATTGCAGAAGCAGCTGAAAATTATTCCATGCCGCATGTGAACTGGTACGACCACAGTTAAGTTGTTAAATAAAAATACAAGAAAGCGCATCGGTTATAAATCTGATAAAACTTACGGTTCCCATCGCGAAGCACCAAATGCACGGTAATGGCGATGTCACGGAATCCTTTGTAGTAATGATAGTCTGTTCCGTGCAATGTCCTCATAATGACACGCTTCAACACATCCTGCATTTCATCGCGGACTTCCGCATCCAAATCAGGCGGATATCTTTTGAGCAGTCTCTCGACATCCAAGTCCACAACACGCGCATCTCGGTGCTCCTTCATGTCCTCTTCGGCTGCGAAAACCCATAGAAATTTTAGTAACTAATTCTAAGCAGAAACCAATAACTAACAAAATACCAACCAAAAATTTACAAAAAATAGCTCTTTTAAACACTTCACAAAAATTACGAATTAGACACCGCATAATTTAGACACTGTAACAAGATCAATTGAAGCGGACTGTCGTACTTGGTTCGTCATGTTTTGCAAAGGGAGTGATATCCAGAATTTTAGGCCACGCTTGCTGACGAATTTTATTCGTCAAAAGTCCGCCTGGTAGAACGGCCATCTGGCGCAGTCGCTCTGTGTTCGCAGAGTTGGCACTGGCCAGCAGTGCATGGATTTCGCGCACTTTTCCGGGGATATCGTCTACAACACAAACTCTGGGATTCCAGCGGCTGAAAGGTACGGTCTGATACAGTGTATTTTAAGACCAAATTAACATGAGTTATGAAAATTTTACCTTCTTCAGACATCGTGGTTCTGGAAGTTGCTACATCGATTCGCATAATGCCCCTTCGTCGCAGCAATTTTTTAATGGATAATCGACGGAATATGCCAGCGGCCTGGAGTCGCGGAAGATGCGGAATGTTTACCGATTTAGGAAAGCAATCCGAAATTTACTCCGCGATACACTGTCAGGGAAAAACCTTGGGTGTAAATTGTGCGATATCAACAGGAATGAGCAGATGCACAACCAACAGTCAGTCAAATTGTTTACATCACTGGCTCAAACTGGAAGCGGAAACAATTAACTAGAGTAAAACAAGGAAAGAGAAAAATGTAAGAGCAGACTCTTTTCTGGTCAGAATGTCAGATTAAACTATTTTTGGAATATTACAATTCACAAACTGACACAAATAACAAGTACAGTAATAACCAACTGTAACCCATTAGAACACCAACCTGATTATGCCGGAGGCAAACCCCGCCGCCGCTGGGCAAGGTTCGCAAAGGTACTTCGCCGACGTATTACCGTACGCTCTTTGAAACCTCCGTCTTCCTTGTCGTCTTCTATGGGAGTGCCCCGGCGAAATTGATAGATGCAGACGCAGAGGTCCACGAACAGAATGAACAAAACTATGCCCAAACCTCCATAGCAACCTAATCTGAAATAATAACAATTCGATCCGCTTGCTTGACAATCCGTCTGAATGAACGCTACGGATACACCAATAAGGAATGGTATAATAACTGACAGAAACCAGTGCTTCTTCAAAATCCTTCGGACTTTTCGCCTCAAATTTAAGAAGCCCTTGATTCTTGACATGACATTATTTGGACGTAGTGCTAGAAACGGGAAAGCGGGAAAGCCCAACTGCAATTTTAGTTTACGGAGTCCAAGGTTTCATTTCTCACGCAAACGGATTGCAGATTCTGAGAATCAAAATCAGTGATGAGTTTCACGAGCGCAACATACTGACAGTAGAGATGCACAATAGTGCACCAACTTGCACCTTACTGCCTTCTCAGTAGGGAAGCCTTACATATACATTACTAGCCATGAGGCATGAGGCTTGCAGCCATGCATCTGCAGTGCTGCACTTTTTATTTGCGTTTAGTTTTGGTTCTCGGTTTGTTATCATTGTGATGAAATTTTAAGGCGGTAATTTACGGATATTGTTGTCATTCCTCCCTGTTTCGTTTGGCTAGCGGTTAGTTTTTCCTGCACAAAACGTCTGGACGTTTTTCTTCTACTAGAACTTTTTCTGTTATGGATGTCTGATCCCTGTGTTTGAGTTCAAGTGCAGCGATTCGTTAACGGTCATGTCGTCAGAGGAGGACGAGTACGTTCCTGGTGGTTCAGGTTCTCCAAAGAAGACTAAGGCTACCAAAAAGAAGAAGGCTGCAGCATCATCCGAAGATGAAGGAGATACTGACAATCAACCAACAAAGATGGCCCGCACCCCCAAAGAGAAGAAAGCCATTAAGAAGATCTACCAGAAGAAATCGCAGCTGGAGCACATTCTCATTCGTCCCGATACATACATTGGCTCGACGGAACTCGTGTCGCAAAAGATGTGGGTCTACGATACCGAGGAGAAGAAGATGGTTTTTCGCGAAATAAAATTCGTTCCCGGACTGTACAAAATTTTCGACGAGATATTGGTAAATGCGGCGGATAACAAGCAGCGCGATCCAAAAATGTCCATGATCAAGGTTGGCATTGACGCGTAAGTTTCAAGTTTGCGATTTAACGCAGGAACTCGAAACAGTGATTGGTTCTTATTTGGGGTTTTTTGGTTTTATAGAGAGCAGAACCAGATCTCTGTTTGGAATAACGGGCACGGTATTCCGGTCGTGGAACATAAAGAAGAAAAAATGTTAGTTCCCACAATGATCTTCGGTCATTTGCTGACTTGGTCCAATTATGATGACGACGAGAAGAAAGTGACCGGCGGACGAAATGGATACGGAGCCAAGCTGTGCAATATCTTCAGTAATAGATTCGTTGTGGAAACCGCTTCGAAGGAGTACAAGAAGAAATTCAAGCAGGTATTGCGTTGGATTTACCGTAACCGAAATTTTGTTTGTAATTATTTATACCGTTATGTTCTGATTCAAACTCGCCTTGCGCTAGAAATGATTACGATTACCTTGTGTTTTTGTCTATGTTTATTTCAATATTGCAGGAATGGTCGAAAAATATGGGAAAGGCAGGTGAGCCAAAAGTGGATTCGTTCAGTGGCGAAGATTACACCAAAGTCACTTTCGAGCCCGATCTCAGCAAATTCAAAATGGCAGTACTGGAAAAGGACACTGTGGACCTGTTATCAAGGCGAGCGTACGATGTTGCTGGAACCAGTGGAGGCGTTAAAGTGTACCTCAAGGGAGAGAAGCTACCGGTACGCGTACATTATACGAATTACGAAATGCGTAATATTCCTCGATTTTTGTTACTGACGGTTTTCCCAAACCAGTCTGTAGAATGTGTTTTAACCGGGTGGGTCGTCCGTTCATTTAGTACGTATTTCTTGTTGCCAGTGGTTAGTACTGCAGTTAGTCAGGTTTATGTGAAATTCATAATAAGCCTTCCAATAAGTAGATGTTGCCGTCTCTCCCTGGTCATAAACTAAAAAGAGTGAATCCCTAAGTAGATCTACTCTAGGCTAACATCAGTTTTCCCTGAACCACATACCCTCATCGGAGTTGATCGATGTCACTTGGTTTAATTGCTGTATTCCCTTCTGTTTGTCCTTTTTTTAGATCTCTAATTTCAAGCAGTATGTTGAGCTATATACGGCCAATAACTCCGACGAAATGGGAAATCCCTTGAAAGTTGTAACTGAGAAGGCTAACGAAAGGTGGGAGTTTGCGGTCACTTCGAGCGACACTGGATTTAGTCAAGTCAGCTTCGTCAACAGCATCGCTACTACAAAGGTAATCGATAGATTTTTTTAACAGTTTTGTAGAATTATTTCCTAATGTGTTGTTCTGATTCATTGTAAATTGGTGAAGTATTCAGGGTGGGCGCCATGTGGAATACATCACTGACCAGATTACCAAGGCAATGAACGAGGTCATCAAGGAAAAGAACAAGAGCGGTGCAGAGATTAAACCATTTCAGGTGTGACAGTGAAACTTTGTTTTTGTCTTTCAGTTCGAGTATACTTTGGAGTTTTACCTCTATGGCTTAGTCTTTTAAGACATGTTTTTCTTGAAGAATTTAGCACTCTACTCTTTTGCGAATGGATATTCTGGTCACTTTGACGCGAGTCCGCAGTACCGTACGGAGCGTAAGACTCACTGTTATTGTTTTAGGCGATCAAGGGGAACGTAAGGGAATGCTTTTACAGCCTACCAGAACTGGAAGAATGGAAAGCGAATCTCACGGAGAGTGAGTTGAAAAAATACAAGATCAAATATTATAAAGGATTGGGTACTAGTACCTCAGAGGAAGCCAAAGAGTACTTTACAAACATTACGCGGCATCGGATTGCGTTCCGATACGGTGGAAAGGACGACGACGATGCTGTTGATTTGGTAAACCGTCGGTTCATCGTTTTATTTTAATTACGTATTAGCTGTTTACTGTAAAATACCCGGGTATTTTTCTGTTATATTTGATAATTTTGTTTGTCGTACTTATGCCTAAATTTACTTTTCGTTAGGCGTTTGCGAAAAATAAAGCAGATGCCAGGAAAGATTGGCTGACGAAAGGAATGGAAGAACGTAAGCAGCGCAGACTGGAGGGTCTTGGCGAGGTTAGCAAAAGCGCACTGTCGTGTTACTACGCATATAGTTTCCTTTTCGTGATCGGTATTGTTTTACGCAGGTCTACCTCTACACGAAAACCACAAAGTCTGTGACGTTTAGAAAGTTCGTGGACGAGGAGCTGATTCTGTTTAGTAACATGGATAATGAGCGATCCATCGCTTCGCTTGTTGATGGTGAGAAATCCGACTTGACAGGATCCCATGAATATATCTTATGTGCTTGCTATCAATTCACTTATTTGCGGGATAATTACACCTGCATTCAGGTTTGAAGCCTGGCCAGCGGAAAGTGCTTTTTACGTGTTTCACGCGGAAGAAAAAAGGTGAAGCGAAGGTGGCCCAGTTAGTCGGTTCCGTCGCTGAAAAGTCCGCTTACCATCATGGCGAAGTAAATCTCATGCACGAACTGTTTTGGGATTTTTTATCAGTTTGTATTATTTTTGGTAGCAGTCACTTATGTCAACAATTGTTGGATTGGCTCAAAATTTTGTTGGGTCGAACAACATCAATCTCCTCCTGCCACTCGGACAGTTCGGTACTCGACTGCTTGGTGGAAAGGATGCTGCCAGTGCTCGATACATCTTCACCAATTTGAGGTATTTCGTGGTTATCCATCTTCGCGTCAATATTAATGTCAGAGTGTCGTTTGGATAACAGTCATATGGCCAGAGCCGTATTCCATCCGCACGATGATCCGCTGTTAAATTATTTAAACGAAGATAACCAGAAAATTGAGCCAGAGTGGTATATTCCCGTTGTGCCTATGGTGTCAATGAATGGCGCCGAGGGAATTGGAACCGGATGGATGACGAAAATTCCGAATTATAATCCACTGGATATTGTCGCGAATTTAAGAGCTTTGATCCGTGGAGATGAAATAAAACCAACGGTAAATGCTTTCAAGTTTACATGCAAACTTTTTAGCTAACTGTGCACATATCTTTGATCATCAACATTGTTGCAGAAACCATGGTACAAAGGATATCACGGTGAAATTTTGCCAGTAGATTCAACTCGTTACTTAACTAACGGGGAAGTGGCAGTTCATGATCAGGAGAATTCGATTGAAATAACGGAACTGCCTATTCGGACTTGGACTCAAAACTACAAAGAAGTGGTTGTTGAGCCTTTGCTTTTAGGCTCTGAATCCAAAGATGGTAAAGGAAAGCCTCCCCAGATTCAGTAAGTCCATATGTACTTACTCGTATATATGGTTTTTGTGTTTATACAAGCACGGCTATTCCGACGTTTTACATGCAGAGATTACAAGGAGTACCATACGGATACTACCGTCCGTTTCGTGATTCGAATGTCAGGGCAGAAGTTTGTGGAATTCCAAAGGGAAGGATTTCATAAGACATTTAAACTCCAGCAGACCATCTCTATGAGCAGTATGGTAGGTGCGAAGGATCTTTGCATTAATTACTACATTACCGGCATTTTTTTTCGGCAGTCTCTTTTGTGTAGAATGTGTGTCAAAAGTCCTAAAACTTACGATCTTGATTTTTACATTTCATGGATTCGTACAACTTGCCTACTTCGAATTTCCTTCTGAGTAATATATCTGTACTTACAATTAGATGTGTTGCTTGTTGAAGTGTGGGTTCAGTTCATGTGGCCTGCTTGCTTCAGGTTCTGTTCGATTCCAATGGAGTGATTCGCAAATACGATAATGTCAGCGACATCTTGCGTGAGTTTTTTGAAGTTCGAATGACATTCTATGGAAAAAGAAAAGATTTTCTCGTGGCGCGTCTGTCGGCTGAGGCTTTGAACCTTGAGAATCAAGCCCGGTTTATCGACGAGAAAATTAACGGGAAAATTACAATAGGTAAAACTGGCAGTCCTGTTTAGTCCTCTTTTATATAATTCGTTCTTTTTTATACTGACAGAGAACGTCAAAAAGAAAGACTTTATCAATAAATTAAAGAAAGCTCAGCCACCTTATGACTCGGATCCGGCCAAGACTTGGAAAAAGAAATTTGGATTGCCGGAATACGAAACTCCTACCGCGGATGACGATGATGTCAAGAAGAAAACGGATGAAGCAGAAGCCGGATCAGATTTTGACTACATTCTTAAAATGCCTCTTTGGAGTTTAACGAATGAACGATTTATGGATCTCATAGAGAGACGGGATGATGAGGTAATGCAAATTATCAAGGATCACTTGAATGTACTAATGTAGTGTTTGCGCTTGGATTCCTTCGGGTATTGCAGTTCTGACGCTTTGTTATTATTAAAGAATAAAGAGTTATCAGCTCTTCGGATGAAAACACCCTCGGATTTGTACACGGGTGATTTGGACGAGTTCGAATCCCGTCTGGAAGTATACATTTCCGATTTTCTTCATGATTATTGTAGTTTGATTAGGGTTTCTTGCTGTAGAAAGTGGAAGCTGAAGAAGCCTTTGTGTCACCTACCAAAAAACCTGCTGGCAGGGTAGCGGCCAGGGCTAAAGGCCAGAAAGGACGAGGAGCTGTTGCGAGCTACGCAGATACGCTCCCTTCTGTGTACGGGACACGGGTTGAGCCAGTTGTTGATACTGCCACTATTGCGAAGTTTGAGAAAGCCAAAGAATTAAAAGATCGAAAAGTGGATGTAAGAAAGTCTGTCGCCATGTTATTATCGGGTTCTTCACATTTTTCCGCAATGTGTTAGGGCATAAAGGTACCCCGAGCTCGGGCCAAGAAACCCGCTGAGAATGGCGAAAATCCCGCCTCATCTGAAGCGCCGAGCTCTAACAGGCCGGCAGGAGACGACAGTCGTCGGGTGGATACTAAGCGCCGTCGTATACACATTACGCTGGAAATAAGTCGGGCAGGTCAGCCGTTTAAAGGCATCCTGTTGTGCTTTTTTCTCCTGTGGATGTTGAACTTTGCTGTGGGTTCCCTTCCTATGCTACCAACGGATACTTGCGCTATCCGAAATGACACGTGCCCTCTTCCGGGAAAAAATTATTATGTTCCCAACGTCTCAGATCCCAAAGCGACGATCGTAAGAACATAACACTTAATTTCAGAAATTAAGTTCTAGTGCTTGGCAAATCTTTTGTCAGGCTAACATGATTTGACTGAGAACTGACGGCTAGAATTAATATTGATGCATGTGCCAGTAGTTGCTGGCTAGCAGACTGCCCGTATTTTCGATCCATAAGTCGATTCGTTTCAAATATTGAATTTGTTTTCAGGTGGAAAGGGTCGCATGGTACTTTTTCGGATTTTTCACGGGTCTTATTGTTATGTATTTCTGTATCTTGTTTTCGTCTAAAGTTGAGGTAAGCATTAACAGCTGCTATTTCCTGTAATTCGAAGTACATTAGGTTATTTTATCTGGATGATGAAAATTTTATAGTACTTGCTCTTTCCAGTTTGTCGCAGGGCAGATTGACTTACTTACAGAAATCTCTGCGTCGTTTTCCAAGAAAATTAACCTCAGTTTGAGATTCAGCTTAATACGTTAAAAATCACTGTTATATGTTGATTTTCAAGAAGTTGCTTAAACAAAGATACGAACCTTCTGCTTATGTTATCGATATTTTCATCACAGCCTAATTTATTTTGTGCTCACAGGAAAATGTGACAGCTAACGGAAGAATTTGTAAGCGACATAATCTGAATATTACAATTATGGTGGCGCGCTTTTCTGGGTTTCTAATTACTTTTATTTCTTTTCTAGCAAAACGTGAAAATGGACGCGGATCCGATCAAAATGCCATTCTAGCATCCAGAGCTCAACGGGCGTTAGAAGAATACGCAGAAAGCCAGGAAATGCCATTTGAAGTAAAGGAGTATTGAGAATCGTATTTTTTAAGCTTACTTGTATGCATTTGCAGCCAACGTGTCCATATTGTAATTATCTTTGCGACGAGGATTTGTCGACCATACACAGGAGAACAGTTACAGTAGAAAACACGCGAGATTATGGGTTCGGGTTCAATTGCAAGAAGTTCCCTGGGACTGACGGTACGAAATGGATTGTAATTTCGGATGTCATGGATATGCAGATTGCCGTTTACAAGGGTGACTTTATCCGGGAAATTAACAAAATAGTAAGATCAAAGTTTTTTTTTCAAGCCACTAACTATGACACTGGCGAATGAATTTCGGCTGTGATAATTCTCTTGGTCAATCGTCTGTAGTCAACGCAAGAACCTAACCAGCGATCCGCTTTGAAAGAATTGTTCAAAAAGACTGGCAAAGCCTTCTCAGTGACTTTGGTACTGGAATACCGCCATGATTTGTCGCCACATATCGACGCTAGTTCCGGCGGTTTTTCTGGATAGCCGCCCGATTCCATGGGACTAATTGATGGATCATGAGCAGTGCTAGCACGACCTTACTGTTGCTGCATGTTAAGCTTCAAAATTGTGATATTGTACTACTTTGGCAAAACTTTTTAACCCAGTGTTCTCTTTAAATGTTCCCCGCAAAGGCGCAGATAAAATTGAATTTCATGTGGAATATTCGTATTGCTTTTTATTATGTTAAGGCATTTTGAAATCATTGCATACTTTTTTTGTTAAATAACTTTTGCCTTCATTACCATGTTGGTCATCGTATCCTATTAGGTGATGCAGTCGAAAAAAATACAGATAAAGTTTGTGTTAAGATGCAGTTGTGTGTGAAGATGCAATGTGTCTCTCCATAATCGCTTCATGCGCGTTCAGAATGAAATGTACCGGTAAATGGCCGTAGTTCATGGTGAGTGGTTAATCAGCGCGATAAATTCGATAAACCATCGCGCTGTCGGGCGGCAACACTGGAAACCAAAGAACATGAACAGCGGAAAGGTTGATTGAACAAAACGCATAATATGCGCGAACGTGAGCTGGTAGGCAGTTAATATCATCAGTCCAATTAGCCCAGCTGTAGCTCCCCATGGGCCATAGCCCGTTGCATCAGCATCTTGCCGTATCCGATTTTCGATCTCGTTCCAGCTCAAAATTCAAATGCCATCAGTTACATCTGTTCCGGGCGAGCCTGTATCGTGGCAGCATGGACCAGTTTATTTAAGCCACTTGAGAGTATTTTAACGATGAAGCTGTTAACCAAGCAGTAAGCGCTGATTATTGGGACATCTCAACGGGTTATTCGGTTGAGTAATCACGCTTGTATGAGCACTCTAACGAAAGGTAAACTAAGACCACCTGTGGTTTTCATCGTGCGTATGGACGTGTAGAAAAAACGTGTTATGCTCTTTTTTCTCCGTGCAGATCCTGTATCGACTCGGGTGATCCACATTGCGGCTGGGATGTCTCCGCCAGATGTGTCGAGCCCAACCGGAAGGTGACAAGCAACACAATACCGGATGGACGCGTTCCCGTCTGGACAAATGCCACAGTAATACGATCTTTCCGGCATGGGACGAGCAGGCGTGGTATCCGTTTAAAGAGGATGGCAGCCATGAATCGTGTCAGTGCCGGTCAAGAAAATGCATCGGCAGTCGGTGTCATGCAAGACAGTTCCAAATGACCAACTGTACGCGGCACGGTGGATGGACAGATTATTCCCCGTGGAGTGAATGTTCACGGGCCAACCGCTGCCAGCAAAATCGTACCCGCAGCTGTACAAATCCTCTACCACAATTTGGCGGTAACGACTGCGAAGGCAGTGCACTGGACAGCAGATCGTGTAATGTGGGCGAATCCGAGGCAAAAGCCGATCTGCGCATGGCTGTACCATTGGCGGCGCCGGTGATGTCGGGGGCGCGATTTCAGGATTGGGGTCCGTGGAGCGAATGTTCACGCTCTTGTGGACGCGGAACGCAGCGGCGTACACGATCCTGTATGTTAGGGTCACCCACGGGGAAGTGCGATGGACCCCAGGTGGAAAGCAAAGACTGCAACGTGGAAGACTGTCCACCCATGACAAAGATTGGTAGCTGGTCCATATGGATTAGTGATCCTCGCAAAGGATCGGCCGAAGCGTTTGATGAACATCGGTTTCAATGTGTGGCGGTTATGAATGGAACCGAACTGGAAGTCAATTTGAAGCATAACAAACGAGAATGTCCAAATGCCCGAGCGTGTCACACTGGCCGGTAATCGAGAAACTATTTTTAAAAGTTTTTGCCATGTTTTGAAGTTTTTATCTCCCTTATTGCATGGATATTGTGGTGCTTTTTGTCGACGAATCTGTCGAGAAATGGTAAATTTCTTTTGTTCTACAGTGTATACGATGCCCGTGTGGAAGCTTCCTGGAGCCCCTGGATGGAGTGCAACCATATCGGAGTACAGGAGCGTTTTTATGATTGTAAAGGTGCTGAACAACGTCCTTGTCCAGCATTTGAACAACAAGGTAGGGTATCCAAGTGGTAATTTGCTTGGATGTAAATAGTGTGGTTTTGCCTGATTCAGTCGTCCTGATCAGCAAATTTCTTACTTTAGCCACCGAGGACACTTCATGGGGATGCTGGTCCGATTGGTCACCGTGCACGAATAACGAACAGTCCAGACATCGGATCTGCATAAAAGATAGCAAGGCGTGTCGCCATGGGGAATCGACAGTTGAGGCCAGAGTGTGCAAATTGTATGGTGAGTACGATATGTTATTTTACAGAAGAGTGACCTTTTGTAAAACAGCAATGCTACGTGTGCTAATTCTGAACGAATAACATATAGATGAGAACAATATAGAGACTGCCAGCTCCATCAACCAAGCCGCTGCTTACGGCTCCCTGGGTTATACGGGATATTTGATTGTCGGATGCGTTCTATCATTCCTGGCTGGTACCATTTTAACACTTTCGATTGTCACATATCGCCAAAAGCGGAAAAGTAATCCGCACAACGAAGCCCCGCAGTATCCCATGGCGCCCTACATGGAGCGGCAACCAGTCCAGCTGAATACGTATGCCATCCCGCCGGGCCATCACATACCGAACGGGAGAGCAAAGATCATGACATTGACCATGACGACTACCCGGAAACGCAGGCCTTCGTCCCGAGCGAACCGGTCACGCCGAAAAACTTTGAACGGGGAGCACCCATGAAAGCGTCTTTCAGGGGTGACAATTTTGGCGGGAAGCCGGCGGCACAACGGCAGTTTTCCACAAGCCAGAAAAGCGATCAGTATTTTGCGTGAAGTATTGTACGAAGATGAGCACAGCATAAGGTGATGGGCATACTACAGTGTAATGTTGGTGTGGATGTGGTTATGAACTGATGCTCAGATGCAGATTGTGATTGTTACGGCAGTTTAGCTGGTTTTAGACTAACGTGTCCTTGGACTTGTCTGTCTTTCATGCACCGCGGGATGCTGAGCTGGATTTGCTGTGGAGGTATTCTCGGAAAGTTTCGGTTAAGAGTTTTTGTATTTATGAAATCTTTGTTTGTTGTGGCTCGTTGAATTTTGTTTGCCTTTGTTGTACAAATCAAATATTGCAGTGAGAAACTGATGTTAAATTTGCGATTTGATTTTTGCTACAAGTTGAAGTATTTGCGGCGTTGCACGACAGCACATTTGATGTAAGCCAAAGAAAGCCGTCGTTACAGACAATCACCTCTTACCGAACCCGTTATCGTAAACACTCTGTTTATTACAGGCATCCATTTTACGAAGTCATTGTGTTTTATGAAATTTACGTGGTTTAGGAGTACATTGGTATACCCACATCAACATGTGAAATGCAAATAATTACTATAAATCTGGTAAGAGAGGCCAAAAGAGTAATATAAAAACAAACTTGCTTACAATTCAGTGCTCGAGCCAAGTGCCGTGCATATCAGCAGTTTTCGGTAACCTTTCAAAGGAAACAAGCCACAATGATTATAAGTAGAAAAATTTATTGAAGCGAATATAGAAATTGTAGATACTCAATCAACAATGAAAAATCCCAGGATGGTGGACCTATTGCAATGGGAAATATCGTTACAAAGTCCCGCCATTAGTAAGCTGCTTAAATGTGCTGGTCGTCCGGATGCGTGCAATGGACGGATGACTTCCTGATCTGTGCGACAGATCCGAAGAGCGGACGGTACTGTATACACGTTCACTGGACGCGGCATTGTCCGTCACCGCGCATGTGGAAGGTTGCAGGGAAACGATATCGTCAGCCGGACACAGTTCGGAACTACTGTCCTGAAACATGGGATTGTCGAAGGCCGATACCATCAGGCTGCAGTTGTGCGAAGTCGAAGGGGGTCCGTCGGAGAAAGGACTATCCAACCGATACCGTGAATGGGAACTTCTAGCTAGGATGATTACAATCCCCAAAAGTATTACGACGATAACGCAGAGTGCCGCTATGAACATAATTATACCCGGGGAATGCGGAATATATCCCTGCAACAAAACAATCAATTACGGGTTGTGACCGGTGCGATGACCTTTCGTTTCAACATTTTTTCGGCCTCTACCGAAGACGGGTGCCTACACTATGAATTACGAAAACGCAAACCTGCGCACCAGACGGACTGATTTGTTTGTAATTGTTCATTATAAAATGTTTCAACAAAATTTTTGTTATTAGGTTTACGCACGGTAGAATTAAGGATGGCAATGTTAGTGACAAACTTACTGCATACAACGTAGCCGCATTGTGGGCGTCCAGCAAGTGCAGCGCAGCTTGAATTATGACGCGGAACTCCGATGGAGTGAAGACGGCGGTTTGATTGGCTAAGGCGTACACGGTAATAGTTGGTTGCATAGATTGGTTGGAGCTACAAGATCACAGTCACTTTTTCAAAATTCTGCACGATCTGAAATTGCAATAGTCAAAATTCACTCACATTGACAGACCGGTCAGCTCTACAGATGTCGTCAAAGCGGCAGTGGTCCCGTTGGTTTCGCTGCGCTCCTGAAGCCGCTCGCGGGCTACCTGGTAGATGGTCCAGTTCAGTTTGTCCAGGAATGAACTATCGTGAATGGAGCTCGCCGTCAGTCCGGTTCCAAGTGGTACATCATAATGAACGAAAGCGACACCTTGACAAAAAACATTGTATTTATTATTCTGGAGTAGTTAAATCTATTACTGTACACAGAAACTCTGGCAAAGCGTGGCGGGTATTCTGGATCGCTTGTCTAGTACCTATATTGTACTTACAATAAAAGTATAACTTACGACTTTCTGTCAGCGAGTTCGCATGCTTTGGCCCGAGTGTCGTATTATTACGATCTGCAGTGAAAAAAGGTGTGGGCGAACTGGATTGCGAATCGCTGACCTTCTGGCCATGGGCTGTCGTGGCCGGTGAATCCGTAACTGCGCTAGATTCCACTACCGCGTCAGTGCTGTGTGTTGCAGCTGAGATTTCCGGCAGAATTGTTTCCGGTGGAATGCTGGTAGTCAGTACAGTTCCGTTCAGGTTATTCAGCAAATGTGGGCCAGTCATTTCTGGGCTCGGATGGTCTGTTCCTGCTCTTGTGGTGTCAGTTGTCGTAGATCCTGTTGTCTGCGAGGGTTCGGAGGTGCCGGTCGTGATAGTACTAACAAGTGTGGTTCCTGTTGGAGCGCCGGTTGTCACGGATTCTTTAATAAGCACCGGTTCAGTAACCTGTGAGGTTTTAAAAATTATCGTGAACATTCATTCGAAAAACAAACCTGGAGCGGAAAACATTACCGGGGTTTCAGGTTGAGTAGCGTACACGATCTGCACAATGTCATACGCGCTGGAGTCAGTGACTGCTGACGGACCGGCAACCGTCGAAAGCTCCACAATCTCCAGTTCGTCGAAATCTTTGACTTTGCCAAACTGTTCATTTTCGGACAAAGCAGTTGGTGCAACAGTCTCAGAGGAGATAGTTGTTTCCGTTACAGGAACAAAATCAATGGAAGTATGTACATCGGGAAGGCTCGGTGTCGTTAGAACAGTTTCGGTTACTGTATGATTTTCGGCCAATGATATAGTGGCAGCAGTCGTTTCGATTGGGGAGGAGGAGCTGGTCTCTAAATCTGTGATAACAGGTAACGTTGTTGCTGGAACGTGCGTCACATTGTCCGACGTCGACGTAACCGTGGTCTTTTTTTCGGTGGTCGAGCTTTCCGTTGACGGCGATGTTGTCGCCAGGTAAGTCAAGCTGCCCATGAGCAGCGACACCGTTAACGGCCACACTGTCGAATACGGTGTTGGATGGACAGTGGCAATCCCGCCGCTGGTGACGGCTTCGGCCGATACATTGCTGGAATGCTTTTCAAAATACGGTTCATGGCCTTCTTCTTCGTGGATGGTCGTACCTTCCATTTGTACCACCTGAACGTGTATAGGATTGATGCCGCCATCGGGATCCGTGTGGAGTGTTTCGGCAGTTAATGTGACGTTGCCGGTAGTTGGCAGTGCGTCGCCGATGGGCTCGCTGCTGTTGGTCACCTCCATTTCGTATGCCACCACGTCATCGGTTTGCGAGCCAAATGTTAAAGGATGAATATTGAGATTCTCCGACAGCATCTTTGCATTACAGAAGTCGCCGGTCCAGCCCGGTTCACAGACAATTTGTCCGGTTCGGGAATCGCATGTGAAGTGGTCGTCTGGACGCGGCACACAGTATGTGGAACATTCCGAGTCGTAGTAATGGGGCATGCACTGAATTCGAGATTCCAGTTGCAGGCTGAAATTGTCAAACCACTTTGAATTAGAAAATTTTCAGTTTCACTAAATAAACTAATAAATAAGAGAAACGAATATTAAATAAAAATATTAATACAGATATTAAAATACTATGTGACTTGCACATTATGATACATATCGGCATGCAAACAACTGACAATTTATATGCCCGGTGCAGGTGGTGGCGTTGTTTATTAATGAAAGTACCAACAGATTAAGAACAGACGTCTTTAGACGTATAACAAATTTGTATGTGTGGAACTGTATTTAAGCCAATAAATTTTAAGCGCGCATGATAAGAATGCATTTCGCCATACCTGGTGTTGGCCGCTGTGGAACCGGTCATCCGTAAGCGCAGCATGCCTCCGGATGGACGGCTGTTAAAGTAGTATGTGAAATTATCTATTACCGGTCCTTTTGCCGTATTAGCTCCAAGGAAGCTGCCACGCTCCATCTCATTGATGCGGATGCGCATTTCCACCCCACGCCAGGCGTGTGTGATGTTAAAGACGAAAGGGTTTTTAAAACTGTTCAATTGTTCACCAAAGGTTACTTCTGCGGTATTATCATACGGTCCAAATGTGAAAGGTCCAGCGAAATCACACGTGGCCAACGGATCGACAGTGTCGTTCCTGCATAAAACATTTTATAAACAACCGCTTTTCGTATCATAACCAAACTTATAAAATCGTTATAAAAGAAATCAAAACTTACTTGTTAGTAAATTTACCGTAACATACTCGTATTATCGGCAATAGGATTTTGAAGCAACTGGGACAAGCTGCACAGGGCACAGAGTGCGTAGGACTGTTTTGTGTGTGCGGCAGTGTGCCGGTAAGCAAACTTTTCCAGGCAGTTATTACAGGAAATTAGGAGTACCGCTTTAATCCATACTTGTTAAAATTAATTTAAAATGACTTGTGAATAAACATTCGATCAAATAAACGACTCTGCTTCTGCTGCAGTTGAGAAAATGATTACCAATAGCAAAACAGGAAGTAAGTAATAGGAAGAAAAAATAGAAACACTAACAATAAGAGGAAAACGGTTGAATCTTTATTTCCCTCATTTTCCTAATCTAAATAATTACCTAAATCCTGGCGATTGGAAGTTATTGTAGTAACTAGTAATATTTGTGACTAACCAGGTCGCATCGGTGGTAGTAAAGCAGACGGTGAAATGGGGATCGCATTTGTTGGACGAAAACCATCCCGAGTCGCATCTTTGCCCGTCAGACATCATATGCCGAGTATTAGAAAATTTCACAAATCGTACAGTTAATGTTGCGACGATTTCATTTTCATGCGTAGTACGTGGCATAATTTGCCCATGAGCTCCAAGAAGTAAGTTGTAAGCAAGAAAAATTAGGGAATACATGTTTGCGACACACCAGAATCTTTTATCAATGGCATCCAGAAAATTATACTTGCACAGCAGATCGATGCCAATTGCAATCTTCGTAGGAAAGTTCGTTTTCATGAACACTAAAATGACTACAATTACCGGCGTTTACAATGGAATTTCTCCTGCAGCACTTAAACACCGACCAGACTGACCAGTGGGCGTTGCCAATTTGACCATTTCAAACAAGATAACGCTTAAAGAGATGGCCATCACAGCTTTCACTTTCCCTTTCCTCTGTGGCGCGGCGCACAGGCGAAACGACGAAGAAAACAACGACAACGTGGAAATACGGCTGGGAAAGGCAGCAGCAGATCGCTCAAGTGCCTGTCTACCTCCAACTTGTCAGGAATGCTCTGCGCGCACTGTGCACCATTCAACACTATGACAAATCACACAGCATTCTGCGAAATCTCTTCCTTCTTTGCAGTTTTCGTGTAAACACAGAATCGTCAAACACATACATCATAACCACGTTCAGGTACGAAAATTGTCAACTATGCCAAACAAATCTCATAAATGATCTGACAAAACTGGTTAATAAAACTTCATACGCGAGGTTAAACGAAAAACAGGAAATCTCTCTTGTTCATTCCTGTACAAAAATCACCATCACAAATCATTGGGAGGACTGGCCAACTTCTGGCCATCGGAAGCCGGGTCGGAAATGGAAGAGCGCGAATAGTATCGGGCAATGAGTATCGCCACAATAACAACACCAATGCCGGCTGCCATACCAAATTTCATCCACGAACGGTCATGTTGGGGTGCGATCGCCGGTGGCTTTTTCGTTGGTCTGGTAAATTTGTTTTCGCGAGCCTCTTCCTGAAGCTGTCTAACCAAAATGAACGAAAACATTACTGGAAAATGAAATACATAAAGGCAAATCTATAAAAAACTTCCATCGCCAAAATGGATCAAATTACAAAAGAAATATGTTAATAAATTTAAGGACTTCATGTTTACGCTTTCTATAAAAGAACCACAGAGAGCGAGCTTTTTTAAATTAATTTAAAGGAAAATCAATAAACTAATTGTGCACTGCCGTAAAAGTGCAACAGAACTGTACTCCGTGAAAATGCAACGGAACGATATTTTCAGAATTCAAAGCAGCACTAAGGGTTCAACAATTGTTCTGTAATCATGATAATAGCATCTAATCAGCCTTGGACTTTAAGCAGAATCGGCCATTACGAAAGCCCAGATAGCAAATACGTACGGTACACGTTCAGCCTCCGGGGCAATCGTGGCAGGAGGGAATTGAAGGTAAAGATCCAGGGCGTCTTTGATTAACGTTTCCCATGAAAGAGTGGTGGGGAGATAATTGAGAAATCCGTGAACTTCGGCCTGATCCTCAGGCAACGACAGGATCCGATGCGACAGGCTGTTCACTATCTGTTTTAAGAAAAGCCTTTAAACTGATTAAATCCTTCACGTGCTTGGCATGATAACTTACAGCAGCGCCCAGGTAGATCGGCATGTGGGGATCGGAGGCAATAAACAGATCGCACAGGCGAACAACCAGTGTTAGGGGAACATTTTCTTGTATGTTGTGACTGTACCAAGTGATAAGCCATGGCAAAGCAAACATTGTGCCAATGTCTGACCTAAAAAACGTCAGAACGGTTAAAAGGATAATTATATTAATTTTATGCATTAATGTACCAATACAAACAAATAAGCACACAAATTCAATTATGCACATTCTCACGAGCTCAGTGATTGAATAAAAATACTAACACTCGCTCACTGCAATTAACATTTAATAACACCTGCTCATTTACGGTCGAATGGAAAACCCCATATTAAAAAAGGTCTGTAAAATAATCGTACGTCACACAACTACAGTACTACCACCATTACGCATCCACACTATGCATCACGCATGACCCCAAAGCAATCCAGTTCATGACTAATCCAAAAAAGTGATAATACAAACACATTGTACATGTATCTCATGCAGATTTGGTGATACACGTTGAAGCGGTAATACTCATAAAACGGGAATTAAAAAAATTTCCAAAATTATCATTTACAATCTTTCAGATAAAGTCATAAAGGCAACGACCTACCGTATTAAAAAATCATGGAGATGGGGGTTACATCTGCGGATCAGTGGATAAATGAACTGCAGCATAGTAACCGTATCTAATAACGTTGGCGTCATGAAAACGCGGAAATGAGTCTGGCAAAGTTTTCGAAGAACGGCCACCGTCACTACAAAACAAAAACACTGTGTATTTTAGGCTATGAAACAATGAGCAGATTACTAAACTAAGTAGCAAATAAGTAAAATTATAGTTCCAACCTAAGTAGAAGTACTTATTACTAATGATAAGTTTAAGTAAGTAGTTCTAAACTTCCCGAAACGTATACTACCAACAATATATCCACATGACTATGATAAAAGTACTGTATAATAATACATGTACACCCATTATATGTTTATTCAGGCAACAGCCAATTAACATAACAAGCAAGCCCGCGCCGATAGACGCTAATAAAAAAACCGAGGTTTATTTACACCCATTATTACTGCAGAGGCAGCTGAAAACTATTGCGTGATGCGTGTGAACTGGTATGAACACAGTTAACTAAAAATACAGTGCAGATCGCAATAAAGCGTATCGGATATAAATCTGGTAAAGCTTACGGTTTTCATCGCGAAGCACCAAATGCACGGTGATGGCGATATCATGGAATCCTTGGTAGTAATGATAATCTGTGCCGTGTAGTGTCCTCATAATTACGCGCTTCAACACATCCTGCATTTCATCGCGGACTTCCGAATCCAAATCAGGCGGATATCTTTTGAGCAATCTCTCGACATCCAAGTCCACCACACGCGCATCTCGGTGCTCCTTCATGTCCTCTTCAGCTGCGAAAACCCATACAAATTTTAATGACTTATCATCATGAACAGAAACCATGAACTAACGAAACACCAACCAAAAATAGTATTTTAAACACCTATTAAAATCTGCACCGCAAAATTTGTACCACTGTAACAAGGTCAATTAAAGCGGACTGCCTTACTTGGTTCGTCATGTTTTGCAAAGGGATTTATATCGAGAATTCTAGGCCACGCTTGCTGACGAATTTTATTCGTCAAAAGTCCGCCAGGTAGAACGGCCATCTGGCGCAGTCGCTCTGTGTTCGCAGAGCTGGCACTGGCCAGCAATGCATGGATTTCGCGAACCTTCCCGGGGATATCGTCTACAACAAAAACTCTAGGATTCCAGTGGCTGAAAGGTACGGTCTTATACAGTCTGTTTTAAGACCAAATTAGCAAGAGTTATGAAAATTTTACCTTCTTCAGACATCGTGGTTCTGGAAGTTGCTACATCGACCCGCATAATGCCCCTTCGTCGACAGGCTCTTCGCAGCAATTTTTTAACGGATAATCGACGGAATATGCCAGCGACCTGGAGTCGCGGAAGATGCGGAATGTTTACCGATGTAGGAAAGCAATCCGAAATTTACTCCGCGATCACTTTGCTGTCAGGGAAAAACCTTGGGTGTAAATCGTGCGATATCAACAGGAATGAGCAGATGCACAACCAACAGTCAGTCAAATAGTTTACATCACTGGAAGCGGAAACAGTAAACGGTAAACCGACAGAAATTAACTAGAGTAAAACAAGGAAAGAGGAAAACGTAAGCGCATGACTCTTTTCTGGTCAGATTAAACTATTTTGGAATATTACAATTCACAAACTGACACAAATAACAAGTACAGTAATAAAAATAAACCAACTGTAACCGCGTTACCGCTTTTGTGCCTGTATTTGTGGTTTACGTAATTTGACCGGATTTCACGCTTGTCACGGCTTGTGACTAATTTAAAGCATGTAAAATTAAGTATATCAGCATTCAGCAATCAGCATAATTATTTAACCCCAAATTTTGATTTCATACTCATATAAATTAATATGCTGAGGGGTTTATCCATCTGTAAACAATGTCGCATCTTATAAAATTCACGAGATTTTAGCACTCTTATCTGCCTTTATTACAAACTCACTTCCGCCACCGAGCCTTCGACATCATTATGTAAAATCAATGGCATAACAGTGTAACACTACAGAAATCCTGACCTTCTGATGACGTTCGCCGTACCTACTATGTAAATAAATTTCATTTAATATTAAATTACCCTTTGTACCGTTATTACTTTAGTGCACAGCAACTTTTATAAAAACGTGGTACGTGTGAAAACATACGTATAGCAGCTAAGAAAAACGATGCTGATTTTCATACAGAAATTGGTTTCTTTTGTGGTCAGGAGTTGTGAAGATAGCAGAAGTATGTTACTCTATTCCAAGTCCCTTTTAATAGTTTTTGTGTACCATAGTAAAAGATTCGTACAGATACTAATCATACTATAATGTCATATATTTCATTAAATCTATGTCACCAAATAAAATTTCAAGTTGGTTCTCACTACACTGGCAAAGAAAGACAGCTTCAGAGTTCTACGTGAACCGGGTGCTCATTCGGATTCGGCGTAGGCGTTCTGGATACTCCTGGTACTTCTCCAAGTTCATCGTCATCTTCCGCCAAAATCTCTTCTTCATAATTTTCTCTATTGTTTGTCCTTGTGTCACTTCCAGCCGTGTCCTCCATAATCACATCATCGCGAATTTCCTCGGGACATTGTACTTTGGGCCGGTCGGGACGTTTTCTGGATGAATTCTGTGCATCCGTGGATGCTTTTGCATCCGGTTGCTGCTCACCTTTTTCTTGCTTTTCTTTTTCTGCCACAGCGTCCGCAATGAGTTTCTTCATATCTTGGTTATATTTCTCCAGATATTCTTTTATTTCCGGGCTAAGTTTAGCGCCGCCGGCTCCGGCCTTGCCAGTGAACGGTGCCAAGTCAGCTTGTTGGTCAGTCATAATATCCATGAAATCCTGCATGCGATCGTGAAGGCGGCCCAGGAACAAAGCCTGTGCTGCTGGCTGTAATAAATCCAAATCATCGGCCGAGAAAACAGCATCACGGTTCAAATCCAGCAGCAAAAACAGTTCCCCGGCAATTGCTTCATATTCATCATTCCATTCGGTCATTTTCTGTAGTAGTTTCTTATCCTTCTTTAACCAGTTTTGCATCTGGTCGAATGTGAAATTTTTCTGCCCAACGGCGTTCAGAATGAGCTGCAGTGGAGAAATGGTCATGATTTTGTTGAGATCAATCTCCGGTTCTTTCGCCAGTTTCAGCAGTCCCAGTGTCATTTTGCCGGTTGGAACGGCGCCGCAAATCTTATCGGACGAATCAATTGTTTTTCGAATCCAGTTCGTTTCCGCCTCAATGAAATTAGAAGAGATTTTCACAAATTGTGTCCATTTTGCTGGGATGTACAGACAGTCCGTTGCTGCTAGTTCCGCTTTATAAAATTTTGCAAAACGCAGCCCGGGAATTTTTCGCAGGTCAACCGAATCGAAATCGAAGGTTTCCGCTGCATCGATCTCGAGTGTAACAGTAAAGTTGCTATCCCGGTGAACTTGATTCCCATTGACCAAAAAAACATTTTTCTTTCCCTTTGCCACGCAGACTAACCGATCCAGATTGCTGACAGCGGGAATTACATTGGTCTTCTTCGAAGCAGACATCCGCAGCTTCGCTTCTTGCAGTTCTTCGATAATCGCTTTGCACTGCACCGATACCGGAATACTGAAATCTATGCGCATAAAATCTGGAATAGTCGTCTCCATCTCTATAGCGGTATCCCAGGACTTTCGCAGGAAAAACTCTCGAAGCGACAATTCCTCGGTGTTTTTTGATGGCCCAGTCGCGTTTACCCGGTGCAGTGCGGCAAAGGCATTCGTTGTGAAAAAGGAATCTCTCGGCCAGTTTTTCTCAATATTCGTATCCTTGAATGCCCCGGCCACAACCAATGGCATCGCCGGAATGGCATAATCGTCAATAAATGTCTTTCGCGGCGGGAAGGATTTGACGCGGTCTACGCTGAACGACGGCGCGGTTTGACCCAGCGGTTGACCGTTGCCCGGCCAATCGTTAGGATCCGCGCTGAAGTGTGCCTGCGTTGGCCATTGCTCTTCCGGTTCCAGTTCTGGTAAAATATCTAAATCTGCGTGTTCGTCCACACTTTCCGAAACCACAGTTTCGGTGGGTTGCGACAAATCCTCATCATGATCAACTGCAGGAATTCCTCTGCTTAGAAAGAGGAAGAGCAGAATGCAGCTGCTCACTAAAACTTTCGATGGGAGCATATGCTTCCTAAGAACCATGGTTTGTGAGGAACGTGGTTTCGGCTTTATCAACATTTCACGTAATCGGTATTTGGTTGCAACGTTAACACGATTCGCAGTTTTCATACTTAGTCTTCCGCATAGTTGCACATAGGTTGCATTTGCACTGATAAGCGCTCATAAATTTCGATAAATTGTGCTTGTGCTCGACTCCTTCATAATGCAATTTGCATTATCGCATTGTGCACCTCGATCGCTCCCACACAGATAGCGCCAGCTTTGAGCTAATTTATTTACGTGCGACAACACATAAGAACTTTTCTTACGACGTCTGGACTCAAACTTCCACAAATGAAGTTTAGGTGTGGTGGTTTTCTGAAAATTTTTGAGTTGGTGATACCAAAAAAAAATAAATAAAAAGAAATTGTTATTTAATGAGCATGATTGTAAGAAATGAAGACTAAACAGGCAGAATTTGCTGAGCTAGGCTTAACTTATAAGCCATAATTTAAACATTTTAATCTTAAACAAGAGCAGAATTGAAGAAGCACGTCCGATAATCAGTTATAATCCATGTAAACGTATGTCCAAGGACGTCGTTTAATACGGTAATTCTTTATTGGCACAAATCATTCATTGCAAGCTGCCGGCTTTGGTCCCTGTTAAGAACAAACGATTTGCAAAATTCTCATGGGTACGAGTACTGTAATAGCGCATCAGTATTGGGTATTTAGAAGTGTTTAAAACTTACAGTGTACGTATCACAGATGAGTCCCAAAAGGTCATACAAAGCGCGCGATTGCATGCTGGCGGTATGAATCTGCAATTAATATTCCACATAATGCTAAATTATTGAAAAACTGATAATCTAAATAGTTACAACTTACAAAGTCAAAACAAAACTGGTCACAGTTTACTGTAAGAAAACATCACAAATTATGATCCGCTTGTATACTTGTACATAGCGTACTTCTAAAGCTATACGTGTTCTGCTTCCACAACTAGCTTCTAATAATTTAAAATTTTATAAAGTTATCATTTTAACTTAATTATTTCACTCTTACGCCATTGATGACCATCCAGGGCACAAAAGTCAGTTTGGGATCCAGAGATTCCGTTCGCACTCCCATAGTGTGTTCCAACTGGTTTCCTTCTGAACTTTTCGAGCACTTGTCAATAGGTGCAAAGTCAATGCTTTGCTGGCTCGCACACTGTTAAGCAGTTGCAGGTATAATTATCCTATTACAGATGTAGGTATCCATAATTCAAAACAGCAAAGTTTTTGTGCAACATACATCAGGTCCAGCGGATGAGGGATCTTTTGCGGCTTCCATGCAGTTAATTAGGGTAAAAACGCGAGAAATTTTTGTAGCGGGGTCAGTGTTGTTCAGCGGCAAATATTTCAGAGCACAAGACTGCAAAAGCAAAATTCAAAATCTGCCGCTTTCTGAAGAACATTGCAGTTTCAGGATTCTAATTGTTTCTGCTGTAGAAATACTGCATATTACCGTTTACACAAATGACACACTGGGTGTTAGTTAAGTACCTTAATAATTTAAGCGTACAATTTGTCGCGATTCAAGAGTTGTTTACGACAGCCGGTAACGGCATTAAAGGAATTCGTGAGTGCTTACTTGAATTACGTTTCCAACACATTCCCTTGGTCCATGTTGGCAGGTGAAAACCCAGTTATCGCCATCCTGTTTTTGCTACATTAGCAAAAAGCCTACTTATAGTCGCACTTTATATACATCAGACAACCAAACTTTGCAAATCGATATAAAAAATTAATTTTGTTATGCTGCCAGTTATAGTGTCGAATATATGCATAAAAACTTCTCCTCGTATAATACTTTTGTGCTCGTACCGTTGCTTTGCCGTAAGGAATCATGGACACGTTCATAATGCTGTTGATCTGCTGCAAAGTTGGATACAGCTGGTTTGTGATAAATGCACGACTGTCCGGGCATAGTGTTTCATAATAAACTTCTAAAAGTACTGGCGCTGCATCCCGAATTCTTCGATGGGAATGGTGATTCTTCTTGTGATGAAGCTTCGATGAGGCGCACGCAAACACAATCGTTAAGCTAGTCAGCACCAGCATATATTTACCGGAAGTCAGCATTTTTGAGTTGGTTGCAGGTGCAGTTCCAGTTGCCGGTACTTTAGATATTCGTGCACACTTGCAAGACTTTGTGTGCGAGTTGTTTTTATACAAAACTTAGGAAGTTTAAAAACACTGTAACAAAATGCACTGGTGGTGTTAATTCGATCAGGTGAACGTCAGATGACCTAAGCGCATTGCTGGTGCAAGGTGCAACAGGTTTGCGATGATGTCGTTATCATTTTGCAGCTCTTTATCAATATTTCTGCACAAATAACTATTTGATAAACTTGCCATAGCATAACAGCTAAAGCATTTGCATGAACTTGTGGTCAAGATTTACTGTGATCACAAGATGTGTACGTTATTAAACTGCTGATGCTGATGTAGTTCATTGCCACATTCCATTTTTTACGGGACTTGGTGCGGTAACGTAATGCATATTCTACTTTGTAGTATAAATTTTTACAACTGTATCGACAACCGCAATGCTTCCATTGCCGCACTTTGTAACAAGTACGCAACAATGTGGTGCAAAATTGTACAGTTCGTGCAGGTACTGTAAAGACGTAACGTTTATAGAGTATAGATACACTGCCAACCATTATTTAAGTATTTGTAACTGTTTTATTTGTTTCCATTTACTGATAATCATTATATGCTGCGCTCAAAAACAGTCCACTAAAAACCATTCCACTAAAACAGTGAAGGGGCTAGTAATTGATCCTGTGCCGGCAAGCTGACGGTAAGTGACCCTGAAAATCAGTACCATTCAGAAAATTAATTAACGTCATAACCGTTAACTTTTTAACAAAAATACTCACGTACACGTTTTCAAACGTGCTAAACCAGTAATAATTCTGGTTCCTTACCTTGTACATGGAACACAACAAATGAAGCAAGTTGCTGGTTCCCAGACGTTGTATGTGATCATTATGCACCTACGATACTTTAAAATCAAGACACCACAAGTATATATCATCTAAATGGTTACTTTTTAATATAAACCGTATAAATATTAGGCCACCTTTAGAATTATTCATAGACTCGTAGTCATTTAGTGACAGTCTAAAGTCTATTTAGGTGTGCAATTATGTATTATTGCAAAAATTATAAACTGCATAACGTATTATAACAAATAGCGATCCCAATTTCCAAAATTTCCTTTTTTTCCCAATTTCCAAAAGTTTTCCACGAAATAAAGACCCCATCCCAAACGGGCCAAACCCTTACGAAAAAATAGTGACCCCGGGTTACTAAGTGGTAAAATACGCTAATGGAAAACGTACACCATCAATAACAAGCCATGGAACCCATGTCAGTTTCGGCTTTAAAGCTTCGGTTTTCAGAGCCATTTTGTGCTGTAGATGGCTTCCGGCTGAGTTTCTAGTGCAATCCAGTAAGGCTTTTCCACTGAAACCAGATTTCTTGGCACACTAGAAACAGAATTCGAATTCTGAACACTGAAGTACGAGTAGCACGAATTCTGCACAAGAGTGAATATGAATACATATTGCTATGATTCTGCACGCAAGTCGACGACATAAAGGTCACCGACAGTTTTGGAATACGTTGTTGCAAAATGGTAAGCGACATTTACTCTTTCGGCAACTGTGGACGGATCGTAAGCCTGCATTGTGCAGTAAACGAATTCCAATGCTGCAGTTTCGTTTTGCTGCTTTAGAAAATGATATCCACATGTCTGAAAGGAAGAAGGTCGAACTAGGTAACAGAAACTTTTTGTTGACACTACAAATCTGATTTGCCAACAATTCAGCATTTGTTCGCAGGAGAGCAAATCGCGACACTGAAGGAAAATACGAGCAATTGTTTCGAACAAGTGATAATTAATACACAGTTGCAAGCGAGGGCACTCTTCTACATGAGTGTTGCAGTTTAACACTAAAAAAGCAACCAAAATCGCAATCTTCTCTTGAGAGTTGAGCTTTCAACTGGAGTTTGGCCTTATAGATGAATCTACTTTGTACTCTAACGCACCTGTATGCGATTGCCCTTGCATTCTGGAGGCCCATGGTGGCACCGGAAAATGTATTCTGCCCCTAATCGATGCCACTGTAATGTGCACGCCAAAATTAATTTAGGACAATGAAGAAAAGTGCGAGATATAACGGTTTTATAACTTTATAGGTTTTCTATTTGTTTAAAAAAGATATAACAAACAACTTGGAAAAAAGTACGTAAATATACGACCAAAATGCTACAAATTACGAAATACTTCATACTGCAATGCTTAAGGCGCGATTCAAGTATTACGTAACGAAAATTTTCCACTTTTTCGACCACCCCCCCACCCTTTTGTGACCTTTATCCATGTATTACTTATGAGCGGGTAACGCCAGCCGGACCCACCCCCCACCCCCTGAGCCGTTACGTAATACTTGAATCGCGCCTAATGCTAGCTTTCCGAAATAATACCTTCTCTTCAATCAGATGTTTATAGCAGTTTGCAACTTTACGACTGGCCTTTAGCCATTCTAAAAAATTGTTAATATGTATGAGACAGCGTATACTTGAGTTACCGTTGCTTTTCCAAATGGTATCAGCTCAACCCGAACGATGTTGCCGATCTTCCGCGTAACTGGCAGCAGCTGCCGCAACAGGAAGTCCACGCTATCAGGACACAAGGATTCGTAATACACCTCCAACAGCAGTGGTGCGCTTTCGTTTCTTTCGACCGAAACTTCAGATTTTCCTGGATACGCCTGTGGACGTGGGTAAGAATCCACCATGTTCACCGAGATCATCGCTAGTGCCATGAAGAGCGCTACCGCCCATTTCGCTAATACAACTGCATCTTTTCCAGTCATACTGAAGATTCGGTTTCAAATTGGGAAATTCGTAAATAAATCTATAAAAGTTGCTGTGATAATGTGGAATTGTTGCACGAACATTTTGCTGCTCCAACGGACGAGTGTGCTGCACAAAATAAACCGCTAGTTTCGACACATATTACTACTACACGTATTAAACGAGTAGTGCCGTAATAGGAATACCGAATGTGCATAAAGTAAAAATGGCCAACAAATCTGGAACACCACTTGTGAAAGATTGCACTACCACTTAAACGATGTCAAAAATTGTCAATAAGATGCAAGGCTGATCAGTGCACTTTGCCACCATATCACCATATTCACACGTAACCAGGCCTGATGGCTTCGTCAAAAATGTCGCCACAGTAATCGAAAAAACAGCCTTTATTTCGCGATAATACAAAGATTTCCAGTGCTAAAATAATAAGAATCACGTAATTACAACGTTACGAGTAAGAACCGGAAAAACATTGTTATCTTTAATCGGAAACTGCTGCAAAATGTTATGAACTAAATAGTCAAAACTAATTAACAGGAATCGACGTCCAAAAACAAAACCCAACAATAAACGCAAGTATGCAAGTAGTAACATGCGTAATTTTAATCTTTTTAATTTTTACGAAAAATGTACAACTAGTAAACAGCCTGCACGCATCTTTTTCAGATCCATGTTACTCGATTCCGTTCCGTAAATCATTTTGCAGTTCATTCCTGAACATGCAGATATCGGAACTATTAGCCAACTGGCCTTGCAGATGGCGATTTGTGTGCTTTCGTGATGGACGGTGTTTGCGTTGACCACCGGCATCCATAGTATGCACGCGTTCACCACGTTGGTAGGGATCGCGCAGATTGTTCGGCAGCACAAGATACTGATTCAAATACTGGGGCAGGCGTTCCGCCGTGGTATCCGCTGCAAATTAGGCAGAAGTTAGTTACTTGCAATTATCGCCCCACCCTATTCATATGCAAAGGTTAATAAAGGAATAAGAGCGGTAATTTCTTGTACGAAGTTAACTCGTAAATAAACGGTACGTGCTTTTGCGCAAAAATGTCTTTAGCCTAATATTTGCCTAGCCATAAAGAATACCCATTACGTGCCAAGCACGTAGCCACGTACCATCCGATAAATTAGTGGGATGCAGTTGGTATGGCCTGGTGCGTTGGCGACGCTTGCCGGTCCGGCTGCTTGTAAGCTGCTCCACGGGATTAATCGTAATGTGGCCAAACTCCGTTGGCATATCGATTCGTGGATATGAATCCCTGGGCAAACTTGGATAGTAGCAATTGGGGCACGCAGACGCCGCTGTCTTATTTCCATCATCATACAGATTAAACGTGGTCTCAAGGCATGGTGGACGCTGCAGTAAATCCAGCCATGATTGACGTTGGATGAAAGCTTGTTGTGCCAGTGTCGTGCCATCTTTGCAACTCAGCGTATAGTGGGCATGATGATGCGGCTGGACCGGGCCGTGATAGTAGCCGGCTGTTGTTGTCAAGCATGCCGGATAGTTATTAGCGATCTCTTCGTAGATGTGCCCATCCACATGGGGTTGGCGCTGCTGCGACTGTAATGTGGATGTTGGTGCATAGCGGATGGCGCTGTCTGTCAAGAAGTTTACTCCTGACGGCTGCAATAATCAAACACAAAAATTACGAATCAATTTCCATTAGAATTGTTAGCGGCACTTGGGTGTCACTAAAGCTGTTATCGTACCGGACTGACAGCATTCAGCAGTGATATCTTTTTGTAATCTAAGTTATCCGAGTAGGCCGCTGCACCGGATCCTTCCGATCCGTCGGAGGTGGAAACCGAGGCAGGTGAATGCTTCCGCACGGAACTGGGGGATCCAGATAAGCAGGACAGAAGTCGGCGAATGTGTTTCTTGTTCCTAAAATATTACAACAAACTGATTTTCTTGCCCACCGTATATTGCGTATAAATTTTACTGTTAGGGTTTTTTCGAAAACTAACAGCAAAACGAGTTTTCCGTATGCGGTGGATTATTTACAAATTACAAGCTAAGTGAATTCAGCGAACACAATATTCTAGTACAGTAAAATAATGGACTTAAAGTACTCATACTTGCACGAGTATGTAACAAGTCACAACATGGTATAGTATTTTATGGTGACATGTCGATAGGCTAGTTCATTATATTCATGGAACAGTCCCGAATTTGATGATTAGCTATAATCGGCCACGAATGCATTGCTGTACGAGTACTGAAAATCTCAGAGATAGGTATTATTATCCTTTGTCCACATGCTTCCCAATTTACTAGCGTTTCCTTAATCCGGTGCTTAATATCTACAGATTTCCCATGAGGCTTCAAAAAGGAATTCGTCATGAACTCGATCTAGTCTATCCAGTAGGGAGAACGCATTATCCGTAGTTAATAAGCCCTTTTACGTGCGAATGCGAGACCGAAAATCTGTTTGTACGTGGATGCGAATCTGACAGATGTTTAAAATGCGAGATTAGAGGAGAAAGTATGCTGTTTATTCCATTAACGCATTTAAATCCGAGTTAACTTTCGACAAATACTATCTAATCAAAGTGTTTACGCCTATTAGAGCGAAACGCACAGACGTAGCGCCACCCAATTATCACAAAAACTGGATGCATTCCAGACTGAAAATGTAGTAACCGATTGGACACTCCACTCGTATCGCCATGATTTAGAATCAGGCTACAGGCAACATCTGGTCAAACCTACAGTACTCATGCTGATCCAGAAAGCGATTACCAAACTGCGGCAATGGGCATCACATAATGCGCATGTTACAAATATGTAGATTTCGGAATTACATTGCATTATCTTGTTGCCTCCGACAACGCAATGAACGCCCGAAAACGCCCAGATTCCCGTTGATCTGATATTAACCAACACGTAGTGGCACTGCGGGAATGTGCAGAGGAAACTGTATCTGTCATGCGGGGGGTAAAGGAAGGGCGGTAACCCAAAGCGAACAGGAGATGTGAAATAAATAACAGAGTGCAGCAGCCGTGCTGGGCAGTGCCCGGCCGCAGTATAATGTGTCCGTCCAACTGCATAATTATGGCCGGACAAAAGAAAATGCATTAGACAGCAGGTTCCTTCAGTGCCGCATCGCATTTCAGAATAATAACACACAGGGCAAAATACAATTTCCTCAGGCAACACTTTTCTGAGCGAGATGACCTCTTTAAGCAAACATTAAGGATTCAAGAGGCTTTACTAGAAATGGCAGGAGAAATGCAGTTCCAAACGGCGCGAACAAGAATCCATTTAAATAAACGCCACATTTAACGTCGTAGCAAGATTGTGTAGCCGCTATTTTTAATCCCGAAAATGGATCGCCAGCACAGCTACGGCAGTTTAGTAATCTGTCTCCAAAGTTTAACACAAAGTGCAACATACAGTTACCAAATAATTTTTATTAAAAATATTAGTTTTCATTATCCCGCACAAAAGAATTTTAGCAATATTACTGTAATCATTTCTGCAAGCTTCTGTATTGGTAATGGCATGGTAATGGTTCTTATACATTGTCCGTGTTCCTTTTCGTGCCGGTGACCATAAAACGAAATTTCGAAAGAAAATGAGATCGTTAGCGCAAACTTGTAGCCGGTGAAATTTATCATTACTTGTTCTGAACTCCTCCGCTAATGATTGCGCTAGCTGGTAGAATTAAAGAAAAGAGCGCTTGCCGAGCGGATAATGATTTCTTTTGTCAACCAGGCTGGCTCAACTTATCCGTCTTGGTAAAGAAAACTCCGACCGGGCGAAAAAGTGCGTGCCATTCTTTGAGCTGACAGGTGCCAGACTGCACCGATCATCTTTGGCGAGTAATTACCTAGGCAGGGGATGTGTGTAGGATCCTATTTTCTTGATGAATAAAAACAACATCTGACGCATAACAAAAGACCGTCCAATAGAATATAAGGAATGGATTGAGATCCCATCGAAAGTACTTAGAAAAAGAAAAATACTGGCCCAGTGCTGTCCTCGTGGACTGACTCACAGTGACTTGAACCACACTTCCTTTCAGGTTTCAAGTATCGTAGGAAAAGACTTACGAACAAAGAAACTACTTGAGGTGAGAGGCAAAAACATCAACATAACATACATGATCATTTCAATGCTGTGTTTGTTTAAAGCCATGCCATTCTCACTATGTTTTCTTTTGTAAATCGGGAAACGACAGAGACCTAGCCAGAAAGCACTGCGATATACGAATCGGCTTAATACCGAAAATAATAGGTTAATTTCAATAGCGCAAACTATAGAAATTTTCAAAAAAAGCGATGAAAAACTTATTTCATAGTTTTGAAAAAACAAAATAGACAAGTTCACAAAATTAATAAAATGTCATGAAATGTGCTTTTCGCAGACTTATTTCAGTTTTGCCAAATACCACCAAGCATCATACCCAGTTGTTTTTTACCCTTGGTTTTACGGTCACTTTTACAGTTTTACCAGTATCAAGTATGTAAACCGATCGGCAAAATTACTCACCTCCAAGCGCATACACCGGAAACGGTCAGTGCCACACTGAACAACACAACGCATACAACAATAATGGCCAGGGTCGGCTCATTTTGCACGCCGTCGGTATTAATGGAAAATGGATAAGGAATACCATTGCTGCAAGTGAATTGTTCCTCGAAGGAGCCATCACAAAACAGCAGCGGGGGAGGCCGAATAAAATCAGGTGGATCATCCACCAACAGACATTCCACATCGTCCCACGAATCGCATCCCATGATTACGGCGAAGACTTGATCGGTTAAGAATTCAGAAAACGTTTCTCCAGCATCCAGAAAATCAGACTACAGAAAAGGGAGGTTAGATTCACCACGAAGTCCACAACAACCCCATATATCGCTCGTTTGACGCGTTACATAAAAGCTTTCATTACGCGATAATATGTGCAGGCGATGAACTGATCGATCCTGTTCGTTTCCCAGTGGCTGCCAAACAGCGGAATTCTCGGGATGCATATGAATTCACCACTGCATATAACGCTGGTGATTTAGTCAACATGAACGACGCTGCTACATTGTTACCGATCGATCACAAAAATATCGATTAGCTTTGAAGCTTACAAACAAGTGCTTTGGCTCCTACTCGTACATACCCAAAACTGTGGCAAGTCTTATTGGTCCAGTTTTCCCCTTTATTCACAATCGATTGGCAGCAGGCGTGATAAAAGAGATTATAAACATCCAGGCACTCTGCCGCTCCGGTATTCGAGATTCTGCAGACTGCTCGGTGAACATAGATTCTGGACTGTGGTCCACGAGGAAATCGTGTTTATTGGCTGTTTATTATTGCTTTCTCCTTCCACTTCACATTTTGCCACTGTTCATCTCCTTTCTCTACATTTGTGGTTAAATATGTCTACCGTATACGCAGCTTTCCGGTTCTATTAGCTATGATTTCATACAGCTTCGGCACTAAAAGCTGGAAATAGTTTCAACGTTGTATTTCTCTTTTCACATCAGGGCCACTCGTTGCATTTGAGATGAAGTGGACACTCCTCTCCGTTCTACTCTACTCTAGACTTTTTGACTTGTACTGTATGTGCGTACTGTGTACAGGTTTAACTACTACTAACTAGTAAGTACTATGTGACCGTGCATGCGAATGCGATAGACCGACTGCGGCGATATCGAATGACCACACCACCGTGCTTTCGAATCGCCTAAAATATGCGATAGAGCAAGCAATACGATGAAACCCATTCTGAATTTCTTCAGTTTTTAAATTTCAATTTTCATTCCTGCATAGTGCCTAGTACAGAGTCAGACTACAGAGTACAGATACAACAACTGCGGCAAAATGAACCAGCTCAAATCTGACGGTCGACTAAATATAAAAATGTAATGAAAAGGATTTATTCGTGAAGTAACACTACTTAAAAACCGAGAAGAAATTCTTTTGAATTAGTTTATTAATTTTAAATACTAAGCCTGAACTTCGTCCGACTTATTTAAACAAATGGCCAAGATGCTAAGGGTGGGTCTCACATTCAAAGCGAATCTAGTTGCGATACAGCAACTCCACCTCGCGAGGTGGCTTCGCGTACCGTATCTGTAGGCGTGGCCACTGCAAACAACCACCTCGTGCGGTTGAGCAACCGTACCATAACGAGATTCGCTTTGAATGTGAGACCCACCCTAAGAGTGCCGCTAAGACATCTAAATAAAAAATCCCCTTCAATTCGAGGACAGGAGAAGGACCGTTCCCCAATCGAAACACGTTCTGATGGTGAACATTTTCACAACAAATTAATCAAAAAACACGGGCCCGGCACCGCGGCGTTTTACCTCACCGCGATAGTTATCGTTGATAATTTTTGTGACCAAAAAGTTTAGTCCTTATTTTTTACGATAATGTTGATTGTTCGTGGTTCTGAGTTTTTCGACCAGACTCAAATCAAATTAAGTTCCTAGTGCGATGTATGGAGACTATCTGTAGTGACCTTTTAGGCTGTTCTTTTGTCGTAATCGTAATGATAGTAACAATAAAAGCATTTCCTGGGTTGCATTACGTGCCAATTGCCATACTGCTACACTGATGAGGCAAGCAATATCCACACCGATTGTGAGACGACTCAGACGAGTCACCAGCGTGAACAGTAGCGCCGGAACGGCCCGGAAGCCAAGCAGAATCATGGACTAGCGAAACGTTATCAGAGCTTATCGACGTGTTTTGTCCCATTCCCTTCGAATCTCAAAACCCTCATGCAGAATCTTCGGACCGGAACTTCGCCCGATTACAGAGCCGAGACTTCAGAAGTAGTCTTTAAGTTCAAGTCATCATGACACCCTAACCTTTTCTCTGATCAGGCCGCTTGAGCTGCTCAAAAATAATGATATTGCTCCTTTTTATGCATATTTGTATTATACATGAAAACTGATAGGTGCTTGATTTTGAATAAAATAATGCTTTTTCAACTTTCAGGAATTTAAGCGCGAGTCCAGCACCAGTAGAGATGATTATCGTACCGTATCTGCACAAACAGCACTATGCAGACTTCTGTCCATGCTTCTTTATTGAAAGTTTGAAACGTACACTGGCTGCTGGCCACGCAACAGTTCAAATTGAAGACAGAACCGTGGGCGGCTGCCACAATCTTACCTTGAATAAGCTCTTATGTAAGTAAGTGCGGATGGGGTAAATAAACTTTCCAAACGTTGATCGTCGTGGTCATCAGACGATCTCATTGTGACAGTTTCTTGCGAAATTGGACACTTTCGTTCCTCGACAGAACGGAACGGCTGTTTAGGATTGCTTTTAAATTTACATCTGTAAAAACTAGCCAAACCTGCTCTTAACGAGGACCAAAATTTGTGTGCAGCTGTAATGGAATTAACGTCCCTCAGGCTGCACCGAAGATCCATTTTTGGAGATTTGCATTTCTGTTGCCATTATTGTGCTGATTTGGAGCTGTTTTCGTTATGATAACTGAAACGTTGAGGGGAGAGTTCTGCACGAACTTTTTATGGTTACTGTGGGGATTCTCTTGCATTGCCGTTGCATGTAGCAAATGGAAACATGAGTTCCCAAAAGAGAAACCATTCAGAGAACGTACGTTTTTTGCTTTTTCGGTTCTCATTTGTTGTCGCTGCGTTTTTCATTGTTCGCGCATGAAATTTGCAACAACGTTAGACCCATGATTAGAGATCTATATAGAAATTACTTGTAAAAATCTTTTTCTGCATGCTTAGTATCGCTTTTCACATATTATGGTGGTGGCGCTTTGCCACTGATAGCATAATAATAATGTGGTATTTCCTTATTAATTTAAAGGGAATATCAGCATTCCGTTGACCGTTGGTAATGTTTACGATTTTTAGCCCAGATTTAGACCAGTAAGGATATTACTGATTCGTTATGTTTTGCAGATGGGATCAACCCCCACTCCGGATTATATAATGTCTCTTGAAAACAGTTTCTCACCAAAACCAGCTGACTTCCAGAAATCCAAAAAGCGGAAATCATCAAGTTTACCGTTAAACCGAGATTCGAAGGCCGTTGCGTGTCATGCAACTGAGTCGCCTGCGCCCGCAGTTGCAGCTCAGCCTCTTGCCGCGCCGTCCCTGGTAATTCCACAGACCGTTGGGCAGTTTGCCGAAAAGTCCGGGAAGGAGCCGTGCGCGGAACCCACCAGTTCGCCCATTGATCATTTTCTCCTGGAGAAGAAATTTTTATCGCCTACTGAAATCGAGACGCAGCCACTGGATTTATCTGCAAAGAAAAAAAGACATAAACCCAGAGCGTCAGGGGATTATTCGTGCATTTGCAAAGATGAGGAGAAAAACAAGGACAGATTTATGATTGAATGCAGCGGTTGCGAAAAGTGGTTTCATGGAGAGTGAGTAACAGTTCTCTCTAGCGTTGTTGTCATCCTTGAGCGTTTTTTTAGCGTAAGGACTGTTTGGTTTTTGTAGATGTGTAAATGTTTCAGCAATGCAAGCGGATTCCTTCCTGAATTACTATTGTCGCGAATGCGCTAAACAGCATGGAGAGCCAACGAGTAAGGTTTATTTACAGGCGAATTGCTTTTACACACTAATCCAAAACTGAAGTTTTTTTTCATGCATTTAGAGTTTTGATGCATAAAAATTGGTTTTAGACATCTTTCTAGAATTCAGGAAGCAGAGTATTATTGAAATTTTGTTGGTGGAGGCATTGAATTCGTGTTGAGCCTTTAAGCTTCACTTATAGTTGGGTGTTTTACAGAGAAGCCAAGGACAAACATGCACCGCCATAATGCATACGAAAAAAGTGCTACCGGTAAACCTACACAGTCTGGGACACCTAGGTTTATGGAGGAGTTACAAAAAAGGCAGTTTTCACCGTAAGTTGAAGATTTGTAATTTTCTTAGCGTCTTGCAAAACGTGCATTTAAATTTGCGTTAAATGCCGCTGACAAACATGGTGAATAAGTAATTTTAATATGTTTGTGTTTAGTATTGAAACTGTTTTGGATGTAAAAAGAGGATTTGAAATTGATGTGCAGTATCTGGAAGAAAATGGTTTTGAACGACCGATTTTGATTCGCGAGAAAGGCGGATTGGAGATTGTGATCCCCGGTTCTGAGTTTTATTATAAAGATGTTGTTCAAATCCTAGGTACTGTAGCTTTTTTTATTTTTTTTATAGAGTAAATTTCAAGTACATTTATCTGTAGGTGGATCCCGAGAAGTTATAGCCATCGATGTCCGTAAGTGAAAATTGAACATTACAAAATAAGTTTCTGAATTTAGTGTTGGTTATTCATTTGGGTTCGTAGAAACGCAAGAGGATGGAATCAAACTAACGTTAGATGAATTTCTCAAGTATATGCAAACTCCGCCGCCTAGGAATCCTGTCCTTAATATCATTAGCCTGGAGTTTAGTAATACTGAGTAAGTTACTCGTGCGTCGTTTCAAGATTGCTGGCTTTAAAACAGCTTGGCGTTTGTATTAATACTTTTCATTTAAAACACCAGACATGTGTTCTTTGTTGTTGTTCATGTAGCGCAGAAAGTCGGTTCCCGCGGTGCTGTCCAGAGTGGTCACGGCGGCCGATAATATGTTTATATGCTTATTTGTAGACTTGCCGCAAAGGTGATACCACCTCTGGTGGTGCGTGAGCTGAGCTGGGCGGATCAACATTTTCCAGAATTAAATGATGTGCCACCGGAAAGTCCGTATGCCAAGCCCGAAGTGCAGAAATACTGTCTGATGTCCGCTCAAGACAGCTATACGGATTTTCATATTGACTTTGGTGGAACGTCCGTGTGGTATCACATTTTTAAAGTAAGCAGGAGGATTGGTAATACCTACTCTGGTTAAATGTGTGTTTATTTTTCGGAAGTTGTAATGTCAGGCGACGTGATGTTTTTCTGTAATAGGGGAAAAAGATATTTTATTTAATTGCGCCGACGGATTCCAACTTGGAAAAATATGAAGAGTGGATGAAATCCGATAAGCAGTCAGAAAGGTTTTTGGGCGCCGAATGCCACTGCTATAAATTGGAGTTAAATCAAGGCGAAACCATCCTCATGCCTAGTGGCTGGTGAGCTCATCTGCCGCATAATGACAGTGCTTTACAATTTGTAATGTCACAGTGTGGTAACGGCATTTTCGTTGATGCATGTGTTGGTGCTTCCATAATTCTGGTTTTTGCTGGAAGTCATCTCTTTTCGACTAAAAATGCCCCTCTATGCAGGATCCATGCTGTTTATACTCCGGAAGATAGCCTTGTTTTTGGAGGAAATTTTCTCCACCATCTTGGCGTTGAAATGCAGCTAAAGTATGTTGGATAGTGGATAACTTTAGCTGGTGTATTTCGATGGCTTGTAAATTTGTTTGTTTTAGGATTAACAAAATGGAAGATCGCCTTAAAACTCCGTTACGTTATCGATTTCCGCATTTCTATACAGCGTGCTGGTACGCGCTGAATGACATGACCGATCGTTTAGCGGATTTCGTCGAAGAGCATAAAAAGCCTCGCAAGATTCCAAAATTCTTGACTGCGGGATGTAAATGTTTATATACGGAGTTTTTGGATTGGATGGGAGATGACGAGGTGCGATGTTGGTGTTAGTTGTGGTTGTGTTTGTTACAAAGGGTGTTGCTTTTAACAGGGAGCAAAAACTAAACGGCACGAGGTACCAGAGACCATTGATCCTTTTGAGACCATGAAACGGCTGAAGCGATTTTTGAAGAAACTCGCTGTAAGTAGTCACTTGTTCCAGCATTTACTTTATACCAAGCAGAAGAAATACAAAGAATTATTAGATAATAACTGGCAAAGTTATCGGAAGAGAATTACTAGTAGCCTTACGTAACACCCTTAAAATAAATGGCTAAAATTTAATGTTCGTTGGTTGCAGTTTAATTTTCCCTGTTTTTATTATAGATGTTGTAGATAGCCTTTTGATTAAGCGTGGACCAGTTGGATGCATTTATCTACCTGTGCAGCGCAGCATATGTTGTATAGATACGTAGCGCGGAGCTCATTCTGATCTGCCTCTTTAGAATTCGTTGTTCGTCTGTCCGTGAAGATGTTGTTGTCGTGTAATTATTTTGTTTTGTATGGGTTTTACTTGTAATTAATTATTTAGGTTTTGTTGAATCTAACAGTATTGCACTTGATTTCGGACAAATTTGATGGGAACACTGCCGGTATCGTGGGTGTCTTTGTTGATTATGATTTTAATTTAATGAATATTTGCGAATGGGCCAATTTTCTTTTAACTTTTTGTTATCGTCTTTTTAGTTTTCTTTGTGTGGTGTTAGTATTTTGTAGTTTTACCCGGGTGGTATGAAGTGTGTATGACATTGTCGCCGTTTCGGCACATTTGGAAAGGTGGACTGGTGTCTTGTGTTGTTGTTGACGTTGGTGAGAATAAACATTCCCTGGTGCGATTAATTTGGTGCATCGCTTTTTTTGCTGATTACATACAGGAATTCTCGTGAAGGGAACGTTGAAGACTAGATTTTTGGGAGCCGATTGCCTGATTTCCGCGTTTTTTGCATTAACCGGCATTCGGAAATTCGATATGTTAACAGAAGGTGAAAGTCGCTTGCATATAAAGGAAGAAATTGGTCTAGATGTATGAAGTTGAAATATGAGCTGTACACCATGCTTTCAAATTCTGATCATGAACTTCCGTCTTCCGTGTGTACTTCAAAATCTCGTGGCTGGTTTCGCGTGGTCGACCACACGACCAGTTAGTACTTTTTTTCAGCTCTAACGCACGTAAACCGGCCCGATGCATCTCTCAGCTGTAGCTCGATTAATCATAAATCATTAAAATAGTATTGTTACACTATAAAATTAATTTACACCTACTGTACGTAACATTCCATGTATAATGTAATATACTATATGTTTCCATAGTTTACACTTTGCAGCACACAGATAGCAGTAGTTTTACAGCATCTGTCCAACTTGTCTTTGCAGACCACACCATTAAGTCGTCATAGAAGTCGAATTCATTCACCGGGATTACCGAAATCACATACGAGACCAGTAAATTTGGAGCTATGCCTAATATAAAATTAACAGGACTATAAAAGCCTAATAAGACGTAAAAATTAATATAAGCAATTCATTGTACAAACTGTTCGAGTAATGAAGATGTGCGTATCACATAACGGAATTTTGCCCAGATCGGTTCACCCTTCTTCGGCGAACTAATTTGCAAATGCGCAAGTGTTAAGAGATTGGAACGGCATCCATTAATCACGAGCCGCCGCGGCGACACGGCCAACAAACGGGTTATCCTCCTCCATAAATGACACACTTTTCCGACTAAGACTGCGGCTGGAAGATGATTTGCCCATTAGACTATTAGCGGAGTGATTAGGCATTAATAATCGGGTATCCTCGTTTTCATTAGGCAGGAGATTTATGGATAATTGCTTACCGGCCGGCGCCGGATGATGGTTGCATGCGGATGCGGCCAGCGACGCGGCGGCGGCGGACGTGGGTGTACCACTGGCAATCTCCATGCAGAGAGAGGGTCGTGTGGAGATACACCTGGAGTCAGACCGCTGCTGCTGTAGCGCATGCGACGGCTGCACCTGCAACAACGTCTGCGACCGGAAGCTGCCGTTGTTAATCTGCAGACTGCACTGCCGTCGGATCTCGGCCTTGCCCATGAATAATCTCCTGACATCCCGCCGCAGACTGGAATTACTGAAAATGTACAGGAACGGATTGCAGATCGTGGAGGCGACAAAGAAGAGAAAGAAGACTAAACGTTGATATTTGTCGTTATGATCGAAGCGTGCTAGCGAGAAGGCCCGACTAACCATCAGCAGATAGACCGGGAATGCGCAGATTAATATGGACAGCAGGATCCATATGACAATCTGTACCGTTTTCCGGTTGTCATGACCGGTTAAGAAGGCTTGCAGTGATGAGTAGGAACTGTGCCGTTCGGCCGTCGCGCCCGATGAGAGCCGGGTGTCGCCGCCGCTGCGACTCTTGGCCAATTCCACCGTAATGCTCCGCCGGATGCCCAGATGATTCTGAAATTCGTAAACAAAATTCTTCCGGGTTGTCGAGGCGGCATTCTTGGCGGAAATGAACACCTTGATGTAGATGGCGGCCAGGGCAATAAACGGCAGGACAAACGTCAGCGCGGCGTAGACACAGGCCACTAACTGCGCTGTGCCGGTCCCGGACCAATTAATGTCACAGTAGCCATTGTGCAGGAAAAATATATGCGTATCCTGCCAGGCCAGCGGCATGAGAACGGCCACCGGCAGACACCATGATGCCGATATTAAGCATAATGATCGCGTGTAGCTCATCCGGCGACTATGGTGTAATGGATTACCAACACATGCTAAAAATCTATCCAGACCGATCAAGAGCACGGTGAGCATAATTATGCCGACAGCTGCATGAAATCCCAGCGCCACGAGCTGGCAAAATAAGCCGGTGAAATGGATACGCGTTAGATTAGCCGGGGCGGCGAACTTTACATACACACTGATGGGAATCACGCCGATCATCAGGAGTAAATTGCAAAAGGTCATGCTCATTAGAAAACGATGCCCGCTGGTGCGGCGTGAGCCCTTGCGGTAGAAAATAACGCCGGAAATAATGTTCAACACCATTCCGCTCAGCCAGATGCCGCACAATGCCGTTGTTTCCACAATACACTCCGCATCGCAGCCGGGAGTGCCGGTATACGATGTGTTGAACATGTTGCAGCTGTCACAATAAATGAAAGAAATTGTACGGTTCAATACAGAACGATAGACCTGAAATTCCCAGGGTAGTATTTTCGCTGTCATGCGTACATAACACAATTGCGACGCAGTGTGTCACATATTTCCGCACTGGTCTGGAATGATTAATAAAATAACTCAAAGCGGGGCAACGTCAGTTTGCCTATGCATCTCAAAAAAACAGCACGGCAAATTGCAGCAAAGAGCCCAGTGTTTGGCAACAGAGAACGGGCGCGCGCCAAATATGCAAAACCATCAACGCCGTTCAGTTCAATTGCATGCTAATTCTTTCGACGGCCAAACATACAACTGCATCAGATAGCCGTTCGGCGGTTTGTGGACACGAACTCGATCCCCGTCAAACCATTAAGTTATGGGTTTGATCAAAGTCAAAGATAAAAATACTTTATTTCCTCAGCTAATATAAGAGGCCAATCAATGGCAGTATGGATGCCATCTTAAACAAACACATAAATATGGAACGGATATGGAGAAATCATCGCAATGTATCGCTCGCTATCGCTGCGGTACAGCGCTGGCGTCTGGCACAAGGCCGGCCGTGTATGAATAGCAGTTAGCAATAGCGTTTCCGGAAGTCAAGGAATACACGACTGGAGTGAAATCAGCGTTACACACTACTGTGAATCAAGTCAAACTTGACATTTGCTGCCAGCTGTGCCCATAGCACGCAGTATCGTGTACTTGTACGTGTTCCATGACTCCTGCCGGTCGGCCGGGAATACCGTCGTCCGTGTATGTACAGATGCAGATATAATTATGAACATACAGGCACCACGCGTAACAATTTCCTGTTGCGGGTGCGATGCGTTGTCCTTGTTGGACAACCTACAACGCAACCTACGATATTTTCCCATTCGACCATGAATTTATTAATGGCTGTTTACTCAGAAGCGATATTCCGTAATTAAATGTCGACAAAAGGTTGTGGTGGTTTCGGATAGAGCGGTGTGTAAGTGCTGTCCGACAGGAAATGAGTTTTCCCTTTTTTATGCAACTGAGCGTGAGTACGACGTTAAAATGTTTACAACTCCAAAGGATTTCATTTTTTAAAACTCGCGACATTCGAGATTATAGAAACCGAAATAAAATGTGAAACTGAAGACTGCAAAACATTCAAACAGCAGATTCCGTAACACAGAAAAAAGTGCAGTATGCAAAGGTCAGCAAAAGCTTCGTTCTCAGCCACACTTAAATTGTGGAAATAATGCAAACATTGCGCCTATACAGAATCACTATCTGACTAACATACCGTCCAGGATAATGAATTCTGCTCGCAAAGTTCTGAAATTCAACAAGACCATGGAAGGAAGCATGGAAAAATTAGCGACGGAGAGTAAGGTCACTCGCTGTCCGTTCGGTCCTGTAACAAAGTCATTTAAGAATTTTTACTGTGCTAATATAATAGCCAACCTCTCAAAATTTACTTACGATCCATAAATAAAAATTATGTATTATGTGTGAGAACTAGTTTTTGGATATATCACTCAGCGTAATCTCACACTACGAGGCAATACGTAATAGAGTAAACACAACAACACACCATAAGCAACCCCTACTTCCATCAAAGAATTGTTCTGAGTTTGACTAACAAAATATTGGCAATGTTATAACTGTTCCACGTAATCAGCAATGAACGAATTCGTGCGGCAGCGGTGACCACTGACCAGCAACACTACAACTAACAGTGGCCGATACAGCGGAAAAACAACAAACGTCTTTTCTTATCATTCAAATGATGCAAAAGGCTTGTTGTCATTTTTGACGCCCCAATAACCGTGACAGTAATAGCGCTTACGCACGAATGACTTTACTCACATGGCCACAGCTAATAATTATACTCTACAGTCACAGCATAGTATACGAGCGATGCGTACAAAGAGAATAAACCTCACCAGTAATTTGTCGGCATCCGTTGACCGACTGGTTGCCCGAAAAATATACACAAGGTGCTTCGTCAAGTATAAATGGATCAACATCCACAAAAGGATAACATCCTAGACCGAAGGAAAATACTTCGTAGTCAACGAACAGAAATAAGTGGAAAAATAATTTTTACCTAAAGTGTCTGGTGCCGTGGGCGCCATGTGGCCCCAATGTAAGGTCTGCTCCAGAATGTCCAGTGGATCATTTATACGGCAATTCTTGTAAATGTCGCTAACATTTTGACCAGAAGTTCCGAGTACTCTATTAGAAAAATATCTCATATTTTAGCAGTGTGCAAAATCCTGGCGCATAAAACGGGAATAATAAAGGATAATTCCTGTACCGTACGCCGTTCAGATCAAACTGGAAGGGATTGGTAGCGAGATGAAGACCCGAAGATTTATAACACAACGGAAACATGCTGGGATGCAGTGGCTGTTGCGGCAGCATGAAGTTGGCTGGGTCTTTACTTCCGGGCATAATATACACGTCTACATTGCGCTGCCAAAATTGAAAAAACAGTTTTATCTTCACCGCTACTGTATGGAATAATTATGGTGAGAACAATACACGAAACTTCGCCATCGAAAGTCTGCTGCCAAAATAGCACCACTTAAACTTACAACCAGTTGTTCAAGAGTTTCATCCACATTCTTCATTTTCTCCACACTCCCAAGAGAAGTATGACGGGTCAGATATCGCGCCTACAGATTTGAAAAAATTCTTTAGAAACCGTCTTAAAATTATGCTAGCAAAAAACCATTGAACGACCTGAAAAAAATAAAGCGAAAATTTGAAAACAACTGCCAGTCTCAAGCTACTCATACTTTTAGAGCGAGTTCCTTCCGTTCTTCTAAATCCGCTTCTATGAGATCACCAGCGATAATCACAGCTGCAACACAGGCCATTTTCTTCTTTGTTGTTCATCCCCAGCTTGACCAGTGAGCAGATCTATACATAAATCCACAGGGAACGAGTTTTTATTGTTGGGACCAAGACCCAATCCAGAAAGGAACGCAACGTAACTGCAAAACGCATTGCAATTTTCAGACATACAGAATAGTCAAAATTCGTTACTCCTTAACGCGTAGCCGCTGAAATAATTTCCAAGCTCGAATTCAAACAACTATAAAAATATAATAAAAAAGCAACAACTATAAAAATATAACTATAAAAAACTAAAGCAAACAAAACAAAGCAACAACAAAAGTAAGAAAAGAAAAACTAAAGCAAAAAAAGTAAAATAGTTCTACATATTAATGTTAATGCAAGTATAGAAACTATAAACTGTAATACCGCAAGTTTTTGAAAGTACTCTGAAAACTACACCGTAAATGCACACCTCACACGTCAATAAAGAAATCGAAGAGATATTTTGCGATTAATTTTTATTTTACAAATAGTACTTCTATACTTACCATTAGATCTTGTAAGAGCCAAAAACGCCAGAAATAAAAAATTAAATGGAATTAATTCATTCAGAAATATTTTCTCAAAATAGACGATAGGCATCAAAACAACTTCAGTATCAGAGATATCGTATAGTCATAAATTACATGTTTGTTAACTTGCTACGGCTGTATGCGACCCCAATTCCTCAAAGAATAAAATTAATGCCGTCAAACACGCACCAGTCAACCTCGGGAAGATCAAAATGCGGCTGCGGTGGCATCCCCAGAAAACAATAGTCCTCCACCACGAACACTCCCGCATCGTTCTCCCGCCCGGCCAACGCCACGATCATTCCCGTCACCACCTGTTGCAAATCCATCTTTCCTCCCACGACGATTCTCTGCGATTCATCCTCCAGCACCAGGGTGTCGGTGTCACTAGTATAGCGCGGCAGAATAGGCTGTGCAGGCACTTCGGTGTCTTCGCACATTTCCCGCAAAATATTGGGCTTTAGTTCCATCTCCTTGTACAATGTTCCAATCAGGCATACTGTCTCGTTCTCCACGATGTCGCTCAGAGTGCAGAATCGGTATTTGGAGCCTGCAGCAGATAGCCATCATCATAAATGATAAATCCGCTGCTTGAGAGTGCCTTATTGAATCAAATGCATTAAGGACGCTTCGTCAACGCTTTAAAAGAACAGTCGACTTACCCCATTTTGCCTCAGCTGCTTTGGTCATGCGAGGCTGCAGCGCCGTCAAACGTTCGTGATAAAGCTGAGCGTACTGAGGCCTGAAAGCTCTTGCATTTCGCATTCGGAACGCTCCGCTTTTGTCTGTTATATCGCACGTGGTCCGACAAATGGGTTTCTGCGTTTTTGCGAGGCTCATGTTTGGAACGCAAGCAGATTTTTCGAGGCAAGCGAACTCAGTGCGAACGCTGTTACGCATATGAATTTCCCAACTCCCAAGTCACGCCATGGAATGCCTAATATTTTGCGGATTGATCGGAAAAGCAGCCACGAAAATTTCTAGCTACAGTATTCGTATTTGTTGAAGCGGAAATGGGAGGGCGGAGCAACACCCAAGTCATTTGATTTGAAAGTTTCCCTTTACTGTACTCGGTTTAGTGACTGAGCCGGCTTTGCCGTCATGGCGGGAGTTTACAAAGAACTACAGCAACCTCGAACACGCGCATATTTTGATATTATTCTTTCATTCATACTTGCAGTCCACCAGATTTTTAAATGCCAGTGGACTTCTGTATTTTATGTAACGCAAGTTTTATGGCTATTTAATATAGGCAGATATGTACAACAAATGTACGAGTATGTATATGTACAAATCGCCATTGGTATAATTATTATCTTCTTGTGCCGTGGTATGAGCTCTGGTACGATGCACAATACAATACTTTGTAAGTTTGTAGTATCAAATAAAATAGGTACAATATCAAATTATTAATTCCTTATCTATTAATTCCTTAACTCTCCAGATACGGTGACATGTCATCCAGTTCGCACAACAGACAGTTAAATAATATGAAAGAAAGCAATAAAAGTCACTGAAGCTTTGAAAAAAACGAAACAGGCTCTAACAGCGCATTAAATGCGAAAACAGAATTGGAACTAGCTCAAGAATCCCACGATGTTTCTGATCCGTTAGACTTGGAATAACCAACCGTTTTCAGGTAAACATCAGCTTAACACCCAGAATCTGGTTTGCTTGCTGGAGTCGAAGTTAGCTAACAGTACTTGCAGCATTCGATCAAAACCTTGGCTCACGACGATCTCTCATTTCCGACTATGATCAGAAAACGGCACTTCCGGATCTATTCCGTAATAGACACACTGGACATCTTCGCTATCCACTGCGTATTCGAGTATAAACATCGGGTCATTCTGTTATAACAAAAAATACTGATGTCAGTAGCTCGAGAAAGCAAAGCCCGAAAATCAAAAACAGCAGCCATTCGATATCGACAAACAATCAGCCGTGACAGCGTAAGTGGTCGCGGAACATATCCATCGTGAGACATTTCGTCAAACTTACTTATATTTCGACAATTCGTTTTGGGATAATTTGAAGCGCACACCTTTTCGTTACGTGACAATCTTTTGGGAGATGGGAAATTATGGGCAGAACAGTCATATGACCATTCGCCACAAAAGCAAATTGTACTTACTTATGGTTAAACGAAATGTCCGTAAATACTCACTAAAACAAATGTCCTGCCACTAACTGTGTCACGACGAATTGCCTCACGCGGCCCACGGCCAACTGTCTATGGCAAAATGCATGCCTCACCCCCAAATGTCTCCTAACTACCTGTCGCTCAGCCACATTAGGCTACTTATATTGTTACAAAAATGCAAAATCTCTAATAAAGCGTCGAAGTTTCAGCACAGTATTGGCCATATAACTATCCCAAAATCGTAAACTGACCTATTATGACACGATAATTACGTCGAGTATCAACCTACTAGTGCAGTTACACTAACACTATACATACGCCGCTTCGAGGGATGAATGTGAACCTTCCGTTTAGTTCGTTACGGTTGCCGAAATCAGGAGGGTTGGCCAAACACAATATGCAGTGACCATAACGAGAACGAGTTTCGGATGGTTCTGCGAAAAAAGAATTGTTTTTGTACAAGCCACAAGTTCCACAACCAAACACGATTCCAAAGAAACCTATAAACATAGATTAATTCCAACATAATACTTACTAAGAAAACCCACCTGTCGACAGGATCACAGTTTTGCCGAAATCGGACAAAATCTCGAAATGGACGACAAAAGCAGTGACAGGTACTGACAATCCCTGTGGAATTTGTTGTGGACGAAGTGAAAATTCCGAAGTAAAACCCCAATCTCGAACCGGCTGCGACACCAGTCCATGTAGATCGTACGTCTATCGCAACAATTTTCTACTGTTACTAAAATTACGAAAATAAGAAATTTTATGATCAGACTGCTTGACCGGACGAGTTCATTCAATGCTTCGTACGTTAACATTATATGAACAGGGAGCATCATAAAGCCAGACTCTATAGTTAAAAATACAATATAAACCCTACTTACATATAGTTCATCGCTTGTGCTGCATATGGCTTGTGCCTCGACCCATCCGCCGTATATCGGAGTGGACAAATCGTTCTCCTGGAGCCCCGAGAAGTCGATATTGTAGGCGTTGTTCCATCCTAGCAAATTTTCGTGTAATACCACATAATTGTCAATAATAAACTAAATAACCAGTCAACCGCAAACGTTTACGGCTTACGCTTTGTCTCGCGATGATACTCATCACTGCTAGAAGCACAAATGGAAAGGCGAATCACTGACGGTAGAATCAAAGGTGTCCTCTGTACAAATAAACCCCGATGTATGATATTCACCGGTCAGTATGACATTTTGAGAAGAAACAGCGTACACTACAAAACGAGCTTGCAGAGATTATTTGATCCACCAGATTCCCTCTGAAAAAGCCGTGACCGCACCAGTCACAAACAATAACATCCACGGATGATAACAGCTGTTTCAGGGGGGAAGCCGTTCCCGCATTCAACAAAGAGCCGGTATTATATGCAATCACTCCTGCAAAATGAAAGCACAACAATGGAACAGCTCAAATTAAAACGCATCTTTTGCGTTAATGTTAATACTGAATAAGATCTGGAATGTTACAGTAATAATGATGAGCATTTCATTGGTGCTAGTTGATGCGGAAACATCTGAATTTGTACTTGTACGAATCTTCAAGCTGAATAACATTGGAGAAGGGCAAGGGCAAGGGCAAGAGCAAGAATGATTTTAGATCAGTTAGACATTTCCCAAACCAGTCTAGAAATCCACGATAAAAGTGAAGATTCGTACAAGTACAAATTCAGATGTTTCCGCATCAAACTAGCACCAATGAAATGCTCATCATTATTACTGTAACATTCCAGATCTTATTTGTACGGCTACAATATGCTATTACGAGTACTTACGATCTGCCAACTTGTTGTCCACTGCTAACTGCGATACCAGTCCTACAAACGGTGACGAGTCTGCCTGTAAAATTCCAAAACCTGTACGCATACAGACAAGAGGAAAACTGGGACATTTGGCGCATGCCGGCATACCGCAATAACCATTTTCGCGCCAAGAGCGGCACACCAAACGCTGCGAATACCGGTGCCGCAACCGAGATCCAGAACGACGTTGCCCACAATGCTGCTTTGATGGTCACGGATAAGCGTGAGCAGAGCAGATACAGATTTGAAATCATTCAGCCTTATCTGGATTTAAAGAAGGAGTACCATGTAAACCAGTTAACTACTTAATGCACAGCATAAACACTTATTAAACAGTGATTCCGAATAAACGTTACCAAGTGTCCTTTTATTGTCGTAAACATCTTATTCATACAGTAAGGAAACTGGGCATTCTCTGATTCCATCTTCCGGAATACTGCCTTGATGATAGGTCCTGTTTCTCGAAACTTTACCGGCTGTTTAAACGGATTCTCCACTGTAAGTGCACACTTCTGGTAAATAATTATGGGGGTTCTCATTCTGTTGTGATCAACATCGGAAATCTCAATTACAAAACCTTTTAAAAATCTGGTGGCACAGTAATCGTACGTTTTCTATTCTAGTTTTCAACTGTTCACATAATTGACTTCCAGAAGTTGTGAGCACGTGAATATTACGAGTAATATCCACCAATAACGACGACACTTGTTCGTCGTCTGAGTCTTCTCTTAATAGTTTCATGGAAAGTTTCTTACCTTCTTTATCTTTGTCAGTTTCCGAGCTTCGCGCGTCGTACGAGCTACTCGTGCCCGCAAGGCAGGCATTTATCTCTGGTACGGATTCCCGTACATTCGGATAGTTTGCTCTCATCGGGACATCTTTAACAAGCGCAAGGTTTCTCGGTTGACCACGTCCAACTCCTCTGCGCCCAACAGCTTCCGGAGGTCTGATTGTCCGTTCACCGTTGTCTGCCTGTCCAGGATGTTCCATTGCGTATATGGAACCAGATCTTCTGTGACAGTAGATTTATCGTTCCTTTACTCCGTGACACAAGGACATCTATTCCATTTTTTCTCAACAATGGGAAGCCGTCACAAAGTTTTACGGTCGCTATATATCAGACGATCGCAATACCCGGGGCCGCGATGGCCCAAAGCCAAGAGAATTTGAAGCAAAAAATGGAAAGATCTTGAAACTGTGAAGACGTTCACAGCAGCTACAGATTATCAGGAATCTAAACAGTTAGTACCATGGAGAAACAAATCTTCGCTTGATGTGCCCGACGCTTCTTTTGCACAGACAAATACAGTGCAGTACATGATGGTGAGTACACTGACCGTCCAAAAAAATGGGAGAGGCCCAAGACTCCAAGAGTGATAGAATAACAGAAATTGCTATTAGAACCATGGGCGAGCCGCCCGGCCGGTCGGTTTACGCCGAAAACATATATAAAGTAAGCACTTACTGTACTTGCGCTCGTACCTAGACTATAGCGGCTGCACTCGTACGTACGTCATGAGCATTCGTGACTTCCGTAGGAAGTTGCGATCAATCCGCGCGTGGTTTGGTTGATCCATCATATCCACATTACAGTTTGTAATTTTCCCACAGAAAGTTTCAGGTGTGAAAGGCTGAGTAATTTCATATGTACTGCAATATTTTTCAATGTTTGTATTATCGAGTTAAACTTTTAGTTGGCTGTCGAGTGTCGACGTACAAAGATTTAGCGATTTGTTTTTAAATCTTTTTAAGCTTTATAGCGTCTTTACATTCTAGTTTTCCCTGGACTGTTTGCTGAATTGTCTGGGTCAGGATCGAGAGATTGATTGCGATGGCTGATCATATGCATCACAAACCCGTGAAAGGTATACTGAAGAAAACAGACAGCATCGATCCGGGTGAGCAGCCGAGGAGGAATTCTGCTTCACAAGAGCACAAAGAGATGAAGTGGGACGAAATGAATATTCTGGCTACGCATCATCCTCCTGGCAAAGACTACGGGCATATGAAGGTTCGTTATTGCTAATTACCGACTTCGTATTTCCTTTTGGCTTCACCCTGCCTCCAGGGGGAAGAAAGATTCGGGTTCTTGTAGCTTCCGTATTCTGCTCATTATCTTCTTACAAGCGTTGACTAATGAATGGTTAAGACGATTAATTGTTGGTCTAGAACGTGACACATTTAAATGTTTACGCAGCTGAAATCCAAAAATAATTCATAGCAAAAAGAACTTCATAGCAGGTTGTAAACTGGAATGGTATCAATAATACATCCGATTTTGCTGGCTGCGACATGCATGCTTCTTTGCTCGTATCATTTTTACTGCTTTGATATCCAGTATCCATCACGTATTAAAGATTAGGTTATAGAGCACTCATGAGATTCATCATTGAAAGGTGAATTGTTGAACGTAAATGCGGCAGTTTCAGGCATCATTAATTTTGCTAATCTATTCAGTTGTACTCAGACCACAAAAGGGTAGATTTTAACAAGCGCCAGGAACGGCGCCAAATGACTGTGACAGCAGGTTGTCTGGAAAATTTGTGATATATTTCGCTCTCGTAATCAGTTAATGGGCTGTATTCTTGCTGTATAGATGATGCGGTAAAATTTAAGGTTTTAGTCGGATCATCAGAAGTTTCTGTGATGTACCAATGCTCAAGACGTCAATAGGTTTCTTTGAATTGGGCTGTATTGTTTTATGCTTCGAATCCTTTTACCAGTGCGCAATCTAATTGAGTATTTTGTGCAGATTGAAGAACCTAAAACACCTTTTTCACATTCGCCACTGCCGCCTGATCATGACGTGGACGATGATGGCGATACGGAAATGCATGAACCACGTTCCGAGTCGGAGCCCGATCTTGCTGGACCTTGCGGAATCAATGCGGCTTCCCTGACGGAACGTCTAAATGCTGAACAGATGGGCCACCAATGCGCTAAAATGATTCGTGTACCGTCTCATAATGATGAAGATGAGGAGATTCCGGATTCGGAGTTAACACCCGAAGAAAGGGAGAAGCGCCGGCAGTTTAAGGAGCATCGTAAGGAGCACTACAATGAATTCCAGATGATGAAGAAGGCGAAGGAACTGTTGCATGATGAAGGAATAGAAACCATGGAGGATAATCCGCCGCCGAATGCTAAAACCTCATCCACGTAAACATGTCGTCCAAGCCAGTTTGTGACTTCGCTACATGAATTTCGTTATGGCGGGTTTTATTACTTATTCCACTAATGTTACGAAGATTGTATTCTGATTGTGGACTGCAGCTGTTACACCAGATATTCTTGTTGTATCTGACTTTTAACATCACGCTTCTCATGCTTTCATTTATATTATTTGAATTTTGCCAGGAAAATGTCTGCTTTCTGTAAACTTAATGCTATACAAACGTTTTGTGTGAATGTAAATGTTGCTGTTGGTCTACTTACAAGTGTTAACGAAGACATTCTGCATTATGAATTAACCGCTTTTAGGAAAGGAAACTTGCATTTACGTCTCCGTAGTTTGTCCTATGGTACCGTGTGCATTTTCTTCAAATTTTTCTCCAAATAACTATTTCACAATTAGAATAGATTTCTCCATTTTATTTTATTAATCGTAGCATAAATGGGATCTGGTGCTGTTACTGAGTGTGGAAGTTTTTGTTTATGTCGTGTACAAAGTATTTTGCATTTGTCATAACCCTGTCTAGTATCACCGAACATTCGCGAGCGTCCAAAGTGAGTTTGTGCGCAATTTCGCAGAGCCTGCTGTTTTTTTATTTAATTAATTCGTACCAAATGTTGGTTATTAGTTTTCAACTTCGGATAATCGCTGCTGGTTTCGTTACTACATTAGATACATCTGCAGTACGTGGTGCCTGGTGTGGGCATGATCCTAAATCCGCACACAGTGTACTTACATCATCCTGTAAGTAATCCGACTGTAACTCATATTCATCCATATTAACGCAATAATAAATATTGGTCGTCAGTTTAAATTAATGGTGTAATTAACTTTAAAGTATACGGTACATATACAGTAATACACACTGTTTGCCGCGAATGCCGTGGGCTGATAATTGTGTCCTGTGGGAAGATGTCAGATCACGCAATCAGCGCACCGGCGAGGTTTTACTTCGTAATAATTGTTCTCAGTTCTTAAGCAGCTCCGCAGCTGGAACTTTCCCATACCACGGTTTTTATTGTGGTGGTAGTATTTACTGGCCATCTCTGGTCGAGCGTGCACAGCGAATAAAGCTTATTTGCAAAAAAGCAGAATCTTACTGGAAAGATGTGTTTCCCAAATTGCATTCCTCTACAATTACTACTAAAACGTTAAACGGATATCGGTCATTTCGCGTTTTGATGAGCTCCACTATGGAACACCGGCTATCATTTGCATCATAAATCTTTTAAAGGCGTTACAAATATCTTACAACATTTACTATTAAACGCTAAAAACAAAAATCACAAATTCCGACATCAGAAATGCGGATGCACGTAACCCGACTGCGGACAGATGCTTCCCGTTCACACGAAACCTTGCCTGACAATTAAATTAAGTATTCCCCAGCTTCGATATCAGGACGACGGTGCATCCCTGCTACCTGATTGCTCTTCATGCAATTTCACTAATTCTTCAGCTGGAGCATGCTGCTCATGCCAGAGTTGGGTGTAAAGGCTGCTGGGACGGCGCAATAGCGAGTAATGCGTTCCACGCTCAATTACTTTCCCGTTCTCCAGCACGAGAATTTCGTCGGCGTCCACCACCGTCGAGAGTCGATGGGCTATGCAGATGGAAGTGCGGTTTTCCGTTGCTCTTGCCAGCGCTTTCATGATTTTCTGTAAATATCGCAAAATTTTGCGTCTACCCGTTAGGCGAGTGTCCATTAACCTTTACGTCTACAGAATCATTAATGTGGTAAAAAAAACTGAGCGAAACTAACATGTTCAATTCAGCGTCGTTAATAAAAGCACCAACTGGCCTCATAATCACTTACCTGTTCCGTAATAGAATCTAGTGACGATGTGGCTTCATCAAACACCAGAATCAAAGGGTTTTTCATGATGGCTCGGGCAATGGCTACGCGTTGCTTCTCGCCGCCGGATAACTTCATGCCTCGTTCTCCGACTTCCGTATCGTACTTATGGGCCCACTTCTCAATCGAACTGTGTATTTCTGCCATTTTTGCAGCATCGTAGACTTCTTCTGGAGATGCCGATAGGCGACCATACTGAATATTATAGAAGATTGAACTGTGGAACAGGACCGCATCCTGCGGTACGACTCCTGAAAAGAACGGCGCCACGTTTTCACTGCATTACGATTCGAACGAAACGAATCTTAATATGTTGTACAATTATTTAACAAGATTGTGTATACGCTTCAAACTTTACCACGCAGAGCTCTTTGCATGTATTCTGTATATCCATTCGCATGATTTATTTCGCAAATTAGTGTTTTAGTTTCGCTTGTTGAATTCAATATTCGTACAACGTCAAGAAAAACTACACTCACCTATAGCTTCCCTAAGGCTGTACAATGTCACATCTTTGACATCCTGGCCGCCAACAAGAATGCTCCCTTCCATCGGGTCAAAGAATCGGTAGAGTAGACGTACTATAGTCGATTTTCCGGAGCCGCTGCCCCCGACTATCGCAATCTTTTTCCCAGCGGGAACATGGAATGATAAGCCGTTGAGGATCGGATAACCATTGATGTATGAAAATTTTACATCCTCGAATGTAACAGTTGACGTAGATGGTGTGAGCATCAACTGCACCGAATCAGGTTTGTCCTAAAGCACGAAGGAAGAGACTTTAAATGAGAGCGCAGATGCTCAAGAAGACTAAAAACCAGATCCGCCGAAGAAGGCAAATCCAGTACCACTTACCACTATGTTAGTACCAACGTTCATAAGGTTAAACATGGTCTGCATATCTATCAGCGACTGTCGGATTTCACGATAAACAGTTCCCAGGAAATTCAGAGGCAGTGAAAGCTGCATTAGTAATCCGTTTACCATAACTAAATCTCCAACCGTCAGCTGGCCTATAAAACAAAATATTAGCAGCGAAACAAAGACATTAAAATCTTAAAAATTTGTTCACCTTTTAAAATTCCTTGGCTGGCCATAATCATCACGGCGGCAAGAGCTGTACTGAAAATCAGATTCTGCCCGAAGTTCAAGGAAGCTAGGCTTGTGTTGGTCTGCAGCGACGCTTTCTCGAATTTCATCAACACTTCATTATATTTATTCGCTTCGTGCTGCTCATTGTTGAAATATTTCACTGTTTCATAATTGATCAGACTGTCGATGGCTCGCGATCCTGCTTCATTGTCCGCTTTATTCATTTCCACTCGAAATTTAGTTCTCCACTGAGTTACCAGTAGAGTATATGTGGTGTAGGTTCCAATACATCCCAACGTGACAAGTGCATACGGTAATCCGAACTGGTGGTACTACAAAACACCAAAAATCTTGTATCTATAAAAACATAATATCTGGTATGAAACGGACTAAATCACTAAGAGTACAGCGAAGCTCCTGATAAGTTCACAACAACACATGGAATAGGGGTACGGAACCTCATTCTTACCATAACACCGGACACTAGCCCCACTTCAAGGATGGTAGGAAAGACATTAAAAACTAAAGCGCTGAGCACAAAATTGATGCCCCTAGTGCCACGGTCAATGGCTTTGGACAATCCTCCCGTCTGTCTGCCGAGATGGAAACGCATGTCTAATGAGTGCAGATGCTCGAACGTGGACACGGCGATCTTCCGGATAGAATGCTGAGCAACTTTGGCGAATACTGCATTTCTCATTTCGCTAAAAAGAGCCGCTGACGCCCGAGCAGCTCCATAACCAAGAAAAATCACAGCGGCGTAGGTGGCTGCGTTTGTAGCGGGATTCGTAGATGTTACGGTCAAAAGCTCGCCTGAATGCTCGTTGAGATAGTCCACGCCGTGTTTGAATATAAACGGGACATAAATGTTTACCACCTACAAAAGGAAGCGAGCAAATCAAAACTAAAACGAAGTTTAGGGCAAGAAATATGTGCAATTATTTAACAACAAAGAATAACCAATTTCTACATTCAAATGATGCCAAAATAAACAACCATTGGACAGGTACTTTCTAGGAATCGCATACACAGAACAAACCTTGGATCCAAGCAGGAGGGCCATCGCAACCGCTACCCTGACTTTCATTCCCACACTGTCTTTCGGCCACACATAAGACAGCATTTTCTTGACAATTTCCCATCCTGTCGTTCGCTTTTTAACGCTGAAATCCATGTCACTGTCATCGCTGCCGCCAGGATGGCCATGCACAAACCGTTTAACCACTTGTTTATCCTTCTGATCGGGATTGGGCACAAATGCGCCAGATATTTCCCGACCTAAAATCTCACCACCAGGAATTTTCGGGGAGAGAAACTGCAATTTGTCCGCTTGAACCTGGGAAGTATTAAAGATTCAAAAGCTTAGCCTAAACAGACAATAACATTAAGTATTGTATATGACTGAAGGATAGGATTCGTCCAGTCAAAAGCTTACATTTTTGAAAGATGGCGACCAAGAACTCGTTCTCCTAACGCCGCCGCATATTCGCAAGCTCCCATATTTTCCAATGTATCCCAGCTGACGATACGGCGCAACAAGCGTCCGCGCAGAGGCAATCAACTGAAGGCTCATGGTGCGCTGTTACCTCGACCATGGGCCACTTGAAACAGATTCAAACAATTTCCTGCGTATATCACCATGCATGACAAAATCTCCGGAACTTATATCATCACTGGCAATCGGGTATGATATAGTTAACTAAACAGCAAGCTGCAAAAATGCACAAAACCAAAACATTTAAAGCCACAAACGTCAGGCAGGATGAGGCAGTGCAGGCAAACACTGCAGGATGAAGACTTCCACGAGTTTTCAAAATGAAACATTACAAGTGCCGCAGTCCAGAAACACACTTGCAACAAACTTAATCTAATGATTAATATACAGTTTAAATATCCCAAAACCAATCTGTAAAAAGTTTCGTAAACCAGTGTTAGCAACTGCTTCGAACAATACCAACAGCAGGAGCACAATAATTTACTTACGACTTCCAGACTTCAGCGAGTGAAAGATATCACAAAAACATCGGAATTTTCTTGGGCGTAGTAAGCGAGATGATCTACCCTGCAGGCTCCCTATTTCCCACATTTTATTGGGTGGTTTAAGTTTGCACATGCAGCCTTCGCTACTTACGCTATTGTTGTCGAAAAGACTTCAAATTAAAATTTAATGTGAATTCTGAAGTTTGAACCCATGAATGATGAATCACGAGACGCTTCAGATTTTTGCAGCATATGATTTTTTGATTCCCGTTCATTAATAACCGTTATCATTCCCGTTCATTAATACCCGTGTTAGATAAGTTTTTGACCTAAAGCAGTATGTGAAGTTATTGTGAACCAGTAAAACTTGAAGATTGAAGAGTTGATTCGACGTGCTATCTATGAAATTTTGCCCTTTTTGGGCTCTTGTAAAGTCTTGTTAATCGTATTCTAACGAATGGGAACAATAGGAATTGGGTCAGTTTGAGTGATCGCCTGGGCGCCTGTCGCAGACAAGGATTTTCATTTGACAGGTGAATCACGTATCGTACAGAAGAAGCAGGACAGAAAGTTGTTTTTTTCGTTTCCGATCACCTTCGTCCGAAGATGGAAAACTAGCGCATTATAACGAGCGATCTGCAAACCTTGAGCAGCTCAATTTTTTAAGCAGGATAAACCGTAAATGTATGGTGAGAAGACATGGACCGCAGCAGCACGCCTATTCGACACCTGATGGACAGCATGTTGGACAGTGTTGTTGAAACAACGTCGCAGTTGAACAAATTGCAATACGCTACGATTATCTCTGATGATAATGAAAACGCAGCCCTTACGAGAGCGACCAATGTTTTCACCGGAAACTCGGATAACACCGCCATTAATTCCGCAACGCCTGATTTGGACTATGGATTCCACAACCAGTCTAGCGAGCGACAGTCCAGCTTGCATGATTTAGGTACTAGTACTTTGTGGCTTTTACCGCATACTTAGCATTGCTGGCCCGAATTGTGCAGAAAGCATTTGCACTTGCAGTTTCTGTAGTTTCAGGCTTTCAGCAATCTCGCTCGCATTTACTTATTCTATGGTATGAACTGTTATTTACGAGTGCAGTATAGTTTTGAGTTTGGCATTTAGGAACAAGAAAGGAAAGGACGCCATCACCGGAAATCGGAGAGGCTGTGCCGACGAGGAGGGCACGCTCCAGTTCACCGGAAATTGCAGAATGTTACCGCTGCTCTGCAGGCGGGTCTGGCGGTAACAACGGTGTTTATCGAGAGGGTGATTCCGGTTTGGGCTTGCCTGACGAAGAAATGGAATGCGATAGTGAGAAATTCCCGTATCTTGACCGTCTGGAAAAGGAATACTTGGTATGTGTGCAGTGTTATTTGTAAACACATTTCATACACGTGCTATTTAAACGTGGGTTTGTTTGTTGTGCTTACTGTTTAATAATAAAAAGCGTAAATTTTTATTGAACTTTATCGTTTGTCTGTCCGCGTTTCTGGCGGCTTAAGTAGGATATCCGATATAATGCATCATTTTGAGTATCTTGATTAAAGTATATATGGAGAAAAATAAAAATGCCGATATCCGTGCAGATGTTCAAAACTTGATATGTGTTGTTGTCCTTATTACAAACCCGATTTGCGATACGTCTGTTGGGTAGAAATGCACCGAAGAATACGAAAAATTTTCATCTGTATACGAGGATGGCCAGGACGAAGATTCAGACGATGAAGAACGAGCTTGTGACAGAATTGAAGTGCTTAAAATGCCAAAGAATTCGCCCGAGAAAGACTGATTTCTTATTGTCAAAGAAAACGCGTCACATCGAGGGTGTTGGATCCAGAAATCACAGCATTTCGTCCATGGAAGGGTCAGTTTCCGTATCACTTTTATTTTTATTGTGACGGCTGTATGTTGGGCAAAAAAGGAAGGGAACTTCGGTTTTAAAAATTGCAGGATCTGATTCGACGATTGTGAATGCCTTCATGACAAGCAGTATTAATTCCCGATTGAAACCCTCATTTGACGAGTGTCACAATATGGTCCGGAAAGCTTGCAAGAGCGAACGATGGGGACAAAATAATGCTGAAAACGAAGAACTGGGTAAGTTTTGTTCTGAAGTTATCTCCATAGCGAAAAATTCTAGCCCTACTCAGAAAATAGCGGCGCAAGCCATATGCAGCTTTAATGTGCTTAAACTCGCAACATGTTTTGTTTATCCCCGCTTTTCTGTTCCAGCTCGAAAACTAATTCACGAAATTCATGTTTGCGTGGATAATATCAGGAATATTCATAGCTCGCATTCCTTTGCGAAATTGCTAACGGAACTTGATGGTCAAGACGTACAAGTTGACCCAGAAGTAGAATGCCGATATGAATCCACTTTAGAACAAGCGCGCACTCGATGGGATGATGCTAAATTCGATGTGGACGGTGGCGAAAATTCCGAAGAAAACGATTGGTCAGGACTAGCTTCAGGTGCTTGAAGTTTTTGTTGACAGTTTACATGTTTTTCGCAGTTACGCATCCTGCACATTCACTGGAGCTGCAGTATTTAATGTCATGGTATCTGTTGGCTGCAGATCATTCTCCTACGCCATCTGCATCTGGCTTTTCCAGAAAGCCTAAGTTTTCTTTCTCAAACACTCGGTCAGCGGTTACTGCCCAATCGCTCCTCATGGCAGCTGTTCAACGGTATAATGATCTCTTTACTCCGCGGCGTGTGGCGCTGCATCCAGTCCCATCAGAATCGGTACCGCGGTCATTTCTCCAGGCTTCTGATTGCCGGACAAGGAAGTTCCACATCAGACGTCGGCCGGAGAATCAGAACGATACTGACCAGGGTGAGAACAGGCAACCACCTCCTAAAAAGCGAAAATCTTCCATTTCAGACACAACGTTCGAAAATGCCTCAACTCTTTCGCTTATTACTCGCACCGCCACCCCTTTCGTTCAAGTTCAGATACCCGTGACGGTTATTCCAATGGAATATGCTAGATTTACGGTGCGTATCAAGAAAAAACTTGGCGGATGAATATTGATTTTCTTGTTAGTTTGATTTCGGGATTTACGTACATCATTATTTTGGGAAATGGAGAGTGTAACCGAATTACGTTAAGACTACTCGTACAGAACATCAGTGTTATTTTGTCTGTATTTCAACTTTTAAACCATAAATCATTTCATGTGTCATAAATCATTACTTGTATCATTTCACAGTCAGTTCAGCTGTAATGCACATGCAAAATGCTCCAGCAAATAATAATAATAGTAATATAATACTCGTACTCTTTGACATCAGATCCATTCATCGTAATACTGCAAGCACAGCACTGCCGAGACAGGCATGCCATTTTCAAGATTTCGCAATCAGTGCGCAACTGGAAGTACCCAATTTACAACTGCTTTAACACATTCCGTCTTCCGAATGGCTGTAATATTTTCACCGGCAACCGTTTCAAAACCACCATACACCGTATCACAAATTGCATTAGTAAGGGCCTAAACGAACAAAACAGACATATACAGTACAAAAACGCCAAATAATATTTATCCTATATGACTGAAAACATCACAGATGTCATGGGAGGAAGATCAGTAAAACAAAATCTACACTGACTTGGACAGATCTTGTGTAGCGGGGACATTTGGGCTCCTACGCCCAATACGAAAAACATCTCGAACGTTAGTAAGCTTTCCAAAATTTTCGGCTTCCGGGATGGTCTCCGGCAGTGGACAATTCAGTGTCTCCGGCAAAATCATAGTTGCAAAAATTCCGATAGCCGACAAACATCCAAACACTATCATCGGAAATGCTGCGCCATTGAAACGGAGATACACAATAACGGGTCCGAAATTGCCTGGAAAGTAAATGATATGCAAATAGAAGAAAAACGATGCTGACTGCTAGCTTTCGCAATATTTCAGATCTGCCACGGGTAAACAATATTCACTTGTCAGCAACGTTCAAGTGCCGATCAAACTTAAAAGCAAGCTCGAACTTATAAGCATACTACAATTAAATAATTACCAATCTTCAACACGGTACATGTAAAATTAGGCAACCTGATGCAAAGTTTATCAATTAATATCAAAAGAAAATTTACTAAGATGCCATTCAATATGTTGCTGTACAGTTTTGCAGCTTTTGTCATGTACTTACTGACGAAGTAACCCACGATATTTGTCAGTGCCACACCTTCACCGCGCAGTACTGTTGGAAAAAGTTCTGAAACCATAAAAAAGCAAAAAGTCTTGTATAATATACAATTATTCACACTTCATAATACAAGCAAATGCTATCTTACCATAAACCATAAGTTCTTGTACGGTGTACGCAGAAGTGACAAATAATTTGGCGACTAAAAACAAGGTGAGCAGTATCGGCCACGTCGAACTGCCCTGGGACGGTATCGCAACAGTTGCGATACAAGAAGCAGTTCCGGCCACAAAACACACAATCATGGTCAAGCGTCGTCCGAGACGGTCGGCAATTAACTGAGTGAACAATGATCCCGGCAGCTCCACTAATCCAACCAACAAAAAACTGAGGTATGGATTTTCACCAAGCGCAGGAGCATAATAATTCAGCCCTGTATATATTACGTTGACGGCGCAGCTGAGATAGGTCAAAACCAAAGTCTTTTTCCGCAAATTAGGATATTTCAGAAGATCAAGCCAGGAAGTCTTCTTGGGATTCATTCCAGAGGATAATCGCTTCTTTTCTGCGTACAGCTCTTGGAGTTCGCTGTATTTCGCTTCACATTCTTCGTCATAGATTTTGCCATTGGCTTTCGCCACTTTGCGGAGGAACTTTTCCGTTTCAGAAAACTGTCCAATCGATAACAACCACCGAGGGGATTCCGGCATGACAAACCAGTAACCGAGGAACAAAAAGAATGGCGCCGTGGAAGCGAATATCAAATACCGCCAGTGCCGGATAAAATAGGCTACCGCGGTAAAAGCCACACCTCCCAACGTAAATGCAACAGTCAGAAGGACGGAAAACGTCGAACGGATTCCGGGCGTGAGAATTTCAATGCCCACCATATAAGGCAGGATATAACAGGGGTTAGTAAATATATTCTGTACACACGCTATCACGACGAAGGCGATGAAATTCGGTGCAAAACAAGAGCCCACACCCAGCAACACGTATAACAGTAAAAACACAAAAAATGATCGTTTTCGTCCATAGTGATCACTGAAATAACCGCCCAAAGGAATGCCCAGTACCCCGCCCGTAGAAGTCAAAATATAGGCCAGGGTGGGCAGAAATGCTGCGCCGCATACCAGTAAAAATTCCGTGATCAGGCTGGTGTCACTATTGTGACGGTCAAAAGTCCAGCCGTGTCGGCAGTGAGTTGTGTTTAGATGGGTGTGGGATGTGTTGATGTATCGTATCACTCCTTCTATGCTGCCCTCTTTCTCCAGAATGTCCGTGTAATTCAGATCATACATTTTACAGGTGGAATGCTTGACGGTGTCGTCGTCATTTTTTTCCAAGGGAAGAAGCTGTCGTTCCTCCGCAAACGTTAAGTTGTGCAGCGGAATATGACACCTAAAACATCGACAATTTAAAACTGCATATTAGAGCACAAGATCCGAGAAATTTCGAAATGCCTTTACCTTCCCATTAGTGCCGGTAACTTTTCTACCAGTAACATGATTCAAACAAACATTACATAACACTCCAAAATACTCTTTTACACTCACTTTAAATTCGTGTAACAGAATTCTGTAATTTAACCTGTTTCTGTTGCAATAACAACTATTATCTACAGATTCTACTTACCAGTGATCCGTTGGCATAGCGGAAACAAACAGCTAAAAAAACACAATACGTAAGTTGATGTATCATGCATGCCAGTCACAGATATTTACCAAAAACTCTTAAATTACGGTTCCACTCCATCAGGGCCAACGATACTGTTTTCGAGTTTTTTTAGAGTTTTTCGTATTCTGGGTTTTTGCTTATATTTTATCGAACTGCAAAAATCCAAATGCCCCCGACTTACCCATGAAGACTGCATAAACGCTGATGCGAAAAACATGGGAAGTACCACAAGAAATATTATGCATTTCTGATAGCGACCAAATCCGCCGAGTCTTTCCAATATGTCCTCAAATAATCTGCCGAGATCCGCTTCGAGAAAAACAGGTGTCTCTGTCAAAGGATTTTCTTCAGCATGGCTGCACAAATTCTGTTCCGCATCGTCCAACAACGGCTCATCATCTCGAACATCCTCCATGCTGTCTGCTCAGTTCGACACCAAAGTTAAAAAAAGGAATATTAAACCGAGAGCTGCAAACTGCACAAGCAACTCGAACGGAGCAGGAACGAGGAATCGTTGGTTTCCGAGCCTTGAGCAATGGAGAAAACAAAACAAAACGGTGTCGCACAGTTCGTTGCTCGATCGGAGACCCGAATACTACAGAGTTCAAACTAATCATGCCAGTATACAGTACCGAGAAATCCACAAAATTTTTGGAAGAAAGATCTGTCATAGCAACTTTGATGAATATTATCTAATCGCACGCTTCGTCGGGAATAATATGGACGTAAGCGAAGAAAACGCTGAAAACCAAAACAAATGAACACAAACCAAACTTTATCAGTATCAGCTGACTCCTTCCAACTCCACTCGCGTGCAGTCGGATGCGAAATTGTGCTGTAGAACAGTAGAAGTACGTACTGTAATAGACAATTTTGTGAAATGATAAGACGGTAAGTAAGGGAATAATTCTAATGATACTTCGTATTTTTAATTTTTTGATAACAAAAACTTACTTAAGAGCTGCAGAGAAGTAATTAAACATGAAGATCTTTTCGACTAGAAAACATTAGTAAAGCTTTTATAAAAAAACCGCAAAACGGTAGGAACCATTTCCATAGTAATTTTATGTACGTATTACACCGTGTATTGTTATTTTGTACAGCATTAAAATTAGTAGAGGTGACTATTAACGAACGTAAGTAAGTTTCTTCTGTTTTCGGGAACGTCATTTCGGTTAGTAACTGCTGCTTGCGCTACTCCGCTTTCGTATCACGGAACAAAACAAATAAAACAAAACAACGGCATGCTGATTCAAATTTGTAGCAACCATTGAAAACTGATATCCCATCTTCTACGTATTTTATATGTACGATTATATCCATATCTATATATATACTAAGCACAAAATTATAAAATTTAGTTTGCATATTTCTAAACATGGTGCAATGTCGCACTTTTCGTCTTGGATTTTTTCTATTAGTTCTCGTAATTTCCGAGGTCAAACTTTTCGTTCAGTAATTTCTGTAATGGCTTCCGCTTTTAATCAACAATCTTTGAGAATTAATGCTGTTTGTATCCTTCGAGTACACTGTATGTACGCCTTGCAAAGTTGTAAATTAATAGTGTCGTACCAATTCTGCTGATGGCGATTTCATTGCCGCTGTACAATAAGTACAGCAGTATTCCGTACTATTATAGGGCGTGTACTATTGTTAGAGTGGCAATGGCAGTGTAAAGGGTTTTCGTTACTTATTATTACAAGAACCGTTTTTGGTTTTGTGTAAAACATGCTGTTATAAAATTTTGTAAAATATTCTACGAATAAGTTAAATGCATAATGCGTTAAAGTAATGTACGGATGCCTTTGATAGGCCCTTTACCGGCTTTACGCTTTTGTGGACAGGGAAGGTTAACTTGTTTGTAAACTGTAAGAATGACTCGTACTACGAACATTTCGAATTAAGCATCAAACTTTTAAAGTATTACACATATTGTGTCATTCCGTAAAGGCTTCACTAACAAAACATGGCAGGCGAACACAATTCATTTCAATTTTGCTTCATCTAAAAATTACAGAAAACTATGCTGGTGTAACATGCAACACCAAAACCTACGCGGAGATTGCAATTCACCGACCCCAACTTAAAAGGATTCAAAATAAACATCTCATTATATGGCACAAGACAATGAATGTACTTATACTGTAGTTGCGTCTCACTGCTTTGCAAAAACATTCAGACCAAGGCTGTGCATCCTTTGAGCTAAGAAATCAACAGTAGTATCAAACAGCACTTTCATGAACGCTTCGCTGCACTTCCATTTAAAACTTTAGAAGGAAACATAACACTAGCACGGGGATTGGCAAGGTGAGTTTGTACTGGTCCATTGTTGTTGACCAGCGGCGTAACGAACTGACTCAGACTGGTCAGATCATCGTCTTTCGCCACATGAACCAAATGAGCAAAGCAGCAGGGAGGCGAAATACTGGACTTTTTCGGTGGGGGATTTTTCTTCTTAGGTGTTCGCTTCATCTTCATCTCCTGAAAATTTGCCGGATTGGAAATCAGCGTGATAACATTCTGGAGAAATTTACTGGCCGCGGAGGTGCTAGCAATACGCAATCCCACTCGGGTTTTTTGGTTTGAGGCCTTGAAATCATGGTAATCCGCATCCACACTGCGATAGTCCGATGTCTTTGTGATCACATCCCGCCACAAGGGGAAGCCGGTACCACGCTCGGCAAAGATAAAATGAACGGATTTTCGGTCTGGCCGTGTTACCTGCACCACAACCGGAACGCCCTCGGCATATTGCAGAATCCAAGATGCCGGCGTCTGGCGAGTGGTCATTTCCGGTTCACATAAATACAGCGCAGCACCCGCTGGACAAACATACACTTGGCTGAACAGTCCTCGATAAAATGTTTCAATTTGTGTGACTTCTTCGGCCGAAAGCGTTTCGGCTAGTGATTCCAGTGTCAGCGGTGAATTCCCAGTATTTGACCTTTCCCACTGAGCATGGGAATAGTTCAGGGAGGAGGCATGGGAATCCCGATCGGGGGAAGTCGTACCACTGCAGCTGGACGATTGCACCGATGAGAAGGAATCTGACGCCACACTACTACCGGACATTATGAAGATTATTATGAGAACAAATGGGAGTGTTCAAATAATAATAAATGAAAACATGGCACAGAGCACATGCGCATGCAGCTGCGGCGATGTTAGGCGCGGATATAATTGATGGGTTGCTGAGTTTAAATTTGCTCGGCCCTCGCGCGCTTCAGATGGACAATGATGGATTGCGGCCGGGAACACTAGAGAGAGGGAGAATTAATCGCTTGATCAGATTGAGGATATGAAGAGGATTATTCCGGTCCCGGAGATTCCAATTTCACATCCACAACTACAAACAGACAATTTTCAGTCTTTACTGCCGACGAGAATTAGCAAAATTCCTGTACAATATTTTCAGAGGCGCGCATAACGTAAAGCCTTGTTCGTCGGACAAAGAATACGAAATGAAACATCAACAGGAATTTCGTGCAAACAGTCTCGTGTTTAATCAAGTCCACTATCTTTTTGAAGTTATTGTTTAGCCAACATAAATATCCGCATGACTTTTGCGCGCATGCAAGCCATATAGCATACGGACTACATACTGCCTCATGGGCATTTTAGACACAGTGCTAACACAAGATGCCGTAAGTCAGATGGCATAACTGATCATTGCCACAAAACCTGTTAGCCATAAAAGCATAAATCAACGCTTTCACACGATTTAAACTATTACCTTTAGCATGGCTGCATTTAAAGTTAGCGTGCTCGAATTCGAATTCCCACTGAACCGTATCTCAGCTAGATCAGCATCGTAAAATTGTGTACTCTCAGAATTCCTGTGATAAGGACACGCGACGATGTTTGGAGCTTTGCTGCACGTCCTCGTGTTTTTAGGGATTTCCCGCATACCAAGTTTTAGCCATTGATATTTGATATAATATTATACCACAAGCTGATAGTTACAGATAAAAAGTTCTTGACTAATGCATGCTAAAAACATCGATTACTCAGGAAAGCAAAGCAACGGCAATTATTATTACGTTGCTGCCGGCATGAACGCTCATAAGAGTCATAACCACTTACAGATTAAAAGTTTAAAACGTAGCGGCTGCTAAACGGTTCGGTGTGTCGTGTACACTATACAGTGACGCACCAAGACTGTTTTAGACCGCCAATGCAAAAAAACAAGTAATCGGTCAGTTTGCTTCAAGTTCACCATTTATTGCTTTAATTTACTGTAATTTCTTTATGAACTGTACTAATTTTACTTACATACATCAGTTGCATAAACCATAGTGCACCGCAGCCACATTCAAACTCGGTACAGTATTTGAGTATCAGGATCAATCTGTCTACCATTCGTCACTAACACTGCCGATCATTAACCCGTACACCACATGTCAAACAAACAAAATCTAATTCAATTCGGGATCTGTTCCAAAACCACAAAGGGCGAGTTGCCCGGAAAGATTAAAACAACTGATACTGGAAAAAGGGCGATCGCATAAATACACGTACAAACTATTTCCTGGCTTTCCCTCATAGTAATATGATCACTTGCTTATTACACTATAACCACCCACAGTGGCCGCACTGCTTTTCATAATTATTAATTATCTGCATAGATAAGTTACTTAATTATTACCACGACAAAGCCATAATTCCAGTAACAGAAGTCGTAAATCATGCATAATCAATCTTAGGTAACATTCACCGGCAGAAAAATAGATCGTTTTTGTAACCTCCTACGTCAACGTTGCGAAAGATCGCGATATACAGGGTTACAAGGAATATCGATTAAAAACAGGAAAATTATTCATGCTTTCGTAATAACTGGACAACACAGACTTTCTGCTTAAACTTCACGCGCCACCACACCACATCATTATTGTATGCTGTTAATTATTGCCTCTCTGTTGTATCAGTTATCATACCAATTGCCGCATACCTTATCGCAAAGTATGAATTACGAAACCTCATTTCCCTTCAATGGGCGTAAATTCATCAGTTCCATATCCATTTACAAACAAACACCAGATAACTTATCACAGCAAAATTTGCCAAACAGAAATAAACCAATACAAAGTATGCACACCTGTTTCTAAATTCAACATTTTAAGACACAAGTGAGTGAATATCAGAGTGTCACTAACCTGTATGATTTATCGGCAATGGTCAGTTAACTAAACCAGGAAACGAGGTCAGAGCAGTTCCCCAGCGGCAAAACAGAAGCGTATTAGTGCTGATTAGCCAGTGACTACAGTCCAGTTGGTGTAAGTTGTGGCAGCGCTATCGTCTCTCTTGTGCAACTGGCATCTAGATCTCTCACTCTCAAAAACGACCGCTATTCAGCAGAAAAGCGGCACAACGTTTTCGCTTTTCTTCCAAATGCTTGGAGAGTTTAAAATCGGCGATGATAACGGTAAACTATGAAGGACACTTGAGTCTTATCGATTTCGCTAAATCACCATGTCGACTTGACGCGCAATGATTATTAGACCACTTGCAATTCAGACCGGATTTAAGTGTCGCCACTGCCAGCTCTTCACCGCAAGCTCAACTGAAAAGCCGGCTATCACAATAGAAATCTTCACAAACGTCCACGGCGAAAATTTACCATTCACAAAGCAGAGAATCAATAAGAAGCTACTACAAGAGTAGATTCCTGACGACAGCTCGATGTTCGTTAGATTAAAGAATCCGTTCAAGGAATTGCTCGTAACGGTAATACACAATACGGCAATAGGCACTGATTCCACTCTGCATTACAGCACTGATTGTGAGCTTAACGATCGCCGCCGATCGCGATCATCGCACGGATTTGTCCAATAGTTGTTCGCTGACCACAGAAAACGAGCCCAACTACAAGCGAAGATCGCTGCATCCCGTAAAGAATCGGTAGGACAAGCTAACAGAAATTCTGGGACTATCAATAACAGTCGATCGAAGATGGATTCATACAAAACACATCATACGAAACAGCAGGTTCAAATGATCCTGCAGAAGGTTAAAAGAGTTTATCTTTATACGTTAGTTTATAGTTTCAGCTCAAGCTGCAAGCAACTTGCATCCAGCTGCAGCCGGATCAAATTTTCTTTTCAACTTGTCGGCGTTTCTATTCAGGAAATTCAGATTTAACTGCCAGCAGATGGCCTGTTGCATCTAGTAAAAGCTTCATGAATGACGGATCACAGCCAAAAGAGAAAGCAGACTGTAGTAGCGAATGGATCGACATAGCTACGGATAAGGGGTGGATACCCCTTTAATATCTATCTTGCTTGTACGATACTAGTAACTGCATATTTTGCAGTGCTGAAAGCAATTAATTTCGCGCTCTAGGTACGGTTTAACCGTAAATAAAACATTCCAATGTAAATCACATGAAAATCAACAGAAAAGGAAATTATAAAAACCGACAATTGTTATAATGATCCACGCACACCTAATTGTAAAACCGGCACGAGTGTCCAGTACTCTTAGAGACCGCAAAACGTGACCGGCCATAAATGATGAGCGTGATTACTGAGGCGGTGTCTCTGAACAGTGCACACCTATATGCACATTATGAGCAACCAACCTCGGACGCAAACAGTAAGAGCATTAATTATGCGCTAGCAGTCTAGCACTATGGAATTAATTTTTGTATTTTATTTATCTATCATTGGCTCATTAAGTCTAACAGTAAGACTGGATGAGTAAGGGCAACACGACAATTATTACGATTACGGATATGCCGAGTGTAGAGTACAGTTTCAATATCAGCTCTGTCAATTTTGGTGCCGCTCCAGACGAAGGAAGAGATTGCAACAGATGGCTAATAAAACTCATATTCTTGACAACTCAAAATTTGTTCACAGGAACATAATGCAAAAACAAAATAACCGGGTAATTTCCAGAACACATTAACACAAAAACATAAACTCGAATAACTGCGCCACAAAATCGCAAAACGAGACAAATTTCACGATTCAACCGGGAATATCTTTCCCGGCAACGGTTTATCCCCATTAAGCGGAAGAAAAACACAAATACTACGCCAAGAGGTTTTATCAGACGCAGTGTCCAGAGATTCCTTGAGAGGTCCAGAAGTTTCGGGTAACAGAAGCACACAGCCCAAAGCTACAATCGTCATACCCCCAAACACCATGAAAGGCAATGAGAAGTCTCCGTACCGGAAATGCACGATCAACGGCCCAAAACTCGAAACCACATACGAAAAGAGGGTGATAAACGATACGGCTTCTCCCCGAAGAGATGTAGGATAGCTTTCGTACATCTAAATATTAAACGAACAACATTACAGATACTACATAAACGTATGAAAATTCATTTTAATTCTTAGTGCAAAAGTGCCTGTTATACGGCCGTTTCACGCTGGTTTAATGAATATACAGTCAGTTGCATTTTACTATCCAGCAAGGTATTACATGACCGATAAAAGGTAAACGACAAACATCATTACATAAGAAAACTCACCATCAATTCCTGCACTGTATATGCACTGGTCATGAACAGACGAGCCAAGCAAAATAAAATCAACAGGCTAACATAATGGGTTTCCGCACTCGGGATTCCAGCTGTGCCTAACATGGATGCCACTCCAAACAGTAAGCATAGTAGTAAAGTGATCTTTCTCCCCAATCGATTAGCTATGGTTTCCGTTAGCAGCGAACTTGGTAGCTCGATTAAACTGGACAACAGCAAATTCAAAAATGGATTGCTTCCAAGGCCTGGCGCATAGTAGTAGAGTCCAACGTACACTGTGCTGACACAAAAACTCAGATACGACAACAATACTGTCTTTAAAAACACGCTTCGGGTCCTAAATAAATCCAAAAAGGACGTCTTCGAAAGGTTAGATTCATCTGTGCGTAACCGTAAGGCTTGTAGCTGTGCAACTTTGTCTCCAATCTCCACTGAGTATCTTCGCCGGTTAAATTTACCGATAACTCGCAAGTATTTTTGCAATTCTTTAAAACGTCCCTCGGATAGCAACCAGCGCGGCGATTCCGGCATTATGGTCCATAAGCCCAGAAAAAATACTGACGGAAGTACGGAAGCCAGCATAATGATTTTCCAGTAGCGAAAAAAGTATGCAAACCCCACTAGAGCAATACCTCCCATGGTAAAGGCCACAGTTATCAAAACGGAATAAGTGATGCGCATACTGGGTGTAATGACTTCCAGACCCAGAGAATACGGAATGGTGTACAACGGATTCGATGGGATCGACGCCAACGTTGCCAGTGCCACGTACATCGGAAAACTAGACGAGAGAGATACAGCAGGGCCAAATGTCAGCAATAAAACCAGAAACAGGAAGAAGGATTTCTTTCGGCCGAATTTGTCCGAAATGTATCCTCCAGCAACAATTCCCACGATACCTCCAATGGATGGAACTATGTATCTGGAATAATAAAATAAAATCTGTAATTGTTAGTCAACTAACAGCTACCAAAGTTGCAAAAAATTGTAACCAATGGGAAGCAGCAAAACTAGTAAAGACACGATACATTTAAACACACTGAAAAATAACTACTGTAATCCGCAACGGGAATACTTTGCATTAGTGTGACAATCTGATAAATTTTCAGACTTTGAAACACAAATTCGCCAGATTCTTACCCTAAAGTCGGCAAATAGTCATGCTCGCATACGAGATCGAAATCGGTGACTATGCTGGAGTGGAGGAATGACTTATCGTATGTCCATCCCTCAGAACACTTCTTTAATCTGGTGTTTTTCATCACAGTCCCGTTCAAGAATGGAACAACTGACTTTTCCCAGTATATCCAGATGTCCACACTTCCGCGTAGTCCACATCATACATGCAGCATTTACTGACGCGTGACTCCTCGGTGGATCCACAGGAATCCGATTGCGACGGAACATAAGAGGAATTTCCTTTTACCAACGAATTATTTTTCGGAATCGTACACCAGTACTCGGCCGAAGACGCAACCAAAAAGATCTACAAATAAACCCAACCTTCGGTAATCAAATGATCACCAATTTCCGATTAAACATAACAAACTCACCCAGCTGCTCCCCAGCACACCATTAGCGAAGATTGCCGGTAGCACAACCAAGAAAACAACCAGCTTCTGGTATTTGCCAAAACCACCAAGGTCATCTAGAATCTCTTCAAATTTCGTTCCAATGTCCACATCCACGTCCGCGCTATCACTGCCAGGCTGCACGATGGTGGAATTCGAATCGCTTGATGAGATTAAGCTGGCGTTACTTTTTTCTTCCCTGAAAAAGGATGAACTGCTGTGCTGCTTTCAGACATAAATAAAAACAGTGTACAGTTGGTCGGGTTAGCAAACTACTGTGCGAACTTAAATTATGAAATAATTCAATTAACGATGACTGTGTGAAAAACAGAAAACAAGCGCAAGATAATTGAATGCCAAAAGACACAGACAAAAGCAGAACACCGTAGGTAATCTTTACTTGGACAAGAAAAAGAAACGTCTATTCAAGTGCCTGGAAGAAATTGCCTATGGCAAAAATTACTGAACACCGAAACGCATCATAACTTTTACACTAAGTTTATAAATCGGCGACTGGCTGCACCGTTAAGCTCCGTCTAAAAAATATAGGAATTAATTATTAATGTAATTTTTTTTCTTGCGAAAATATGAAGACTAAAACTAAATCGTCAGAAAACTGCTGACGCTCAAAAAGACAATGATCGACATCTATTACTGCACAGACAGCACAGTCACCCATCAGAATGTTTTCAACTTTTCCTGCTCCAGTTTAGAACCTGTCAACTGTCAAATGACCCAAATCCGATCTTGACTTACGGGTTTGCATCGGATGTCGCTGACTCTTCCGTCGACCCTATAGGTGGTGGGTCGTCGTCTCCGGCTTCGATTCCCTGAGAACTTTCGGCCATCTAATCAAACAAACATAACAAAATAATGGAAAGCGAAGTCGTGCATCTGTGTCATTTCCAATCAGGAATTAACATGAGCTGAACTGATCGGCATAGAACAATGGCAATGCTGTCACATTCAAGTTCAACCGTAGACACAACGGCTCCAGTGTCGCACGATTCCGAAAACCTCGCATTCAGTAACCACCAAATTGTAATAGATTCAGCATGTCAAAAAACCAATAATTAATGATAGATCAGCAATTACTTAAATAACGTTCTGATGATTCTGTTATCTTTAACAATGAGCGCCAACGGTAAAACTACGCTCGGGACACTCACTCACCATCCAGAACTTGGCTGTAAATTAACGTGGCAATCATTAAGGCATCAAATTGCTGCTGAACAAGAGATGGTCAAAGAAACGTGAAGTAAGTCTTTCAGCGCTTTTAAACTATTTTAATTTCAGTATTATCTAAAACTAAAATTGCCAGTTAAAAAACACCCGAAGTCCAATGATAAACCAGGGAGTACTAATACTTCAAGATCACAAGGTTCAGAATGCTGTGCAAAATAACTGACTCATATTTTTGCAGCGATGTTTTGGTTCGCTTTTTCGTCTACGCCTTTACGGCATGTTGAAAGAGGCGGGCGAGATACCCATTGGTTGGTGTGCCTGATGTTTGAACTGATGACGTGAGCATTTTTACGCCTACTTCCGCTATGCCTTTTAAAAGTAAAACAGCGGTATCATTTCATCTCTTTTGTTAAAAAAATGGAACAGTTCCCAAGTTTCAAAGCCTACCAACACCGAATACATTCAATGGAAGTCAATTTGCACATTAACCAAAAAGGCGCAGACAGCGCCGTTACACAGAGCTTAACTGTAACAACCCACCTGACAAATGGTGTGTAGAAATACGGAAGAAAACATGTTTCAAAGACAAAAATTTACTTCTAATGTATTTTGAAAAATACCAGAAAAAGCAGTTATGTTTTCACGGTGCTGCGATCATTTTAGTAGTCGCTTCCATTTTGTATCCATGTGTGGCGAAAACGTCACTCTTGAAAAACGATCCCAAATTCAAAATGTTGACCCTCTTTGCCTATAAAAATTTGGAAAACCTTGAAATGTAACTTAACGAAGAACTCCAGTCTCCAGATGAACTGCTAGTCTGCTACTAACCTTTTCCTCTAGTTCGCGAACCGGAACTTTAATAGCCATATCCTGATCCTGCCCACTGAGCCGTTTATATGTGCGATGTTCATTCACAAGTTGCCGCAGCAAAAACAGCAGCAGTTCATTGTTGTCACGACGCTGAGATAAATACTTGGCAAAAATCTACGGAAAAACAAAATTCAGAGAGCACAACTAGGATATAACAGACCGCACTTACCCGGCGCATGTTCTTCATAACAGTGAATTTCTGAGCCGACACAAAGGATTCAAGACAGACAGTTATTGCCACATTGACATCCTCTTCATTGACGTATTCGCGGAGGTGCATCTTAGCATGTGATTCGGATAGGCGGATAATGGACTCAATATGGCGTACGGTGATGGCAACGCTTCCGGTAATCTATAAAGTCCAAAAAAATTAACATTTCTATGTCCCGTTAACCGCTTCATGATTTAACTTCATTGTTCAACTATTTTAATTAGCAAATTTTTTATTTGCTAACATTATATTACCATTGATTCGCGCCGTAATTCTGCATACATATTGGCGATTTTGTCCTGATCAACTGAATGCAGTTTTGGATGAATCCTTTCACGTGCATAGGTAATGTATTTCTTCAACAAATCCTGCTCAATAGGTTCGGCATGTGTTTCCCTCAAAGTGCTTCGTTCGATTTCCTCCATTTCCTCTTCGCCGGTGTTATTTGGATGACTGCGGCAATGACTTTCCACTACAAATTTGGCCAAGTAAGCGTCCTCTGCTGCATCGACCGTATCTTTGACAATGCACAACACGTCAAAACGGGAAAGAATTGGGTCCGACAGGTTGACCTACCATGAACGAAACGTATCAACAGACCATGTTAATTGCCCTATGAATGCTGATAACTGATTTTATACATTTTCTGCAAACGTTATGGAAGCATCGTATCGTCCACCGATGGGGTTGGCTGCCGCAATAACTGAGCAACGCGCTTGTAAAGAGGTCACAATTCCTGCTTTAGAGATGGAGATACTCTGCTGCTCCATGGCTTCATGGATACTAACGCGATCGGAATCATTCATCTTATCAAACTCATCGATTAGACACACACCCTTATCAGCAAGCACCAGCGCTCCGGCTTCCAGCGTCCATTCTCTTGTCTGCGGATTTTTATTGACGTACGCTGTCAAACCCACGGCAGAGGCACCTTGCCCGGTTGTAAATACGGGCCGATTGGCAATCTTCTCTACGTATTTCAAAAATTGAGATTTTGCTGTCCCCGGATCCCCGCACAAAAGGACGTTAACGTCACCACGAATCTTATGTTTGCCGCCGGGGTTTTTCGGCACGCCGCCAAACAAAGCCAGAGCCAGCGCTCGTTTGATGTCGTCATGGCCGAAAATTGATGGAGCCATACTGTTAAAAATCTAGAGAAAACAGCAGACTTCAACACTTCCCGTTTCACGAGTAATTTCCGTAAAACCTACCCGTTCGGTTATGAATTCATCCTTGGATAGTGCCTGAATGGCTTTGATATCGCTGTCCGATAACGACAGCGCGAGGGTCTTCTCGTCATTTCTTTTGATATGGTTTACCACAATTACAGTAGCGAAAACAGGAAAACCATTCCGCGTGTTGAGTGAGCCATCGTAGTTGTTGGAATACACTCCAATAACTTCCTAGGTAATAAAACGAGAACACGTTATAATTTCAGCCAACACCAAAAAAGTTATACACGAATGGCCTGACAAAGCATCATACAATTTCGTCCCCTGGTCGCACGGTGTCAACCAAGTCGCCCTTCAAGATGCATTCCTTGGACCGCGGCAATCTACCAGCGGCAACTTTACCCGGACTTTCCTGGATGATTACCCGCTGGAAGTTTTCATATACGGTCTGAAAATACAACGAGAAGTTGCAAAATACAGTGTACTCGGGTAGAGGTTATAACTTATAAGCAAATGCTACCGCACCTCTTTTGCGTTAACAGTAAATGGACCTTTGGTCTGACACTGAACGCACACTTTAGGTTTAGTTTCTTCTGATCCAGTAATATAAATGGGTCCATTCTGTTCTCCACAGTTCTCGCAGTTATAAAGTACAGCTAATAACTTGGGAAGAATTCCGGTATTGCTAACAACAACTCCATTAGTTCGGATAAGAGAATTCAAATGGATTTGCCTGGTAAATACAACCTTGGTTAGAACTTAGAAGTATACATTATTATAAGACTTAGGTAACTATTTAGTCACCAGTAATACTGTAATAACAACCAAAGGAAGTTAAGTACTTAATAATTTCAGCAAACAACCAACCTCAGCATACGTATGTCTTCCTGAACGGGAAGTTCAGCAACTCTGACAATGATTTCCTGATTGATACGCTCATAATTCGGGAACATCTTCACGACAACTTCAGTGGCCGCCTAAAACAACAAAATAAGTTTTGCATAAGTAATCTGCAGTTGTTTTTATTCGAAAAAGCGTAATATTAATTTTAAGTATTTCTTACGGCATTAAAAAGTTCCAGAATTTCTACAGGACATTCGGGGAGAAAGAAGGCCAACACCGGTTGATCCTTGGCTAAATGTTCGTAATTGATTTCGAAACTGTTCAGATTTTGGCGGCACATGCGGGAAATCCGATCGCGATAAACATAAGCGTTTTTACTATCGGGATCCTTGAATTCAGTCAAGAATCTTCGGAAACGATTGAAAATCTCTGTACGTGGTGCGATCTGGGTAACCCATTCCTGCAGGGAATGCCCACGCATATCTTGGAGATTCTCCACTGGCTCGATGATCTAGATGGAGCAAGTCCAGATCAGCACATTATGTTACTGCACAACGTTGACTACCACAACTCATACCATCGCAAAGGCAATTTCACAGCACAAACTAAATATGTGAATTTGCGAAACCAACCTCTTCATCTTTATCCCGCATGGCCGCTCTTGAGCGAGAAAACCTCTTATGCAACTGATCTTCTCTCTTCCCAAGTTCCTCTTCCAAGTTCCCGAACTACACGAAAAAGAGAATTATTGTGTTATTCCTATGGTAAAAAAACCACTGGTCTCTGTACCTTCTGAATCGTCCATATCTAAACGGTCTTCGTCCAAACGTCGACGGTCTATGGCCAACTCAGCTGCCAACCGAGCAGCTTGTGACATTTCGGAATAGGCGCTTTCATCCAAATCCTCCGGATCATAGACGTCCAAATGGGGCATGGGTCGGTAGTCTCTGAAGTATTCTTATTACGACTCAAAATGCTTATTAATTAATTTCTTGGAAATTAATTAACAGAGCACGTAAGGGCGAATCTTCGACACATGCTGTACGAGTATACTTCTTCTACACATGCTGTACGCTTACTTCTCCATATCGTCGCCCATGAGGTCCTCTCCCTCTGGCTCATCTTCGGCCTCCTCATCACCACCGCCCAGAAGGTCCTCTTCATTTTCAAATGCAGCATCATCGTCTTGTGCTGGAACTGCTTCCGCTGGAGGGTTCGAAGCCTCATCTTCTGACAACAGTGCGTTGAGGGGACCGCTCTCTTCGTTATCCATGTCTGATACTGACAGCGACTGTTAAGTAGTCTGCGAACCGTAGTCGGATTAGAACAGATATGCCATTACTCCTCAGGAGCTTTCAATTCATAGCACATCTGACATAGGACACTCCAATTTAAAGCGTCACCCAGTCAGGCTAAAAGTTTACTGCAACATTACCTGCGTTTTGCAAACAGAAAACCTTTCGGAACCGAATTCACTTGTGACTTCTCACTTCTGGCTTCGGAGTCAGATGGCGCTGACACAACCAGTTCACTATTAACCAACTCATAAAAGAATGAGCAAAGACCCGCAAAGTTCTAAAGTTTAAATTGTAATTTGTAAAACTTCTGTAAAACATTAAAATCAAAATTTTAGAAGCAGTTTTGCTTCGAGTTCTATAAAAGTATAAAACTTCGTAAGTCAAAAGAGAAAGCAAGCATTTACGGCGTTCTCGCTTTGTTTGTCTTCTGCTGACTGACTGCAGCCCGCCGATATTATAACTGTGCCAAACAGTTCATCATCACATCCAAATTCCGTGGGAAGCCGATCGTCACAACGCAGAGCAGGTGCCATTCCTTGTTCAGAGCACGTATTTCTTGCACATTCTTTTTGAATAAGCAATTCTTAAATTTTAACAGCCCTCGCGCAGTCGTCCCTGATTCGATCCGTGATCCGTTCAAACCCGAACACTATCCTCGTTGGTCAAACTGAGGGATTGATGTCAAAGTTCTAAGTCGGAATAAATTGAAGAAGTTTCCCAAATTTCTCCTCAGTGTCGGACTTCGACTTTTCACTCCGCCTGCGTTTGTGGCTGACGCGAACGTCCTTGCAATTGTTTTACCAGGGAGACCTGTTCTCGCCTTATTGGCGCCCATCTATATTTTCGATCCTATCGGCTGTCCTGAGGGATCTGTAAAATGCATAGAATATCCACTGCATTACTCCGTCAGGTAAAATTCGTAGTCGAAATGACTGCAAGGTAAAAGATAGTGCAACTCATTCCAGACTGAGCGTTTGATTACTTATTACTTTAATTTAATGGTTGTTAATTGTTAAACATTGCGGACCGTAGTTCGCAGTGGAAGCATTTCAGTTTTTAGTCGTCAGTGTTACCCCCTTGAGAGTTTTAATCTAAAACTTGAATTTCCTCGCAGGCAGATGAAATTAATGTGCATCAGTTAGATAACGAATCGCTAGATTTTACAAGTTTAGTCTTCATTAATTGATACGTGAGCTTGAATTTCCATTTGCTAACCGTGTTTGGTTCAGGGAGTTCGGGTGCCTTATCCTTACGCTTCTGGATCTCGAAGCTTTGCGTCTACCTCATCGAACGGTACGGCTGACTTTATACCGCCCTGAATTTTCTTAGCTACTTTTTACAGAGAATATTTCTACTTACGTATAACACACATGGCGTAATTCCGAGTTCTAAATTATACACATGCTTCCGATGTTATGAATTTACATAATTTCAAAAGAATTTAAACAGTTTATGATAAACAGCCTAATTTTTTTTGACAAATTTTTTTGGACACGCTCTACCGATAAACAGTTTACCGGTAAAGCGTGCCCAGTAAAGTTGAATTTTTTGTCGCGTACCGTCGTTGGTTCAGGGCTTTCTTTTACGTTTGGATAATTTCACATTTATGAACTGTGTTTTTTTCCTTGCAGAAGAATTCGACCTTGTCGTAATTGGATCTGGACCTGGTGGATATGTGGCCGCTATTAAAGCAGCTCAGTTGGGATTAAAAGTAAGGGTAAAAGTCCAAAGAAAGGCGCTTCTGAATAATGAGTCGGTTGTTGCAGACTGCGTGTGTGGAGCGCAGTGAAACTTTCGGGGGAACTTGTCTTAATGTTGGATGTATTCCATCTAAAGCCTTACTAAATAATTCGCATTTCTACCACATGGCCCAAAAAGATTTTAAATCCCGCGGAATCGAGCGTACGTTGATGTAATTTTTGAATATTTCGAATTTTTCACCGTCTTACGTTCGCCGCATCTCTGGCACATGCGGCGTCTGTATTTCTTATGAAAGCGAGTTTTAATGACTTATGCAGTATGCTCATTTGTATTAACGTGTAAACTGTAGAGATTGATTGCTTACCGGCAGCCGTTCAGCTCGAAAATTGTTTTTGCTTTTCAGTGGACGGAGTGCGTTTAAATTTGGATGCAATGATGGGACAAAAGCGAGATGCCGTTAAAGCGCTTACCGGTGGTATCGCGATGCTTTTCAAAAGCAACAAAGTTACTCCAGCCAAAGGACACGGGCATATATTAAGCCCTAACGAAGTTGCCGTACTGAATCCTGACGGCTCACAAAATCAAACCCTTAAAACCAAGAATATTCTCATTGCCACGGGTTCAGAAGTTACACCTTTTGCCGGAATTGAGGTTAGTTCGGCATTCTGCACCATTCTTTAATAACTTTGATTAATTTTTGTTTTATGTGTTCAGATCGATGAAGAGCAAATTGTTTCATCTACTGGCGCCCTATCGTTGAAGAAGGTTCCGGAAAAAATGATCGTCATTGGTGCAGGTGTGATTGGGTTGGAATTGGTAAGTGTTAGCGTTAGTGCTTTCATGTGACGTTTATTAGCTGATGTTCTCAGTCACGTTTATCGTTTAACATCTGTTGTCCTTAGGGTTCGGTTTGGAAGCGATTGGGTGCTGAAGTTACAGCAGTAGAGTTTTTGGGACATGTCGGCGGCATGGGCATCGACATGGAAGTTTCTAAGCAATTTCACAAAATCCTCCAAAAGCAGGGAATAAAGTTTAAATTGGAAACCAAGGTTCTGACAGCCAAACGAGATGGAAAACGGATAGCTGTGGAGACGGAGGCCGTTAAGGACTCTGGTAAAAAGGAAACTCTGGATTGTGATGTTCTGTTGGTTAGTGTTGGACGTCGCCCCTACACTGCCCATCTGGGACTTGAAAATGTGGGCATTCAAGTGGATAAACGCGGGAGGATTCCCGTAAACAAACGATTTCAGAGTTCAGTTGCCAAGTAGGTCGGCTTTTCCACCTTCGCATAATGAATTTACGAGGCTCATACACTAAAACTTTGATTTTTCTATAGTGTCTATGCAATTGGCGACTGCATAGAGGGACCGATGTTGGCACATAAAGCCGAGGACGAAGGAATTGTATGTGTAGAAGGCATCGCTGGTGGACCCGTGCATATTGATTACAACTGTGTCCCGTCGGTTATTTACACTCACCCAGAAGTGGCTTGGGTGGGAAAATCAGAGGAACAACTGAAGGAAGCGGTTCGTAATCAACTTATTGCAATATCGAGCCGCTTCTGTTTTGGAACCGAACATGTTTTACAGGGAGTAAAATACAAAGTGGGGAAGTTTCCTATGGCAGCAAATAGTCGCGCAAAAACTAATAACGATGCGGAAGGATTTATTAAAATTTTGGCTGATAAAGAAACGGACAGAATTTTGGGTGCTCATATGATTGGTTCGGTGAGTTATTGTAAATCTCAAGATCGAATGTCGCAGCAGCGTAACCGGAAAGTGTATCGCGCAGTGTTTTGTCTCGGGTTTATCTTTTGCTGGTTATTTTCACGTTGTGTCAATTTATTGTATTTTGCTGTGATAGACTGTTGGTGAAATGATCAATGAGGCTGCTCTGGCCATGGAATATGGAGCGTCTGCTGAAGATGTTGCCCGTGTTTGCCATGCGCATCCTACCACGTCCGAGGCCTTTCGGGAAGCGAATTTGGCTGCGTATTTTGGCAAAGCTATCAATTTTTCATAAGATTTTATGTTTTATTAATTTTTGTGCTAGTGGCTTCAAGTTAAGGGTAGCTGTGGTGGCTGTGCTGTACTTTTAAAGCGGTTTCCGGTCTAGAGTTGGAATTTAGTGCAACAAGGGAAGTTTAGTTTTGCGGTGTTAAAATGTTAAAATTTATGGTTAGAGAAAATTTGGCCACTGTGATGGGTATTCTTTACTTGCATTTGAAATAAATCGCAAAGTATTTTAACCCGGTTAAGTAAAATAAATATTTAAACCCAGCCAAATCAGGGAAAAATTCTGATTGTAGTGTAATTTCCACTTTTAAAAATGATCAAGGTATTTTGTGCTCCTTATCGCTGTGTGTAAGTAGTCGTTTCAATACTGTCCTAGCTGTTGATAACTACTGAAAGGTAATCGATGTGCGAGTACTGTAGATTGTGTAATACCATCGAGACGTATAAACGCTTACATACTGGTACTGGAAAAACCTGCAAGAGTCGTAGCACGAAGAACATTACAAAAACTATAACTTTATTTTATTCGAACAATAGAAACCAACAGGGTGACAAAAACTGCGTATTGCGCGACGTATTTGGCATGTAAATAAATTACGATTCCCGTAAATTTCTGTCATAAATTTTATGTGCAGAAGAGTTGTCTAAATCCAAAAAGTAAAATAAATTATTAACTGTGCAGGGCACATACATGACAACGGCTGCAGTCTGTATAGTGTTAACCATTTCCTACAATATGGCACAAGCACGGCTGCGTGCTTTCGCAGACGTCCCATTGGACCGGCTTTCTGTATTTCTCCGGGAACGCGGTTCTTCCACCGTCTGATTAACATGAGCAATAGGCGGTGGAGATGGCGATTTCGTGGGCTGAGGCGGAGATTGCGATGGCGGTGCGGCAGTGGCTGGTGCAGTTGTTTTAATGTCCATCCGTGGACTTTCCACCGGCTGAATGGAAATAACTTCCAAAGAGTTCTTCGCTGAATTGACCTTCTGTTCTGAACTCTCCCTAACCATCGTGGTGGTAGCCGGCAATTCTTCAGGTGTTCTTATTAACGTTTCCGGTGGTGGCTTGGACATTTCGGGCGAAGATGGCCGAAGCGGTCCCGGTGGGCGGGGCGGATACGAGAAGTCCGGACCGGCGTGATTGATCACATCGCCGTTCTTGCCGTCTTCCGGAACGGACCAGTTAATACTAATCTTCTTCTTTTTTGTACGCGACTGAGACGGGCTACTTTCTTTACTGCTGATCCCATTCTGTTCAGTCGGCGGGGACAAGCGTAAATTTTCCGCGGCTAGCTTTTCTCGTCGCATTAATATCTGCTGGATCCAGTGGGAATAGTCCTGATTGGGTGCAGCTAAAATGCCATACCCATATGTTAGAAGTATTGAATTCACTATGTACTACGTCCAAAATAACAATTTGGCTTTTACGGCATTTGCGTACGTGAACATGCGCTTTTATGCATTTAATTTAATGGTATCAATTTGTGATTCCATTCAGGTACAGTCCTTTGATCTATAATACACTTGCCGCAATAATGGTGACACGGCTGCTTTGCGTTATTAGCAAGTGTATGCCTGTGCCGTATGGCCCATGCGGGGACTTACGTAAAATACTGGATGGAACTAATTTAGCAATTTCCAGATATTTGTCATCGCCAGCGTCTTTGAATGGAATGTCGTCCTTTACTTTCGCAGCATGATACACCTTGGCAAGCGTCAACTCCGGTTCGGTATCGATTTTTTCGTCAATATAAAAGATATCACCGTGGGCGACCAGCGAAGCCTATTAAAAAGCGACAATACAGATTTACAGGATAGGTTCCGGAGGGGAGCATAGCTGACCAGATGGATACTCATGACCCATTGAAAACTCCACATAGGCCTTGCATTCAAATTGTGTATATTTACCTGCGAGTCAAAATATATTTCCGCTGGAATGGAAACTCATGACTTGACTGTGCGGTACGCACTATATTATCGATTTTTTTATGTACAGAGTTATTATATCTATAGTTTTCATCAGCACGGCAGATAGAAAAATTTGGTTGATTTTTTCGTGAGGCACCAGGCTGTAGTATTTGTGTAAGAACTTATTCAAACTTCACGCCGGTAAAAGTGCAGAAGCCTTAATTACACGCCAGGGCGCGCACTAGTAATCTGAAGCGTCGTACGTACTGTATACTTTTATTGATGGTACGTTCTTTCGAGCACGCGCAAAACGTCCATCTGTTGTTGCCAATCAAAGATTCAAAGAAATGGAATAGAAATATATATGCCGTGTCGGTTCGGAATTTCTACTTTAAGTTTTATAAACATTGGGTTGATTACTGCAGTTTACAGCCGCGAGTAAGGAAATTTACCGGCAAACCTTCACTCCACCGGTTGTACAGTACGCAACACCTACTGACCACTTCCTTTGACTTACAGTGGTGCGGATGCCCTGCCAGCTGACAGCCATGAATTCGTTGACGAGATCCATTATATAAAACACTTCCAACCACAGCGATTCCAGGAATGACGTGTCATCCTCCTCTTCGGCCGTTACTCTGGCGGATATCTCCAGAAAATCATCATGCTCACAAGAGATGAAGAGCAGCATGTCGGATGATTTGGTTAGTACGCCTCGTTTCCAGTAATAGTGATATGAGCATTTTTCAATGAGCATGTTGTTAATCAAGGCAATCAACCGGGAGGCATTCCCCGGGGGCATCACGGGCAGGAAATACATGTACAGGGACAGCTGGACGTCCCCGCGGAAGGGCCGGCTTGTCCAATTCAATTGCTAGACAAAATCAAATCTAATAAACCGCCCTTTCACTGATCATTTCGCCGTAAATAATTGCGAAAAATCTCTGTAAATCTGCCGGATGGAAACATGTGGCAGAAATGCGCGGCATAGGTTTCGTGATGACGGCAAAAAGGGTTTTTACACCGGCCACTTACTGGTTTCGCATCCGGAAGTAATCCGAGAAGGGGGATCGCGTATTGCTGTTGGGGCGAGAGGCTGGGAAATGCTGGCAGCGCCAGTGTTTCCGATGCGGTACGCACGGGCCGGCTTGTTGACAACAAGCAAAGATGGAACAGAAGACTGCGTATCTGTACAACTTGATCCTCCTCCAACGCATAATCCTGAAAAGTGAACGCCACTGCACTTCAAATCAAGAAATACGTTTGCCACACGGCTGCTACATTTCGCTAATTAAAAACGGGATGTGTTTACGTGCAGCATTGTGCGCGTGCGAACTGAAAACTGGCTGAATATTTATGTGTGCCTATTGTATTACCATTTAGCACTGTTGACATTGTAATTAATTATGGGATGTTGTAATACAAACCTGCCAAATTAGCGGGAACAGCGATTCCTTGATCAGTCCTTTATTCGGGATATCTTCCAGTGCCGAGGCTAAAATCTGCGCTTCCGGCGGATGTGCGTTGAGACTCCGGGGCCAAAAGCGTTTCCCTTCGAAGCGGAAGGATTTCTTCTGATCATCAATATGCAGCGCACATGCGCAGCGCGCTAATACTGACGGATTAATACAGATGAGATCCACAGACTGAATGGTTTGCAGTGCCCGGGCATCCAGTATCACTCCCTAGTCATGACATAAAGTCATCAGAGGTTTAACCTAACGTAAACCTATTTGTCCAGACCAATTTCTCTGCAACTATGCAGAGTGCGCTTATACTGTGACAAGTTCTTCAAGTTGGAGAGGCGATCAGTTAGGCGGCTGATGGTGATAAATGGTTCCCATAATTCATGAATATACACTTCCTGCGAGCGCTGAATAGTAGTAACGTATAAAGTGGCTGGTGGTCAACGAAGAAAAGTGATTCCATAATAAGTTTCTACATGGTTTTTTCAACAGTTTCGTTTATGAAAAATCAAGAGCGCCATTTCGAGTTAACATTCTTACAGTTGTGCTTACAATTTGCTGTAAGAATCCAATGCACTCAGTGAACCGAGATTTGCTGACACGCTCATCTTTCGACGCCATTGCTTCGAAGTTCCTCCAGGACACACACACCACGTTCTTATCGCGCAGTGTCGATACTTCATCATACAATTCCACCCAGCCAAGAGGGATTGGGCGTGATAAATGTGGGAAAGTATTTGCGTCCAAACAAGCATTGAGCAAATGTTTACGAAGGGGATCGATCCCTTGTCCTGACTGGCAACTTGCCGTAACGAACATTTTTATCGTGTATTTTTCATCCACCTGGCGCTGTAATTCGTGGATTTTCCCTTCAAACATAGCACCATCTGGAAGGTCTCTGAAATTACACAGACGTCTCTACATAGCGTCGTTAAAGGCTGCACTTGTTTGGGAATGGAAATTAACTTAAACCGGAAATGTGCAGATCTAAAGTTTTAAACAACTAAATAAAGTGATGTGAGTTTAGATCGTCGTTTTAAAAGCATCATAAATCTAGTCCCCTTTTAACAAAACATCATGCTAGCACCAAAAACAATTGCATAAACAGCTACGTACGCCATACATAAATACAAAAAAAAACAAAAAGAAAGTTTGTTCACAAAAAGAAAGAATTGCATATAATTATATGGCATTCATGACCTTTAGGTTTTTGTAGCACAATGCAACAGGACTTACTGCAATAAAGCGAGTTCGACATTGATGCTGTTTTTGCGAACAAGGTCGGCACTGTCAATTGACCTTTTGATTATGTCCATTCGCGATAAGCACTCTTCATGAGCATATTTATCCGCACGGGTGGCCACCACATAAATGTGTGGCCGCCGTGCTTTGCCATATATGGTGTGTATTAATAAAGGTATTTTTTCCACACTGCTCGAATCCTCGAAGTTACACACACAAATATACACAGACGCATCGCTGAAGAACACCGGGTGCACACCACGCAGCACATCCCGGCCATCACAATCCCACACTTCTACGGTGAGGTCCTTCTCGTCCTCGCTGATGTCTTTTGTTACAGCACTATCTGCAATGGATGAAAGGTTGCCAACACGCACAGAAAATACACACGATGCTGGAATGTGTATTGATTATTTAAACGAACGTACCCCATGCATTCTCTTTGAAAGGCTGCCAAACGTGAATATTTACACCTGTAACAAACATACAACATAAGGTCTGCTGCCTGCATATTGTACATCGCACTGCATATCGTAAATAAGTGATATGTGTGCAAAACATAACTTTCAGGAGATTGAAGAAGGGCTTTGAAGCAAGTCAACAAAGTCTACAGTTCGATAAAATATATATAAGAAATACGGCATCCTGCAACGCGGTATCCCTGTAGAAGATGTTTGCGTGCCGGAGAAGTTATAATATAGGCTCAAACAGTATGCGATACTATTACCAGTAATAAGACAACAGAATGCCTTTTACGTAACTTTATACTAACCAACTAATTAGAAGTTACTATCCAACTAATTATTCAAACACAAAGTATTGTAATTGGCTTCTGTATCGGTTATTTTCAAAAGTTACGACTATTTTGATTTGCTCTTTGCAGCGGTTAACACGTGCTAATGTACTCTAATTTTGCAATCGACGAAAAACGTTAAGGTCAGTGTGGCGAAAATTGGAAAACAAGAGATTTATAGTCGTGATGCTAAGGCCAAACTAGTTAAAATAAAATGGAATAATAAATATGACTCTTGATAAAATGCTAATTAACGACTTCTTTTATTTCTTACAGTGCACAAACACTATGTACCCACGCTTATTTACTTAACTATGAAGTCCTGCGATTGCAGATTATTTCTTTCTTTTACGTACAGTAATACCGCTTGTACATTCAGCCGGATAGTTCTTTCGTGCTTCTTTAACCTCAAGCCATCAACTTTAAACGCATATATATATACCAAAAAAATTACTTATAAGGCAAATAATTTTTTTCAATACAGTCGTAATAATAACGCATTATTATATTAAGCATAAGCGAATCATCACGACATTTCGGTAATATAAGCGGACAACAACTACCTTCTGAAATGAATGTCGGAGCGTGATGTGCTTGTTTGCCCATCAAGGCAGTTAGCACGGCAGTTTTTCCGCTTCCCGTCGTTCCCAGAATGAAAGCTTTTAGCCGATAATTAAGATTTCTGGATTCAAAGTGATTGAGAATAGCTACAACTGATGAGGATGTAGCCGATACTCCAGCACTGATTTCGTCCGGAATCCCCATTGCGTTTAATTCCCGGCACATAGTCAGGGAGATCTCTTTTAGCGTTGATCTACGCTTAATAATTGAGGCCGGTATGCGCGTAATTGACGTCCCATCCAGCTTTATCCTAACAATGGTTGTACAGTAGCGAATAATTGCCTGCAGGGCGAGATCTTTGATTTTGGGATTCCAGCTAAGATTGACATAGCGTAGATGGATGGCATGAGTGGCCAGCTCCTTCACACCATAATCCGTAATCTTGGCACAGTGCGACAAATCAACATAGTGCAAATTACTACAGTACTTGGCCAGTATCCACAGTGTGGAGTCGGTAATGTTGGTTTTAAACAGTTCAATGTGGCGTAATAGTTTACAATTGGTAGCAATATACTCCACACAGCGATCGGTGATCTGTGGACAGTCGCCCAAGGAAATGGCATTTAACGAGCCGAAATAGCAGTCAACAGCGTAGTTGACATGGAAGTCAAAAATGTCATCAAATCCGATAAATTTCACGCTGTGCAACTCCAAAGGAATATGAGTAACCCTGAAAACAATGTTGCCTCGTTAAGCTGTACTGACAAAACGGAGTGCTATAAACCTTTATGATTTAATGCAGTGAATATGGGAAGTGTAATACTGCAATAAAGTTTGGAGTCTGCTTGCAAACACTTGCGATTAGGGCGTGAGCGGTGTATAAGCAACCACTATTGATCGCTCCTGATTAAAAGAGCCGACTGGCTACCGTCTGTCGTATGAAAGGATCAATCTTTGTTTCCGAACTTACACACTCCAGGTTGTAAAGTTCCATTGCAAAACTCTAATGTTAATCGTTGATTTATCGATCTGATTAAATTATGGTAGGTGACTAGGGGTGGTTAGGCACAGGATGCATTCAATGGCATTTCGACTTTAGTGATTCATAATTTTAATTATGTTATGCAGCTTATCACTTGTTGCAGCAAGCGAAATCCGCTGGCTGCTTACTAAATTTAAATGGATCCTTCAAATTTAACCAGGTCACTGTCAAACGTATGGAATTTGCTGCTTATAACGTTTCTGTAATATTATTACTTAGGATAAACATAAACATCGTAAACATAAACATCGTAATTTCGTAAACGTATATAGCGAATACGGGGTTTCGGCAGGCAGTAAGTAAGCCTTCGTAATCAGCAATTAATGGACTAACTATTATATTTCACATAATTATGCAATACTCAACAGTTCATGGATGGGATTGTCGGGCCATGGCTTCCTTTTCGTATGCACAAATGCAATGTTCTGCAGCTCTTGAAGGTTGGTACCGATGTGCTTGAGGCATCTGTGGTCAATACCAAAGCAATCCTCGAATTGCAGAGCTCGAAGGTGTTTACACCGCGTTACTAAATGCTCTAAATGGTTCAAATCAAACTGGTTGTGACCTTCCACTTCCTGCAAACAACAGCAAAAAGCAACAAACCATTATAATTACCCTTACATATACTTGCGTATTTCAGACGCATAGAGGCAATATTTACTATTTGCTAGCAAAAACTCGATGATAGTATAAACAAGTTGATGCGTTGCTGCAGAAAAATAACGTTCACACCATTCCGAAATGAATAGGCCATCTTACCAGAGATCTCTGATGCCGCAAACTGCTGCTCATATTTATCGCGAATATCACGGGCTCCGTAAATGCTCATTTTCTTGCTTATGATTATAATTATTACTCACAAAATGGGGCGCAACGGTAGCACGTTATGGTAGAAAGGATGTATTTACCTTAATTTCAAAAGACAGCAATTTAGGCGTAACGCATCCAACAATATCATGGAGCTGCGATCCGGAAAGCTGAGTGCACGCTCGTAATCTTAGCACCTTCAGATGATCCGAAAGGTGGATAATCAGGGTCTGTACACAAAAGCCGGGAAACCTCAGGCAGTATTCTCATAATTAAGAAACACCTAATACAGCCTATGTCGAGCCTTAGAAGTACTGGAGCAGTAAGTTACTAACTTAAAATGATTATATGGACGGTGGTAGTTTAAATTCAGCGAATCGAACCTATCACTAATCAAGCATTTAGTATAAATGCATGGGCAGAAATTAGGAAAGAAAGATAATTAAATATAAGTAACATAATTATTATAGTTAAATAGATGCTGGGTTAAATCTGCCGCGCTCAAAATCATAAATTGGCAACTCATACACATTAAATAGAGCGCTGAGATGGGTTAACGTGGTGAAAGAAGATTAATGTAACGATTGTTAAGTCACGCTTCTGGAAATACAACTTTCAAGTTCGACAACTCTAAAAAATAGTAAACCGTAATGCTGTTTTTTGGGCAAGCTCAGAGCGAAGCAATACAGTAGCCATTTTGCAAAATGCAACAGAATGATTTGCATAAAAAATGCTAAAATTAATTTTTCATGGTAATGTACGAGCTAACGATTAGAGAATTGTGGAATTGTTCGTGTTTAGCTCACGACTGTTAAAAGGGCAAGATCTGGCTCCCACTGTTCCACATTACGGTAATACAATCACGTAGAATATCAAAAAACGCATATAATTACATGTTACCAAAAATTAACAAAATCAGAACTGGATTTTTTGTCGGCATCACGCTTGATCGAGTGTTAATCGTCATCAAGATGTAATAACCATTTATGACATTTCATGCATAACTGGTTACGATTGGCTGTTCTTTCGCTATGAACTATAAAGATGCTAATTATCTGTACTGAGGTTTTGTAAGATCATAGTAAAAATCTCATTAAGGTCACATTGTAAGTTTTCTTTTTTCTGTTATTTGGTTGGTCCCGAGAAAGATAAATAACGTCAAAACTCATAAATGTCCACTATTTTTAACCTACATTTTTGAAATTTATTATACAATGAAAATGGCACAAACGGTTTGCAGAATCGTAGATGTCTACGAGTAGCTGTTTACTTCTAACGCCAGACCAGTGTAGTTTGGGAATCGGAAAACACGTCATGCATTGTGTATACTCCCAGTGTGATTAAAAAGTAAGTATTGTTACGATTATCCACTACCTGACAGCACCTGTGCATTATGATGTGTGGAATTAATCGAAGTTTATACTATGGAATCGAGTATCGACAGACACGACAGCTGTTTTGGGATAGTGCTGCATATGCATCATGCCTACTTACATAATATTGTAATCGATTATTTAATATCATTATGTCTGGGAAAGCCTATCCCAGACTTCTGAGCACTGTTTAACTGCACGTACACATATCCCATCCTTACTTGGATATCATCTAGGCTTTCCGCAGCAGTAATTGTAATGTCAGTCGTGATGGTTTCCGCACCAGCCTCATGATCGGAGCGCGATGCCGGGCCAGGTGAAGACGTGCCTGTAACCGCTTCCGCTGGTGTAGTGAAGCGGCGTTTTAAGCTGCGCGCACGACCCGCTGACAAAGGCCGAGATATGGTGCTGTTGGGCAGGGAGGTTTTACTGGAGCTAATACTACCGCTACGGGCCACAGCGGTTGCCAACGCTGGTGTTTCGTCGCCAGTTTGATTAACTGTCAAGGAGGCTTTTCTGGCCTGACCATCCATACTATCCGTACAGCATTAACATAATCCATCAATTGGCCGCATCAGGAATCGGTCGACGCGGGCACAACGGAAACGATATTGACGAAAAGTCTTGACGTTCAATAGCGCATTATTCATGAAGAATTACCGGCGTTTTCACAGTAACGGATAAAGCACTTGTTGGGATAACTTCCCATTAAGTAAACAAGAACCTGCCAGATATGTATTTCTATTTCTGCCCGATTGTCAATGATCGATAAAAAGCGCAATATTTGTTAGCAAAATATATGGATTACGGATGCCTATATGCTCGCGCAGACACGTCGGGGAACGTTATTAAGCACCTCCAGTACTGGCGAAGGAAAGATTCTGGTCTGTCCTTATTGATTAATAGAAATTTCAAATAATTCATTGATCGAAGAATATAACATGAATGGTCCAGCCGAAGCAGTCATGATCCATATACATCAACGCCTCAATGCTTTAGAGTGACAACACACAGACGCTCAAAAACGTACAATTTGCACAAACGAAATGCTGGATCTGCATTGGTGTTGTGGGATGTAATAAGTACATGTAATGGGAATCATCTGGATACTCGGTTTGCGTGCGCGGTAACTGCGTTCATTTTAGAACGTTTGCTTACACAGGATGAACGAATGGTGCGCCGGGACGGTGCAAGATACTCTGTATTGTCATATGCTTGGATGTACACGCCTTTATCAGGGTCTCTGTCTTAACTCGCATTCTGTCAGGGTATTCGTGCTCTATCCACTGAAGTGAAGGGTTTGTTTGTCTGCTTTTTTAGTCTCATCCATTTTACACTGCACCAACCCAACCAGGAAGTAAAATACCGCAATTAGGACGACGTGAAGTCAAATCCATTAGTGCATAACATTACGTACCCATAATACAAAGTACGTATCATGATCAGTAAAACACAACAAGCTCACTGCAACCCTTAATTCGGCACCTTTGTATTTATACATCTGTTTGGATTTATGCATACAGATAGAAACGTATTCTTTATGTGTGTGCTAGACATAACCCTAATGTAAAACAAGAAAACCACTGACTTCTGATGTATGTTATCAATACAGGATTTGCGATGAAAAGAACAGCGAAAAGGCGGCCCAGAATAATTTAACCAAAGGCGCGTCCATTTTAAGGCGGCAGTCCATAAATTAATAACGCAAACCTAGAAAATATTAATGTCAGTCGTACAATATGTATGAATTTTTTCGAAGCGGAAGCGCACGTATAATACGGGGCACAATGTCGGGACGGTACGCCGCTAGGTCGGTATTGTGGTCAGTATCTGACGAGGTGGTAAACACATTCTACTCCGTGTTACAAGCTCAAGAAAAAGGAAACTACGATCGCGTTCGGGTACTAACTACAGTAATTAATACTGAACAAGATACAGTTGCAGAAGAACACCGTAAAGGTACAGAGCATACAAGAAAATACTGATTTAATAAATCACTATTTTTTTGTTTGGCTCGGTATCCGTCAACTCTTTTTTGGGTAGGGATTGTCAAAAGCACCACTAGTTACTTCGAGTGTTTTCTGACAGTGGGAAAAGCACCCATAATATTACAGGCGTCGGCAAACCTAATCAGCACAGTAGCACCCTCGTAACGACGATATTTAGGAAACACCTGAAAATGACAGACTGCTTTATTTACGCTGCTAAGAACTTCACCGTATCCTCAAAGTCTGATTAAACAAAAAGGATCAGACTTTTGTTTAAGTCAAAATTTCGGTTTGGCTTTGCGGTGTAATCCTGTAAGTATGTGTACTATGTATGTAGTCGGCTGTAGCCGTGGATGACGATGTGTAAAACACAAGGTTCATGATAAGTTTTTCTTAAAAACAATTTATAAACTAACCAAAAAAATTTCCAATAGCCTGGTAAGATATTTCCATTAAAAAGAGCTAGTGACTGTAGTGCGATAATAATAATAATAATCGTACACTTATGTATGTTACTTTTTATAATAATTTTATGGAGATTGAATTGATAGAAATAAGAATAAAAAGTTTAAGTTTGGAGATTATGCGTGGTAATGCTATGAGTGTTTTGTGCACAGTCCCTTCCCACGTTAATTGGGACAAATTCTTCATTTGATTATATTTGTTGAGCGAAGCTCGCCTTGTACATATTGAGAAATAAAAGAATAAAAGTATAGGAGAGGTGGTTGGTTGGAGTACATCCTCCAAAAAATAATCTCTTGTTAGTTCAAGTTAGTCAGATTTTTAAAATTTATGCGCGCTGTGGCGAAGCATTATCTGTATCTGTATTATTGTACACGGGCTATGTCCAATAATGGATTGTCCAAATGCAAAACTTTTACCATAGTTCTTGTAAAGTTCCAGAGGTTTTGTGGTCATGGTAAACCGCACACAAACATCTGTATTCGTACTATGTCAAAAAAAGTCTACGCTGACCTTTGCCAGCGCTCTCTACAAGACTACAAAGGCGATCCTCGCTTCAGATCTGGTGCCTTCGCCGAAATCCAACATAAGCATTTAGCGGCAACATAGAAAACATAGCAGAGAAGATTTTGTTAGAGCTTGTCCTCACTATTGTGTTTTTTGGTTATGCATTCCAATACCCAATTATGAATTTTCTAAACCGTTAGCGTTAAGTTTGCACGATGCTAATGCACTTTTGTAAGTAACTCGTAACTCGTATTAATTTTACTTTCGCCGCACAACTTGCCGATTTGTCTAACTCTCATATACTGCTACGTCCAAATTCCAATAACGAGTTAAAGGGATTCGTGTTAGTCCGCAATATTTGTTTTAGGTCAGTATTCCCTTTCTGGTCCTATTACTTCTATTTTTTGGTTATCGGAATCATAATCGGATACCCACAGAAAACGGAAGTAAAATAAAAGAAAATCACTACAGCACTGCAATTGCGTTGCAAATATATGGTGGGAAGCACTTCGACTGACGTGTGAACTGCGAACCGAACTGGAAACTTGACAAGCGGCCTGCAGCGTCTTGGCGCTACCGAAAAGGCAATCAGTACAGTTCACTTTTCGGCGATCGGGTTTCATAGAGTGCCGAAAAGTGGGCTCATACATGATTGCTCCCTGTCTGGCCTTCCAGTAGCTGCCGCTGCCAACGATTGCAGGGCTGGCATGACTTAAATAATTGATTTGGAACAAACGGTCCAATACGACCAAGAGAGTGGGTTTCTTAACTTTTCTTTAAATGTGAATCGAATTTGTAAACTGGATTCTGCCTGATCTGCCGTGCACTTTATCGACCGTCTCGTACTCGCCACAACGACAAGGTAATCTGAGACGGTGTTTCTAACGAGATTTCTTCCACGCAGCGCGATCATGCGCTATTGCCGTCAATCACGGATCTTGTAGTTGTGTTTTTCTGTGCGCGATGAGTGCCAACATGGATGTGGGTGCTGCTGATGGAAAATCGAGCAGTCGACCCAAGGAAGCTGCTCCTGACAAGCAGGCACGTTTCAATCCCGCGTACAACAGTGGCGATCCGTCTGGCTCTACTTCCCCGTATCCCAATATCCCTCCAACTCCCCCCGTTGCCTCGCAGAATGCCAATGCGACATATGGTGGATCGTTTGAGAGTGGCAGTCCGGTTAGCAGTGATCCGTCGGTGCAGAATAATCCCGCTGCCGCGTCTCCTCAACCCAACCGCATCAAAACCCCCTCTCCCAATTATCCCGCGGATATGCAGCCAGCCAAGACACCCCTGGAATATCAGCGACCCCAGTACACATTTCCAGGCGTCCTACACTTCCTGCAGCATGAATGGACGCGTTTTGAGTTGGACCGCGCCCAGTGGGAAGTGGAGCGGGCCGAGCTGCAGGCGCGCGTTGCCTTTCTGCAGGGTGAGCGCAAATCTCAAGAAAGTCTTAAAGTAGATCTGGTCCGCCGTATCAAAATGCTGGAATTGGCGCTGCGGCAGGAGCGACAGAAGTTTGCTCGTTATAAAGTGGAGATGGAGGGCGCACAGCCTGTTAATAATGATGCGGGCAAAGCCAGTGAGGAGTTCAATCATGAGTACGGGATGAGTGATCTGGGATATGGTGATTATGTGCGCGATACGGCGGAAGACAGTAGTGCTCTAATATCGGGTATTTCCTGGAAGGAAGGTCGTCATCTGCTGCGGCAGTATCTGAAGGAGATCGGCTATACGGATACGCTCATTCACCTGCGCTCAGCCCGTGTGCGTCAGCTGGTCGGCAATGCTAATCGGCGGGTGGGGAACCCGCGGGGAGCGAACGCCGCCAACGCCACGGACGAGCAGGAACGCGTGAAGGATGTGCCCAAATCTGTGATGGATAATGCGCTAATGGTAGCGGAGAATGCTATTTGTGCCACATTTAACCTGCTTAATCCGCATCCTTTGCAGTCGTCGCGGGAGGCGGAAGACAGTGATGAGGGCGAGGATGACGAGGAAGAGGGGGGTTCGTCGTTTACCAGTGTGTTTCAGCGGGATAAAAAGTCCAGAAAGACCATCATCCCCATGCGACCGCCCAAAAGTGCCAGCAATGAGGATATGGCGCAGGTGATCGGGGACGCCGATACGGAGGCAGCAATAAAGGAGTTCGATTTTTTGGGCGCGGACACTGAGGGCAGTGGGGAGGCGCGCAGTGGGGATGGCGAAGAGTGGCCGTCATCGCCGAATTTGGCTCGCATGAAGGAAGAGTTTCGCAATGAGCAGAAGGATCGTCGTGGAATGAGCCGGCCTAAACGTACGCAGCTGCAGGAGATGCTGCAGAATCTGAAGCAGGAGGAGGATATTACCGATCTCACCGCATCAAACAAGTACAGCCTTTCATTTTCGGCTCTTCCCGAGATATCATTTCCCACCGGTGATGGAGGCCCGGATGGATCATTTGGTCTGGGTGAATTGGCAGGCTTAACAGTTAACAATGATACTGAAAGTGGAAATTATGACGTAAGTTTACTCTTTCACATATACCACAATGTTGCATGGTTTTTCTTTGCTATTTGATCGCCGATCCGTGTATGGGCTATCTGACATGTGAAAATTAAGTGCGGATCACCTGTAAATCGCCTCAGTTATGGTAGCAATATTGGTGTTATTGAATGTTGCAGTTATCAGCGAATCGCGATGGCAGCACGCGCAAGAGTTGGTCCACCAAGTACAGTCTTCGCAGTCATTTTGACGGTGTACGCTCACTGACATTTCACCCGGAAGATTTAATGCTCATGACAGCATCCGATGATGGAACGCTGAAATACTGGAATCTTTTCCGTAACTGGAATGGCAACAAAAAAGCCTCGTCCGTGGATTTTGAGCCGGTTTACACATTTCGCGGCCATATGTAGGTTTTTATCGGCAGTCATTCTTTGATTAACGAGTCCTAATTCTGTATTCTGTGATTGTAGAGGCCCGGTTCTCTCCACAGCCATGTCTAACAGCGGTGAATATTGCATCAGCGGTGGCGCTGATTCCACAATACGCTTCTGGAATCTCTCCTGCACAACTGGTGATCCCTATGAGGCCTACGATCCCGCCATCGTCGGACCCATCTTGGAGCAGCATACGGATGCCGTCTGGCATTTGGCACATCATCCCCTGCAGCCGCTGATGGTGTCCTGTAGTGCGGACGGTCGCATAATCTGGTGGAATACGGAGAATAACAGCATGCTAACGCAGATGGCTGTCTCCGATTGGGGCGCTCCCACATGCGCGGACATTTTCCCCAATGAGACGGCCAAGTTCTCGGCGTCGTTTGCTCATGATGCGGCTATGTTCGATGTGGAAACGGGCAAAGCAGTGGTCAAACTGAAAATTCCTGATAATCCGGATGATTACATTTACCGTATTGTTAATCATCCCAGTCTTCCCATTGCAATAACCGCTCATGAGGACCGGCAGGTGCGCTTTTTTGACACTAATACGGGTGAACTGATCAACTCGATGGTGGCCCATCTGGATGCCGTGTCCTCATTGGCCGTGGATCCCAACGGACTGTATTTGGTGACGGGCAGCCATGATTCTAGTATTCGCTTTTGGAGTATGGACTCCAAAACCTGCTTACAGGAGAGTTCGGTGCATCGGAAAAAGCTAGATGAGTCGGTGCTGGATGTGGCGTTTCATCCCAGTAAGAATCACGTGGCCAGTGCGGGTGCTGACGGAGTTGCCAAAGTGTTTACATAGCGTTTAAATTGGACATTTTGTTTAGTATTTATATATTTTTTGACTCATAATTTGGGATATTTATTGTTACTTTTTTCTGATTTTGAGTGTGGTTTTTTATTTTGGTTCTCCCGTTTTTTTTCGCCCGCATCTTTTGAAGTCTGGTTTGATTTGGCTTTAATTCGTGCTTGTTCAGACGGAAGTGGAACAAACTGTTGATCCGCAAATTCTGATTGTACTTAATGTTTATTTAAGAATGATTAACAGTCCTGGTCGGCTTTCTGTCTGATTGTAGCATGCTTGCGTCTGAAATGCGTGGTGCCAGAAGCTATTAAGAGATCGTTCCTGAAGACAGGAATCTGTGTCATTAATTCTGAGTACCAGGTATGGCAGTATTATTTGCAATTTCGGCGCTGAAGTACACATATATCCCATTCAAATACGGTGACAATTAGCTCCATACTTCTACAGTCTGCTCGATACTCCTGGAAGTCGGTAGTGAAATGACCACATCGGCTTTGGCGCTCTGCTTTTTATTTAACGTTAACGTAAATAATTATAGTTCGGAAGTTCAATTAATGCTGTGTGCTCAGGGATAAACCTAGTGTTCCCGTGCGTCCCTGCTTTAATTGCTGCATAATAGTATGTAGATGTGCAGCTTCATTATTAACTAGTTTATCCCGAAATCCTTTCGTCCTTCAGTGATTAATCCCATCAGTGCTACACTACACAGGCAGACATTCCATCATCCGGTGGCATGACAAGTATGTGCCATGGACTAATGAGGTTCATGAGTAAAATGTATTGACTGAGATGGAGAATGATAACTGCATCCCTCCTTGAGATCATTTGACGGGTTAGGAGTACAGATCTCTTTTCTCAATGGCCTCTGTCGGATATAATTAAGAAATAATCAGCTTTTTCTTCATATCAATCTCTTCACACCAATTGACCATTCAGTTGACAATCGGCAAAATAGCAGTTGACAAAACATGCCGGGTCGAACAACGCGTACGCAGCGCGATCCAACTTAACTATTTTGAGTTTTTGCTAAATCAGAATGCTTCGTGAATCGACTAAAAAAGGTTTATTCAATTAAATTTCAGCACTTGTATTTCGTTTTTCATTTTTATTTCACATAAAAGTCTGTTCAGCAACCCACAGATACATCTTTAATTTATCAGCATGCATTCGCTCAGTGAGTTTTATAAGAATTTAGTTTTACGTCCAGCTCAGCCAATAAAAAATCTATTTAAAGCTCGGATCGTACACAACAGCATAACCATGTTAATTGAGTACTTGTATGAATAATCGCAAATGAAAAAATTGAGTACGTTTGAAAAAAACTAATGGCGCAACCATATCAGCTGGAGTGGGGAAAGGGTTTTATATCGTGCCACTTCTGTTCATTTCCGACGGCTCATTAACGACGCATGTAAGGTGAGTGCTGTTGGGCACTATAACCGAATGCGGCATACATGAGCGTATCGACGGGATATTCCCATTCTGCAGAGAGCGCTGGGAAAGTCCAGACAACATTCGATCCTCGTAATCCATTTCGCAAAGAATTTGGTTATTCCACAAATAAAAGCGATCCCCAACGCAAAATCTGTAAAAAAATATAAATAAGGAATTGTGATTTTCACATTAATTTGCAACTATATTTTAATGGTACTGCAGACATTAATACTGCTGTTTTGATCACGCACGAACAATACTATGCCGTTAATTTTACAGAACATTAATCCCTTATTCAGTCTAACAATTGTAAGTAAAATCATTCGCAGTTTTTTACACGCATTTGATACTAGTTCTGAGGCAATTTTCTACCCATTTGAGGTACCTGTAACTACAATTGTGGCAGTTGAAACATTCCAGATGGTAAACGTTTCCGTTGGCGCGCATTACAAGTTCAAAAGCCGGTATCTGTTTCTTGCAGGAACTGCAATGGCCCACCCCGCCAAAAAGTCTAAACCACATTCAAAATTGTTTATCATTCTTTCTTGATTTAAATGATGCAAAAAGGTGTAGCAGTTATTAGTTGCACGAGTACCTTAAGTAATCCCGTCGACATAATATCAGGTCGGCTTTTGTGAAACAGGTGCTGCCCACTTCTCCCAAGCGGCAATCACAGCATGCGCATTTCAGACAATCTTCATGCCACAGTTTATCTAACGCTTTTAAATAGAAGCGATCCAAAATCACCGTACCACATCCAGAACAATGCAGCAAATTTCCACATGTCAGGGAGCCGGAAACCGCAGGTAATGTTCGAGAACTATCAAACGGATCCATGAGACAGACGTATCTATGCGAGCAAATATTTGAAATTAGCTAGAGCGCACTCTGTATTTAAGCAAACTTGCGTATCTGTTCAAGGTCACAGATCGCATACGTCAAGTCATTTAAAAATACATAAATAAATTTTTTAAAAAAATTGAAATAATAAAATATATTGATCAACGAATCTCCGCTAAAGAAATACATAAGATTGACACATAAAATATGAGTGCTTTCGACGGGAAAATAAGGGAACAAGCCATACGCAACAACATATGCGTAAACGTTTCGCTTAAAAGAGTTCCCAAGCCCAAATTGACCACTAAATCCAAATTCATCAACTGGTTGACAAAATATTCTGGGATCGTTTGAGTGGATCATTTGAAATGCACACCGGATACGCGCGACCAACAGCTTATCAGTTTTGAAACAGACATCAAACTGCATGCGGTCTGTGCCTGTCGACGGTGGTTATCCTGGCCGGTAAAAAGGCTATACTCTACGCTAGATGGCCAATGTGCTCATAGTGTGATATGCCTAATCAGGACAATCGCCACCACAAATCGCAACATAATCCTATTACTTCAAAACACGACCAAACCAGGCGGCGCGTGTCGATCACATCTAGTTTTAGCCTGTGACCGTACTCCCGAGTCAAAGATTATGGGCTGTGGATGAAGATTCAAATATACTGCACTACATAGTGCAGTATACCACAAAACGGTATACCGCTTTGTGGATGCGCGGCTAACGTTAGCCTAATGATGTGATTTTCACCAGTTCTCTCACATACTTTTATGCACTATCCAGCTAGTGTACTTAGTTGTAAGGCAGTAAACAAGTGGAAAAATCGTTTATTACTATAAAGTATCTTGTTAAAGATACAGTTCATCACAGTATGTGCAGTTTGTTTCCATTATTAATTTTATAGTGAGAAGCTACCAATTTTAAGGCTTTCGTTTTTTCTACATTTTTACAAGTTTAACCGAACATTATGTGTACCAATAGCAGCGCGCTTTCAGCTTGCGATATTTATCATACGTATGTGTACCAGGTAAAAGCTGTTTTGGCTTGAATAAAGCGCGCAATGCTTTTTAAATTGACAAAAACGTCAGAATTGTGACAGATAATATTGTAGATACTTTTGGTTAGTTGCATGGCTCACTTTAATTTTCTTACTAGGGTAGTGTTACAAATCTTCTTGCATATTTTTTATACTGATAAGATTCATACTTCGAATACTGCCTTATATGGGCTCCCTTTATATTACTCTCCCTTATCTGGGCTCCCGAGCAATATGAGCAACCCTCTACATGGGCGATTACGTTATTACTCACACTTTCGCAGCTGTTATCAGTGTTATGACTGACTGAAAATTTTGATTTACTTAAAATACTTATTTTGCCAGTACTTCTGTAGCATTTAGTTTGTATTAAAGTGCTCAGGTTGCATCAACGACTGATTCAAAATCTTTCTAAAATTTATATGTGTGACTTAAGCTGGAAGAAAAAGGAACGAGGACGCTTTGAAAGAAAAAAACGAGAAGAAACTTCGCCCGCTTGAATGCACTAAGAACCCCATGAAAAAATAATCTGATATGCAATTACTGCATTTTTCAGTTTGTTCACTGGCAAATCCGGTTGAAATTAATGAAAAATATATATAAATAATATATATATATATATAAATATAATTCGGGTGTGAAATTTTGGAATTCTTTGGTGTGCTCTTTGGTAGAAAAGGGTTCTGCTATAAATCCGATAAATTAATTTGACGGGCATTGCTAACTAGCCGGGAGCCCAGATAAGGGTGAGTAATGTAAGGGGAGCCCATATAAGGCAGTATTCGAAGTATACGTATACTATGTAAATGTTTAGTTGTGAGTACTCGCTAAGCTGTCATCATTCGGCAGAACAATACGAAAGTTGTGCTAAACAGTAAACGTCGTAATAAGTCAGATTTTCCCGCTGTACGCCAATGCCGGCGCTAGTTGCTTGTGTTCTCGATCGGCCTATATGAACTTACTTCAAATAATTTCAATGGGATACGGTGTCACACACACATGGCTCCCGCAACCTCTGAATCCATAACAGTTTTTGTAAAATAAAGTTCAGTTTTCGTAAACAGGTTATCTGCCAGGAAAAGGCTTGTCTCGGGAGTGCTGTTATCACTGTTCGACTGCACTGCCGCATGAGATGCCGGCCATGCGGCGATAGATTGCCCAGTCTGGATACTTGAGTGCAAGCCGGAAATGGTAGTAAGTGGATACAGCACTAAATTATGCACGTGGTAGGGCGGAATTGTTCTGGTGTCGTGAAATTAAACCAGATGAACACGAAGAAAACTCCCGTTTACGTTACGAAGAAACCAAAACAGCGACGATCGGATGTTGTCTAGACAGAGATTTCGGGTAAGTTCAAACGGTACAGCAAAATGTCACGTGTATAATATTATTATAGTTAGACAATCGGACTGCACTGGGAGCACTAACGAGTGATAATGGATGTATATTGATGCTAAAGGGCACATAAACGCCGCAAAAGTGTCGATGTAGATGCCGCAGCTGTATTTGGGCGCGCGCGTATGCAGACTGTGTATGTACGCTGGGCACTGCTGCCCGCCAGGATCCAGTGCGGTTAAAAACACATTTGCGTTAAGTACGAGTCAGTAATGGAAGGTCCACAAGCCGGGGACAAGTTTATGGCTAGTAAGGGAGAACACCATAATAAAGACACTGCATCATCGCCTTGCGGGCATATATACAGCCGGTCGCTGCAGCATTTATCGAGAGAATGGAGTAAGACTTTCAGTCCTTTTTCTTCCCCATTATATTCAACATCCATCAAGCAGATTAGTTTACCAGATACAAATCAAACGCCGGCAGAAGCATTTTGGAGATTGCTTCCTCGCGATATATTGCTGCTGTGTGCGATGCTGCAGCAGCAGAGCTTCTATAGAGGAAACAGATATCCCGCACCGCATATCGCGCGTCCTGAGCGTCAATCCTGGCGGTATTATGCTTGGTGAAAAGCAATTAAATGGAGCGAAAACGTAGACTTTATAATAGGCGGACGTATAGAAAGGACGGCACACGTTCGGCTCCGGCATCTACTGTACAATACATCCAACCGCACTGCCAGCCAATGGGGCCAGCGTCCAATCCTATAGAAAGCCCTCCGTGTGCAGGCTGCCTTGAAAAGCGGCATTTTTCCAAATAATCTTCTCCCGCAAATTGAATTGATATTCTCTTGTGGATAATAACTCTATGGGTTGCTTCAGTGATCATGATACCAGATAAATTGCCTCAACTAAACACTACTTACACCAACAGCGTGCTATCCTATCAAATACGATTAGTGCACACAGCGGGCTTCCTACGCACTGCACACTGCAACACAGCCGCGCGGGCAGCCAAATGAAGCTTCTTCCATCCAGGAACCTATATCCATTTGTCATCTTTCCGTTTGCAATTAACTTGAAATTGCTGATCAGCACAACAACAACTAGCCGCGTTGAACGTTCCTATGCACACAGCTCGGCGGGGCGAATACCTACAGTCACATTCAGGATGCTAAATTAATGTACTTGTAATTAACGTATTTGCCCACACCACCGATAACCACTTCGCATGCCGAAAAACAAACAATTAATTTTGAGGAATTTGTTAAGGCATCCGCCATGCGGAAGTGATGGTTGCAAATTTGCAACATTCGGGTGCTGCATTACGAATAATCAGTGCGAGACGTACAGTATCTTTCCAGGAGCATACGTGCCGCAGCATGGTAACACTGAAAATTGTTTTCTCACAACAACTACGCGTATGCGTCAATAATGTTAACGCGCGAAAAGGTCAAGGTTCTGTACGGCACGTTGGAGGTTAATTCTATTACAGTATTGCTCCATTAACATTAACCATATTGTATAATTACTATATACTGTAGATGAAGTCTTTCACCTGATCAATTTTGAAAACACTCACAATATATTTTATATTCCGATGAAAAAACGGTTTTTAAATTTTGTTTTGTGTCTGTGATATTTCTGAGCTGTCTGCAGTAACACTGTGGACCAAAATCTTCTGTATTAGCTTACAAAATCTCTCTGAAAATGGCTTTTATAAACACAATTTCATAACAGCCATGCTTTCACATGATTATGTGAAGAATGATTTATTGAAACTTCGCATACATGGTTTATTTCGACCTCGTTATTTTCTTGGCGTTATTTGTTTGGGTCAATGGGTACTTCTATCTTTTATTTCAAGTGTTCAGTGAAAATTACCGTACGGCAGTGAGAAGCATTTTTGTGTGCCAGGCAAAAAATTATCTGAGCGAAACAATTTGTAAACTCTATTCAGTAGCTATACCTTTAGATCTCGTCAATTGCAATCATAAATCTACTGATATAAATCCACTTCTATCAATTCAGACTTCTGCAAAACAACCAATTAAAACTTTCCGAATTACCAGCTCATGCAACCAAAGTACTTCAGGATTGTGATTCGCAATCATTCAACCTAGTTGTATCATGCAACGGACAATATTATCGTCCAATGGTCGAATTTCGTCACCTCCGCATTAATAAATCACCAACTAAATATTATCTACCCGGCATTCGATAACACCAAACATTGAGACAAATGCGGTGATTGTCCTACGAACCTTTTTGCAATCAGTCGCGACAAGCGATTCGTCAAAGCCACAGCGCTATCGTCCAATTTATTAATAAAAGTCACGGGAAACTTCAAAATATTCAGCGCGGTTAGAATTTCGTAATAATAATTACGTTCAAAATCCCAAAATCACAGACCTGAGTCATGCATGTACACGTATATAAAAACCAAATAAACCAACTGCTGTATAAAAATATCTCAGTACAAAATACGCAAAAAGATCACCAACCACTGTCAATTACGGTAGTGCAGCCAAACCGAGTCGGCTATACTTCAACAACCCATTAATTAACAAAACAGATAACACCTGTAACCAATGCCAAAATGAAAACACCGTACAACTACTCTTGAGTACCCTTAGAAAGAACTGTGCGTCTCCTCTGAGCTGTTCTCAATGGCCCGCTGCTGCTGCTGTAGATGCTGCAGCTTCAAATAATCTCCAAACATTTTCCGCGCATCCGCCAAAATCTTTACGAGGTTGTATTTTTTAATCATGCGATCAAAATACATGGCCAACTCGAAATGATGCTGCGTTTTGTTAGCCAACAAGTGATTCCGATTGTGTAACAATATCGTAAGACACACAAACAGGAGAAACGGGTTCCCATCACCAAGCTTATCCGGTGGCGGAAGATCGGAAGAGTTTTTCAGTTCATTGGAGGATGTATCGGTGATGCCTGAGTCCATAATACTTTGGGGCCAAGCTCGTGAACTATCCCCATTCCGATATAAATCTGTCACACACAATCCCTCAACAATATCGCCGGGAGTAACGGCTGGAGATAGTGAGCGCAGAGAGTCGATCTTCGAGTCCGTTAACGTCTCGTCCATGCTCAACATGGATAGTGATCGCGGTGAAGGAGACGCCGTGGATCCCCGACTATGTGAACCGGAGCAATGTGGGGATTTCGATTTTACACCCAAATATTCGAATTCCTTTCCCATTCGCTCGGTAAGGGAGTTCTGCAGCAACACTAACTCCTCTGAGTCGCCCGAAGATAAATCGTCTCTCTCAGTGTCACCATTCTCACTTCCAGTTTTGCTGGGATGAGCACTTCCTCTTCCCGATGAGAATTTCGAAGAACACCCGTACTGGTGAAACCGGGAACGATTTGAATATTCACAATCACAAAACACATTATCTTCAATTTGCGGCTCGGCCAGGTCGATTTCACCCTGAGGTGGATCAGGCGGCAGCGAGCTCCAGATGACCTCCAAGGCTCGCAGTGAATCCTCAAAACCGAACTCTCGTTTCATTTCAACCAACAGCCACCGATAACAAAACAGCAGATCATCCGAGTCGTTCTCAGCAAGATATGCACCAAATTCTGGATCGTAATAATTCAGCAATCGACGCAAATGCTCAAACTTTATCATCATGCTCTCGCTGTCTCGTCGGAAATTTTTCTTCATTCGTTTCATTAAGCCACAGAAACAGATGTAAGCGTGAGCTTCATCACGCATGACATAGAGAAGCGGTGATGCCAGATCACTCATCCCTTGACAGTACGAAACAGATGGATGGGTCAATGCGTATGTCGTCAAAATATGATACAAAGCAACAATGTTTTTATTATCATCCGATCCCGCATAGAACTTTTGTGATCTGTCCGTTCGTAAGACATCCTTCTTTACCAGATTACTGATAGAAATGTGTGGAAGCTGATCATCCCTTATGGATTTCTGACATTTCTCTCGTAAATCGTAATATTCCTTCGATTTTCTCTTCATATAATCCAGCCGTTCCTGCCCAGTGAGATTATCCGGGAATACATTCAAAATCAGCCGCCAGACATATTTTCTGACATGCTGGTCCACACCTCCCAAATATACCGATCGCCGAAGATCCATGGGACGTACCAGACGCCCGGCGGAGTCAAGAAAATTCCGATACTCCGGAATCGGTCATGGGGGCCTTTGGTGACCGCGCTTCCTCATCGGGATCGCTTGCCGTTAAGTTTAAGGCCTTTTGGACTAATCTCCATAGGACGGCCCAAGGACGACAAGCGTTCACGGAAAGACGCGCCACGCGTTGCTGGAGGACGAACTGTGCTGCCTGGTTCGGGTAGATCTAGAGGACGGATAATGTCCCAGTCATCAAAACCTATGCGGAACAACTGGCTCGATAAAAAGCGCATTGAGAGCAAGGTTCAAAGTGTTACGGAGATTAATAAGGACACTTTCATACCGTCCACAAATGGCTGCACATCAACCTTCAAACGCAGACAAGGATCCGCATAGCTTAACAGTGCTGCATCGAGATCCCAGTCAGATAGAAGCGATAAATAAGTTGGCCTGTTACATTCATCGCGCGCTTGATAGCTGATTGTAAAATCGCTGCAAACAGCATTATAATTGGTATTGGGTCAGGTATAAAGTTAACAGAAAAATTCATTACATTATTTCCGTACCTTTTGATCTCCAATGCTTTAGCCAATAATTTTCGCAGGATATCGAAAGAAGTGATACGGGGATCAATGCAGAATTTTTTGTAAACTGGATCCTTCACACCGTCACATTTCTACAAAGCGAACAATCAACCTATGCAGATACGATAGGGTGTCTAGATAGGAAAAGCGTACGTAATTATTTCTGCACAATTCACACAAGTTCACACATTGAAAATGTTGCAAAACAAGCAATAAATAAATAATGATCAGCTTAACAGGTAACATAATGTGTACAGTTGTTGGAAGTTACTGTGTTTGTATTGTACGCCACACGAAATAACACTGCTCGCTCAGCAGCCTAGTAAAGAGAGTGGTAGCGAATAATTATAACAGTTCCCGCGGGTGAGTTGTGTTTCAGTTTTCCCCAACAGGCAGATAATTAATAGAGGTAGTAAACACCCCGGAAATACATTTTGTTAACCGAGCACGTGGGCATTTACGTCCGCAGTTTTTCTACAAAAAAACACAGCCGTACTTTGCGATCGCTCTATTCGGTTAGTTCTTTCAAAAACGGCATACTAAGCAATAACAGCCTTCCATAAATAGTACTCGTAGTTACGAACCTAAAAACAACCTTAACAAGTATAAAATTTGGGGCATAAAATCTGAACAGATTTGGGCAAATGCGCTAGGCTAATTTTTTTCTCTGAAGATCTTTAAATTTGATCTGCGGCTTTAACTTTTATCAGCCGCATAGCGTGTAACTATAGACTCACAACAATCTGAAAAGCAACCCCCTACCCCAGAGAAACAACAATTCACCTGATCCGTGGCAACAGTTTCTTGACAGTCGATTTGTGACTGTACTCACTTAATTTTGCGTATGCAGTCAAAAAGTTTTGGTGTAATGGAAACATGCAATCCGGGCGCTGATCTACGTGAGGGCCTAGACAAGGCTAAAACAAGAGAAAAAAGAGCCGAAACAATTACCTACCGGAAAATGGCTCGACTGCATTTGCTGGCTCTCCAGCACCAAAAATCACTAAATCTCTGTGACCAAGTGTTAAGTTTTGTGAAGTAGGAAAAACCAAAAATGCAACGACCGCTACAGGAACGCAATATATAAACTACGTTATAAATTAATAACACTCAACTACCGCACATCCATCCCATAATACCGCAAACCGCCAAAATTACGGGGCAGAAATAATTTGCACAATGTGCACACAAAGTTCGGCTTTTTGCCTTCAGCATTTCACACAATTTACTTAACTAAGTATTCTGCGCATTTATTTTAGCTTAATGTTGTTGTCTGTCTCGGTAGATGAACCGATGAGTTATAATTTGGCAACATGCAGCGAAAACTTAAAGAGGTCAAATAAAATGAATGCCGTTGCCGGTTCACAGAGTGCCATGCCGACACCATATTATTTTTACAGAACAACAATTTAGCCGATAAAAGGTTATCGCTGTGCACTTTCATGTCGTTCGAAACCGATAGGCAATCAAAAATGTTTGCCATCTTAACCATTTTATGATCCGGTAAACAAGATAAACGAGCTAAAGTTAAGAACGGAAATGAATGTTGAGTGCCAATGGCGTCTTGGTGAATCTAATGGTTTTTCCGCCTGATGAGCACCATTGTTATCTTGCAAAGCAAAAGAGCACTGCGGTAATGCAGCCAGCAGTAACAGTTAACACAAAACAGAAGGCGCAATCACAAAAACTTATACATACTTTTATGTACAGAAATGTATGCATAATTGTAAGTAATTGTACACTTGTGTTTTTGTACAAAATGGACGAATGAAATTGCGAAGAGTAATTTTTTTCAAAATCACTTAAACAAAGGCTGCAAAGCAAAGACCAAAACATTCACTCGTGCTCACAGATCACTTAATTCCTCGTTCTATCTGTAAGCACTTGCAGTAAGTAGAAAATAATTGTGCCAATCATACTGTTAATCTGTTTGAACCCACTATTTAAAAAAATGCCACTAAACGAAAATAAAATTAAGACCACTTTAACACTCACTGCCAATACTAACGAGTCGACTAATTATACGTATTTCTAAATACATGGAATTAAAGCAGTCTAGATCTGCTGCATCGTTTACGACTCTTACCGTAACTTTGACTTTGATGGCTTCCATCTGGTGAAGTGAAAAGACGTCCGACTGCATGGTTTTCCGAGCCCTTTTAGATACCTTAGATTCAGTCTCCAAACTTTGTGAGAACTATCCAACAAATCCCGTGCCTGGTATCCCTTTTATCTCTAGTTTCGCTCGGCTTTCCAATTAAGACCAACGATACTGAGATATTCCAACCTTGTTTATGCACGATGAACCACAGTTTCGCGCGATCGTGCACGATAAGGAAAGAGAGCAAACGATTAACTGGAAGATGTGGAGAAAGTCGAAATCGCACATTTCCTATGAACACTCTAGCATGAAGGCATAACTATCTTGAGAAAATCTGATTCCTTTGGAATTCTCTTGGTCTATCTTTTGAAACTTGTCTACCGTCGCTGAGTAAACAGCAGAACACTACCAGACGGCATGATTTATCAATGGTTGAAGTGGCCCAACACGTTGTAATCAGGTGGCGCCAGACGTCAAGGTTTGGGCGGAGCGCTCGAGAGAACCGGTGTACTTGATTGGTCAAAATCATAATATTTAAAAATAATTCCTAATAATTTACACTTTCGCATTAAGAGCACTCATCTTCCATACGAAATTGTTGTTTTGACTGATTCTTCCACGCTTTATCTAGTTCACTTTCATCGGAAAAGTGCGGCAGTGCATTATTCAGGGCAGAAGGCGAAATTTGTACCTATCGTGTACCTAGTACCTACGTACTATATTATCGCGCAATATCCTTTTCTGCATTTAATCAGTATTGTAATTACGTATCTGGCAAAACCCTGATAATAATTCCTGCATGTCTTTGACTCTTCGGTTAAAGCTGCATTAAATTTCCCAACGCTTCGCGTGTAGTAGGCACTATTCGTTTTTAAATTAAAAGCTCAGTGAAAAAACCAGAATGTTGCAAAAATAAAAAGTTCTATTTCGCAACCAAGCATTCAACTACTCGCTTCACTACAACATGCTGCTACCCTGAAATTCGACGCTGGCAGTATGCACATACTGCCTCCGCAAAATCGGAACCTACTCTATAGAATCTAGAGCAGGAAAGCCAGTAGATAAGGCAGTCAGAATCGCATTTCTGCAGAATTTATTTCACAAATCGGTACGGGAAATACCAGCGCACCAGATAACTAAAAAGTAAACAGAATCAATCCAAGGCGAAAATATCTGTAGTTATCGGTGCAGTACAAAAGCATCAATTACATTAATACATAAAAAACATATAAAACTGAAACAAACGACAAGCATTGCAATCAAAAGAAACCGATTTCGGTCGGACTACAATCGTAGCGTACTTACATAGTTAACTATAGTATTTCCTACTATTTCGCCATAAATGTGTCGATCAGTTGCATATTAACTCCCTTTGCCTCCAATTTCATTTGCAAGCCGGTAACCAGTAATTTTAGACCAGTCAATTTTCGTTCTCGTAAGTGGCAATTGTCGACGCAGGGCTTTGAAGGTGGTTTCCGACATCGTGTTATAATTCTCTGAAACTCCCATCTGATAATCGTTTTCCGCATCCAGAACTATCTGGCAAACGTTTTTCGCTGTTTCCGTTTCATTCTGAAAAGGTATAGCCAGGCAATTACTTCTTCTATATCATTTCACAAGCGACCCCGTGCCTTGAAAGGTAAGCTAGCGCGAGATCATCAGTCAAAGTACATACGGTAATTGTCACTTCATCCTTGATTTCTTTGGAGCTCACCAGCTGTACGTTTCCATCCTCATAATAATGCACCTAGTTCATGAACGCTAATTAAAAATCTCTGCATTTTGAAGCATATGCAGCAGCCAACAACATTCACACGACAATATACTGCACACTAACAAAGACTTCTATACTCGTACATATACTTACGAGGGAGATACCCGAACACGTCCGCGTCAGATCAGCATACAGTTGGTACCATTAGAATCCTTAGAATTTCAGCTATTTTCTTTGATAATCAAAATACCCCCAGATAAAGAACTCGAGTTTAGGGATCCCTGAGAAGCCAACACAGATAAGATGGCTGATTTCCATCGAAACGTCAGCAGACGCCATACATATACGGCGCGTCTGTACGGATGCGAGATTGCGCAACCGTCTTTCAGCGAGAAGTTAAATAGCGCTTTATCGATAGCTATCGCAGTTTTTTAACTCATTAAGCGCAGCAGCATCGACTAGCTGCATAGAGATCAATGCAACCGCGGATGCTGTGCGCGCGATAGGGCAAAATAGGTGAGACAGCCGTCAACAAAACCAATACGTACAGAATCAACAGATTGCAGCCAGACTATGCGTAACACATGGCGCATCTAGGCTGGACAATGCGTATGGCGCCTGCTGACGTTTCGATGGAAGTCAGCCATCATATCTATGCTGGCTTCTCAGAGATCCCTAAACTCGAGTTCTTTATCTGGGGGTGTTTTGATTCTCGAAGAAAATAGCTGAAATTCTAAGGATTCTGATGGTACCAAGTGTATGCTGATCTGACGCGGACGTGTTCGGGTATCTCCCTCGTAAGTTATACATAGGAGAGAATACAAAAAGTTTTCGAATACGAATTTCTGCATTCCACTAAATCATACCACATTACCACACAATCATTACTTCTACAGGTAAAGTGTATAGGGGTAAACAATATTTTGGTTAATTCTTAAAAGGAGTACCGAAACCTGGCGCGCAAGGCAGTACTTCAGGAATGCCTTAAATCGTAGTAAAAGTTGCATTCTTACCTGCACTTTAATTATGCCACGCAGTTCAACACTGCTGTCTGAGCCTGGTGAAAATGTCAGCGACCACTGCGATCTCCATCTACCGTTCCTGTGTAGTAAAAATGTCGATTAATAATTAAACAATCCAGCCCCACGAGCAGAAATAATTTGAGCAGCACCAGTAATTCTTGGGCTGGAACTGATGATCTTCGATGGCCACGACCACTGTAAACTGTCCACCGTCGGCTTTGGCAAAAACGGTACATACGCCATGTTTATAATAATTGTCCACATAGCTGCTAAAATGCGACTCGAATGCTGACCGCCAGGACTCCACCCGCGCATCACCGATCTCCTGCTGCTGGATATCGCTGGCTTCTTTGCGCAAATGATCAAAACGGAATGAGCGCTTGGATCGCGGGTCGTAGAACCGGTGGCGTCCGAGATCATTGTGTTCACTGATAATAACCTGTTCAGCACGAGCTTATATTGTTTAGTAACTTTAGTTCACACATATGTAGCTCCAATCCAAAAATAAAGCAGCGCTGCTAATACTTTCACATACCGCTTCATCAACTCCTTCCAGACGTACGGGTGTAAACTGGTCTTTATTGTACTGCGCAAATGTCCTGTAAAAAATAGAAAATTTACGCAAAAAAATACTGAAAACCGCTGCAACCAGAGGTTGGTTAATAAATTAAATCTGGGGAAACTGTATAAGCGTATACTTATAAAAAGTAATACCAGCTTTGCGAAGACAAACTAATAATACATGAATACAATCTACAGGCCGTTATTTCGGTAAACCTCTGCACGTTTCGTGATTTCAACATACCCCGACAATTTTTCTTTCAACAGGGTATCATCGTTGAGAAGAGTCCTGACATCTAACGAGACCATTGTCGATTAGCGAAATCAAAACAGAAGAAACTGAAGATGCTGTCATGTTTCAACCTTGAATACGACATTACCGTTGAAGACTTCGTTGAATTCTCCGGGAGGTGCGTGAAGTAAAAACCTCGACACTATATTCACCTACAGACCAAAACACAACGTTAATCCGAGGCAATGTGCATCGAGCACGACGAGCAGTGAGTACTAATAAACAGTATAGGGTCCCAGAAAGGTTCCATCATAATATTATCAGGTGGTGGAAACAGCGTCCTAACCTTGTCTTCCTCCGTTACTGTTTCTCCATATGTCGCCATGATTTGCGGATTGAATGGACAATCAGCTATTCCAAATGCAGGCGTATCAAACACCACAAAAACCTGGCTGTTTTGGTCAAGCACAGTGGAGATCACACAATGACAAACGGGATCCTTCGATCTGTTATTTGGCGATCGCTACTGGCGATTTTTTGACGGTTCACGATACGCCTATTTGCTGCGCAGGCACAGGTACGACTTCATTTCGCGTACGCTTTAGGTACCCGTAGACCGTAGTACATGATAAAATACGTATTTTATACTGCAGTTTACGTACTCGTATTCTATAAAAATGCTAGCAGGCCCCAGTCAGTACTCTGGTCAGTATTAAACTATAGTAAAAGACTCTTTTGTATAGTGCGTACTAAATTAACATAAAAATTATTGCCGAATAATTAATCAAGTGGGCGATTTTATTATGCGCATTAAAAATAATAATATTACTGTATAATTTTAAACTTTCAAGTATGAGTACAGTACTAGTTGTGTACGTTTAAAGAATTTTGAGCACGTACGTACGGTACATCCGCTACATCCGTGTGGCAATCGACGTACGTTTTTCCTCACGCAGTTTTTCTTTTTCGACGCCGTAAAATTTGCGATATAGCGAGCAGTACTCGTACAGTCTCGTACTGAACTTTCTAAGGCCTCCAATATTTTTTTAAGGCTTTTCAAGCTTGCAAAATTGTATATGTTTAACGCGGAGCTTTGAAGTTTAATTATGCGAATTCAAAAGTTGTGATTAATTACTTCTTTTTGATTTTATTGCCTCTGCAGTCGCCAGTCAGAATAAGCGTTTCAGATTTTTTCACATTATTGCGATTTACTGCAGTTATTCTGCTGCTGTTTTATCAAACTGTAAACATGGTTTTGTCTAAGAACGGCCCAGCAGGAAGCCTTGCACGGACACCTTGCCTGCATGTGATCCACGACACCCATGCCTTTCTTGGGTGAGTTCGAGTTTTTTCGAACGCCTAAAGAGTTCGTCAAAAGGGAACTTAAACAGTAATCACTCGGAGTGTATGTGCTGTCAGTATCTACTATGAGGCTCTGGCCTTTGTGCTAAGGAAAAAATGTTTGTCCCAAGTCAAAGTGCCTAAACCACCTGTTGGACGGAGATCAATTTGCTATCGTCTGTGTGTCAAATTGTTAATAATTATGGTGTTCAATCTCTGTTTCGTACAAATTTGATATATATATATATTCTTTTTTTAATTAGTATTACAGCAATTTTCCTTTTCACTGGTATGTATGAACATTTCACTTTTGTTTCAGCTAAGCTTGGGTTGACATAATCGGATTCATTTCACTTTTGATTACGACTTTTAGGAACGTCCTCTTGTTTTAAAAATGTTCGAAAATATTCACAAATCATTTGATATTAATTTCCAAAACTATGGTGTTTGTAAATGTGTCCGGTGTTCAAATGTATTATAGTCTAATTAGTGTTTCTCTGCTTCGATTTCGCCCTTCCTTTAGTTTTCTTTATTTGGGAGCTTTGTAAATTACAGGAAGCTGTTTGCTTTTTGTTGAATTTATCGTTTTTGCAAGATGCCTGTATTAATTGGTACCCCTGGCTCTGTTTATGAAGCCGCCACAATTGTGCACTTGATTGTCATTTGTTGTCACCTGATACTGTATCAATGGTAATGTAATGTCTTTATTAAATGCCTTTTTCTTTTGTTTCAAATAGAATATCCGGCTATCCTTGAAAGATTTAATGCAGAAAGGCGAAGCAATGTTATAACAGTTTTGAAGAAAAATCAACACTCCGAGATGTCTCTATCGCATGAGATTCGTAAATACTCCCAAATCTGCAAACTTCTACGGCAGAATTATCGTGACACAAAATTGGCTCTGAAGGAACTGACATACAGTGGTAGCTTTGAATCAGGTATGAAAACTGCTTCCGGCGTTGGGAAATGAGAATTTGACTGATTTTTCTGCGTTTGTTGCTCTTTGTCACTCACAGTCATACGCATTATTCACAGAATTTTTGGCAAACGTTGCCATTGTACGATCGGAAGAACAGCTGGTGCAATCTGTGATCGAAAATGTGCCAACCATCGTTATTGTGGGACAGGATTACGCTGCCAAATTGGCCATGGTCAATTCACTTTTAGGACAAGCGGTGTTGCCGGTCCAGCTGCAAGAATCGGCGAACGGTTGGCGGATGTTGCGAATTGTGTATGGCATGAACAGAAGCTTCAGTTTGTCCACTGCCGAAAACTTTGAGGTGGTGGATCCTGTGCTGTCTCGAAAGAACACGAAAAGTCTTGTGCCAATTGATGACCTTATGCTAATGGTAAACTGCTAGCCCCAATATTAAGAAGCGTCCAAGCTAGAATATTTTATCGTTTAATACGCGTTTTTTTGCATTCATTACAGAGTACGACTACGGATTCAGCAGCCGGAAATGCAGTTCTGGAGATTAGCCTTAGCCATGAATTGTTAATGTCAGGATGGCGCATCATTGTTTCACCTAGTCAACATACTAGTGGTCTGGAGCCAATATACCAGAAGTGTTTGGAAGGAGCCTTGCCGGTGTTCGTCTGTGTTCTTGCTGGGCGTATGCTTTCTGACGAAGTTAGTTAAACAAATTCTACACAGAATTTTGTTTTTTCGGTTCCATTTATGTGAATTGATATTTGCAACATTTTTTATTTTTGAAACTTTTACGTTGGTACAAAGTTGTTTTCACATGTCGGTGGAAATGTTTGGCATGCTTTTCGATAGATATGATTCACATTGCTAGTCGTTGCTTTGATTAATGTTTGTTTGCTTCTGTCAGGTAGTGGAAATAGTCTGGCAAACCGCCAAAATTATAAAAGCATGCGTGCGGTTTTCCAGCGAAATTATGCTGAGGGGCTTTAATACAGTGTCGAAGTGTTGATCGTAAAACTTTATACTTGTGTCTAATGCTAAGGAAGCTTTTTACGGGATTTTTGAGCCTGCTCTTTTGTAGGATCTCGGGTTGCTTGCCGAACAAAAGGCTTTCGCTCCCACTTCGCCTATCCTTTATGTATGTCCCGATGGGGATCCGCCCAAGTGAGTGTTTGCAAGTTTCATTAGGCTGCTTACTTAAGAGTATACCCTAGTGTACGTCTGCGAATTACCGGGCGCCATAATCTTGCTTGGTTTTCGTTTGTCTGTACACGTTAAGTTAGAGAGTTTTCTCGCCTTGCAGTGCCTCGGTTAGCCCGGATGTTGTTCCGAATCGCATCAGTGGTCAGATTTTTGAGCAACTGGTGAGTGGTGGCTTTCTCTCTTTTCCGATTGATGGACGGGCAGAGAAATACCAGGAAGGATTTGGAAGCGAAAATGAATTAATTTATGGTGCGTTGTCCCTTACGACCATTGCTTCCTTTGCCCGTCGCGTTCTTCTTTCGCGTTTGCTGGAAGCCGCAACAAATTTGTATAATATTCATGGTAAGCAAAGGCGGTTGACTGTCGGATTCGGGATTTATAGTATTTACGGCCGTTGTTTACAGTACAAGATAAAAGCAGATCTGTTTGATGTGGTTAATATTTTTGCAGAATTATTATGTGATTGAGAAACTTTCTTCCACTTGTATTGTAGCACTATGCCAATTTTTTTTGCAAATGCAGCTGGAAATACAGTATTTATTTAGCGGCTGCTTCAAGTAATATATACGTACTTGATTTTGTATGTTCTGTTATTACGATCAGAACTTTGCTTAAATCGACTACAATACTGACAATTTGTTTGCAGAACGGGTGCTAGCTCAATTCACAATATTCGCTTTCGATATTGCCCGTGATGTCTTGATTACTCCGCGACGATTAAGTTACGTTCGCACGAAAGAGTTGGAATTGTACGAGACCATGAGCGCGATTGCTAACCGTAAACAAGAAGAGATTGAATTAATCATACAAGAAACTGTTGATTCGATCAAAGATTCGCTCCTGGATGAAGCGGAATCGTACAAATTTCACCGTACGCAAGTTATACGTTGTTCATTTGTTGAAGAAAATATGGTAAGGTTAAACCAGTACTTTTTAGACGTGGAGATTATTGAAAGTCAGGATGCAGTGCACAATATGAAAGATCTGCAAAGCTGTATGGAAGAAATCCGTGACCTTGTACTTGCGCGGATTAATTCTGCTGTGGCTGGCAAGCTAATTGGCTCGGTCAATTGCCTGCGGGAAAGTTTTGTGGGTGCGAAAAATCTCGCTTAATGAAATGAAAAGATTACATGTGTTAATTCATTGTGGTGTAATTCAGGGACTTTATGTCGCTGCCTGGAAAGCCTGGAGTTAACAAACGAAAGCAGCCTTCCTTCGGCCGCTCATGCGCTTAAACAGATTTTCAACGCTGCTTATCAGATACAGCTGAATGCTGCCACAAGTTCATCGGTGAGCCATATGTTTTATGAGAAGCTGCGGACATTCGTCCAGAGTTTGCGTTGGAGTTCCAGTGATAAAGTAGACAGTTCCTGGAAACGGACAGTTGCCCTTGAAATGATGACCTCCTTGTCGTCGACGAAATTAGCAAAAAACATTTGTTCGCAGTTCCGGGAGCGTTTGCGACATGCGCATGAATTGTTTTTGTTATCCATACGACAGCTGGAGTGTAAGCACGCCGATAGGTTGGAAAAAATGGAGCAGAAACGGTTGAAAGTTCGGCGACTCCATGCACCTAAGGTGTCCAAGTTGGCCCTGGAAAGCGCTTCCGCCAAGGATTTGATTTGCCACGGCATGCCCAAATTAGGCCGGGAAATCGGTCGAGGCCAGTATGGTGTCGTATATGCATGCGAATCCTGGGCTGGCTATGCACCGTGCGCGGTTAAATCAGTTGTACCTCCGGATGATAAACACTGGAACGACTTGGCTATGGAATTTTATTACACAAGGTAGTAAGAAAAGCATGCGTTGTTCTTATTTGCTACAATTATTTGATTCACTTTTAGCTGTTACTGCACCATATTTTCTGCCTTTTTTTAAATTTTATTTTTTAGTTCTGTGCTAAGTAAGTCACGATTTATAGAGCGGTGTATTCCGACTTCGTATAGCATTTGGAACAAACTGCCTATATTTTTACAGATGTATTCCTCCCCATCCTCGCATTGTTCCTTTGTATGGGAGTGTCATTGACTATTCCTACGGCGATGGGGGTGCCAGTATGGGGCCGGCGGTTTTGTTCCTTATGGAACGATTGCCACGCGATCTCCATGCTGCTTTAAAAAGCGGCATCCCTTGGGGAACCCGTCTCCAAGTGGCTGTTGATGTAAAACTCCGGTCTTACTTTTGTTAATGCTAACAGTTAATATCTTCTTTCCTTTAGGTTATAGAAGGCATCCGGTTTCTCCACAGTCAGGGACTAGTCCATCGAGATATAAAGCTAAAAAATGTTCTTGTGAGTACAGTACTATAATTTACGAAGCTGTCGCGTATCTCGGTTTTGTTGACAGAATGGTACCGAACAGTAAATTAGTAACAGTTCAAAGCTTGGCACAGAAGTCTTGGTACTCGCATATGTAAAACTGGGGAATTGATTATTCTAGCTGGATAAAAGCTATCGCGCTAAATTGTCAGACTTGGGATTTTGCAAGCCGGAAGCATTGTTGTCTGGATCAATTGTCGGTACACCTGTAAGTTTTGTTGAGTTATTAAGAAAAATCTAGTTTAGCGAAGGATTAGGGTTGCGACATGCTGCGATGGATAACTGAGTGACATTAGAAAAATATTTGTGTGCTCCACCAAAAATGGGCGTTATGAAGAGACCATTGAATAACATACACTTTATTTTATATGTTGTCTGCAGATTCACATGGCTCCAGAAATTTTTACTGGAGTAAAGTATGACCATTGTGTGGATATCTACGCCTTCGGTATTCTTTTTTGGTTTCTCTGCTCTGGTTCGGTTAAGTTGCCGGCCGTGTTTGAGCCATCCATGTCTAAAGACATGTTAAAAACGTCGGTGCGGAAAGGTTAGTCACCGAATGACAGCGATTTACCTGTTGCACGCTCTGTGACAGACATGGAATTACGGAGTGGTACTGTCCACTTTTTTTCTGGTGGAGTGTAATTACTCTTGGCTGTTGTTTAGGAATCAGACCGGAACGTTTGCCTTATTTTGACGATGAGTGCTGGAACTTAATGAATGCTTGCTGGTCCAGTGATCCATATATCCGTCCTTTGCCGGGCTACATTGAACCAAAACTACGAGAAATATATCAGAATTTTAAGCGTGGGTGCCAGGCCGGGAATTTCGTTCGAGAAACAGAAGTTGTGATTGGCTCGGGCGGTAGTCCTTACGTTGATCTGGATATTCTTAACCGGGGATAATTTTTAACTGAATTTTATTCCTGTTTTAACTTTTTTGTATTAGGGAGTTTTTGATTTTGATGCAGAAACAAAGCTTTGCAAACTACCTTTTTCTTTCACATTCCCTTTTGTATTTGTCATGTTGATAAGATTTACTTGTGAAAGCTGACACCCGGAAATATTGGTGCCTGTTTATGATCTACTCGTAGGTGTCTATATTGGTCCATCGTAGTAGCCGAAAAACTTTATTGAGAAAAGACAGATGCTTCTTAGATCCCCATGGCCGGTCTGGCTTTTTTAAAGAACTATGTGAAAAAATTTGATCGGGAAATACGAATTGTATCTCTTCTGATCAAAGTTGAATATTATAATAAGAAAATCAGCACATAATAATTATGCAATACGGTTGACGAACAGTTGAGTTGGTGTTTGGTAAAATCGAAATTAACAAGTTCATATGTTTGAATTTGCCGCTGCATCAAATACAAGCTTACGCCACGAGTGGTTTTTACTCTAATACCTTTGCCGATCGTAAAAGGCTATGGATCTTGGACAGCCACTTTTTTCCCAAGACGTGCAATCATGACAGATCTACTCTACTCGTAGAGTGTATAGACTTATCTTGATCTTGTTCGTGAGTCGTCATTTGCAACCAGCAACAGTGCGACCACATGTAATACGAGCCTAATGGTCAATGTCGGCGTGAAAATGAGCGTCAGAGAAGGACAAAAGTTTTTTTCTCTAAATTGTTATCTTCTATTTGTTGACTAGCGAATGTTCATCAAACTGCAACCGGAATCAGGCTATAGTCGACGCGGTATAGCCACAGCTGCACAGTACCGGTGCCATCAAATAAGCTTCTTGGCGATTTGCAGCAAGTCATGGCTACGCACAAACACCCAACACAATGAACAGATAAATCCTCGCTGTACTGTATACCGCCGTACAATTGTATACACTGTCTTAGGAATACTACCAGCGTTAAATATACACATCATCAACCGAGTGAGAAAACCTGTTTTTTCATGGAAAATGAAGGTCGAATTTTGCCTTGTATAGCAGATTGTTGTTAACACATTTACTGCCATTCTCTTTAAAGCCAGCTAATTCAATATTCATTGTTATTTCAGGCTAACACATGCACAAACGTTCATAGAGTATGCTAAATAGCGACCGGTAGCCGTAAAACGGCTCATTTCGAGTAGCCAGGCGTTCTTAAGATGACATCAGTATTTTCGATCTTGCTATTTTGCGGCACGAAATCATATTGTGCTTTGTGCAATTTTGAAATTTCTGTTGCAGTACGGCGCTTTTCGGATTGGGAACAATGTACTTCTGTCAGTGTATTTAGCATACACTTTGCGGTATTTACGCTTTGTGCGGCAATTTATCATATTTATTGGAAGTTGTGAACCAATTAATTTCAACGATATGCTAATTTGTGGCGACGGATGTAAACCTTGGGGAAGAGGGTTCTACACATCCTGAATATTAGGGCTTCTTCAATGCTGCTGTTTCCCAATCCGGCAACTCAGTAAGGCTAAAATGGACATTCGTTGATCACCATGCCGATACGGGTGCCAGGTGTATAATCTCCTTTGCTGCGATTCTGGGTGTAAGTTCAGTAATTCTTCGCATGTATTGCAATAAAATAGAAACAGATTACTTATATCGCTTATTCAGCGCTGTCGGTATTATTGCCTTAGCACCTCTTACATATATATTACAAACATTTTTTAAGCTGCTCAGTTTTTACTGATTTATCAAATGTCGATAAGGAAAGTAAGGCGAGAATCTTATGTCCTAAGCAGATGAACTTATCACATATTGTTTGAGTTTGCTTGTTTGTTTCGATCTGCGTTGTTTACCTGCAGATTTCGCCGGAAAAGCATTAAGGATTGTGAGCTAACGGTATATTACCGTTTTTCATTTGGAGTAGTGCATGGGTTTGTCCTCAATGGCACTGGATGATTTCACGGCAGCATGCGCAGGTTGAGGTGCAGCATTAATGCGACAGACTGTGTTGCGCGGGAATTGACTGATTCCTGCACACTGGAAGAACTGTGATCGGGTGAAACTGACCACCTAGCAAGCCATGCCGGAAATTTCTGGTGCCGTCCAGGACAACCATGTCGATTGCGGACGCATTGCGCATATTATCAAAATTCGATTCGATTCTGGAAAGTTAAGAGTGTTCAAGTGGATGGATAATTGTCTATTAAGTACATTTTTCTTCGGTCATGGAGTGCACCGTCTGACACGAATGTAGCCGCGGTGCAAAGGAATCATCCGGATATTATAGCAGAACGCAGCGGTTTCATCCTGGCTTGGCACTGGCAAGAGTTCACGAAGCTAACGGATTGGCGTGGATCTTGCTGGTTGCTAAACCGGGTGACCAGCTTTTGCTTCACATCGGTGTTTTTCCCTGGTCATTTTGTCCTTACGGAGTTTATTTGAGCATGTGCATATCTTTTGTTGAATCTTTTGTGTTTGCAGTACATATTGGCCGAGCTCAAGTAACCCCATTGTTTTAAAGCTAAAGTTCGCGTATTAAAGCTACCACTCACGAAAGGTCATATCCCTACAAGTTACAACTGCTGGGTAATTTCGAAAATCGACGCACTGTGGTTGTAGCGCTACGTATGTTCCGCAGTTAGAAGACAAATAAAGTAAAAAAACGTTCTTATAAAAGGTATCAGCAATACTATTAGTCAACAGGTAGTGTTTTTCGAAAACCAAAGACACAGTCTAATTCTTTTAAAAATTATCACTAAGGTAATAATTGCTTTATTCGGCAGAAGCCGGTTCACACAACATTAAGCTTGCGCTAGTAGAAACTAGTTAAAATGATTCAAAATTTATATGTACTGTATTTTGTACTTTACGATAGCTGACAGCTATTGATTACTGTACTGTATTAGTTTGTTTTGCTGTTTATGTATTTAGTTATAAAAGTTTAGTACATATAGTTAAGTATATGAATACTGTACTAATCGTCAGCTGTGCCAAGATTCTTGATCTCCGCGTTTAACTTCTGTTCCCCCCAATCAAATTTTCATAGAATAAAGGAATTTTTTTTGTAGAATAAAGGGTGTTAGAATCCTCTCATTATAGTGATGGTCATAGGCTGGTCAAAGTTTTCGAATATATATTATTCCGGAAGTCCAGTGGCTGTTTGAAACTTTGTTGTCATGGATGTCATAGACTTCACATGATCTGATTTTAACTACTGTGCATTGACTTGGCTGTACAGTAGGAGTACAGTACAACACAGCACCTTTGGACTTCACCGCAGATTTCTGCTCCAGTACTTTGTACGAGCGCTGTTTAATTAGACATGATAATATTATAGTTAGTTATTAGTATTAATTTTGTTATTGTACTTCGATAAGTTAAAGGTTAGTTAGCAGTTCGACTAGAATGACAACAAATGCCGAAACAGAATCCAAGCAGTTATTTTTAATGAAGTAAAATGCACTTAATAGAGGCGAGATTTTTTTCCCAGTAAAATTGTCCCTGACAGTCGTAATGCTGTCGTATAACCCAGTTATTTCCCAAAATTCATCCGTGCCCACCATCAGCTTGTTTTACTTACAGTAATAAATTTTCACGTTCTGTAAATCAGTACCGCCTGGCACCACCACTCGGCTGCCAGTCACCGTGCTGAAAGATACAGCAAAAATTCTTGCCAGCTGATCAATTAATTCGTTTAATCTGGTACTTACTTACAACTTACTTTAAGTAAGTCTTAATTACTCTCTAATTACTCATTTTTCTCTCATTAATTTCAGTTCGATTTGACCAATAAAAACTACATTATGAAAAAAAAAAAAGTAAGTCTTTAACCATAATAAGTTTGAAAGCTGACACCACTGAAATTTTTAATCAAAATTACTGTACTCCTTTTAACAGAGTCTGATTAACTGTTTTATCTTTGTCAGAATTTCTGTTATCTTTGTGACTTTGCAGTTTGCTAAGCAGAGGCTCGTACTTTTCTTAAAGCTTTATAGCGCCCGATATGTCTGAAACGAATCCCACTTCCAGAATTAACTCAGTTCGTTGCCTGTTTTGCATCCTGTAATGTTTTTGGAGGCTGTGTGTACCTTTCTTTAATTACTAACAGTACTAATTGCAAGTTCCATCACAACATCGTGGGCGTACCTCTGCCGCAGAAGCTGCATGCGCATCGCATCTGCAAATACGCTTGAAGGAGTCACAACCAGATTGCTTGTTTTCAAGAAATGTCTGCGCGAGATAGCGATGTGGACACACTTCGGCCACTGGAATGCCTTTTTGAGTCGATGAACGACGTCGCGGGCCACACGGTATAATTACGAATATTCGAAATGAAGACATTGACTCATGTTTTATACAAACAAAACATGTATTGCTGAGTGTTCTTCCTGATAACTTCGAATAGAGCGCGTACTTTGCAGGAATACGGTATACGGTTAGCAGTGCCTCATCTGTCATCCGTCCACTGGACAATACAGAAACGCTACAACGATTTCCTCGCACTGCACGATGCCGTCGAATCGTACGGAATGGACGTGGAGTTGCCTCCGAAAAAGTCCTTCGGCAATAAGGAACGCGAATTCTTGGTCGAGCGTCAGCGGGCACTTCAAGTAAAAATTACTTCAACTTAATACTTTCTTGCCTTGTGTTGCGAATCCGTGTTGTTGCAGCTGTACTGCACTACGTTGCTGGAGAACTTGTTTATGGTGTCGAGTAAGCCAGTGAAAACATTCTTGCTTCCTGGACCGCGATTGGCTACTCTTACAAGTAATTTTTTCCCAATGAATGTCACCACTGATTCATTAGTTCAAAGCGTACGCATTTTTGTAGATCAACTTCTACGAAAAGGCGCAGTTATCTATGATATTTATTTTAGGTTTTAAATTAACATTAAAATTTCTGTATACCGCTGTTAAGTGTCTGCTTTCTGTGGTCCTTTCTAGCATCCTGCGTTCAGCTGATGGCCATGGTCTTTAGGACCGATCATCGGTTTGAATTGACTGGAAACTTACCCGGTATAGGCTGGAGATCGAACAAGGAGTATGCAGTAGTGAAAAATGTTGATAATCCCAAACAAAAATTGGTTGGATATTGGGTAAGAGTCTGTCTATTTATATCCGTTTATTAATACAGAGACATGCCTATTGCAATATAAACGAAAACAAGTTTTTTTTCACGCATAGGGATGTATTTCAGAATTTTCGCCGTTGAAAATTACAGTTGGATGTTTGTGCATTATGTTTTCTCATCTTGCATATTTGTCGTATCTTATCTCATTTGTCGTATCTTAATTATCGAGTGGGAAATAAATACGGTACATACCGGTTTTCTGTTTTTTTTAGACGTCATACGGAGCGGACCGAATACCTTCATCCGCGGATATTACTTCATTTTTGCAGAGTTTTGCCCAGATAAATGTTAGTTTTGAGCACCCCTGGAGTAGCTTGTGTAGTGCATGGATTTCGGATGCTGATGGGCCTTTTTTGCAGCATCCCTTGTTTTATCCTTTGCTATTCGCTGACGCCAGGGATACGGGGTGCGTTTGCGTGCGACCTGAAAATACCACAGGAAGCCTGTTGGATGTTTTATGCGGTTCTAAGTATCCTCAGCCGTTCCTGAAGAAGTACAGCCGCAATAAGAAATCAAAAGCCGTGACGGAAGAAGAGATTCAGCGTTTTGGTCGACAGATTTTGGAGGGGCTGAAGTTTTTCCATGATAATTCCATTCCTTATGGTAAATTTGTTGTAGGTGTTTGAACACAAAGGCGCTTGTTTTGTTGTTTTTGAGTTTGTAATGCGATCTAATGAAAATCGTTAAAAAATTTCCTTTATAAATCTATCTTTGTTTTTTTTAACTGCTTCTGTACTTTTATACTTTATCTTGCAGGAAATCTAAGCAGTAGAAACGTATTGGTGGAAAATGGACGCGTGCGGATAACTGAAATTGAAAGTGGTATTTGTGGATTGCGAAGTTTTTACTGGCCTTACATTCTTCAGTTTCGCAAAATAAGCGTGAGTAAACGACTCTCGATTGCTCCCGTGCTTTCCTATGCAGTTTCCATTTTAGCAGTTAGATAATTTTTGTTGATTTGTAATACTGTCATCCGCTGTTTTTCGTATGTTTTGTACTATTGTTAGAAAAAACCTTGGACATTTGGCATATTAATGCAGTTCATTTTTTAGACGTTTGAAGCCATCGATGTGTACTGTTTTGGTCACATCCTTTACGAAATGGCCTTCGGTCGTTCATTGGAAAGCGCTACATGTGATAGCATTTCTCCAGCTTGTCCACCTCTCGTTCGCGCCGTTCTCGAAAGCATTCTTACGACGGAAGCATGCCGCTTCGGCATGCCCACTGTATCACAGTTGTTAACGCAACCTCTTTTCCAAAGTGTGGTTCTCAACTATGAACCCGCATCTATCAAAATATCGCGCTCGTTAAAAGACATTCTCATGGATTCCAAGAGCAAAATGGAAGCGCGAATGGCACAAGAGCAGAAATTGGTTAGTGCATGCCGCTGCATTGGGTGAAAATTGAGAAAGTGTTTTGTAATGATGACCATTTTTAGTTTCATGCTCATAGACAAGAGCTGAAAGTGCATTCGCTGCAATCATCCGAAGACGAGAAGAAGAAACGCCGTTTGGTGAGGCAGACAACTAATGAAAGATGCGGTATTAATTAGATGTTTCTGTTGTTTCTGGCGTGTTTCAGGTGGCACTGAAAACCCAATTATCGAGTGGTATTGTTTCGGATGGTGATCATGAACGGCCCAGTACTCCAACCGGAGCAGCCGCTGTCAGGCCACTGAGTACATTGGCTGATTGAATATTGCTTTCTGTATCTGTTGCCATCAAGTGTATGCATCACTCGTTTAATTTGCTTGCTTGTCTTTTTTGTTTTCTTTTTTGTGCTAATTGTTCAAGTTGCTGACGTTGTGCTTTGGGACGCGCTGTGGAGATCTTTTCCAGTCTGCTGCTTTGCCCTCGCCGGGTTTTTGGATTCTTTCGCGTTGTTGCGCTGTTTGTGAGTCAAGTTGCAGTCTACTTTAATCATTCACATATTTTAATTTGATGCGGTTATGATTTGATGCGGTTATGATTTAATTTGATACGTGTAGTTATTCACTTATCTTCTTGTCTAGATGGGGCATGCGAGCATATGTGTGCTTGTCAATTTGTTTATGCTTTGTTTTAGTTTGTTGTAACACCATGAAAATTTTAAATCTTGTCTTATAGGCACTGACTCTGTGTCAATGACGTCGAAAGCAGGCCCTCCCGTTCCCGGCCCGCCTCCTCCGCCGCCCCCTCCCATTAAACTGGAAGGCGCTCCACCGGAAGTGGAAAGCAAAGATCGTTCGGCCCTGCTGGCCAGCATTCGGGGCTTTAGCAAAGCCCAGCTGTCGCAGACAGAAACCAATGATAAAAGTGCTCCAAAGATTTCTTGATCCCGTGGCATGAGAGTGGATTATGTATGATTTGTCCGAGTCTGTAATTGATTGTACAGCGGCTTCTTTGATTATTGATCCCGGTGGATGTATTCCGTGTCTTTATACGATATTTTATGTCCTTTGACGATGAGATTTTATAAGTTCCAAGTCCATCCTCGGTTCCTTGACCAACGCATTGTGTGACGAGTGAATATTTGTTCGCTTAATATCGTAATAATTAAAAAAAAAACATCGGAAGAGTTAGTGATCTGCTCGAAACCACTCGGGTAAACGACTCGGGTAAACAACTCGGGTTATAAGTTGCCGTCAAATTTTAACAAAGGTCATATATGTTAAAATGTGTGCGCACCGACGACACCGTCACTTTTGAATTATTGTAAACTTTTACATTTGAACCGAGAATTTCAATTCCTTTTTGTTCTTTTCGGACAATGCGCATCGTTTTCAACGAAAAAAGGAATTTCGGCCTTTATGCGAATGCTAGTGCAGTATGTGTACTGAGATATGTAATAAACGAAAAAAACTTGAGTCGCGTGATGCACACAACAGTGATCCAGTGAAGTGCCGACAAACCTGTTTTCGCTGGTCGATTCAAGAAAACTATTCATTGAACTACATTAAGCATGAACCGAAAATAAAGTAACTTGTTTGACTGTTGGCGATGATCCTGTCCCAGCCAGTGTACGGGATCATCAATAGCGAATATATGCCGACACATTGCTAGTTAACAACGCTTCAATGCTCGGGAATTTGCATAACTCGCACGGTCGACCCACAGCGATCCAGTCTTTTATATCCGACAAAGGAATAACTACATGATCTGTCTATTGACTGAAGAAGACTGCAGCGCCATGGTAATCGCTAATCAGCATTCAGCTCCACAATCCCTAATAAAATTCTGAATCACTCTGCGGGAAAAAAGCAAAATGCCGACGCATGCAGTGATGCGCTGTTAGACAACATTGGCATAGGTCGATAGTCTTCACGGGCCTTTGGCTACCTTGCCTAATATTACATTATCCAGTTATCCGGGATCGTTTTTGTCGCTGCTGTACTAGTTTGCACTTTACAGTCTTTACTCAGGACACCCTCGATGGCTGTGTAAACGAGGATGTTTTCGCCGCATCCAGTGCTGCAAATGTGTCATATTGTCCAATTCTGTATGGAAAACGAATCTGTTTACATTACTTTACCAGTTTTCATCCCAAAGTCAGCTCCCACAAAATTAGGAACGCCCAAGCTCAAATCACTTGCACATCCGGCATTTGCATTTGCGGCTGTAAATGTGTCCAGCAACCATAATTCATTTTCATATACCGTACCCGTTGGTACTGCATGCGTAAAAGTTACGAGTATTTCCAGGCTGGTGTTCTATCGATGCATCCATCCGAAATACCACGGTTGAATAGTGAACTTTCACTTTTATGCATTTGATTCGGCTACCGTCGGACAATCATTCCAGCGCGAATCTGGTGTGGTTACCGTGTACTGCACTTTTTTAGTCTGTGCGTTGTGGAATGCTGAAAAGTGAAATAACTGTGGCCCTGAATTTGCTTTATTACGCCCCAAATTAATTACGTTTTATTTTGAAAAACATGTCAAGTCGCCATACATGTATATACTACGAATAGCTTCATTATCCTGTGTCCGCTTATGAGCGCATAAACTACTGTGTCAACGGGATTGAAGACTATCACTATGGGATCGCTCTGCAGGAATCTCATCGGTATGAACCCAATACATATGTGACGCTAGCTTTATTTTTTGCCTAAGACTTTCTACGCAAAAAACTTATAACTACCGCAAGATCTGTCAGGAAGGTGCTCTTAACATCGTTAACCTCGTGTCAGTTAAAACGAGGCAATATTAATGATTGGAAATAATTCCCGGCCGGTGCTGCTAAGGCGAATGCTAAGCGAACAGTCGAAGGCGAATGCGTAAAATTTATGTATAACATGCGTAGTTACCAAGGTGCGGTAGTAAGCTTCTTTTAAAATTGAAAAGTTTGCTTTAATTTAAAATTGCTTGAGCTATGGATTGCTTGAGCTTACTGCTTATGTTAGGTATGTAAGTCTAACGAAAGCCGGTGTTGGGTTGAGACAACAACGGCACCGGGCTACCGACATTAACTATTTCTATTGGCGATGATTTATGGACATAAATTTCAATACTGTATGCAATATCATGTTTAGTATATTATTTTTTGTCCCGATCGGCGATCATACACAAACATGCTAATATAGTTGACATTTTTTCTATTTCTAACGAAGCCATCAGCTTTTTTACATACAAGTGTCAAGATATTACATTTGAGCGACGGAGATAAATGTCTCATTATATCGAAACTATATATATCGAGATTTATCGAGCCAAATTACGCAACGAAAGTATGACTAGGAACCCCATGATGTATATGCTGTTCTGCATAGTTTTGTGCATTCTGACATCCATGACCATCCGACGGTCATCCGCGGTGAATCCGGCAAATTATTTTCCTGCTCCCACTGGACTGGACGCCGAAGTGTTAAATAATCACAGTATTCGTGTGTTTTGGCGTCCTCGAGAATATTACCGGGCTTCATCATCGTACCGAATCACGCTGTATCCAGAATATGCTGACTACAGAATTACCAAAGACGTCCCGGGAACATCTGCTTCGGCGGTGTTTGAGCATCTCATGCCCGCCGCTGTGTATAACGTTACCATACAAAGCGGCCATAACGATTACTTTGGTAAAAAAGGTGAAGTTGTAACTGTTAAACTGGAAAAGCCGGATAAAATCGATAGCGCCGGTAAGCTTGGAAACGACAACAAAAGCAACTTTGCAATTAATTAATATTTAGTATGCGTTTGCCGTTTTGTTTCGTTTGCTACCTACCCGTATGTAGTATCTCTGCTTTCTACTGTAAAATGTTTATGCTGCCGCAAAGTAGATATACGTTTTTTTACCACTTTAATTAAGTAATTTTTACCTGCTCGTACTCGTAAAGCGATTACAGTAAGTATACTTTCAAATTCATTGCTTATATATATGTAGAACATACCCAGGTTGTTGCATGGTACACATCTAAATGTGGTTTGGAGAAAAATAGGTATCGGAGAAAATAGAAAAAATAGATGCCTTTGCATGCAACTACTACATCTAAAAGTTTAATTTGCACAGTGACATACAAATCACCTTAGATTGTTTATACATCAAAATAAACGAGTGCGTACGACAGCATTTTTATTGCGAACAATAGAAGCGCTTTTAGCTATGGAGGGAAGATTTTGTCAGATTATCGAAGTTGGCAACATTTAGTTACTGCAAAAGTTATGCAGTTGTGTGACAAGTTCATATATAGTACTATTAATACTGCCACAAGGATTATTTTATTTGCTGATTAATGCAAAGTTATGGCAGCTGACCTTTTGCATCTGCAGGAAGAAATGTGACCACGCCCGATGGGCTTTCCTGGCTGGAAATGTCGGCATCAACGACCCCGAAAACGGAAGAAATTGTCATTGTCAGCTTGATTGTGGTATTCTGGATTTTTGTTATATGTGTATTTACGAGCAAATGGGCAAAGATTCGAGTCATCGAACCGCGTTACTTTGATTATAAATTCCTATTGAAATATGACAAAGCGTTCGCCATACGAAACCAAGCAATATCCGTTGGCGGCGCCAATGGTCCACGGAAATCAATTGCGCCCAGTATGACTGGGATACGGATTACAGCGGCCCGGCACAGCATAGCAGTGCCATCCATGCGGATGTACAATGCCGGTCGCGGAAGTGTAATGTGTGGCAGTGCGGCCGCCGACTCCTACAGCAATCTGGACCTGTCCATGCTGCAACCTTCGCGACCGTTCCTGCTGCCGCTGCGCTTACAACAGCACCGGCATTCGCACGATGTCAGAATGGAATTTCATCCTCCACAGCAACATGATAACGACTGTTCCGAAACACCAACCAGCGTGTAGCGCGATTCAGAAACGATAATGTTTAATACTACTTCCCGGTTGATGTTTTTCAAATACTCCCAATAGGACAGTATTAGCAAGTTTTACATATTTGTTTTTTTGAACCCCTAGCGTTCTGACTTCTGAGTTTCCTTCTAGCATTCCCGGTTGTGGTTGTTTTGCAGTGATTTTCGTTATGGTATATTGTAATGGTTATTAATTGGTTTTATTAGATTCTACTTGCTATTCTTATATAAATTATTAATTTTATTATCCGTAGAACTGGGCACGGGGTAATGCGGCGTCAATGCTGGGCATGGAGTTATAAACTAAATGAGATTTTCTTGTTGTAGATTTGTGTTTCTTTTCAATATCTATACTCGTACTTCAAGTTTGCTTTACTGTTAAGTACAAGTATCAGGCCTTTACACTACGGTATACAAACACTATACATCCGTGCTGTAATATTGTACTTGTACATGCATAATGCATACTATATTAGCGTTCGAACAAGGAAATGCAAAATATAAACATCAGAGTTACAACCAGGCTCAAAACTACGGCTATGTTTTCCTTGTCCGCCAAAGTATCCATATTACACAGCGCGACGAGCGCGCTCCTTCTTTGAGGCTGGTTGTACAGCAGGAAGAAGCCACGAAAAAACGTGTAACTGGATGACTGTGGATTACCGTGCGGTACGCTCGAACCGATCGAAGCGAGCCGAGCGACCAGCAAGAATCCGTAAACAGAAGCCGGCTTTGGCGGTGGTTACGTAAACGGTGGTGACTCATTAGCCTTTGCAAAACAATACAGGGAATGCGCTCTTATCAACAATGTTTTCCACAGTTAGTTTAATCCCATGAAGATTCATCTCACGAGTTAGTTTCAGTGCTGCCGTTTAATTTAAATTCTGGGTTTCCAATTTTATTTTGTTATTCAATTATCACTCGTATCCTCATGGATAGTTTAATTCTCTTGGTTAGATGACGATTGTAAAGAATTTTGCTCGATAGCGTATGAGGTCGATATTCCAGTGATGTATAATGATAGACAACGTTCTCACTCGCCGTAGTGCGTATAGGCATCGTTAATCGTTTGACTTCAGACTTTTGAGACCTGTTGTATAAGGATGGTGCCTGATACAAACTTGACGGAAGATGCTACATCCCAACAACCGGAGTCGTTGGATTTTCGCTCCGGTATCTTGCGCACGGTAATCGCGCAGCAATGTGTGGCCGTGGGTTGGCATTCCATCAGCGAGTCCAGTCTGGCTGCGCTGACAGACATCATGGATCGCTATCTAAAGCAGTTCTCCCAGAGAATCGCTGCCTTTACTCATTTGGGTGAGTGCAAAGCACAGACAGCATCCCATTAGCATCGCATAACAGGATAGCTAAACGAGTTTGCTCTGGTACAGCGGAGCGCACGGAGCCCGAAGTGGGTGACTTTCGTTTGGCTCTCAGCGACATTGAACCGTGTGTGTCGCTGAAGAATCTGCGCAGTTTCTGCGTCAGTCTAGCTGATGATCCCCTGGAGATCGCGATTGACATGGTGCGGGGGAATACACCAGATCTTGCAAAAAGCGAACCACAGGAGAAAATGGCGAATGCTGTTGTGGAGAATGGGGAAAAATCGCACGGTACGGACGAACGCGATTCGTCTTCTTCCATCGTTCGTCCAGAGTGGATGGACGATGATATCCTCTTTCCGCCAGTGGAACCTCTCCAGCGAGTAGAGGAGGCCGAGAAAACTACGAAGGAAGAGCAGCTTGTTACAGCTGGCGTTCCGGACGTGGTTATCATAGCTGACGAAGAGGAAGATCTTGAGGAGCCTGTGGCTACGAGCACGCTTAACGCTGCTGGCAGAGTTTCTCCGTAAGTTTTTATGCGATAAAATGAATCGGCAGTTTATCTGTTCGGCTTTATCTTGCCGTTTTCACGAGGTTTCCATACTCCTTGCTAAGATTATTAACACGGTGCAATTCAACGTCTCAGTAATTTTGGGAAATTATCCGTACGATTCTGTGGGATGGTGAGATCAGTCCCTCATATTCCCGTTTCAGTTATTATTATGCGTTTGCTTATTTATTCTAGCTGCACTTGTTAACTATCGGTTAAACTTGGGCCTTTTCTATGTATTTTTAAAAGTTATTCCAGTGATCGCAGATCTGGGCTTACCTTTTTTATCGGCTGTTGCTTTTTATTCCTCTAATTGTGAAACATAGTAGGACGTACGCCACTTACTGGCGTACGTAGTGGCGTACGTAGGACCTGCTAGTACTTACTTTGTAGTTGAGTTGTGTAGTACGAACACTTTTTCAGCTTTTCTTGTTTTTGCCTTTTCGCAGTGATTTAAGCATTTGTGTGACTTTTCGTTACCCCATTTGTAAAGTTTATCTCAATTCAGTTCAGGGTGTCCATTGTCCAGTAACCGTGTTTTTGTGTTTGGCAGATCTAAACTCGTTCCGTCGACTCAAACGGCTTGGCCTCGCTCGCTAAAATCAGTATCGTTTGTTAACGGGGCATTGGTTTACCCTCAAGATTACGCGCTTCCTTTGGCACGTTTGCCGGCTTCTACACCGAAAAAGATTAAGCACGACTCTGGAACTTCGGTTACAATAAAGAAGAAGAAGGATTCGAGCAAAGTGAAACAGGAGAAAATTAGTGTTGATGAAACCATTAAAATTCACAAAAAAACCAAAATTCCAAAACCTGTGGAGCCGACGCCACCGGAAGTTAACGCTCCTTGTGTGGATGATCTAAAAATCAAAATCAGGCCACCAAAACCTAAAAAAACAAAGCCGGAAATAAAACCTTTTATAGACGTGAAACCAGTGGCGGACATGCCGAAATCACCACCGGTTGTTGTGCAATTACCAGTCGCACCCAAGGAACCGGAATATACCCACCCGTTTCTGCAACCTGCAAAAGTGGCTTCTCCACCGCCGCCTAAGGTAATGCTGAAGCTGAAGTCAGTCCCAGTTCTGATCAATAAAAAAGACAAGGATGTGAGAAAAGACCAGCGGGTAGCTGAAGTTGACGAGAAGAGGCGAGGAATTGAACTGCCGCAAAAAGTGGATAAAAGCAAGAAACGGAAACCGGATGGTGAAGACACGGAACGCGACCGACCATCAAAGCATAAAAAACTAACGGATACCATAGATTATCTACACGATAAACAGCAGCGAACACAGGAATCGACAGCGGTCAGCGTGATTGTCCAAAACCGCAGACCATCCGTTATTGCTCCGACCATGGCGTCGCCAGCTCCCTTCACTCCCAAGAAAGTGAAGAAAGAAGAACAATACGATCCTATAGTGGAACAACAGGCCCAGATGGAGCGTCACGAAGCCAGAATGCGTCAGAAAGCCGAAGAGCGGTACCGGCTGGAACAGGAAGATATCCGGAAGAAGGAAGAACAATACTTGTTAGAGCAGGATCGAATGTTAGCTGAGAAACGAGCCAAGAAAGCCGAGGCGAATAAGGCTAGGGATGCGGAACTGCTCTGGAATCGGAGAGAATCTGATCAGCCTGTTGAAACCGGCGTGGGAAAAGAAAAGAAGCGCGGAAAGCCGCAAGGAGTAATTCCTGCTGAGGTATGTTTCTGTGATAATAACTTTACACTTTTTGTTAGTACACGTTAGGATTACCGCTTTTGTTTTTTTAGCGTGACCATAAGGAATCCAGAAAGGAAACAGCGTTGCATCCGCCATTACCTAAAATCACTTTAAAGATGAACAGCGGAAAGGATATTCAGTAAGCCTTCTTTGTAATATGGGCATTCTGCAATAATAACAATGTCCATATTAGCTAGCAATGATTGGTTTTTATTACTCCGTTACTATTGTATTACAGATTAAAATGGTGTCTGTTAATGCGCTTTGCAATGGGAACTTTACCTTGGTGTCTGTCCTTTAGGGTAATCAAATCGTCAAATCCACCACCATCCCAGCCTTTAAGTGCCCCTCTGTCCGTTCCCCGCTTGCCAACTCAGACATTGTTTGACAACACATCCACGCCTAATCTCAGTCTTCCCGAAAATCTCTCCTTTAATCCTCCCGTTTATCCTTCGACTTCCACGGTGACGGCTACTACCGCTCCTCTGGATTTATCCATGAAGCCATCCAAGAAGCCGTCTCTTCCTCCATCTTCGAAACCATTGCCGACGGTCAGCGTTGTAGAGACCAAACCTGCAAAGCTGACTATCTCACAAACTCCACCATCCAAACCCATTAAAGCAGTATTACCCATGGTGCAGACTCCCGTCGTACAGCCGAAGAAACATGAAGAACCAAGTAAACCGTTGCCTCCTCCGCCTCCGCCATCTTTCGTAGAAACAGACGTTCTGCTGCCTGAAGGGGACCAAAAAGTCTGGATTTGTCCATCTTGTGGCAAGCCTGATGACGGCAGCCCCATGGTAGGATGTGACGATTGCGATGACTGGTTCCATTGGACGTGTGTCGGTCTGCTGTCGGAGCCAACGGTGGAGAAGTGGTACTGTCCGCGTTGTCTCAATAGGAGGACCAGTAAGAAAAACAGTAAAAAGAGCCGAAGACACTGAATTTTCTGTGGAAAGATTCGTGTATTTAATGTTGTATGATATCTCTGTATTTGAATTTTTATTTTTTCTAATGTTGTCGTTATGTTCTGGGTGTTGTATTGTAGTGACTGATGTATATGTTTCTGTTTGGTGTTCAGAAAAATTGCAGATTAGCATGTACAGTTGAGACGTGCTAAACGATAAAACGCGAGTACAGTCCAGTCCGGCTGTGTTTAGTTCTCTTTTAAAATTTATTAACAATCAACAACTAAAACCATTGTTTAGACAATAAATCAGTCAATGTTACCGGTAACGAGTTCTGGCAACCCAGTAGTTAATTTTGAACTAAAATCGAACTGTACACATGAAAGACTAAGCTGTCGATAACCTTTTACGTGATGAATCTTCACATTCACTGATAAACCGTTTCAGTTTATCGTCGCTCTCAGGAGGCAGTGGTCGCTTATCAACGGTGGTCAAAGCTCTCTGATTCTGATTACCAACCACCCGGCTTCTTAGAACCTTACCGCTCTTCTGACGCCGTGAATTGTCATCACTGGGTGGTGTATCAGAGCTGACCTGTTTACTACTAATCACCATACTGGATGTGCTAATCTCTTCTTCCGTTGATACCGTTAATTTTTCGAAGTTTGCCTTCACTGGTGCGCTGGGTGGAGCAGCTCCAGTAGTCACAGGACGCTGTAATAGGACCGGCGACCGAGGGCGTCTAAAAGTGTTACGATCGCGCCGAAAAGAAATGCCATACTCTTCAGTACGTCCCGCTTTTCGTCGGCTCTGACGAAGAGCTGCTACGTTTTCTTCGTCACTTGAAATGGTGCACTTTTCAATTTCCAATTCTCTCCGCTTACGATCAGCAACCTTGCGCTGGCGTCGTGTAAGAACGTCCACAGCTCGATGGCGTTTTCGTTGTGGTTCCACTTCTGCCTCCGGAGCAACTGCAAAAAAGTTTCCTCGATAAATTCAGAGTGAAACGACAGAGTCAGACTAAATATTTTAACTGTCTATTTCATTTCAGTTTGAAATTTTTTGGTATTTTGATAAATTTTCTTATTACCTACAGATTTTCTTATTGCCCCCAAAACAGTTGACCTCATTCAGAATTAAAGAACTTCGTACATTTTACGACACGATTACGGAACGTGAGGATAGTTTCGATAACATCGCAAGCGATTTTCAAACTTACTGTTTAAAATTTCTTCGTTTTCCTCTGAAAATGGGCTATCCAGCTTCGCAAATCCGGAGCTCCGCTTCTTGTTAATTTCGTTGTTTTTCGATTTCCCACTATCAAATGTGGGAAGATCATGCAGTGCTCCGTGTAACTGCCAGGGAGAATCTTCACCAATTGGATCAGTGGTCAGTATATTCGGAAGTGACATAGTTTTCGGGTGAACAATATCGGATGAACGACATTCTAACTCGACTTCAAGGGCTTTTGTGAGATGTCCTCCACTTTGATTAACGTAATCTTTACATGATTCCAGTGCTCTATTAATCTGGAATCCACTGACAAGCTTGTCGAGATCGTTCTGTACCAGCAAAAGCTTTAGCTTGTTTTGGGAATACTTTAACCAGTCGATTGCTTTGCAAACATCTGCGAAGGACGACGCTTTATCTTTGAGAAGTCCAACTGCAAAGTGTTTATGAACTATCGCCAAATTGTACTGAGCGAGCGTGCATTCGGGATTCAGGTGGCATAACAGCTGAAGCATCCCGGAAGCTTCTGTCCAGTTTTTATCTAGACAAAAAGCCCGTGCAGTGAGTAGCAACAGATCCGGATTCAGACTGGAGTCGATGGATGCCATGCGAGCTTTCCTGTATGATTCCACTGCTTTTAAATATTCTCTCTGCTCACAATAAGAATGCCCCATATTAATGAGAAAATCAACGGTATTGGGGCAATCTTTGACGACAACGGCCAACATTTCCGAAGCTGCCCGTGCGAATCCTGTTAAAATTATTCGACTTCAAATATGGCGGATAAACTATCAACTCAATTTACAACCTGGCTAACTTTGCTGGTAAACAACATGTGTAATAAAATAAAATGACAAACGAGATACAGGCGCTTCGATTAACAAACGCTTCGGTAATCGTGCAAAACTCACAATCACATAAGTTGAACTAGAAAAATCACTTCAGCAGTAAGCCAGTAACATGTCAAGCAATTTCAATTATTTCAAAAATCTTACAACAATCATAAACAATCAATCATCAATTATTTTAAAGCTTACCAGTTTTGCTCAGAACGGATGCCAATCCATTTACCGCATAAACGTTTGATGGATCGATAACCAAAACTTGGCGAAAGAGAGCAAAGGCTTTCTCAGCGAACACTTTCCGATCTTTAGGGACATTTCCTTCTTCCTGCAATAGCGCCAAGTAATAATTCCCGTATTCCAAAAGAAAGTATGTATCCGTTTTAGACAGTGGATTTTTGAAAAGTTCATCCAATAAAGCTCCGGCTTCCACAAAATTTTGCTCCGTGAGGTAAGTCTGAGCACAGAATATCTGAGCGCTTAGTTTATCAGGTTCGATGGCCGAAGCGGCGTTAAACCACTCCCGTGCTTCTTCCGGGTTGCCTTCCTGTACCGCGATGCGACCTAGCTGCAGGTAACAATCATACTCCAACAAAAGAGAGCTCAACGCAGTTTCATAACAGCAGGCAGCATCATACAATCTTCCCATCCGCTGATACAGGACAGCTTCATTAAACTTCAAAATCATAGTGATCGCGTTGCAGTCCGACAACTCTTCCACAAAATTACCACTAAGTAATTCTTTCGCCAAAATTAAATACTGTTCGCTCTCAGTAAAATTTCCCATGGTGGTGCACAAGGCAGAAAGATTGACATACATATTAATGGGAACCTTGTCACGATTTTGGCAAACGTCCAGAGCTTGTTTATAATAATGAAGCGAAAGTTCCTAAATAAGAAAAACATGTCAATTTCATTAGCAAGCAAATCATAAAGCGTCTCCAATGAATACAGAGGCAAGGTCTACATTTTGTATAATATGTTTTTAGTCATGTCTGTTCTTACATTATCTCTTGACTCGTAAATCTCTGCCAGCTGTATGAGGGTATCAAAATCGGGGGATTGATCAAGGATAGTCTGGAGGCAGTCCTGGGCTTTCCTTTCGTTCTCTGGCAATTTACTCTTCCGGTAAAGTCCTACCAAAATTTTCATTACAGACGGATGTTTATACTGGGCATATATGGTCTCGAAACAACGGATCGCCTTATTAACATCATTTTGTTCCAAATAAATCTGCCCCAATCCACACTGTGGAAGAATGTAATCAGTTCCCCCGAATTCCAACGCCAAAGAATAATATCTTGCAGCTTTCTCGAGTAACTTCGCACCCTGCAGGGTTTTGGCCGTGCAAAACAACATATCAGCCACACCATGCTTTCCTGCTGCAATATTTCGTAAAAAGAGCAATAGAGAAGGGAAAAAGTCCGGCTCCTGATGGCCATTATTCAACAGCTCCGACACAACAGAATCACTCGGATCTAGATGATGGGCTTTGGAAATAAAGTGCCAGGCTTTATCCAAGCTATCGTCGTCGTCCTCAATCAAATAACAATAAGCAATCCCCACTAATGCCCCCAAGCAATCATTGTCCAAGTCTAAAGCTCTCTGGTATGCTAGCAATGCTTTATTACGCGATCTTAACTTGGTGTGGCAGTGACCGATAGCCATCCTAGGAAGTGAAATTACAAAATTCACGCGTTAAGTACTGAAAGCAGAAGCTGTACGAGTATTCGTACGTTTAAATTTTAAAAAGTCGCCATCGAGCCCAAGCTAAAGTGTGCATTTTATAACATAAACATTATATTATCTTTTAGCTTAGGTTAGTCAGCTTATGCAGCAATGTATAAAATTAAAAACCATCAGACTGAGCTTATGTGCTTTAATACATAGCAGTTAAACAAAATTATTATACTGCTCTTCTAATTAATTATCGAAACCCAAAAACGTTGAAAGCTTTATGAAATTAGATTCAATTTAAACCGATATCTATGTTTAACTTACCGCAGCTCAGCTCCACAGTATCGGGGATTAACAGCCAGAATTTTCTTTAAGTCTGCCAAACTTTGCTCATAATTTCTGCCTTTGAATGCGATCACTGCTCTTTCCGCAGTAGTAACAATGCTGTTTCTATCTGTTTCACTCATGGACCTCCGAAATCGTTGCGATAGTCCATTTGCTCCAGGTTCACTCACAATGAAGCGATTCAATTTTCTCTGAAATATCTCCACATTTTGAGCAATAATTTCTGGCGTTATTGTATCACTGGTACTGGCCATATCGTAGCAGGACGAACGATAGTGGCTAGCCAATAAGCCAACACATAAGTCCTGATCATAAAATGCCCCGACATAGTTTCTATCTCCCACAGCAAGAGCTTGTTCCAGCAATTTGCAAAAGAGGTCCCGTTCCCCTTGTTGCAAAGATCGCAGTGCCAAGTCCACGAAAATCTCCAGTCGTGGATACGATTGCTGGGAATCATCTTTTGAACAGGTGGACGAAGAGTGCTTGCTGTCATTCAGAGATAGGGAACAAAGAATAGATGACAAGTCTCCGTAAGGAAGATTCAAAGACAACTTCCTCAAAGACTGACGACGATCATCTATGTCGGAAATCCGCGAAAGTCGACAGGGGTTGTCGCTTTCGGACCGTGAACGAATGCGGGCACCCTTCACTCGCCACATGCCACTGAACTCATTTACTGAACGCTTGCATTCAAGTTGTTTCCCTCATTATACAGTATCCAAATTCAAAACATTCGTCCAAGTTTTTTGAATGTACAAAAACGAATAAATTATAAATTTATTAGTACTGAGTGTACTAATCTAATGAAAAAAGTCGTATGTCTTCGTATGGCCGATTGCATAAATAGATTTCGAAGCAGCAATACGTAACCACCCAAAGCAGCTTCATTAAAGCAACCGTTTGGGGGGCGGATGGAATTTAAGAACTGGTGGTAATAGCGCACCGCTCAAGCAGACAACTAGATTATCGATTCAAATTAACATGTCTGATCACTTTACGGGCTGTCATAGAGTCTCACTTTTATGTTGTCTTTTAGCTGCCGTAGAAATCCAATGGTCACTGTCACATGCTCACATCAAAACATTTTTTACTCGTACCTGACTTGGCTAACCTTACTTATCTTTTTAAACTTGTTAGTTTTCTAAGTAAAAAATTTTCCACTTCGGGTAAATTCTCATTGAAGTGGATTCACTGTGCGTAGGTGTGGAGGAGAATGGAAAGACCTGGAGAGCTGAAAGTGGAGGCGTTTGGTTCTCCAGTCTCACCAGAAAAGACATTTTTCAGAATGGCGGACGATTTATCACCCTCTCGCTTAAACTACTTTAGTGATTCCATTTCTAATCCGGATTATCGTAGTATTCTGAAGAAAATGAGCGAAATCGGCTTGCCGACGTCTGCCTCAACCTTGATGAACGACAATTCTTCGCGAGTTGCAAGTAAGCACAGTAGAAAAATGTCTGTTTTCAGTTGTGTGCATCCTGCGTACAAGTGGTATTCCTACTCCAGAGTATCGTGTTCCCATAGTCTTAAGTCTGGGCTTAACAGATTCCTACTTGGAAGCTGCTGGACGGGTTTTGCAGAGCGGGGAGGACAGTCGGCCTGTAGAATACCAACGCTTGCATGAAGAACGTAGTGGCCGTTTAGCGGGAACATTGGCATCGGTTGGTTATGAACAACATCCCGAAACCTTGAAGGTCTGTACACTTATATGAGTTATATCCATATCTGGGGTTTGTCTGTTCAAATTTCTGTTTTTTCTCTCTGTCGATAAGCCCTAGTTTAAATTCCAGGATTTTGTGGATAAACGACGCCAGGAGCATTGGAATGCACTAATTGAATCCGAAAACGGTTCATATGAAGAAGCTAAAAAGGCGCGCTTGTACTCGTTTTCCGACCCGGAATGGGAACTGTTTAAAGAGGAAGCCGTTCGTGCTTACGCGGCTGCCGGCAACGGTGGCATGGTGGAACTGCTGCGGGATCAGCGACTGCATTCAGGAAGAGGTCTTGGCCTTGGTGATAGAGTTTTGACCAGTGTAGAGAAGCTGTATGCTCAAGTGGTAAGAAATACGTTTATTCCGCTGCTGGAGAGTTGCGAATTTTTTTCTATTGTGTATTTGGGACTGTGATCAGCCGTGGTTCATAATTTGCAGTTGCGGCATCATAATGATGAATTGCTCAAGTTGCGTTTACCCCTTGGAAATGTTGGGCAAAAGTTTTATGATGCTATCGAAAGAATCCACGACAAGAAAATAACCGAGCTTTGGCGTATTTTTGTCTCGTTAATTCCATCCGATTCCCAAGATAAGCTGCGGCATTCTGCGCTAGCGTTTCGGTCATCTCCTAAATTTGCGGAAGACTTCGTTAGCCGCGCGCGAAAATATTTGGAGCAGTCCGCGTACGATATGGCGGTGGAGCGAGTTCGAAGTCCAGTTAATAATTTGAATGCCACATCTGGTGATGGAACGAACCTTATTGTGGCATATACGAAAGCGCAGTTGAGCAATAACCGAATTCATATGGAAAACCTTGGACCGAAAGTTCACGGTTTACCGATCTGGGCATTAATATTTTACGCTTTGCGGCTTGGATCTTTGAACGCAGCGGTAACTCTCTGCAAGCAGGGTGATGAATTAGTTCGATCCTTTGCTAGATTTCTTGTGGAGTATGCTCGAAATCAGGGTCAACTTTTGACTGCTAGCCAACAGGAACTGCAGAATATTTATTATGGAAATGCTTCATCATTTTCTGACGACGTTTACAAACGGGCAGTTTATGCTATTGTGGCACAGTGTGATGTTGACGACGAATTTGGAGGTACACTGAACTCGGTGGGTGACTGGTTGTGGGTGCACATCACTAGAATGGAGCCGTTGGAAAATGCAGGAAATGGTTTCACTCTACAGCAGCTTCAGCAAAAAGTAAAATTACGCTTTCCTGCTCAGAAAACCGACGATGTGGAGGCTTTCGTTGCTTTCCTTTTATCTGGTCAGTTCGAGATGGCTATGGGTCGGTTATTCCAGAATCTTGCATACCGATGTCACGCTGTACATATGACTATCGCGCTAAAATGCGAGAACATGCTAGTGACTGCAAAAGAACCAGCTATTGGAACTATTGTGATAGAAACACCGGAAAGTGTAGCGATGGATTTGGCCAATATGATCAGAATTTTCGTCGCGGATTTCCGTTTAAATTGTCCGGATGTTGCTTTGGAGTATTTTTATTTACTGTCCGATACTCCAGCTGTACGCTCCACTCATTTCGGCCACGAATTCAACAGTTTATTTGAATTTTGTGTTTACAAATTGGCAAAAGAAACTAACAGCTACCAGGCAATTTTTGGATCTGGGAAGTTGCCTGACGGGAGTGTAAGGCTGGGCTTAGCAGACAGATTTATTCCTGATCCCCGACATTTGATGGGTGTAGTGGCCGAAGATTTCGTCGAAGATGGCCGCTTAAAAGAAGCTGTAGAATTATTCCAGATGGCTGGTCGCTATTCGATGTTGTTCAGGGCGCTAACTGAAGCAATTTCGTCGGAAATCTTGCTCCCAACAACGCCTGGTCACCGTAACTCTTTAACGGAACTGGCATTTGGGTGCGCTGAAAGGTTTGTCAGTTTTTCTTCAACAATTCATTCAAAAATTGTGGGATCTTATTTGTCACTGAAGAGTTAAAGTAACTGAACTTTTATATGCGCGCGTTATAATCAGTCTTTTCGGAAAATTTAGTTCGAAAACTGATTCAACAATTTCGATTCCAGGTTGAAAACGTACGGTGAACAGGACGATACGTATGCTCGAAATTTTTTTCTCATCTTGGATCTCCTTACTTTTCTGGGCTTCGTTAGTTCTGGTGATTACAAAAAGGCTGTGCTTCTGATGGAAAAACTCAAGTTGTTGCCCCTGGTAGTCGAAATGGTTGAAAATGCGGTAAGTTTTAATTGACATAGAATTATTGTGCTTTTTTCATATTTGTGCTACTTTTTAGGTTGCAGTCTTTACGGATGACCTGTTACCGGCGGTCCAGGCATGCATACCATTGGTGACTCTTCGCACCATGGAATCGTTTGTGCAGTGTTATTTAGTAGAGAAAGAACGAATTCTGGATTCTCGGTTAGGCGCGGATGTAGGAGCGCCTTTGAAAACTGCAAACTTGTTCGTTTCTGGCGCTCGTTTAAGTGATGACCTCATAAAGGTATGGAAGTTGGGTTTCTTATCCAGACAAAATTTCCTAAATGTTAAAAAATATTTTTGCCTTAGGTGCAAAATGGATTTCGAAAGCAGAGCAGGGCTTTGTTAGAGTACGCAAATCGCATTCCGTCTCAACATCTGCCAAATCTCGTGGAATTGATGGCGAAACTGGACGCAATGATCGCATGAAAAGTTTGCCCACTTTGCTGATTGAAATTTGGGCTGTTACTGTGTTTTGCCATTTTTTGTCAGATTTAAATAAGCTGCTGATCACTAATAATCGTTGCATTAGAGCGTTTTTATTTCCAGTGTTCTGTACACACAGTAACTGAATTTCAGTTCTCTCAGCGGATGATTAAAGTCACTATTGTGGTTGATGTGTCTTTGACTGAATTATCAGTAAGGCATGTTACGGCATGGCATTCTCAAGAACCAAAATTAAAAGATACGTATTACACACTAAACGAAACAATTATACGCTACCTTCTCAGTTCTCATTGTAGTTTGTGATGTAGATGAATTTTCGAAGTATGTAACACCTCGAGGCACCAGCGGTAGAAGCGTCAATTAACTTGTTGCAGATGCTCTTCCGTATCTGCCTTGAGCAATCATACTTCATGCTCACAGTAGTTTTCGCGTAATCAAGATTTTATCATGTTTACAGCATTAAGTCGTTCCGGGGTGAACAAATTACTGCCCTGTCGAGAACATTATTCATAATGCGGAGCAAAAGAATTGTCCACAAGTGGAGCAAATAAATCTTTTAAAGTTTTAGTACGTACCTATATGTTCTTAAAGAAAACAAAATATGATAAATTTGAAATATTTATGGCTGTTTCCTGCATTTTTAATTTCTTCTCCTCGATCTCACGTACAGCTCAGGGCGCAGATCCCCGCATACCTCTGCATTCCGAAATACCAAGCAGAATATTTAATACTAACGTGCGCCATGTCATTTGTGGCCCGGGACTCATCAGTTAGAGTAAGCTATGGAAGTAAGTAACTTTCTTAGACATACTGAGAGATAACAGCGAGATTTTACTGGTTTCGGCTGCAATCAATCATGACCTTGATCGCGCCACCGGCACCAGTGCGTGCCGTTTCGAATGCTTCCAAGGTTTGTTCCAGTGAATAGCGATGCGTTACCAGCGGCTTCACATTTACGCGGCCTGAAGCCACCATTTCAAGTGCCGCAGGGTAGCTAAAGAAAAAGTCAGATTTCGAAAAAAATACACATGGTAGCCAGTTCAACTAATAAGCTTACCAGTTTACATAGCGAAATACACCGCGGATGTCAACTTCGCGGCAAAGTGCATCCATTATCGGCAATTTACTTTCAGGGGCACCCATACCGACAAGCACAACACATCCTCCAGATTTAGTAGCCTAAAAAGAAAGTGCACCAGGTGTATACATATAATGGCCGCGGGTAATCGGTAGGAAAAATTACTTAACACACATAGTAGCGAAATGCATGCAGATGCTGACATAGCGAATGCCAACACACATAGGGAAAACTGGATTGGTCAAGTTATAGTCGCTTCTACACACAAGGTATAGTCGTACAGCAAACTGAAAAAACTGCACCTACATATTTTCAAACTTACAAATATTGCCAATGTTGTGCTAGTTTCGGCGCCGCTGCATTCTATCGTACAGTCTACTGGACGCCCCAGAAATTCAGCTATCGTTGCCGCAGTGGTTTTAGCATCCTTTCCCGACACATTGATTGTTAAGTCAGCGCCCAAGTCTTTCGCTACTTTCAGCCGGTCATCGGATATATCTGAAGTGTTTTGTGTTTGTTTTGTTAGGACACTGCGTCGTCATTTGTACATTCAAAATTCTTAGCGCCACAAATGCCGCTTACCAGTTACAACAACCCGGGAAGCACCCATTGCACGCGCAGACACCAAGTTCACCAGTCCAATGGGACCTGCAATGCCGGCAATAATTTATACCTGAAAGTGGCGCTGAATTTTGCCGTAATTAGGCGAATTTTATGGTTCTTATCAGGTCCACTATTTTATTACCTGCGCCACAAACAAGGACATAATTTCCCAAGACGATGCCAGCTCGTCGGCAGGCATGAACAGCCACGCTTAGCGGCTCCAGCAGTGCACCCTCTTCCAACGAAACGTGATCTGGCAACCTATTCGAAACAATATCATACTCGTATTAACGGATTCAACAATAAATTGACTACCGTATTTTAGCAGTTAATGACCCTTCCAGATTTAGAAGCCCTCCCGAAATAAAGACCGCTTCGAGGGTTTTATTTGCAGTGCTCCCCCTTTTAGAAGCTGTTTTCCTTGTAATAAAGACCTCATGCAAAACCTTACGAAAAAACAGTGATCCCGGATTTAACTGGTAAAATACGGCATTTACCGAGATATCTTTATATTAAACTACCGGTAAGCTGATGATCAGTATATCTAAAGGAAATTTACTTGTAACAAAAATCAGCGGCATGAACATAATAGCGCGTCAAGGTGCCGTGGTAAGGCGGTGTGGCGCAAAACGTGATATGGGGACACAGATTATATCTCCCTTCTTTGCAATATTCGCATCTGCGACACGGCACACCCGGCTCGATAGCCACGCGGTCACCTAAAAGCAAAAAACCAGTGATACTGTAGAAGTTTTCAACTACATTTAATTAGCCTGCAAATTTTTGTCAGTGACAGTCAAGAAGTGCAGTGGCTTACCTTGTTTTAAGTGGGTAACTTTATCACCCACAGCGGAAATGACACCGCTGGTTTCATGTCCCAAGACCATAGGCGCTACAACCGTTTTTATCGTAAAATTAAGGTCCAGTTAAAATCGCATCAGTTTCCTCGGTTTACACGATGAATAAGAGCTCACCTTTTACGACAAAATCTCCGATGCATCCTCTTTGCCTGCGGTGGAAACGATTAAGAGAATATTAATGCAAGTCATGCATATTGCCGGAAGACAAGTTAATAAAAGTACTTATGGAAAACGAAAGGAAAACTGAATGACAGCTGATTATTTTTCATATGCATAATTGCGTATTCGTATTTTAGAAGCCGCAGTGCGTGGTTTCCGTATGATTATGGAAGTATATCACTAAATACACGAGCATACAACTAAAAAATCAAAACGCCGAGCTGGCGTGGTTGATTTCCAATTAATCGCTAACTAGTGCCACAAACGTTCAGTTTTTATTAATACTCGTATGTTCCACTGACCAGTAATGCACATCCGAACCACAAATGCCCACTTTCTGAATGGCAACTTGCACCTCTGTAAGTGTAATGCATATGCACTGTTATATGGCACATCACTTCCGACAAAGCAAAACAATACGCACTACGGACTATCGCTACTGCAGGTTTTTACTGCGCTTTTGCAAACGATGATTTTTATTTTATATTATATTTAATTTTCATTTTATCTCGTGCAATTTTATACGAACCAAACGATAGTTACCTGTACTTTGCACTGGTTACACTACAAAGCTGTAAGTGTCAATTCGGTAGGATTTGGTAATACAATAATTTACGTAGCGAGTGACACCGAATGGATTGCAAAGAATGCGTAGTATGTACATCATAGACTCATAGTGCATAATAAGCTCAGTTTTGTAATCAATAACGTTAACTAATGATTACCGTGTGGTCCAGGTTGGGGAATGGGACGCTCCTCCTAAATACGAAGAAAATTAAAGATAATAAGAGTCGTCATATGCGCGCGATCCATCAGAGATGCAAAATTTTACCAAGCGTAAATTTTTGATCGAATAAAGCACCGCCGATAAATTCGTATCCGGGGATGACGGCATATTTATAACTCTTTAAGAAATCACGCTTTGTTTGGTAGGTGCTACAAATAAGTGATGAAAAGGATCCAAGTACGAAATAAGGAAGAAGCCAGATATCCAGCCGGAGCTCCAAAGACCGAAGTAAACAGTGAACGCAGTAAGCGCAGTGATGGAACAGGAAACCAGCGAAAGTGCAACTGACAACTTATTTTATACTTCATAAACTTTAAATTGCATACTGAGAACGCACTGAAGCAACAGCTGATACAACACCTTATGGGCTTCCAGGGCTTGTAAAAATGCATTCGACGCTAGCTGCGGACTGCGGTTAATGGTTTACCGGCCGGTTCTGCATATGTGATAATGTGATATCGATTGCTCAATCTTTGTCGCCGGTCCGGAGGCACGTTAAAGTATATGATGAACAAGTTCTGCTTTACAATAAATACAACGACCATTGTAATAAAAATAAATACCAACTAAAATAATATACCTTCATAATTATTATTACTTACTTGAGGCTACTTCATGGCACACAAGTACTGTACACATTTAACCGCAATAATTACGTACTAAGAAGTAAGAAGTACTTACGTTAATTATGCGCCATGCCTACTGGCTACTTGTTATAATTATGAAAATCTTACGATTTATAAGTATTTCAAGCATTATTAATTTTCAAGCGTATAAAACAGTACAATACACTGTGCAAACTGCAAATATGGTGGTGTAGAACTGTACAGTACTGCGAAAAAGCTCAAACAAAGTACTTACTGGTTGTACAATATTTACTCGCAAGTCGTACAAGTACTGTACTGATTTTTACAACAAGTCAATATAAATACTATATAAAGTCGAAGTACTTAAGTAAGCCTTCGATCAGCTATTGTGCAGGTAAAAGAGTTCAAAATTCTTCTGGCAGAAAAAATACCTCCACACAGTGTCAACAAGCTAAAGAAGTGACTGCAGACAATTCGAATATTATTAATTTACAGGAATAAGTACAAAAGCAGTGTGAATTGCAGAGCTTTTATTCGTTTTAGAGACCATTAATTTTACAGATACATCTCGACTGCGTTTAGTTTTTAATTACTTAACATTGCGCGAAGCAAATTGTAAGTCACTTTTGATTGCTCACTTTGCTGACCGTGCCCAAACACCCGATACACGAACCTCGCAACTCGCAAACATAAGGACTTCGTAAAAAAAAACACCAAACAGTACCTATAACTGCGAGAAAAAGACGGTATCAACTCCAACATACACAGCAAAATCACCGGCACCTTACAAACAACCGTTTAATAACTGCCGTTATGATCTAAAACAAGGTCCAAACTGAATTAAAAAAAGCCCGCCAGCGCGACCGCCGTAATTCCTGCTTCCAGATTTTCGGCACCATTGTTCAGGCTGACTGCTAATCCACACTTCCATAATTAGTCCGCATATCCATAATAAAAGCGTTCATAGTAAGCCTACAATCAAAAGTGGCTCAATAAGCCTAATTAAAATTAATTAGTTATGTGTTCGTCCGCCAAAATCGGAACAAGACGACTAAAATCTTTCTGTCACAGGCCTATATCTGTAGCTGATGACTGATGGTCATTATGCCGACATCATGGTGACCATCAGTTCCGCTCCGGTTTTTAACGATAGAAGTTAGGTAGTACCTTATCAAAATCTCTAGAATTCCGTCTGGGTATTCTGCCGAACGGTTCGAGATCTTTATAACACTTCGGAAACACCTTTTCCACGGCTGCTAAGGCTATTTCTAAAGGGATGCCTTTGGAATTCATGACGGACTCCGTGGCGCGTATTTTTACGCATTCCTGTACAATGGAAAGTGATGTTATGTTCATAGCAAAAAACTATGTTCATAATACCAACTTGATGCTGATTTTTATAACGCCACGGCGAAGCCGCGCCCTGGAACATGGCACTGAGAAATGAACAGTGCGTAATTGCCGATGCACGAATCTGCAATCCAATATCCGGAAATTAGTATTATTCGCACTTTTTCAATGTCGCACTTTTCGAGCAATGCGCGCTTTCGTTTACTTTGATTTTACGCGTTCAATGCGGCATTTATATTTCATATCGTGAATTAAACTCATATTCAATTTATTGCAGCCAACAACTTAAAAATAAAAAGGAAAGCTAACAATAAGGCATGACTCGTTGTCTGTTAGCTGGTCACTAACTTCGGTGCAGGCAAGATGTTCAATGTTGTCAAAATCAACTTTGGCTCGACAGGCATCGAAAGCGTGGATTAATTCATGAGCGAGGACGGAAGTCACTTTCCCTTGTGTTGTGCAATTATTCTGGCAAACCACAATCTGCAAACCTAAACCGCTCATTACACATGCCCACCGGAAAAGATTACTTACCAACTACCAAGAATAAGCTGTGCACAGTTAAACTTATGGTTAAACGTAGTCATAAACTGTTTAAGCGCACTTTGATTTCATATAATTATCTTTATTGTTAGCTCTAATAATAATCTAATTTGTGAGAGTCCTGGACTGCAAAACAAGTAACAGCACTCCAGTACGACATGCGACTCACCACTTTATTCTTAGGATCAAATCCTCCGGCAGTGTAGCCTTCGCAATGTTCGCAAAGAAAATTTCTTGATAACTTCAGTTCGCTACGAAGAGAGCATTTCGAACAATTCCGCAACTACAGTACTGGCGCTATGTTGAACAGCTGATTGTCAATTTGTCACACGCCATGCATACCATCCAAAACTCTTCATCGCATCGACCAACAACTTCACCGGCGCACTACTCTCCAGAACTTTTCTGATGTTGTTTTCGCACTTAATTTGTTGGTAATCCTGTTTTCCGAAACCTATAGCGGTGTCGTACCACCCAGGTTTGTAGCGCTGGCCCGAAACATGTTCTGGAAACAAATCCAATCCACTTTTCTCCCTAGGGACATCAGATGCATCTGGTTCAGGAATTTTCTGCGCTTGATCTTCTCCTTTAGAAGTTGCCGGCTTTGTTTGCTTCGTCTGTTGAAAGCCCAAAAGCTGCTCCAAATCATCCGCCGGCGCGGCCATCTCTTCGAAAATGACGACAAGTTTTAAAATCTAAGGCCTAAGCAGGCTAAGCTATCGTTAAAGCAGCCGATGCAAAAATTTTGGCAACTTTCCGCAGTACCGGGGATACTAGGCTTTGGTGCCGTTTGCAATTCAGTGTTCTAGCTGATTTGCGTTAAAAAAATGTAAAACCGTAAAAAACATGACTCTGAATCCAAAATAAAGAATTTATTCTGATTATAAATTATGATTATGAAAGCGAAAACGAAACTGCGACATCCTTGCTTTCGCAATTGCTTTGCAAATATTAATAAGACCGGCCAATAGAGCGGCAGCTATGTGATCTGATCTGTGACGGCGTTTACCACCTGCGACTGCATTCAACTGAACAGTGGCACTATGGCTGCATATTTAATATGAAAAACCACCACAAGTACGAGTGCTCGTACTGATAACTGATGGAAAATTTTGTCAAGCAAGTAAGTGCATACGGGAAACAGGAGAAGTTTTGAAATATTTTCGAATGTTTGTTGGTTTTTCAATGATAATGGTCATCAGGTTATGTGGGAAGCGACTTATAAGTAAATAACGGTTCAAAATAGCGGTAGTACGCATGCTCTTGCACGCTCCATATTCTTTGCTACAACTGCATAGTACAGTAACGCATTGGAGTTTCTCAACATCTCCTATCTGCCGTGATTCAATTAGTACGGAATCCAAGCCTGTTGATTTGGTCCTTTTCCTGGTATTTTTGCGAGCATGTTTTCAATAGCAGCTGTTTGCACCCGTGCTATCCGAACGGGTCAGACTATGACGTGCAGTCTGCCGAAACGAATACAGGATAGCTGGCGTTACTTTTCGGTTACTCCTTGTCACTCGGTAATGGAGATCCGGGAAACCAAAAAGGAAGGGGAAACCGAGATTGAAGGTGTATTAGTGGATCATTTTACGGATAGTGTCCAACTGAAGGTATGTCTGCCGCCTGTGCGAAAGGCGGTTGTATAATTTGTATTATTGCTCTTCGTAATAGATCGAACTTTCCAGTAAAGACCTCAACATTAATTTTTCAGGTTGTGACTGCTTGTCATTACTTTGCTTGTTGTTTAGGCGGATAATAAGACCGGCTGCTGTTGCTTGTGCAATCTCAACTTGGACTTGAAATATCACGACGTTCTAATAATCAGCCAATTCCTTCATCCCACACGCGGCACGATGCTACCTCGAAGAGTTACTGGTCTTTGTTACGAGCAGCAGAGACTTGTTGACACATTGGCTTATCAGGCTGGAAAAGCCGGCCTGTTGAAAAAAGTTTTCTTGAAATCGCGGGGAACGAAGATGATTATGCCTAAGAAACCTGGTCATTCTCTGCCAAGGCACTATAATTCGTGGAACTAGAGCGAATGCAATTGGAGATCGGTTAGTCATGTCCAGCTAAATGCAGTAGTATTGAGAAACTACTGGATGGGCATTAAATTGTAGATACGGTTACTGGTTAGTGGTTGCAATTAATCTGTCCAAATGACCCATAAAAGTGAAGATGTTAACGTCTATGGTATGGAAAGGATTGACATCGAAGTACCACAAAGGTTCCATCGATTTATTTTCGAAGTTTTTTTCGGCAATAAAAATCGTGTAATACATAAGTACAATTTACAAGTTCAAACCATATCTTATCACCGGGTGTCGACAATACAAAAGACGTGGTCCATTCAAGGATAATAAATCCTGAGTATGGCACTTTGAAAAATAAAATTTCAGATCAAAAAGTGGAAATCATGTCGGTGCAGAGGTAGCAGCACCTTGTCCGGGGGAACCATTATAACTAGACTGCGACTCGGTATTCCTTTTCCGAATTTGGGCAGCGGCTGTTTGAGTTTTCTTCAGGGCCAGCCGAATATTGACTCTACTAACTTCCTGCATTCCGGCAGGTGTTCCATCGAGTACCATCTGGAAAACGGAATACATTATTCCCAGTTAAACTCAAGCTAATGAAATTAAATAATGTTCACACTTCACATAACATGCGCGATGCGGAACAGTTGCCACAATCACACATTATAATTACTTCGGATGCTCGTGATCCAAAACATGCAAGAATTCTGACTCTGTAATCCACGACTAGGGTTATGGGGTTTGAAGCGAGAATAAGACGAATCAAACAAGGAAGATTCCTCAAATGTTCAATCTCATCCAGAGAAGAAACCTCGTTGTCGCTCAGATCCAAATCTTCCAAAGAATATAATTTTGCCAAGCCTAAAACCGGCAAATTAAGAAAAAGCACTTATATAACCCAGGCAGCAACAGCAGAATTTCCCTTGTATTTCTCCTAATATGCGCCCACCTTTTAAAGTTTGCAGCTGATTCCCAGACAAAGTTATTTTCTGAATATTTCCAAGCTTTGCATGCATGTTATCAAGAATCGACAAATAATTCCTGGCCAATCCCAACTTCCGAAGGTTATGTAAATGATGCAAATGATCCAGTGTCCGAAGTTGATTATTGGATAAATCCAAACTTTCCACGTTAACCAACAATTTCTGCATAAACCAACTTAAATACATCAGAAACAAAATTAACAAGCCAATATCAACTTACAATCGATTTGTCCAACTTTTCAATACGATTCTGGCTTAGGTCAGCGCTGACCAGTTTATTCCAACATAAACAAGAAGGAAGTTCTTCTTCGGTGTGCCATCCATCAGCATCACGAAGAAAAAATAACGACAATGACTGTAGGGTGCGATGTATTCGTAGCTTTTTTACAGTGTTCCGTAAGTTCTCCAAGCCCGTAATCTGGGAAGGTCTCAGTTGGTCCAACTGCAAGATAAAAAACAAATGCCGAGGATAATGTCACAGCTGACAGACAGAAGTGCACAATTCTTAAATGTGGCATAAGGAATTCTCAAATTTGACATAACGAAAATAGAAAAAGGTTCATGAGAAATTAATTAGGCAAAAATTCAAAAAATACGCTACATACAAACTTCAGCAAGTTACGGTATTCTAATTTACGAGTAGAACAACGAAGTTATTCTACTTTGGGTCAGTAGGGCGACTTACCATCAAATCCTCAGCTGATTTAAAAATCATCAGCTCAATCGGCAACTGATTTTCCACGATGTTAGATGCCGCAAGCAGACCATCATTACCCAAAATCTTAAAAAAATTACCAACGTATTACTTTTGACCTGCTAATACTGGCGCAATCAGATAGAACGAAAATACCGTACCCTCACGGTTTTCATCCGATAAATGTAATCCAGTAAATGTCCAAAATCTCGAGTTCTGTCTTTAGATTCGCACACAGGCTCAGGCAGTTGAAGTCTCTTATTAATGGCATGGATTTGTATCGGCGTAAAAACGAGTTCATCACGTGTGGAATTGGAATCAACGACACTGCAAATCTTCCTGGACAGCTCTTCCGTAATGAAGTGAATTTCCTGAAATACATATTTATAAAAATACGATATCTCAATTCTTCTCTTCTGAATGTGGACAGGTAATCGGAAATACCACTTTGCTGAACCTAAAACGCTGAAGTCATGAACATATCTAAAGAAATTAATTCACTATTGATTAGCTCAATGTTGGAAGCTCACATATAAGTGCATGTCCAAAAACTCCGCCAAGGCTCTGGGAAACGATCTCAAATGATGCCTGAAAAAATTTAGAAACTTGATGGACTTGATGGTTTTATGAATTCTCATACTGCCTCATAAAATGTAATTTATACGTTACTGCTGGCGTTATACAAATCAAACGTATATACCCGTAAAAGTATTATGGAATAAAAATAAACGTGTAAATCAGTACATCAAACGCTAAATTGCATATACTGTAACAGTGCTCCCACTGCAAACTGGATGGAGTCTTAGTCTCTCACCATAATCTAAGTAGGTAAACCTCCAAATCCACCTGTCGCTTCTTGAGAAACGCTTCATTTTTTACTCCGAAAATGTTCTTAGCTGGTAGCAATCCCTGATCAATTTTAAACTGAATGACCAACTGCAAATACAAAGCAACATGATTCCACGATTTATTATGCTTTAGCCAAGTACTTCAAAGGATCACTAATACCTGTGAGTGTAAAGTGCTGAACTCACTGTAACGCCGCTTACAGGTCCAGTAGAAAGGCGTCAAAGTGATTTGAATTTCATAAAACTAACAAGAAAACCTTTGTTATCCTAAGAAAAATCTAAAAACCATGTGGCACATAAAGAAAACAACTCAAAAAAGCAGAACCTTACAACATGTCCAGCATCGTCAGCGACATAATGGTTAATTCTCAATATCTGACTGATATTGATATTTTCTGGTCTTTGCCAATCCACGAAGGCCATGACTTCCTCGAAATACGAAGAAACGAAAACCAACTGAGTTTTCGATTTCGCAAAATGAAATCATCTGGATTTAGGCATAAAACGATATTGCAAAATAGTGCAAAATTAAAATTAGCTTTACGGAAAACATTTGAAGCCACAGTCACTAGGCTCACTACGATCAGTACGATGCACTAACAATCACACGAACCATGCTGAGGCACTCTCAGCTTGAGTCAGACGACAAAAACGAATCAATAAAATTTAAGAGAGAGCAAGAAAGAATACTGGGCGAAGGTAAACGATAATAACAATAACCATAATCTCGTTTTGCAACTTGCCTGATGCCTGGTTTAAAACGTTCGCTAATGCCAATGGGCAATGGCATTAAGGTGTTCGACACGAATGCTCAGTTCACTTCCATTATTAATTTTCGTTTGTTCTGACTGTACGTATTGGGACAAAAAGGATTTTTTGTTTTGGCAGAATTACTGGCATCGACATTGGATATGTTTTCAATAAGTACTGTACTCGTTCATGGTACATTATAGTGTACGGTCTGTACCAATGAGCAATGAATTTCGATTTATCTTTTACCGGTTAGCGAATCAATTACACTAGAATAAAATGCCTCAGAATTAACATGCCAGAATCAAGCCGGTCATGCTAACACTAAAAACACAAAAAACGCTTAGCTGAGCAGCATTAGTAATAACCAAGTTACAAATGACTACTCGTAGTCATAGCATTATGTATTCGGCAAACATGGAAGTGATGCCGGGGATAAAAAATGGCACGGGCGGATTTTGTGTAGAGTGGGCCGGTAGATGCCAACAGGAATGTTAATGATTATGTAATTGCAGTGTTCCCGCAGTTGACAAATGCTAGAACTACGTGGTACTCGTACATCCAGAGGGGTCACTCAGACTCACTCTACATTCTGCAAGTGCATGCTTGAAAGCAACCCTACCTCACCTGTCTTTACAAACATACTAGTACTAGTAGCAGTTATTATAATAGTACTCGTATTTTATCGAATAAACCGCGTATTCGTTCAGGTTTAATTTTAGATTACCAATTGTTAGCTTACGAACACTCGAATCCCTGTTTCGGGCCGTGGAAGGCAAAAATTTCAAAAAAATTGCAGTTTGCAAAATTGCAAATCGTGCTGTGGATAGGCCAAAATTTCACAGGCCAGTCGGCAAAACTTGCAAACGTTTACAAGCATAAAGAAGCATCCCGTCTGCAACAACTTCGTAGTCCTGCCGGATCGCCCGGTTAGCCTGATGATGGCCATTAAGACATTTTGTATTCCTGTTATCGCTCGCCGGATGTAACCGAGGTAGGTTCGCAAAAATCGCTGAATTTTTTGCTAGGGACCTGAAGCACCGGCCTATTTTATTTGTCTGTGTGTATGTATCGACTGCGAATACCTTGATTGTAACATGAAATCTCAAGAACACACCGAACCGAGCGTGTATAACAGAAGCACTCCTTGTGTAACTTTATTGACCGCGAAAATACAAGAATACAGCAATTTTAATCTAAGAAAGACCAAAAATATGTCACGACTACCGCAAATCATTAGAACTCAACACAATATAATTACGTGGACGAGTTTTATCCAGTATTGTAAGTACCGCAATAAAACCATTTTTAAAATTTCTCACTATTGAATTATCACCATTACTAACCAATAAGCAGCATAGCATATGCCAGTGCTATTCAAGCCACAATAAAAAGAGTGCGAATTGCGAAACCACAAATGCAGCCATCATTTCACCGCGGTTCGCTTGTACCGGTATGTGAGCACCATAAAATAAAAGATTATTTTCTTTTGCGGTTTGCAAAAAGCGTCAAGTGGAACCGGGAGCGCTGTAACCGTCACTTGGCATCCGCTTCTTCCAGAGTATACCAGTCGGTATGCGACGACACTCCAATAACATTCTCCAGTGAGACAATCGTTTGGACCACGGCATCCTTAGCGAATGGGCCACTCTTCGCTTTCACCTTCAGCTCCAAATAAGCTGTTTTCAGAAGCTGCTCATCGTCAATCGGGAAATCAAGAGTTTCCTCATAACTTTGCTGTAAAAAAAATACTCTTGAATAGTGCTGACTATCTAACGTAACCGGTATATAGACTGATATCCATTTGTTGCAGCAAAACGCACACACACCTGATCCGGATCGCCGATGAATTCCTTTGTGCGCCGCTTAGTTTTGGTCTGGCCAACATTGCAGGTGACCGACCTATAAACAATAATGTGGCAATTTCACGTTGAAGAATGACATTTCAGTTAACAGTAGGTGATAGCTTACACATAGTGAGCATTTCCGACATTGTGATTGCGCACCAGCTTGGAAATGTTGCGCACTTCATGGACAGCGACAAATAAAGCACGACGAGATTCACCCCAGCGCATAGTAAGCCGAGCAGCTGCCGATGTACTGTTTCGCTGTCGCAGTTCACTTTCCGCTTCCAGATCTACTGGCACTCGAACATTGCCAACACTTCCCCCGTCAAAATGATCATCTCCAGATCCAGCTCCTTCCTTGAATTCTTGAGCGGAAATGGGCGTACCCTCAGGCGGAGTGCGCTCTTTCGGCATCCGACCGGTGGCATCAGCATTGGCAGTAAGAGAAGGATTCAAGTCCATTTTTTGTGCGGTAGCCATCGCTTCCGGCAGAGATATGGCTTTTAGTAAACGGAGACGTAGATTCAAGCGCAGCTCACTATGAGGCCCAGAATTCTTTAGAGCAAATAAACCACTGGCATCCATATTATTTTTCTCAAGCAAGGACCGCAGGGGAACTTCTATCCAGCCAAGCTTTTTCGAGGATTTAGAATCCATGACTTCGAATTTGATCACATCACTTTTAGGGTCGGAAATCAGGAAAGATGTCTGTGATTCCCATACAGGGTCGTAAGTTCGTTTGGCCACAACGGTGGTGTAAGACTGCTTTCCGACAGTAGCGACACAGTACGGATGTGGCTCGGATGCGATCTTCTTTACATTTGGAAGAGCTGTTGCGCAGTCAATAAATACCATCAGCATGCACGATGACAAATGGGTACGATCACTTAACATGGTGGTTTCTCGAATGACTGAATTAATTAGGTTTGCTTCCGAAGACAGCCCTAACCAATATAATCGGACACGGATGTTTCCTAAAAAGCGCAACAGTTCAGTACAGAATAAACTATAAAGGGCACACGATTTTACCTGTTTCACAATCTTCCAAGCGGAACCACTTATCCACAGTTCCCTCTTTAACAATTGGAAACACATCCATCGTTAAACGCCCAAGGAAGTCGTCATTATTGCCTTTATCCTTGTCGAAAACTTCAATTTCCAAAGACTGACCGCTAGCCTGATCCACAATGAACTCAAAATATTCGCTGCAATTGGAAATTAGACATACATATAGCGTTTTAATCGTCCGTGCCCTATTCTGAAAAGTGTGTAAAACTGTCAATATCATTATTACCTCCAGTTGGGATTGATATTCTCCTTAATGACTTGAGTCTGAAAAATTTGAGCTCCAACCTTCACAACGCAATATGGGTCAGACTTTCCTTTTCCAATCAAACCGACATCCGCTCGCTCCAATTCCTGTGCTTCGGCAATAAAAACTCTCAAAACGCCATCAGGCGGAATAAACTTTAGGTCATATTTGGACAGATTTTGAATCAGTGGAATCGTAATTTTATTGGGCAAAACGGTAAAATAGTTTATTTGTTCTTGAACAACTTTGCGCATCAGTTCACTAAGGCCAGGAATATCCATAACATCAGCCAAATCCGTCAAATTAAAATCCACAGCCGGAGTACTCAGGAAGAAAGCAGTAATACCGCCAACAAACGGCATCTCCCGCACCAAAGGTTTGAAAATAATTCGCATTGTGCCCTGGAGAGTGATCTGATTAAAGCCAATCCTGAATTTACCAACACGGGCTTTCACTTCACAGTCGCCGGCATACAAAATCTGGGCATCCATAACGATTTCTCCGCGGGCAATATGCTCTTTGTAAACCTTCATGCCACCAACTCTAGGCGCTTCGTCTCCCATGGTAATGCGTTCAAACTCGAACTTCATAATTTTTGGCAAAGCGTTGTTAACAGCAGGTTCCTAAAAGCATAAGGGATTTGATAAATAAACGGTTACAAGTTCTAAACCTGATAAAATATAAGCATTTCCAATACGATGCGTCATTTCTCAAGCACGCGTCTTTGCACTGCCGGCATAATAATATGTATTACGCATGCCTACAAGAGTTTCACTAAACACGAGCGCCTGAAAAAGCAGACATTACAGGCGCCGGCTAATTAAAACTCACCAAAAATATACACACAACTCAGAACCCCTAACAATTAACGACCCTGGATTTCTTATTAAAAAAAGCGCAACTGCTTGAACAGCAGCGTTACCAGCAGTGTTTCTGCAAAGATCCCACCTGGAAAGGGAACACACAGCTATTCCTATTCGTATAATTATTATTATATGTATGTGTCCAAGTCAATTACAATGTATTATGTATATATCTGGATATTTGAAATTTTCGCATGCCTGATCTTCCATAATTATCTTTCATTTGTTTGGCCTTGTCAAGCGTACGTACATAATCCAGTGCATGCATATGATATAAGTACTTGAAAAAGAACAATTAAACTGAATCTGAAGTAAAAGCGGATGATTTCGAATACTACAGAGGGTGATATTAAAGAACAGGCACAATTTTCCACCAAAAAATCGATTATTTTATTAATATTATGACCACACCAACAAAAGAAACCGATCACCCACTGCTGCGCAATTAACTGAACGACAACATAAAACCTTGCGATGACGGACGTGAATACCGTATCTAATTGCAAATAACTTTCGTTACAAAGACTGACTTGTGAAATTGCGCATGTTTAGAACGGTTGCATTTACTTGTGATTTGTGATATTCACTTCAGTTATCCGTAGTTGAACACAATAAATTAATAGCAGCTGCAGGTACGTACTTACCATAATGCTGATGATGAGGTTCTGCAAGTAAAGATTCATAAACGGCCACAGCTGATGCATCATGCGGTTGAACCATTCCGCTCGTTCCTGATCAGGGAAGTACACCCAGCTGGGCAATTCCTCGACTCTATCCCGAATAAATTTTTGATCGTTATTCTGCAATCCATCATAAGCTCGCCGCATGTTCTGCGCTTTTTCTTTGCTTCGAATCGCAAGCCACCACATGAGTGCTCCCAGAAAAATCCACCACAAGCTGAACTGGGTTCGTCCAACAAACCATGCCAAGCACATAACAATGATCTGGCAAACGAAAGCAACTGCCGTGGCACTAAAGAATGGCAGCGAGGATAGTAACGGGAAGTTGAGTGGTATGTTCTCCATGACTTTTTTTGACGACATCTTGGCTATCGTAAGGACAACTGGCGTAAAGGGCAAAAAGAGGAATCTTCTGCAGTTTGCAAACTTAGACGCGACTGCAGCCAAACAACAATGAATTCCAGGCTGTGCATACAAATGACAGACGAGTGCTTTACATTCTGGTGTGATGCATTATTGTGCAAATCAACAAATGCAAGACCCCGGGCTTCATGGACTAGCGACGGGAAACAGCTAGCGCGGCAAAATGGCCCATGCGATCACGAAATGAACGAAATCATCTACTTAAGTCTTAATGTACAACATTTTAACAGAATGCGGCCTGAGCCGACAGACACTATAGGCGGAAGTAACGGAAACGATTATAAGTGCAACATATTTTTGTCTCCTAATTCAGAAAACCAGTTTTTAGTGGGCGGAAGGGCTCCCGTTCGATATGTGAATTGAATTTAAACACACGATGCTATCAGTTATAAATAAATATTGGTGTTTGTCACTGCCGGCAACTGCAACTTCGCAAACTGCAAACAAACAGAAGTTTTTAACTCAAACTACAGCACTTTACGTGCGTGATAGTCGATCGTACTTCGTAGGACGTATACTATAGTATAATACCAGGACAAGTACTGTACTTGCGTAAGTACAGTACTTTTGCATCATACGTATACCATCAGTCCAAGCTTTGCGCAGCATAATAAGATGAATAAACTCGATGTCTACAGATCAGCATTACCATTCATAAATCATGTGTAAACATCGAATTTAATAATCATTGCACAAGAAATTTTAAAACTCTCAACTAACAAGTAAATGCGTTACTGTTGAAAAATAAACCTTGCAGACATTAAAGTTGCTGTCACCACAATGTGACCACATATTGCAATTTCTGATAAATTTCCGGTAACAATATTTTGAAAGTTAATTAAATCATTAAAAAATGGTATGGCAGCGAGTTACACAGCATCCACAAACAAAGGCGATCGAATAATTAAAAAGATTTCGTCTAAATTCGCCGTTGGTGGTGATGTTCCCATTTTACCTATAAGGTCCTATATATACTCTGTAGATGCTGCGTTTTCTGTCACTTTTCTCGCTGGATTTCTAACCATACGCATAAGCTGATCAGATTCTGTTATGCATCGCGAAACATAGTGTGTTCGAGTCTGTTATTCGCATATTGTTCATAATGTACAGCCCTCAGCAGCAATTTCCTTACTTTAATTTCTTTAATTACTTTTAATAAATCTGGAAATTTTGCTCCTGCAAAGTGAGTAATAGTCATAGTCAAAAAGTAAAATCTACAAATATCTACAGATATGTTATCTACAGATATCTCGAATTAACATCCAGACCAATTCTTGAACAGATTCCGCAACACTTGCAGCTAAACCTTTTTACATAAAATTTCATTTACAAATGTGAAGTTCAGTGCTTTATTTCTAGTATTGTACTTGTACATATCGCTGATTTTTCGACATTTCGAATCTCAGGTGTACTGCATTAAACGCTAATTATAACCTTTGCAGTTATCTGCAATTAGCGTTTTATGAGCCGCTGTCTGTTATAGAGACTTCCTCAACCGGTTGATGCCGTTTCTGTTTCTAATAATCATCTAATATCATCTCTAATACTAACTCTACTACGATCATGTCTAATGCTCTATTATCTCTAATACTAACTCTACTCTACGTACGATACTAACTCTACGTATCTGCAATCGCTTTTATGATAGGCGGTATTTTTGTTTAATTGCTTCAATCTGCTTGTACAATTCTAGTAATTATAACAGTGAATAAATACTTAAACCCTATTAATCATTTCCATGCTAGTGCCAACTTGTATGCATGCCTAATCATTTGCTTTCTTCCATGTCAATGCTCATTTCCCACGTACGTACTCCATGGAATCAGTTTAGCCTCAAATCCCTCAACGAATGCTCACCCGTCTTCCGGACATGAATGACCCTTGACTTTACCCGCATTCGGCTCTACATCTCCTACATACACCGTTGCGATCCCACCGATTCCCACGCCACATATCAGTCATATGTATTCGCATTCTGCACCTAACTTCGGATCCTTCCTGAATTCGCAATTAGCACCCACCCTATCCGTTACAACCGTTATTTTGTCAATTGTCAAAAATCATATGCAGCAGCACAAATTGTCCGTTTGTCTGAATATGATCTCTCGTATTCGCATATCTTTCAATTCGGTCATTTGGGCCTTTTCTTCCGCTCCGGGTTGGGGGTTGCGTTCCGTTTGGGGGTGTCCGGCGCTTTGGACAAATTAATCTTTCTACTTCGTTTCATTTCTTCTCTACCCATTCCTTCTTACACTATCGCAATGCTTCGGGCTGCCGTTGCTGTATCCTTCTATGGTTTTCTTCGCGTTTCTGAGTTCTGTGCACCCAAACAGACTGCCATTTCTATGTCAACTCTTCTCAGATCTAACGTAGTTATTTCAGAGCATGGTCTTCTGCTGACTCTAAAGGTTTCGAAGTCTTCTCAATTCGCTCCTGTAACAGTTCTGCTCCCTAGTGTGCGCAGTGAAACTTGTCCAGTTCTTCATTGTCGTAACTACTTATTTTTTTTCGAGATCGCTTTCATACTTCCGCGACGCCTTTCTTTATGTTTCATGATGGAGTTTTCCTAACTCGTCAGTACCTGTCCACATTATTTAAGAAATGCCTTGCCCCTGCATACTCTTGCCATTCCATTAGAATCGGCGCTGCAACTACAACAGCCATCGCCGGAATCCCAGCGGATCAGATTCGCATGCTTGGGTGCTGGTCAAGCGATGCAGTTAATCGTTATATTCAGTCTGATACTCTCCTTATTTCAAAATTGCTGTACATGTCATCTGTACTGGTGGTTTAATTTTTCAGTAAACTGGTCGTGATTTGTTCGGTTCCGCTCCGGGTTTGGGGGTTCCGCGCCGCCCGGTGTAAACGCTTTATATATTAAAAGCAGCATGCGGGAAAAGATGGCAAACAGAATTCAATAATCTATGCTGTACGCTGTAAACTACAATAGCCTATTCCCTAAACTTCTATCTATCTATATATATTTCAAGGTAAATATATTTCAAGGTCTTTTTTTAATTTCTACAGACTTGCTACAGATTTGATTTAAGTTGATTGCATAAATGGTCGCATTTGAAGTTCCAAAATCTTCCACCGGAAAGCAAAACCAACGTAATGTACGTGTTCTATAATTCTGCAAGTTTGAAATTTGGCTAGCTATAGCTTGGGTAGTATCCAGTCTTCATAATGACTATTGTACTGTATCTACCTACATACGTATACTGCAAACCATACAGTAATTGGGTGTTAACAACGGTTTTTTAAGTTTTAAACTTTATAACTGCTGTGCTGCGTTGTCTAGGGTACTCTTTTGATTTGCGGTTGCCTAATGGTAAGCCTCTTTTTCGAAAATATTTTTATTACTGCAAAACTTTGACTTGTTGCTTCCGATCGTTGGCAAGTGTTCAGCCATATAGAACTGTTAAAACAAGTGTTTTTAGCAAAAGTGTCCTTATTTGCAGGTAATCAATATCATACAACTCTGTTCAGCTGTTGTACTGTTGGAATTGTAATTCTGTTATCAAAAAAATAATTACTTGTAGTTGTAATAATACTTGATAGTTTCAAGCGAAAACGCCGGTTCGCTTTGCTTTGCAATCTTGATTATCTGATACTAGTACAGTAATTATTACTTAGTACTTACTATAATTATATAATATGTTGTGATAATTATGTCTTAACAATCTTAATAATATTTTATTAGAAGTACTACTCTTTTGCGGTACTGTTTTCTCCTGATTTCATTTCTGTAGACAAAACATTATACAAAGAGTCACTCAGTCACAGACGTACAATACTTGCAGTTGCAGACTCCAGTGACATTTTTTTCTTGTCTTGAATCTCGATGCCCCAATCCGCAGCAGCAGAGGGTTATTTGCGTGACGTGATTATTTGGTTTGCATTTCGACGTGTTTATCAGTTTATGATTATGGACCTCCTCTGTATGTCCCGTAAATAACCATGTTTAGTCAGGGTAGTAATTAATTTTAGCACAGTAGTGATTATACTTACTTTTATTATCATATTCAGATTTTTCTACAATTATAACTGAATTTAATGACACCAGAAGTGACTGGTTCAACCTAGACTTTTAAAACATTCGAAAACTTTAAAGCAGCCCAAGGATTGGTGTTTGGAGATCGGTAGAAGTGCGCGACCATCTGGGAAATTGTTACAGTTCCCGTCGGAATCCAGTGTGGCAGGCGCACATTATTGTGCCGTTTGCAGCCCGCAGGTAAGTGAATGTGTACACTAGGAATGTGGTATTACAGCTGTGTGAACAGTTGTTGCGTGTATTTGATAGGCCCTAAAGATGACGTTATGAATCTGATGACAAATTCCTGTTGCCTGCGATCTGGAGCTACGCTGCAGCCTGCAAGTGTTCCCGCTGGCATTGTGGTCCATTCTGAGCGATTATAATAACGGCAAAATTATCCAGTCGATACAACTTAATTCTTGTTGCGGTTTACAAATTCAGAAATATTGTCACCGAAAGATGTGCCATGTTGGATGTGGAATTGGTGTTCCATCTTTGTTTAACTCTAAATTCTGAATTGCGTAAAGGATATGGGCATGTCTCTGGTATCTGGAGTTGGATTTAGGATACAGATCGTGCGCGCGGAAATCGGACGAAGAAAATTGTGCGGGTTGATGAACTGCAGAATTCGTGGACTGAGATACTGAAGGTATGCTGTTCTTGTTATTATTGACTTTATCTATCGAAGTTCTTCAACAGTTTTTTGCATATATTTTGCTAGATAATGCTAGATACTGCTTTGTATCCATTACGCATTAGTGTACCGTGTTTGTAAACAAGCTGACATCGCTGAATCTGAATTTGTTGAATTTTATAGTTCTAGCGTAATGTTTGCTTAAACACAGTTGCGCGGTATTCTTTCATGTACGGTAAGCTGCATTGTATTCGCGAAGAAATCAAAAATGCCACAACGAACGCGAACTATCAGCTGCGGTATTTGATACTTTGCTGCGATTACTACTTCAGTTGTTTTATGATCAGCCGTAGTTATGTATTTACCTATTAGGCAAATTCGAATATTCGTTATTGTACAGTTGTAAGCAAAATGTCTGATGAATGAAAACACTATACAGCATCCATCATGGCTAAAAAAACGCGGTTTCGAAAGCTATCAAGCACGAGGGAAGTAGTTGCTGATCTGGCTTTTTTGCAGTCAACTTACCACTGCAACTAGAATTAAAGGTATCGATTCCGATGGTTAGGATAGTTCTTGCGATATATATATGGAAGACACTAATAATTTTATATCTCGTTAAACCTATGGTGGCATAACTGTCCGAGCGGTACCGTCGTGCAGTAGTAACATATCTATCAGCATTCCCAGAACCTTTTCCCAGTTTTCTCGTGAAATTTTTCGCAGTTGTTTTTGTTGATGCGGCACGTGTTTTGCGCTGCCATAGCTTAAAGCGGCTAAAACTTTTGTCGGTTTTTTTGCCTATAGCGCTCTGTAAGTTTCCCAGGGTTACATACTTTGTAGTTTGTACCATTTGTTTGTCAATAACCATTACTTATATAGGAAAACTCCACTTGATTTCAGTTGAAAAGTTTTTAGAGAAGGTTACATTTACAAAATAACTTAATTAACTTGTCGATTAATGTTCATGAATAGTTCCTTTCATATTTTACTGGTGTGTTTAATAAGAGTTCGCCTTACTCGCGTAAAATGCTTTAAAATACGTGGAGCATCGCATCGGTGCGTTATTACTTGATAAGTAAGTGTCCTAATAAAATTTGCTAAAATAATTTTGCTTATTCAGCTGAATGCAGGGTCGGTGTTTCTTTTTTCTAGATAGACTCGGTTATCACTCTACCACCAGCTGTACTTACATGTATCTGTAGAAGTATACGAGCACAACTACCCGTTGCTTACTTTTATAAGCTTCCGTGCGCTTAATACATATCTAGGCGGGTATGGTTGTAGAACGGTGCGTTCATACAATATTTTGCTATGCCCTTTTTCAACAAAAATGCTGACGTTGATAAAATCGTCGCCTGCCTTTCGGATCTAATGTGTACATTTCCTGTGGTGATTTTGTTTTCGTGTTCCCCACTCATTCTTAATGCACAACTTTACTGATATTTGGCAATCTGTAGTGATTTTCGCTTTCATGTGCCACAAATTGGGCGTATTTTGTGATAAAAGCAGTTAAAGAACAGGAGGCTCTGGCATGCTCGGCTGTGCTTTTGATAAAATAGGTTGCAGTACATTAGTGGTGTACGTTGTCATAGCCAAGTCAAGTACGCGCGAGGATATCGATTTTTTATAGTCACCGTAATAACTCGACTGCAGGAGGCATTCCAACATGAAGTTCATGGTCATTTATTCGTCTTGTGCGCATGTGCAGTGGGAATTTTTTATCCGACTACAATGTACATATTTGTAGATTGCGCAAAGTAGTGCTCCAGGATGCCGGCCACTGTTCCGGTACACGAGAAAAACTTTGTGAAAGATCTCGTGGTTCCACCACAGTTGCAGGGATGTAAAGCGTTGAAATATGAAGAAAACGGCCTGCAGGTTATACCGGTAACCATTGCTGTCGATCCGAATTGTTTCTACTTTTTCTGGACAGATCAGCATCGCAAATCTGAATGTTTGGAATTATCATCGGTTCGTGATACTCGGATTGGCGAAAAAAAGGCCAGATTACCGCGTGATCCGAAGTTGCTACAGCTCTGCCTAATCGGTAATGCGACCGATCGGGAGACACCGCTGGAGGAAAAGTGTATGACCATTGTCTGTGGGAACAACTATGTTGATCTCAGATTTGTTAGTTTTATCTTTGCCAAGCGTTCTGAAGCTCACTTCTGGACAACTGAATTGTTCCAGCTGGCCTATAATTATAAAACACAGAATCTGGGTTTGGAACGAACGCTTTTGAAAATCTATACAAAATTAAAAATAACTTCCTCACCCGATATTCGTATCTCAGTGAAGGATATAATACAGTATTTTTATGCGGACAAAGATGATCGCAAACGATGCGAAAAGGCCTTGGAATCCCATAAAAATGATCCCATATTACTGGAAAAATTTCAGTTTAAGGATTTCTTGCGGCTGTACTCACAGATTGTGCCCCGTCCTGATTTGGAGAACATCTTTGCTGAATGTATCGCCCAATTTGGCAACAAGAACGCTAAAGTCTTAACTGCGGAACAATTGAAGAATTTTCTCAATCGCTCTCAACGTGATCCGCGTTTAAATGAAATCCTGCATCCTCACGCCACGATAGAGACGGCGCGTGCTCTGATTGATAAATATGAGCCACATGAATCCTTTAAGCAGGAATATCAGCTTTCGTTGGTTAGTGGACAAGCGCAGTGTGCACACACGCTGGATACTTTTGATTTTCGCTAATTTGGCCACTTGTTTGTTCTATGAATATTTTTTCGCATTTAGGACGGATTTATCCGGTTCCTTATGAGTGACTCCAATGCGATTATCTCCTCCACATGCTACACACTACATCAAGACATGAGCCAGCCTTTATCCCATTACATGATCAAGTAAGTTGGGATCAAGTATTCTACAAAATATTTACGAATTACCGCTAAGAATGTCTTAAGTGCCGAGTCAGTTTTCATATTGCTTGGAGCGTTTATTTCATGCGATAAAGCGAGCAGCGCGATGTTATACACTTAGCTGCTTTATTCGACAAAAGCCAAGCGCTTTTTTGACACTTATAGGTATTTGAAAAATTTTTGTTCCAGAATTGTGGAAAGCGTATTGACGCGGTATTGTTATCATAAATAATTTATGAACTGTGATGAAGAATTTGTCTTATGGGTAAAAATGTTTGTTTAAACAACATTGTGCCGTGCAACATGTATTTTATATTCGTATTTTCAACATTTGAACATAATAATAATTTATAATAGTAGAATACAGTGTTGTCTTTATTATGTGTCATTAAGGCTGCCCGATTGGTTTATCCCGTAACTAAATCTTGTGTATTTATTCAGCTTCCTGTTATAAACTGACAGCTACAGTGCTATAGTGTCATCTGTTCGTGAATTCAATTTTTGTCCGCTGTCTGCGATCAGAATTTTGTCTAGCCAGGCGCTAAAAGTAGTCAGATTGATTACATTAGTTTGCGCCTTGAGCGCGTTGAAGATTTTGGCTTACGTTATATCATAAGCTACTGCAATAGTAAGGGTTGTTTTTGGAAGTCTACCGGGAGAATAGTCCTGATTTCCGCGAAATCGAAATTCATTTCCTAGGCTAACTTATCTGTTTGAGTAGTTTGCGTAATTCAAAATACCATCTTGTGTTCCGTAATGCCAGAGAAAATATTGCTGCATGGTAGTGCATACCACTTCACCTTCTGTTGGGTTGGTATGAATGGCGGGAAAAAGAGATGGCTAACACTGGTTAGCTTAATGGATCGATTAGGTGCACGTATTCTCCGTGTTCATCCCGATCAGCCCCTTTCAGTGGTTTCGTGACTTTAATATCTATGATTTCGACAATTATGTAATACGAGACCGAGTATGATCGACATAATTAGACTTTCCAAGTTGACAGGATGGCGTGTCAGACGTGATGGGTGTGCGATTGAGATTGAAGATAGTAAATCGGGAACTGCGGTTTGCAGTTTCGTCATAAAAAATACTACAAACCCACAACCTATTTGTTTTTTGAAGTATCGTTTTATGAGTGTGCTGTGAGCTGTCAAAGTCGTGTCAAAGTCGTGTCGGATTTTCTCTAGCGATTTATTCCTGTTGCGGCCTTTATATGTGGATAATACCTAGTTTCGAAAGCAGTGCCACTGTAGTTTAGTTCAATTAGTTGACATTGGCATGTTTAGGGTACACAGTGCTATTAGAATTGCGGTCGGTTTGAAATATTTATTCCCCCCGATAACGTGGGGAAATATTTTTCTGCTAACATTTCATTGACGGGGCAGACTGCAAAAAATTTCGATTGTTTTTACCTAAAGAGATTAATTTTTAATAAAACGGACGCCTCGAGTTTGTTTCCTAGAACAATGGTACTAACTTTTGCCGCGTTCCTTAAAGCATAAACTACAGCTGCAGTTCGAGTGTACTCTATTAGAATACAACGTGCATATTGTAGTTAGAAAAACGGAACCCAAACTCTTGGCGCATAATGTATAGGAGTGATCTGTAATCATGCGTGCGAATCCGAAAAGGGCCTAAAGGGAATGACGTGATAAGGAGTGTTCATATCCTAAATAGGAATAAAAATTGACAGTAGTTGTTTTCCCGTTCATTGCACATCATGGTCTGTTGCGCATTTGATAAATCTGCATATGGCTTATTAAGCCGTTATCCAGAAATTCTGCCTTATCCACAATTTGCGAGTGACAAAGTTGTCTTCGAACGTGCTGCTTTAGCTGGTTTTTGGCGGTTCTGCTGGGCCATCTTGTGAATCAAATCAGTATTCAGCGCCAGAGCTTGATGTTTGTACTTTTGCGGGGTTGACTGATCACCACAATAATAAGTACTTTAATTTCCGCTGTGCAATCAGATTGTCCTTTGGAAGTTTAGTGCACCGTTGCATAGCAGAAACAGAGCCAATGAACGTGCACACCCATATCATGCTCGAATGCCGGCTGATTTCTTTTTCTCTTCATTTGTGGTGTTTTTCAGCTCTTCACACAATACGTATCTCCTGGGAGCACAGATCAAAGGGAAGAGCTCGGCGGAAATGTATCGGCAGGTTGTATTTATTTATTCTGCTTGCCGCTTTGCTTTGGCCTACGTGATTTGACCTCGATTTGCACTGTTAAATAGTCTCTACTGTCGGGCTGCCGTTGTGTGGAACTGGATTGCTGGAACGGGGAGGACGGTGAGCCAATCATCACACATGGTCGTACATTGACCATTCCTATCAGCATTAAAGAAGCTTTGGAAGCCATTGCCGATTATGCCTTTAAGACGTCAGATTATCCGGTGATCTTATCTTTGGAAAATCGCTGCTCCGCCCAACTCCAGGACAAATTGGCCCGTTACCTTAAACGGGCGTTCGGTAGTGCACTTCTGGACAAAGCCGTGCCCAATCACCCCTTAGACGCCGGTACTTGCCTGCCGTCACCGGAATCGCTAAGAAATAAAATCTTGATTAAAAATAAGAAGAAAGCTCCCACCGTCGGCTCCAGTGTGAATTTCCCTTCCGTTACGGGGGATCCGCGCACTCCCGAAGATCCTATCGCCAACAATGATTCCGATACGGACGACGAGAGCGATGAAGTGGAGGGCAACATACCGGACAGTCTGCCGGCTGACCCCGAGGCTGAGGTCAGCGACGCGGTCCCCGTGGAGCAGGCGCCGGTTGTCGCTGCCGTGGTGCCTATGGTGGAGACGGAACTGAGCGCTCTCGTTGTATACGTACAGCCAACCCGTTTTGACTCCTTCGAAGCGGCCAAAAAGCGAAATCGTGGTTATGAATGTGTTAGCCTGGTTGAAGACCGGGCTATGATGCTCTTGAAAAAAGACCCGGTGCAGTTTATTGATTTCAACAAGCGTCAGTTAACACGCATATATCCGAACGCTACACGGGTAAAATCGACTAATTTCCTGCCATTTTTCTTTTGGAGCTCAGGTATAGCAGCAACAGTCTCTCTATTTATTGGTTTTACTCTGTAATCTGTACCCTGGATTTTCACAGGCTGCCAACTCGTGGCACTCAATGTGCAGACGCCCGATTTAGGTGAGCGAAGCGATATTTAAATGTGCCGGAAATATTTTGATTATTGGAGTAATAAATTTTTTGATAAGATATCTCAGGATTTTTCAATATATTATACCGGTAAACATGGCTCTCGCATCAGTTTATGCACAATTGCTAATAGACGCTTTTAGTGTTATTTGTTCAGCTGTCGGTACCAGGATTAACCAATTAAATTGTTAAGGCAGTGGAAATGAATCGATTTTTTAATGGGATGTACTTAATTTGTTTGTTCGAAGAATGTTCAAAGGACGAAACTAATAAGTATACGTAAAGCACAAGTACGCAAATGCCGCCTGCTCCGATTGTTTGGTAGTAGCTGACTAGCTGCCAGCTTGGCTTTCGAGCAGACGTGCACGTAAGGACATTTGCGTGTGGAATGATGAAATGGAAGTATTTTCTTGAGATTTTCGTTTCTCGGAAAGTAGTTGTAATTATTTTGGAAGGATCACGTGGAACGCGTCCTCATGAGAATAAACACCGCCGGGAAATTTGCTCACTGAGCATGATTTGTAGGCATGCAACTTAACACGGCTGTTTTCGAGTTCAACGGCTTGACGGGATACATTCTCAAGCCGGAATTAATGCGCCGGAAGGACCGCACATTGGATCCGTTTACAGAATCGCATTTGGATGGGGTAAAAGATTTATTTAACTTTTGTTAACAGATAACTGGGTATATTTATATGTGTGCATTTATGAATGCATGCAGATGAATTATACAGCTGTGACGAAAAAGGCGGCTTTGAGTGGTGTAAAATTCTATTAATTTCGAATCACTGAAACCTTTGTAGCGTTTATTGATATTGTTAATTCCGAAATATACTTCGAAGTAGGGGATAATAGGCAAAATAATTTTTGTACATGTATAATTATTTACAACCCAGCTCTGACTGAGTTACATTTACGGATTTTATAGTGGTTTGTTTTCGGTCGAAATATCGTTATAAAATATGCTCTGTGTCGTACTGTTAACAGTGTTATTTTGCCGCGATAGGTTGTTCCTGCATCGCTTTCTGTACGCGTTATAAGCGGGCTGATGCTCAGTTTTAAGCGGATATCAACCTTCGCTGAGGTGGATCTGTACGGGATATTTGGTGACATAAAAAAGAAGGATCACCGCACTAGGACTTGTTTGAACAACGGCATGAATCCTCAATATGATCAAGTCAATCAACCTTTTGTCTTCCGCGTTACGCTTCCGGAGATGGCCTACTTGCGGATATCCGTTCGTGAGGAGAGGACATCACGCCTGATTGGGCACATTCTCCTGCCCGTAAATCAAATTCGCCCTGGATACCGTCATGTCGTTTTGAGGAACGAGATTGGCCAGACTCTGTCCGCTACAGTGTTCATTTTTGTCGAAGTCAAGGTACGTAAAATGCAGTAAAATATATAGTATGGTGGGTTTTGTAGAGCTTATAAAATATTTTGATGTCAGTACTTTATTTGAGAGCGCATGGCTTGATCCTTGTGATCTGTGCACATTTAATTTGATCGATTTTAGTAGAATGAAGACAACATATAAGTTTATCAAGTAAATAGTTTTTGTGATGATTATTATAAACGATACTTGTATTCTTGTTGGTATTCGCTGTATTTATAGGCAACGTTTATACGCTGACATAAATTTCATATTGTACTTCCTTCTGTTCAGTGTAATGAAGACGCTGTATGTCAAATGTGGTATGTCAACCGCGTATCGCTGCAGGACTATATTCCCACATATCAAATTGATCTGGCCAATGCCCTGGAGAATCCAATTCGTCATCAGACCGAGCACGATCGCAGGCAGAAGCTGGATGAACTGCTAGGGGATGATGATCAGGAAGATCTTGTCAATGATCCCGATGCCGTTAACAGTAAGTGCCTGCAGGTTTGAAATGTTCAGACTTTGCAGTGATGATAATTTAATCTACTCTGTAGATGGTGTGCCGCGTGTACCTCCGCCGGGCAGAGCGTCGCCCTTGCCGAGCGCAAGAGTACCGTCCCACAGCGGCAGCCAGAACAGTCAGAATGGCTCGCCGCTGTCGACTGGCCGACCGCCGTCGTCTTTAGCGCCATCTCAGGGAGTCACCCGGCCTCCTAGTGCTATCAAGCTGCCCACGGTGGACAGTAATAATAAACTGTCAGGCAGTAATACGCCCGGCACACCGGGTCCGAAGCGGGCATCCCTTGTCCCGGAAAATCCCGATGATCTCAAAGCACACCAACGACTCCAAGGTGTCCGTGCACCTACACTGGAGGAAGTCAAAAAACAAAGCAAAAGCCTGCAAAAGCTGGTGACGAAGCAGGATAAGGAAGTGGAAGCCCTACAGAAAAAGTATGTTAGCAGCGTGAGAAAGTTAGAAGACGGACAGGCCAAAGAGCATGAGAAATTAGTTCTGGATCAGGAGAAATCTCGTGCCAATGTAGAAAAGAGGAAACTGAAGAATTCTGCGGCTAATCTGCTACCGACGGATATGGAAAAAGATGTGGATGAGTTGATTAGGCAACACGAGTCTCAGCGATGGTTGCACTTAAAGAAGCAAGCCGAACAGATGGCCGCGCTCAAACGTGATCATTTTGCCAAAGAAAACGAGATCAACCGGAAATACCACGAACTGTTCTATCAGACGCTGGAGGAAGAGCTCCAACAGCAGCAGATAACGTTGAATGAACAGCTGAAAACTGTCAATACTGTTAATGTCAACGAAATGCTAAAAAAGCTTAGTGAGCAGGCGTCCAAAGAACTTCACGATTTGAAAAAGAATCGCAGTAATCAGACCCAGCTGGATCAGAGTCGCGATGACCTGAAACAAAAAAATGTGCGACAAGGTGTTGCCATTGGAAAAAAGTATGAAACAATGTACGAAGACAGGAAGAAGACTCTTTCAGAGGTGAGTTTTCACTAAATCAGCAAGAAAAATTTTCAATCTGCAGTGGACATATAATTTAATGTTTGCCATAATATATTTTGTGATATGGATTATTTTTATGGCAACAGATTCCTGAAGTTCTTTTGGTATGTGTACAGATACGAACGATAATAATAAGCTCGGGCAATAAATAACTGATAATAGCGTACAGAAATAGTTTGTATAACTATGTACGTTGTACTTTTTTGTACACAACAGGAGATGGACGTGATATTGCATCAAATGAAACGAGAAAAAGTCCAGGTCGAAGACGATTTGGATAGGAAGTTCAATGAAAAATGCCAAAAACTGGAGGATGAGTTGACACACTCCCTGCCGAATCGCCATATGGGTGATGGTGATAGTAGCCGTTCTAATACGGCACTGAAGTCGTGATAGCCTGTGTTTGTTGTCGTTTACAAATTCGGTGATCAGATAAGAAAAGTTGTATATTTATTTGATGTCTTTGTTTTTTTGTATGGTTACAAAACAGTCATTCCTGTGCAAAGTTTTAACTGGTTTATTACTGTCTGGTTTAATTTACCTGGTGTATAATTGTTTGGAATGATAACAAAGAAAATGGTTACGAACTTAGATTAGCACTGTGTTATATATGCGATGTTAGGTAGTAGGTAGTGTCACTACTAGGTACAGTACATACTTAATATTTCTACAGATAGAAGGTAGCCTCGCGCATTCGGGCCCGGCACTTACTAATAACTACTTCTTTACTTTCTAATCATTTGAAGATATGTATCTGTACTTACTAATTTGAATTTACACATTTCTGTGCAGATGTATGAGTGGGACCAGTTAGTAAAACTTGTTTTAATGGCAGGAACGATTTCCAGGTCGCCAGCCACTTTGATTATCAAGGAAATAGATCTATATTATGATCTGCCGCCCCGTGGAACTTGGCTAGAAAAAACCGCTGAACAAATTAAAAAACCGATTTCACCATTAAACTCAGCATGTTCCAAAAGGGTTGCACATGCATTTTGTTTTCAAAAATATCTGCCCTGAGACCATCGCTCGGATGCCGGCACCGGTGCAGGCATGAGTTCAAGGTGACCTTGAAAGATCCTTTAAAAACCGTTGCGTGGAGTAATTATTAGTATTTAAAAATACAGAGTAGTGAAGAACAAAACTGAATTTTGTCAGTCTTCTTCAATCCGACTTCAAGACCGAAATTCTTCAAATTTTGCATGTAAACGCACATACAAATAAAGATCGTTTTGACATCGAGCCAGAGTGGTTGGAAAAAATGGTGCAGAGTGGGTTCGGTGTAAAAACTATCATTATAATAATGTGGATTTACGTGAAGATTAGAATGATTTATAATGATTTATAATGAGACTGATATGATTTATAATGAGACTTTAGGTACACCTGAAAACATCTAAACGTTTTGGAATTTTGATTCACCCATAACTTTCCAACCGGATGTTGTGCGCGCAAACGGATTTCACGCCTACGTATACGGCGGTATACCCATCTTTTGGACAAAATACGAGTATCATAAAGTAATGCAAAATACTGAAAATAGTGATCTGGAGTGCGCGACAGCGAAAGTTCCCGCGGTTTTACACGAATTTGGTGCCACGTACCGGGCCAAATCCCTTAAACATGTCATTTAAAGCAGTTAGTAAGAGAACCCGCCTTACGTGAAAATCAGCAAATCCAGTGACCGAACTGATTGAATGATCGAACTACCACCACTGTTCAGTGAAACGAGCTCTCTAGGGGAGTGAGTGACGGATTACTACCACTGTCCAGTTATCAGTTCGCTAGGTGATTGAGTGTCCGAACTACCACTCCTGTCCCAAGCAAAGAGCCGCCTAAGCGAGCGAGTGACCAATTGCACGAAAGCGATAATTTTTTTAAAAAATTTTAATAAATTTACAGTTTATTTTTGGGCCATTCAATTTCGCCGAAATTATAAAATGTTTACCTAATCAAAATCATTTGAATAAACTGGCAGTGGAGTGTGCACCCCAAAAAACGCGGAGACGAATCCGTAGCTGTTTCGAAGAAAGATCCGAAGAAGCCCTGGTCAGTTCTAATATAGCACTTGAGCTGTCGAGTGAACAGAACCGCGCAAAGGGTCACACTATCCACTGACCAAACATTCCCAATACCGGGAAGCCTTTGTGACCGCATGTTGTCGGTAGTCACAGGACCTGGAGTTAGCGTTAGTGATTTTCAGTTCAGATAAGATCGGAACCGTTACTACTGCCCAGCTCAGTGATAACACTAGCACTGTAGCTGACGCCCTGTCGATGAACAGACCCGTGTAAAGGCTCACTCGCCTATCCACCTACAAAGACTACTGAAAAAAGGAAACGGTCGCCATTGTCCAAGATAAAAAATTTTACTACTGCCCTTTGTCAATACTATACGATACCAGTGTCCACCAACAGCCCATACCAATATTTAGGGATCACTGATCAGGGCTGCTGAGTGAACGGACTTATACACGACCTGCTATTAATACCACTGTTCGGTAATTAGGTCCCCGTCCATGTGATCACTGTCGCTCGTTATACTGTGGATCGACCGGCGTTCAGTGCTGCCAACTGAACGGAAGTATTAAAAGATTTACACAGGTCTAGCCCACTGAATAACGAGGCAAGACCAATTTTATTCCACGATCAAAAATTATTATGTTCTTAACAATTAGCGGAACAGTTACTAGATATTTAGCACCGCTCCTATATTATAGTGGTGCTACTAAAAATTTTGTATTACAATAAGTCATGAACCGATCAGCTATTAATGTTTCATGATTAGAGTAGGCTACGAACCGAAGACAATGCGTAATCCTAAAAACGTTCAGTAAACGAGGCGAAGCCGAAGCCGTTTCTTAACAAGAAACAAACTTGAAAAATAAATAAATCTACAACAACCATTGTTATTCAAGAAATTGAGTGTAGACCACAAGAGCATCTGAGGCGAAGCCGAAGATGACTCTTGTTATATAGATATTGTAACAGTGGCCTATCTGGCTACTGTTCTAGTGGGGTGGCGATCAGCCTTTACCACGATTAAACGGCTGTTGGTGTGAAAGGTGGCACGAACGGCAACGATGCGGTCGTGGACGCTCTTAACTGATGTTACACAATTACACAGGTGGCTCCGATTGGGATGACACAGGTTCATCCCAAGCGGTCAACACAACAACGTAACTCAAGGCATGTTTAATGACAAGGCGTTCAAGAAACGGAGCAAGGTTGTAAGCAAGGTTTCAGCAAGAGAAACAATCAAGTAGATGCAAGCTGTAGCAAGCTGAGCACAAGACTGAATTCTAGAAGTTCATGAGAAAGGAAACTAGCCGGTAAAGTGGACAAATTCATAACGCGATGGAATGATTCATCATAACTGGGCGGTCTTATCGTTCGTACAAATACTTTCGCTACAATATTGCGATATGCAGGTCGGCTTGCCCTTTTCTGCGGCGCCAAAATTTTTGCTTTATTGTCAATTAAGTTTAAGTAAAAATGTTTTTGATCATTTTCGTGAAAGTGCGAACTATCGACGATCTTGTGCTGTACCAACCAATATGACAAAAAAAGGCTAACACACGTGAGTTATGAAATTCGCATAACTCGATCGAATTAATGAACCAAATAATTATTATTCAGTATGCAAGTATCTGTACGAGGGTAGTACTTAAGTAAGTATATAGTATAGATATAAATTCAAATAATAATAAAATTAATGATTTATAAAACATAATAAGAAATTAATGACGTAAAATGATTACAGTAATAATTTTGATTAATAATTGATAACCAGCTTAACACATATGCATAAAAATTAAATATTATCCCGGTAACCTTAAAATAAAAAAAATTATCCCGAATATGCAAGGCGGCAAGTGGCAAGAAAATGTTGAGAAAATATTTACGAAAAATACTGAACTTTACAGTGTTTATTAATTTTTTTGTTTATAAGAATATGACGTGCCATGAAAAGCAGTAAGGTTTTGTATTGGCCTATATTAGACGTACTTTTCACATAAATAAGCACGTTCTTTATGGCTTTAAGCCCAGTCGGCGACTGGTGCACGTGTCACGCCACTACGCTATGCTCTCCGACCCACCATGCACGCATTTTCGCCACTATCTGCATTCTGGTGTTCTTTTTTGATTATAATCTTTCGCAAATACGTAATTTTCATTGATGTTTTTCAGATTGCATGTTCGCTTATCTTGCGCAATGCATTAAAGTTTATCAAATTTATGAATCCTGGTTCTGTAATCTGTTGACTGTGACTCTGTGAGATGTGGTGACTTGAAATTGTTGTACATGCAAGTTACAGTTATATGTTTTAACTGAATTTTTTACAAAGTGGCTGAAAATCTGCTGGCGTTAAGTACGAGTACTTTAACTTGCATGAATGTAGCCTTTCGAGAGAGTTCATTATTATCATTTTGTATTTCTGTAATCACTTATCATCTGTGGCCTTTTGTGTATGCAGTATGCTTATCGTCCTTATTACGACATGCCGTAATGGTTTATCACTGGCCGAGTTGGTTGGTTGACATGTAGCCAGTAGCAGACGAAGGGCTAATTGATGACGGAGATGTGAAAGTCTTGATCCGTGCGCCCCTGTTTTTCCTCTGCCCCACGACGGAACGGGTTCGTTCCATCATGGGCCTGTTTGGAAGGAGCGCATCCGATTCCCTTCTGCCATTCTACCAGAATGGCAAAAGCAAGGGTCCCTCCGTTGGAGCCAGTGCGAGCTTCTTCGGTTCACGGCGCGGATCGCGACTGTGCGAGCGATGCCTTATTTTGATGTTTTTTACATTTTTTATCGCCATTTTTATCAGCACAATTCTGTACTTGCCCGATATCTCTACCAAAGTGCACTCCGTGGGAAAGGAGTTTCTCATTCCGGAACGGCCTGTGGAAAATGATATCGCTATGCAGATTAAGAAGCCTCGACATAACTTTGTGATACCTGCCGATTTTACGGGCGCGTCAGCGCCGAAGAAAACTCTCAGCCGCAACAAAATCCAGTCGGAACTGGATGGAAAATTGCACGATAAAGGGAAGGATGTGGAGCAGACGGATCAGGACGGCGAAAAGCGATCCGCCAACAATGAGACTGAAAAACGCAGGCAGCTGATAATTAAGGTAGATGCGATGATTGCTGTTGTTTGCGGAGAAGAGCGGGTGCATTTTATTATTCATTATTCTAGATGATGGTCCATGCATGGTCCAATTATGTTAAATATGCTTGGGGTGCCAATGAGCTCCGTCCCGTCACGAAACGCGGCCACAATCCGTCCATTTTCGGTAAAGCCAAATTCGGAGCGACGATTGTCGACGCGACGGACACGCTGTACATGATGGGACTACGGAAGGAGTACCAACAAGCCCGCGAGTGGATAGCGCAGAATCTTAACGTTTCCGCTAGTGTAAGTGGCTCTCTATTTTTATTAATTTTTTTGCGGCTTGTGATAAGTATACGATTTATTCATTTTTTCATTTTTTGCTGTGATGTTCGTCTTGCTGGTATTCTGTGTTTTGCATAGAAAGTTGTGAAGTGAAGTTTATTGTCCTTGCAACGGAGCGGTTGCCCCCTCTAGGCTTCAGACAGTAGAAAGAAAACAGAGTTTAGTAGGAACATTGAAAAAAAAATAACAATAAAACATGAAGGTCATTTTGACATTACGTAAAACAAGCAGGAAAAAAATACGCAGAGATCAAGCTTTAGCCATAATCACATGAACAGGCAGAAAGAAAGTCAGTGCTTTTGTTACGGTTGCGATAAGTTGTATTTACCTATGTGGAAAATGGGAGGGAGACGATCGCGCTGGGGTCGATGCGTAAAACCAAAACCCACATACTTTATAAAGTAGTTATTTATTAGTTTCCAAAAATTTTCAAAAATAAAAAAACCGTGGGGAAAAGGAAAGCACCGACACTTACGCACGTAATCGCCTTTTAGTTGCGTTGTTAACTATATCGCAACCGTTGAGATAAGAGCAGAAAAAGTAAAAGCCGTCAACACTAAACATCAGGTAATGCACGAACATTAAACACAAACATGAAGTAACTGCACTAAGCACATTCTTTCAGGATTTTCACTGATGGTAAATCGTTCAGTTCCACGGTATCCAGGGCATCGGAAAAAGTGTTCAACGTGACATATGCGACAGGTTGTAACGGAAGGTCATTCCAAACGGACACAAGTCTGCTGAGGTACGATTCATGGGATACTCGGACTGTTCTTCCACAAATTGTTGTTAAAGCCGGTGTGAGTGGACACGGATGTTTCATGAGACGTTCAGATGTTCTTGTGTTTCCTGCAACAGACTCAAGCACAGCAGCCGAAAATATGAGCGGAGATACGACTACGTCTCCCAACGGAATTACTCGAAACGCGAATTTATAAATATAAATCAGAGCTTTTTTCAAACGACGTGTGCTAAGATCGTCCCAATTGAGCTCTTTTAACCGATCAGCGTAATTCAAGACATCACTGCCCAAACGCAGGGTTTTAGTAAATCTCCTCTGACAACGTTCGATTGCTTTTCTCGACTGTTTTAATAACGGATGTGTGATGGAGCAACAATAATCGACAACTGAAAGGACGAGTGACTCGAAAAGCCGTATCCGGGCCCCGTAGTCCGTATACCGAAAAATATGATTAATGTACCTGATTCTACGGTTACATTTTTTTGCAATATTTTCACTGTTAACTTTAAAATTTAACTTTCGATCAAGAAAAACTCCAAGATGTTTAACGTGAGCACACTTCGGGACGAGAACGTTATTTATACTATACTGGTACGGAAAGAGTTTATCTTTCTTTTTCGAGAAATGGACATGGGCGGATTTGCTGGGATTAAGAGTCAGCTGCTTGGAGTTAAGCCATTCACTCAGATACGTCAAGTCTCCCTGCAACAAATGACCATCCGTACTGTTTGCAACGGGACGCAACAGCACAATGTCATCGGCAAAAATGAAAACCGCGCTTCTGTTTTTCAATGCACGGATAATAAAATTTAAGACGCATATGAACAGTAGTGGTCCCAACACTGAACCCTGAGGTACGCCACTGTACACCGGTACCTCGTTGGAAATTTCGTTTTCAACCACAACCCGCTGCAGACGATTTTTCAAGTAGTCGGAGATTAAGTGCACAATACGACTCGGCAAATTCATTTCGTTTAAGGCACTAATTATTGATTCGTGTGAAAGCTTATCAAAAGCCTTCGAACAGTCCAAAAATACGGCATCTACAGCAATACCACTGTTAATAAAATCGTTAACAGTTTTAACAAAAAGAAAAAGCTGTAGTTCGGTTGACCTTTTGTGCCGGTATGCAAATTGATGGTCGAGAAGAATCTGGTTTTTGTTTAAATGGTCACGAATTAGTTGGTCAAGACATCGTTCGAAAATTTTTGACACAGGGTTTAACATCGACACTGGCCTGTAACTGCCCGGTATTCTGCGGTCTGCGGCAAGCTTTGGCACTGGGGTGATGTAAGAATGTTTCCATCTGGCAGGAAACTGGCCTTCATTGACGGCGGCATTAAAAACCAATTTAAGCGGAGCTGTGATAGATGGCGCAGCGATTTTTAAAAGTTTATTTGTTACTTCAAATTTGCCGCTAGATGTTGAAAAAGAAATTTTTGCTAGCTGTTCAAAAATTAACAATTCTGAAATTTCCCAAGTTTCGTTGTTATTACAAATTAAGTTAATATCGGTGCCGCTGCAGTGCTCATTACACGGAGACTGGGATTCACGGTATAAAGAATTCAACATATTGGCCTTTTCCCTGTCTGTGATTGCTAACTTACCATCGCTACCGGTAAGCGGTGGCATGCCGACCCGGTCGTTTGTCGACTTCATATACCGCCAAAATTTCGATGGATTATTTCTGTAAGCTGTGGAAATATCCCGAAGTTTACACTTGCCCAGCTTTCTTATAAGGGTGGTACATTTCTTCGAAAGCCTTTTCCACTTCAATTTATTATCGTCTGACTTAATATTTTGTCGGTACAACCGAAAAGCGCGATCTCGAGAATTTATCATTTTTTTAATATTTTTGGGATATTTCATTGATTTTTTACGTATCTTCACTTCGGTGTATGAAAAAAAGAATTTAGCAATTTCAAGAAAAGTTTTTTCGAATTTATCCGCTCGTTGGTTAGCGCTAAGATTAGCAAACAAATTTATCCAATCAACTGCTTTTAGCGCCTCATTAAAATTATTAACATGGTTACTGTCAATTTTCCACCGCATTACTGTACGAAATTTTTTACGAAACTCTTTAACTTTCAAAAGAAATTCGAAGCCAATATGGTCATTGGTGGAAGAAGGCGGACTGATCGGTTCAGCGGGTTCAAAAAGCATATTTGCGGGTATAAAGCACAAATCAAGACAGTTTTTCTCTCTGGTGGGGAAGTCAATTATTTGCGTTAAACCAAATTCTTCGACCGCATTAAGCAACAGCCTGCTGGCTGGCTTAACAGCTGTTTTATTAATCCAGTCGATATCAGGCCGATTAAAATCACCCATGATTACACATCTTGCTAACAAATGGGGAGAGAAATTGGAACGCAGATGTTCAATTAGAGCAGGAACAGCGTGCATACATTTGTCTGGAGACGAATAGAAACCGATAAAAATTCGTTTGAGTGACCGAGATTCAACACACAAAGTTTCCAGTGCAGGAGACTCTAGTTCAGGCCTATGAGAAGCACGCAAAGAATTGCGTATAACAATGGCCACTCCGCCTCGACCATCAGCTCTTGCTTTTCGAAACACATTAAAATTATCTAGGTCAGCAAAACAGGAATCTGTCGTAAATGGTCTGTCGTGAGTTTCAGTAAGAATAGTCACATCGCTGTTTGAACAGAAGAATTTCACTTCATCCCTTTTGTTGTTAACGCTGTTCACATTACAGCACCGCACGCGGATGCTTTCCAAAAAAAGCGGATGTTTCTGCTGTTTCGCAGTTGCTGCATGATGACCAGTATCGCTGTTGCTCAAATTTTCATTATTTAAAGATGTTAATTTATTGGAACAATGAAAATCGTTATTTTCACCAAAAATCAATGAATTTAGCGGTAACGTTGCACGTTTTTTAGGGAGCTGTTATAAAACATTCGCGACTTATACATTTCTTGGTAAACAGTACAGTATTCATATGCAAAAGCCGCATGCGAATTACTTTTGTCATATTTACCGGCTGTTTTGCAATTTACGCACACGTATTTAAACAGAGGGTCTGTTTCGGTACAATCAGCAGAAAGGTGTTGTTTTCCGCAGTAACCACACACTGCTTCCTTTTTCTCACACCTTGAAGTTACGTGGTAAAATTCGCAGCATTTCTTACATTGCGGCACGTAAAAGTGATCGCTAACGGGGCATGAGTACCAACTCAACAGCACATTCTTTTTATTATTCAAAATATTTCGCGTTTCGGCATCAACATCAATGACAGCTGCATAGGTTAACGGGTTGGGACGATTGCTTGTAAGTTTTTTCACTACTTTGATTTCAGACTCAACACACAAATTTTTAGACTTCAGCTCGTTAATTAAACTATCTTCGGACATAGCAACTGGAACTCTGCGAATTATCATGCGATGTTTGCGGGCTTTCGGCTTTTCAACATGTACTCCAAGCGCTTCGCTATGCTTGTTAAATAGCTCTTCACCTCTTACTACATCATCTGTCGTTTCAAACTCAACAATGACTGACTTACCATAACCCGGGCGGACTTTCGTTACATTGGCACCCTGTGCTCCGGTCGGAATAGTGGTGGACAAGATGTTGCAAAAATCCGTCATTTCCTTTGCTGTTTTACGTGACTGAGTTGACGTAGGCTCATCTTTTGGTTTCAGCACCAGGATTTTCTTGTTGGATGCGCCATCTGGCACTGTTCTTTGGGAGGTCACAGCTGCATAGGTACTTCTTGAAGGGGTCGAGTGCGCATTCTGACGGTGAAGAGATTCGATTTCCAGCAGCGCGGTTTTGTGTAGTTGTTGTAAAGAATCAGTTAGCTCCAACACTGCTCGACCATCAGTGGTCAACGCTGTGTATTCCGCTAACTTTTTACATGTAAGGAAATCCGTAATGAACCGATTGATTTTGGCTACTGATTGGGAAAAATCAAGCACAGGAATTTCTGACGTCTTAATCGAACTTTTACTGTTTTCCCCCATGATGGGGAAAACGAAAGGTCAAGCCTAATCAGCACATATAACTCAATCCGGATACGTTATTCTTCGCTGGCAGAAAAGTTAGATCCGCACGCGAGACTGCTTAAGCGAGACTGCGAGATTCTTAAAAAGCATTTTCTGTTTTCCTCGCAATGCGATTATAAATCAGTTTCGATTTTGCGCATTTATGCAGTCTGCGATCCAAATTCAACGTGGTTGTGTACCTGCCATGTGGAACTGATTTAACAGCTGTAATGCGGAAATGTAGTACCATCCTGTACGCATCGGCTGCTATTTCATGCCGCTCTTTGTTATTTCTGCCCCGAAGCTATTCATTGCTCTCAAACCTACATATTGTATTAATTATCTTGTTGCATTTGCTTCAGGAAGGAGAAGTATCGGTATTCGAATTCAACATTCGGTATATCGGCGGATTGTTGTCATCGTATGCTTTGACTGGTGACAAGGTACTGTCTAATTGTTAAAGGCTGGGTTTTGTTTATGCCGCTGCTCCGTGGACAGTTGGTGAAAAGGCGGCAGACACTAAAGTCAGTTTTCTGCCAGGAATAACAATGCTTTTTAGTCCAGTCCAAGATTATTCTGTATCAGATTCCCAGATGAGTAACTTTTATCTCATAAAATCAAACCAAAAAAAGTATAAAATTTTCAAAATACCAAAAATAAATTCCAATAGCCTTAAAAGTCTCCCTAGCGGAGTTTGGCTCTGTTGGTTCGATAATAATAATAATAATCAGTTCGTCCCAGTTTTTCCTTGGACTGTGTTTTCTTAATCATTATTCACAATTATATTTACAGTTTATATATGCTCAGATTCCGTTAGCGAACAAAAATAATAATTTAGCTTGTTTCTGCCGTATTAAAGTATGCTTGACTAATTGCTACCATTTCTACACCTTTAGATGTTTCTGACCAAGGCAGATGAGATGGCAACAGCCGTACTGCCAGCTTTTGAAACACCTACAGGAATCCCTTATGCTATATTGGACTTGAAACGGTATGTGGATAGGTGGCTTTTTAGAATGGTCGAATTAATGTAATGATTTCTGTGTTAGAAAAACAATGAAAAATTACGGTTGGGCCAGCGGTGGAGCATCCATTCTTGCTGAATTTGGAAGTTTGCATTTGGAGTTTGAATACCTCGCTGAAATGACAGGAAAATCGATATATCTTGAAAAGGTACGTGCACTCAACACAACACGCATTGAAATGCTCGAATGGAGCGATTGCCACTCGTACGAATTAGCATATATTTTGCATTAATGTTTAGCGTGCACTGATTGTCGTTTGTGATGCGTATAAACTGAAATTGATCGATGAACATGCGGTTCTGGTGCGTCTGTAAATTAGATCGTCGCAGAGTAGATAAAAAATTGATAATCTTACAATGGAATATGATTTCGAATCGGTTATGCTGCAGCGACGCTGATTGATGCAGTTTGCGTGGTAACATTTGTTGTTAGCACAGTTAAGAATTTTAAGATGGTTCTCAGGTGCCGTTTTTGGATTTTTTAGGTTCAGCGCATTCGTAACCATTTACAGTCTATCGACAAGCCCAAAGGCTTGTACCCGAATTATCTAAATCCGCAGACCGGGAAGTGGGGCCAGATGCATGTATCGATGGGAGCGTTGGGTGACAGTTTCTATGAGTATCTCTTTAAGACTTGGATATGGAGCGGAAAAAATGATACGCAAGCCAAAGAAATGTATGATACAGCCATGGAGTTTGTGGTCAAACATCTTCTTCAAACATCGAAGAGTGGGCTGAAGTATTGGGGTGACTGGATGACCAACCGCATCGAACACAAAATGGATCATTTGGCTTGCTTTTCCGGTGGTCTTTTTGGTTTGTCTGCCAAGTATGCCAAGGATCCTGACCAGTATCTAACGCTGGGGAAGGAAATAACACGAACTTGTCACGAGACGTATACACGAACGCGTAAGAGAAAGAGTAAAATTACAGTCTAAGAAAAAGTAAAAAAAATTGTCTAAGAAACAGTAAAATTATATTAACGGACTCATTATTATCTGTCGTTAATAACTCCTTCTGTGCAGCGACTAAACTGGGCCCGGAATCGTTCCGGTTCTCGGACGCCGCTGAAGCTATGGCTACGCGAGCTAATGAGAAAACTTACTTGCTGAGACCGGAAACGTTTGAGTCATATTTTATTCTGTGGCGAGTTACCAAGGATCCCATGTATCGCGAGTGGGGCTGGGAAGCCGCTCAGGTGGGAAACCGTTAATTATAGTAACAAGATGTGTTGGGTGTATTTACGAGAGCGCTCGTTACGTTGTTGATTTAATTTCTGTGGTACACACATCTTGTGCGTGTTACGATGCCTGCTGAACGTTCTTACTGCTTTACCAGCTTTGTGTTTCGTCTTGTTCGCAACGTTTCCTTACTTCAGTATTTAAAAATCAGTGACCAAATCATTCTATAGGCTATCGAATCATATTGCCGTGCAGAATATGGTTACTCTGGTGTAAAAGATGTCTACCAGGAATCTCCGATACCGGATGATGTACAGCAAAGCTATTTCCTGGCGGAGACATTGAAATATTTATTTTTGTTGTTTTCCGATGATGATGCTTTGGATTTGGATAAATGGGTACTCAACACAGAGGCGCATCCGATTCCTGTGAAGCGCACGACGCGGTTTAAAAATCATCCATGAGTTTGGCATCCGGTTTGGACTGTTTATGGAAATGAATAAGTATTTGGCAGGGAAAGTTTACGTGATACATACTCTTTTCTTCGGTAATCTGAGTGTGAACAATTCATGCGCCGGTGGAGATGTTTTGCAGTAGGGTGAATCCCAAAGTTTACGATATATTTCAGAGGATTTACATGTGCTCTTGAAGTCGCTGGGTCTGTAAATTTTTTATAAAGTTTTAGAAGTCACTTGAACTGTTTCTGTCAGATGGGTGCTGCGTTGACAATAATGATGCAGGATGTCTGTTGACTGAATAAAGCCTTCAAATGATCTAACAATTTTTTTAATTCAATAAGGTCCAAAAAGAGCTGGATACGCCAGTCAAGTAAATCGAAAAACCATTTTATCACAAGGTTCCGAAACTCAAACAAAGTAGAACCATACATGCGCATTCAAAAACAACAAAAGAACAACAAAATAACTGCGTTTGGGGTTAAACGAAAAACCGTACTTCCACATTAAGTGATATACATGCTTTAAAATCCACGCAAACCATTATACACTTTTGGCTTTATTGACTCCTGCTTCAAAATCCTTTTCAGCACTACAAACAATCAAAAGAACGTTATCATTTCCGGTAGTCATCAGCAAAGCGCTGACGAATTACCTTCTTTATCCTCTGCAGAAAACTGTTCCTTAGGGAAATCCACATCAAACGTAATATAAAGGATACCAAACTGATTGTTGTTTTCATAATTTGGCATTCCTTCGCCTTTCTTCCTTATTCGTGCACCGGGCCAGGTTACGGTTTCTCGTGATACGGTAACCTATTTCATTTGGGCGTCATTTGGCAATAAACAATAATTAATATATGGAACCATTTATTTAATGGATCGTCAAATATCCTAAAACAACCGAATGCTTTGCTAAACCGTCGATCAGTTCCTTCTGCTGTTTTAACTCACAAGGCAGCACGCCACACTTGGTTGCGTCTGTGTTTATCGTAAGTTCACACTGCTTTGGAATACGCATTACCCATTTAACTCACAAAATGGCCGTCAAGGTGTTTTAGTTGCATTTCAAATCCATTCAAAGCATCCAGTAGAGAAATCGTAACGTTGCAATATAAATCATCTCCACGTCGCTCGAATACTGGATGGGGTTTCGTAACAATACGAATTTTGAGATCACCAGGTTCACCGTCAACATGTGGCTCGCCTTCGGCTACAAAAGTGTGCTCTTGTCCATCGTTCATTCCCGCTTCCACTTCAATTTCCAACAGGCGTTCCTCAGTCACGAATCTGAACGACAGAAACATACCTTAAAGGTAAGAAACACACTTCTTCCGTACAATCCCTTTCGGCTACCACGTCAAAACCAGACACTCTTAAACTTCAGAACGCCCAACTAAATGAACCTTACTGCAAACGCTATGACAATTTTTGGATTTAGAAACTTACTGGACGTTGGGGCACTGATCACAGACAGTATTTTGTGTCATCTGGAAGCGACCGGGACCCATTTGATGTGTCACCATTTCCTGTCGACAATTACACTTTCTTGTTCCAGCAGCCGGTTTCGCCACGGGTTTATTGCGAACCACCTTCAAGCATCCAAGTTTAGACAGTTATACGGCTCCCCAGTACGACATATAACTAACACACTTCTACAAAATTCCCAGAATACAATTCCTCCAGCGTCACTTCCAGTTCCAACAGCACGTCCGCCCCGCGCGGTATGTCAGGCTGCTGACGACCGCCGCCTCCGAAAAAATCGAAACCACCGAAGAAACTAAACCAAGAAATAAAAAAATGTAACCCCATGTGAATGCAATCACGGACATTAAGAATCTTCAAAAAAAGACCGAAAACCAACCAGTATGCAATAAAAAAACATCTATTTAAATGTGTAATAAAATCGAAAACTGACATAAATGTCAAGTTAATTCCACACTGATTTTAAAAACAGAAAAGCGGTAACTTACTGGTTAAATTTTGATTTATTACCAAGCTGCTTCGCTAATTTTTATTTACAGTATGCGTTTGTGTTAACGTTAGATATTTATTATAAATTTACTGTGTTAAATTACTGTACTTGTGAGATTGTTTAAGTAATTAAGTGGCGCAACTCCCATACCTCGCGAAAGGATCGCCGTGCATGCTGTCTTGCTTCAAACCTTCTTCTCCAAATCGGTCGTATTTCTCGCGTTTCTCGGCATCTGATAAAACCTAATAACGTCGAAAAAATGAATCGAAATATCGCTACGCAGCATGGCTGCGCAGTTCGGCACAACGGGAGAAATCAATGGCATACTTCATACGCGGATCCCAGATCTTGGAATCTTGCATTTGCATTCGGATCATCTTTATTCTTATCGGGATGAAGATCCTTGGCTAGCTTTCGGTAAGCTTTCTTGATCTGGTTGGTATTCGCATTTTTCGGAACTCCCAAAATTTTATAAAAATCGCGTCTACAAAACAATATTTTCAAATCACGAGTGAGAATTGATATCAACAGCTCGTACTAATGATTCACACTTTAAGGCACAGTCACTGTTCACAGCAAATACATACCCGCACTGGACTTCTAGTATGCTTTGGATAAGAAGGATTATGGTGGATATTATGCAGCCAGAGATCTGCATTGCCAATCACAGAACGGTTTAATCAGCCTTCGGAAAATCTTGAGAGGATCGTGCTCGGCATGCAGCAAAGGCTTTCACAAAGCCCAGCAGAGGTGCAGAGGTCTCGAATCAGTGTTCTAGTTGTGCTTCGGAAGTCAGATACTCCACGGTCCGAAAAATAAAGAATTGAGATTTCCCAGCACTGGTCAGTCGGGATCTGCTCAGTGTGTTTAGTGAAAGAAGCAGTGCAAACCAGATAATTATTTTCGCTTAAAATCTGTAGAACGTAACAGTTTCTTGAAACTCGACACCGACGGCATACACAAATCAGACTGTCTTAACTCGGAACAAGAATCTCACACTGACAATGAGGAGACGCAGAGTCAATGCTCAGAGAACAATAATTAAAAAAGTGAGCCGATGAGCGGCATTATCTTTTCTGACAAATCTTAATTTTCATAACAAAAAACTTCTATTAAATTTAAATTAAAATGATTCAACTCTTTCTGATCTTTTACAGCTTTACTAGTGATTTTTAAATTTTTTGCTTTCCTGCCACATATATATGCAGCCTTACGTGCTACCGGATACGATGTAAACGTGGGACATGCTTGCGAAACGTACACTTGGCCGCCTGTGATTGGATACGCTAGTGACAAACTGAGTTGCTCCTTACTCCACACGAAAATCGTTACACCTAGCGCGAGCGCCAACAATTGTTACTGGTTACAAACTCGGGTCCTTCATTTCGTATTATTTTTAACAATCCGCCAATTGTTGCGGGTTTGCCCTTCTCGTCTGCTTACATATCCTTAATTCCTTATGAAAATAATTAAAACGATGCTAAACCAGTTATTTTGCACCGCTGGTGTTCATACAGAGCGGAGCAAATTGAGTCTACAAAGAAGTATACTTCGTACTTCTGTTATTCTGTTACCTTGTACTGTATGTTTATTGAATCTACGAAGAAATCTTCCTGGGCGACCGGCCGGGTAATACGGTCACTACTCGTATCTTCCCCTTGCTGTCCAAACTCTGGGAGAATTCGAAGGACCAGCTTATTAATGGCCTTGATCGTATCATTTACAAGAAGTACGACGAAACCAGATCTAAAAGCCTTCTCGGAGCCTAAATTAATACAACTGTATAATACTGCGAAGCGCCTTGGTTTCGCACTGTTTACGACACCACGACTGGGGCCAGATAAAGGCAGTGGCGCAGATCATTTTGGTTATATAAAATATGTAAGGTCACTCTTCAATAGTCAACCTTGTAATCCAGAGCGTGTTCTTCTGTAACCTTTATTCGTTTACAGCTCGCAACACACTGGCTTTTGCCGTAAAACATAAATCTCTTTTATACTCTTTTTATGACAGTTATCATCCACAGGATCTGTGGGAATATACTAGCGCCCATCAGATATCGGGCTAAGAACAGCGAACGTTCAGCTAACGTGCATGACACAGCATGCCCACAGACAATAGACTTTAAACTATCGGACATAGTTTATATAAACATAAATTATCCACGCGTCTGTGGCGTGACACTGCCCTCCGCCTGGTGTTTTGGTCCTCCAAAACGGAAGCCTATGAAAGGGGGGCAGTCGGAATGGTCCGGAAGTGTCCAGGCAGGTCGGCTGACGGAATATCCGGGTAAACCCGAGGAGTAGTTACTACGGCCAGGGGAATCTCGACGCCTGGTTCCATCCGCGCTTGTCCAGGCTCCATGTCCGCAGCCGGTCGTCGAATCCTGCGCTCCCATTGTTTCCGACATACCGTCGTTAATCGCGAAAATCCGTTGCACATGCAACACGCGAAAACCACACTTCCAACGAAAAGTATGATGACGATGGCTGTGATCACGTACTTGATTATCGTGACCCACGAAGCCACCAACGGTAGTTGTCGTCCAGACTCAACAGCTGTCTGTACGAACTCGTCCGCATGACGAAGGCCATTCTCTTCCATCGCCCCTGCGATCTGAGCGAGAAGCCCATATGTGTACCGGTGTTCACGACTAAGAGCGTTGGACAACGCTTTGTGAGACAGCTCGGTTGACACATTGAACTTGGCCAGCAGAGACTGATGTGATAGCCGCTGTGTCGGCTGCTTCCGCATCCAGTCTCCGTTAACAGCGATGAACGGTAAACCGTTTAAATTCACAATTTCAGAATGCCAGCAGCATGTCTGGAATGGAACTAAACTGTACCCATCGTAAGCTATCGTCCAGTTACGATAGCGGGGCTGAGGCCCACAGGAGGTTGGAAACACTTCGATCTCCACTTCCAGTGCTTGGCACTGTTGCATGACGGCGTAGCTACCAAAGCTACGTACATGTTGACAGGTCGTGTACCCTAGCCGTCGCGCGGCCAAGATCCCGCTAACATGGGATAAGGTCACGACGTCCCACATCAGAGACTGATCCATCTTGCACCTCAGCTGGTTAGTCGCTTCGACCAACACGTTCTCGTGATCCGTTAATGTACTACGGATCCACTGAAGATGACTCGCCAGATAATCGGCCGAGCTCAACACTAAACCGTCACTTGATCGGTTTCCAGTTCCAATCACCGGTGCTTTAGCTGGGCTACTCCGGAGCCCACTAGCACTCCCAAGGACAATCACAATACCAGGTTCATTTGCCACCCGGTAAGTTAAGGAACTGTCAAAACCGCACTCAGCGGTTTTGTTACCAAGCAAAAACTCCATTTGCGCCGCGGGGTCACGGACCCGAGTTGTATTGGCGTCTTTTAAAAGCGTTCCCTCACGGGCCGATACCCGTTCCCATCGACACGCTTTCGCGGCGTATTGTTTGGGTTCCCAAACAATCACGCGATGACCAAACCACGCCATCCCATCTGTGGCCGTAGAAAGGTCACCGAATATGGATCGCACTACGCAGGTCGGGCATTCACGTTCCAAAGTGACATGCTCGTACTCGCAGTTCCGTAAGGTGTAGTTCTTGGTTTGCATCCAAGACCCGTCACCAGTCGGTTCCTGTATGTAAGCCCAGGTCAACCCTGACTTCTCCATGGCGTTTTCACCACACTTCCCGGTCCGAACCATGTCCCAGCACTCATTTGCTCCGGTGTCTCGTACTGATTCACGAAGTACGGTGTCGGTCCAACCGGTAAATCCTTCTTGGACTGAACGGATCCGATTCCATGTTCGACAGCTGTACCCTTGGAACATCTGACCAGTCTTTGCGGCCTCCAGGTACACTTCAAATTTGATTGGCGTTCCTTTTAACGGCCCTTGATAGTCACGACACGAGGCTAAACCTTCGAGACTGACTACTCCAAGGTATGTTGGCTGGCTACAGTTGCATCCCACCACTGGGACTGCGTGTACCAGTCGAGCCATGAACCACAAGGCTGCCAATGCTACGATCCACCACATCGAGCATGTGACCTTTGCCTGTCCCTGAACCGATAATCGGTTTGGGCATCGACGAGGTTGTTTCTGTTTACGCGGCTGATTTCCGACTACACGAGCCGGTTCAACCCTTCTAGGTTGAGCGAGTATAACGTTGCACTCGTTGACATAGAACTTGGTCTGAGTGGTCGCTCGCCCGGATCGGCGCAGCGGTTCCACATCAGATGCGGCACCCCCGCTGTCGGAGTCGGTACCATCTGCATCCACTTCTGGTTGTTTGGGTACGGGCTCACCAAACACTGTTGATTGGTCCTCGTCTGCTGATTTTCCTTGAGGGATACTCTTTTCTTGTCTTCCTCCCGCTGAAGAAGATAAGAAAAGGTCATCTCCACTTTCCGTTTTGTGGATGACTGACTCATCTTTCAGGGGTGCCGTGGGGATCCACCCTTCCCCTTCGCCGTCCTCGGAATCCTCGTACAACTCGTTACGGTCATAGTATCGTTTGAGTTTACTCACGTGGACAACGAACTCTTGCTTCCGTCTTTTACCTTGGGTCTCGACCCGATAGGTAACCGGAGACATCTTGGCCAAAATACGGTATGGACCATAATACCGGCTCAAGAGTTTGGTCGCCTTACCTTTCTTACCCGCGGGGTTAAAGACAAGGACTGCTTCACCGGGTTCGTACTGAACATCTCGGTTGGTATCGCGTCCAACGATATAGTTCTGTTGGACCTCGATCTGCGCACCGGCTAGTGCGTGCACTTCTGCCAGCCGCTGTCCGACGTCACCGACAAACTTCGGGACATCAGTCGGAACTAATACGTCCACCGGAAGTACGGCTTCTCGCCCATACAACATCCGGTACGGAGAAAACCCAGTCACATCGTGACAGGAGGTGTTATAGGCAAAGACCACGTATGGTAACGCTTCATCCCAAGTCTTTTGGTCCTTATCAATGAACTTGGACAGCATCCCGGCAAGGGTTCGGTTAAACCGTTCGCAGGACCCGTTGGTCTGAGGATGGTAGCCCGAGGTAACTAACCTTTTCACGTTCAAGAGCTTATAAAGCTCGGTGGTCACTTCATTTAGGAACGGAGTACCTCGGTCGCTGAGGACTTTCAAGGGAATTCCGTGACGTAGGAAGATGTCGAACACGAGAAATCGTGCGACACTCTCCGCCGTTTGCGCAACCAACGACTTTGCCACTACAAACTTGGTGAACAGGTCGGTGGCCGTAATGATATACTTCTTACCACCACTTGACCTTGGTAACGGACCAAGCACGTCCGTAGCCACAATTTCCCAAGGGCCTTCGGCACAAAAGGGCTGCAGTGGCCCCGCCGTAGCCGTGGTCGGAATATTCCGTGTCTGGCACGGTACACATGTCGCGACGTAACGTCGGACATATTCCACCATAGCCGGGAAAAAGAATCGTTCCCGGACCCGATCCCACGTTCGTCCGAACCCGAGGTGCCCTACGTACTTCTCGTCATGGCACTCTCGTAGGATCTCTTCACGGAGCTGCTTTGGCACTACCAACAGCAACTGCTCCTCTTTGGACCCGTTCGCCCGCCATCGACGATACAAGATCCCGTCCTTCAACACGTACGACTTTCGTACGATCGTGCCCTCCGCCTCGGGTGGAAACTCCCGAAGGCGCTCCAAGACAAACGCGTCCTTGGCCTGCTCGGCACGGAAATCTCTTTCCGGCCGGTCAACAACAGCAACGACCATGTTGACCTGTTGGACCGGTGGATAACGCGACAAACAATCACCATCGTGGTGAGTCGCTCCCGGTTTGTACCGGATCTCCAGCTCAAACTCTTGCAGCCGCAGCGCCCAGCGCACAAGTCGGCTGTGAGGTGTTTGGATTCCCATGATCCAACACAAGCTGTGATGATCCGAGAAGACGGTCACCTGTCGTCCCAAGAGGAAGTGACGGAACTTCTCAAACGACCATACGATAGCCAACGCCTCGCGTTCGGTAGTATGGTATCGCGTTTCAGCGTCCAACAGACGCCGACTTCCATACGCGATCGGTCTCTCGCGACCTTCGTCGTCGCGTTGGACCAGCACGGTGCCCAGCGCGTACCCCGATGCGTCGGGGTGCATCTCTACCGGTTTCTCCGGGTCGAAGTGTGCCAGTACCGGTGCGGTACACATGGCCACTTTGAGGTCGCTAAACGCTTCCTGCTGAGCTTCCCCCCAGAAGAAGGGCTGGTCTTTCTTCGCCAGCGCATGCAATGGCGCGGCGATATGTGCAAAGCTCTTGATGAATCGGCGATAGTAAGAGCATAAGCCCAAGGAACTCCGCAGGGCTTTCAGGTTCTCCGGTTGTGGAAACTCGGCGACCGCCATAATTTTATCGGGGTCCGTTTCCAGTCCTTCTCTGGTAACGATGAATCCTAGAACCCGAACCCGGGCCTTGAGAAAATGACACTTCTCCGGTTTTAGAAGGAGTTTCGCATTGGCTAAAGCTTTAAACACCGCCTCTAGTGCCTCAAAGTGGCGTTCGAGTGTGGTCCCTCCGATGACAATGTCGTCGAGGTACACGAACACGTCAACCCACAACAGGCCACTAAGGACATCGGTGATCATCCGCTGAAAAGCAGCGGGTGCGTTCCGTAGGCCGAAAGGAAGAACTTGGTACTCGTAAAAAGCGCGACCAGCCTGAAAGGCTGTGATCGCCTTCGAGTCTTCGGCCAAAGGTACTTGCCAGTACCCAGACTGACAGTCAAGTGTCGTGAAGTACTTCGACCCACTCAGACATGTCAGACAATCCTCCACATTTGGAAGCGGAAACTTGTCGGGTACGGTCAACGCGTTGACCGCCCGGAAGTCCTGGCAAAGCCGGCGCCCCTTCTTATCGGAGCCCTTTTTAGCTATTACCACCGGACTACTCCAAGGGCTCGTCGACCGACGAATCACGCCCTTTTCCAACATACTTATGACCTCTGTGTCTAACCATTTGAACTCTTCAGGCGAGTATCGGTACTGCCGTTGCGACACCGGTTGCGCACCAGGTTTCAACTTTATTTCGAATGGTGACACGTCTGCATTACCCATGCACTTGTCATTAGTATGAAATAGATACATATATCTATTAATCAACTTTAGAACTTCTGGGCCCACATCTCGGGTCTCCAGGTCACACACGTCAAAACTTTCTATCGACAAAGTTTCCCACGTGTAGTCCCACGCTGACAGGTCCAGTTCGGCTTCGGCACCTGTAAGACGCGGAAAGTTAGTATTAGATGGTGCAGTTTCAACCATCAATACTTCTTGGAGTACCTTTGGTGGCTCTTGCAGCCCACCTTGGTTCCCGCTGACCAGTCGTTGGGACGTCACGTCCACAAGCAGGTCCAGCTGTTGCAACATGTTGCAACCAATCACTACATCGTGACCTTTCATGGCAAATTCATCGAACACGATGAATGGGACGATATCCCGTTGCCCAGCTGTTGCCACTTGCAACAGCACCTGTCCCTGGGCCTCCATCATCTGTCCGTTGGCACACTCGGCTTCGATGGTTGAAGGAGCCAAATCTACTCCCAACAGGTCCACCAGGGCACGCTGGACAATGCTGATCGTAGATCCAGTGTCCACGACCGCTTCAAACTGTACACCATTCAACTCGATTGTGACCTTTGGCAATGGGGCAGTCAACACTGCTCCGGCCAACCACACGACCTCTCCTACAAGAGAGCGTTCGTAAGCGCGCTTTCGGTCAATTACATGCCGCAGGTCGTTCGACTTGACCAGCCCCCTTGGCCCAACCAGCGGGGTTGTCTTGTCAACAGAGAGGATTTTCTTACCTCTCTTTGGGTGTGCTTCCAAAACACACACTTTCTGCTTCTTGGTTAAAGCCAGCTCCAACTCCTTGGCCGCTAGCTCTAACTCCTCGGCGGTGACCCCGACCTTCTGGTCGTGAATGCGCATCAACGTAGCCTGACCGTCAACCCGTGACAAGCCCAGGCTTAACTCCACCAAGTGCATCCGGTTCAGCTTCACATCTGCTGAACCAATACGTCCGTCCAATGCTTCCACTTGCATTTCCCTCCGGATGGTGACTTTATATCCCACAGTCTTGTCCGGTATGACGACGTTCCATTCCACGATGCACTTCCGAGTACGGACTATATCCGCCCCGGTCCGACCATCCAACAGTCCGACCCGAACCTGGATGACATCCATGGGCACATCGTTAGCAAACGACGCCCGAACCCGCAGCAGTCCATGACCAGTCACTGGCATCATGGAAACTTTGACCATTGGTGGTCCTAACAACGACTTTTCGTGCCCCATTGTCACGTCGTTGTCCAGCGGGTTCACGTCCTCCAAAGCCCGCTTCACCGGCGCTTTGGCGACGGTCTCCTTCATCGGCAGCGTTTTCAACGCCCCGACCATGCGTGGCACTCCTGGTTCCGACTTTCCCGGACACCATTTCAGGCCACCGCGGTCATTCGCTCCGGCCGGTGCATTACCGGCCACCGGTTGCGGTGGCTTACTACCACCCGGCTGTTTGACCGTGCTAACCGATGGCTCCGATTTCTTCGGCAGCCCTGTCGGTTTTCGCAAAGCTTCGTCCAGCTTCTTCGCTGCGGTGCCCGGTACCTTGACCGCTGCATCCGATTTCACCGGCACGGGGTCCAACTTCCTTGGCACCACGTCCGGTTTCTTTGATCCACCGCTTGGCTTCTCCACCACGGTGTCCGCTTTCTTCGGTGCGACCGATTTGGCTGCGACCGACACGTTAGTCACTACCGATTTAACCACCGGCTTCGGCGTGACTTTAGCAGTCGGTTGCGGTGGCTCCGGCTCCCGGACTTCCACTTCTACCGGCTCGCTGTCGGAACTCGGCGGTGTCCACTCTCCATTGTCCGACACCCCAAATTCCATAGCCTCCTCATGACCGACTGACAACTCCAGTGCGTCCGGTTCCGGTGCAGGCGGTGCCGGCGCTGGCTTTCGTTTTGACGGCAGCTCGTCTTCTGAGCTCGTGTCGCTGTCCGATGTGGTCGGCAGACCGGCCACTTCCGGTTTCTTCCGCTTGAAACTCCGGATGCGTGCCTTAAACGTCGGTTTAGCACCAGCTGACTTAAAGGTCACTGGTCTCACCACGCCTCCACTGACACGCCCCACCACCATTCGGACTTCCGCTCTGGTCTTGGGTTTATTTGATGGACACTCCCGAGCCAAATGTCCCACCTTCCCGCAGTTGTAACAACTGCGTTGACCTCCGGGGGTTGGTTTACCTGTAAAACCACTTCCCCCATGTTTGGCGGTAGCCGGCCGATTTGCCGACTCACCATCCCCACTACCAGACGGGTTCCGTCCGAACGTGCGACTGCGCCATTCCTGACGCTTCGGTGGTCCGAACCTATTTGACGGCTTCGGATGCCCTGTCGTGGCCACCGTCGTTTTAGCATTGTCACATTCCCGTTGATCCCTCCGGCGAAGCGCGTTTTGCGCCATAGTTAGCTCCCCATAAAACTCCTGGGGAGTCTTCGCCTGTGACAACACGACCATCGTGTTGAAACGATCGAGCAGGCCATCCTTAACCTGTTCGATGACATCCTCATCCTTCATCTCTCGGTTGACCAAGTAACATTTCGTTACTTTCTCGTTGAAGTACGTCGCGATATCTTCGTCTGGTTGCTGACGTCGCCTACGTAGCTCGCGTTTGTATTGTAGAATGAGGTCCTTCGGGCGGAACCGAGCGCGTAACTGCGTCTCGAACGTTGCCCAACTCGTGAAGCTTTCCGTCCCGTCCTTGGTGGTGTGATCCCACCACTGCCCGGCAAACTCCTTCAGGCACAATGGAACCTGGCGCAACTTCTTGCGCTCGTCCCATTCTAACGCTGCAGCATAGCGGTTAAACTCGCGTAACCACTCATCTACAGCGTCATTCACCATGCCGGTGAATATCGGTGGACGACTGTCCGATGCGATCTTCAGATCGCTAAACTCCTTGGCAATTTGCCGCGAGTCTAGAACAGTCGGCGCTGTCGCTCCACGCGCCGTCCCCTGCGGTGTCGTTTCCACCGACGGTCTACTAGTGTTGTCACCTGGTGTCGTCATGTCCCCAGTGAACAACCACTCTAACATCAACCTCTCCCTTAATCCGGGACGAGCGTTAGCTGGTATGTACCGTTACTGTTTAAAAACAGTCCACGGTTTCGGCACCAATTGTAAGGTCACTCTTCAATAGTCAACCTTGTAATCCAGAGCGTGTTCTTCTGTAACCTTTATTCGTTTACAGCTCGCAACACACTGGCTTTTGCCGTAAAACATAAATCTCTTTTATACTCTTTTTATGACAGTTATCATCCACAGGATCTGTGGGAATATACTAGCGCCCATCAGATATCGGGCTAAGAACAGCGAACGTTCAGCTAACGTGCATGACACAGCATGCCCACAGACAATAGACTTTAAACTATCGGTCATAGTTTATATAAACATAAATTATCCACGCGTCTGTGGCGTGACAAATACTAGATATCAACGCAATATAGGGACTATTTTTCTTAGTCGTATTCGCTGTTTACATTTCAAGGTAAATGATATCATGTGCCAAGTACCTACTAATTTCTCAGGAAGTGACATACTTCTATATCTGTAGGTACTTTATGGCAATGTAAATGCAGCTTGCATATGCAGATATGCTGATGAAAAGTTGTGCCGATTTTATAATTATAAACCTAGAAATAACTTATATACTATCAGGGTCTACCCTACCGTATATATGTATGTAACAAAGCACAAGCCCTGATATTACGACATAGAGATAGTTCTACATGTACGTGACCTTTCTTTTTCTTGAACATTACTGCACGACAGGCCTACCGACCAGTATTATTCCATACCAAAAAAGAAGACAGTTCTGAAAATGTGAAATTGAGTATGTATTAAATTACTAATTTAAGGACTTGCAATAGAGTTACAGAAACAATGCATTAGAGTGAAAATGACTTTTATTTACTTCACGTAACGTACAGGTAATGATAAAATTCATACGAGTATGGCAAATATAATTCAACCTGCCGGCTATGCCTAGAAAGTAAGTAATTCAACACATTTTTGCAGCCTTGATAAATGTTGTACGAAGTCCTTAAATACTCGTACATCTAAAGGGGCATCAATATGTAAAATACGTTGAACAAAATACCTTACCGTATAATGTTGCGCGGTCTTTATATTGATAGAAAAATAATTCTTATGAGGTTCAAAGCATATAACGGTCATTAAATTTGAACTGCACCGCTAACCTACGAGCAAAGGTTTTATTTTATTGTTGCCTTTTTGCGATTTTTCCTGGTTGCATTGCCAGGTCAGCTAACATTTTTACTGGATGATCATTGCAGGTACAGCGCATCGGAGGGAACGAAATATACGGTAGACTCCGGGTTATCCCTGGATAATATATATTTTTAAAACACAAACACAAAATGCTAATATTAGGATCAGGCAGAATTACAATACGGCAGGTACCAGGACAATTTTAATGGTTGAACTTAATGCAGAGGTATTGGGAGTTTGTTAAAAATATCGCAGGTGATATTAGATCCAAGTGCTAATTGCCTCGAACCACATTCTGAAGTGACGTGAAGAAGTGCATTAACCGATTGCGACTGGGATAGTTTGCCTGGAATAGCCGCTACCAGGTTACTCCTCGGTACCTCGAGCCATGCGATTTACGTCTTGCTCAGGAACACATACGCATCCGGATTGCGCAATCATGAACCGTCGCTATCCGATGCATAATTACAGGTGCGAACCTGTCCCTCTTCGCCCGAACATGCGTGTCGACTATCTGTATGTGCGACTCCTGGATATACGTCTGCAGCTGTACACATATGTTCCAGTTCGCTTGCTAGCATCCGATCTGCGCGAAATCAATATGATAATTTTAGTCACTGTTGACGTGCAATGTGTAACTGTATACACGGTATTTCCAGTGGGGCTGCGATACGGTACTTGTGACAGCACAATTTAATTCTCCATACTTAATTTCACTACCGTGCAGTACTTTGAACTGCTGCATTTTGCCATTAGTGTAATTCTATACTCGTGTTCGGTGCATTCTCTAAGAACCGGGAAGAAAATAAATATCGGGAACGAAATAACCTTTTATTACTTATTTGTACTACATACCTATATTATACCTGGTATTCCATGGCAAATCGAATTAGAGTATGGGACAAGCAGTCACAAGCTTAACTAATTAAACTGCAGAATATGTATTCATAGTTCAGGGTGTTACTGGATTATTATGACTTTATTAATGCGATTACCCAACTGAGATAATTTGCGAGATTTTTCGGAAGATGGCATTTATGGATTAAAATTATATGACTTCGAGTTTTAATCAGGCAACAGGTCAAAACCTCTTGCGAATCCTCTTGCGAAAAACTACCCGGCTGATTTCTAATTTTACGCAGATCAGAATTATCCAGTTGTGAACTCGTGAAGCCAATATCGCTACTTCTACATTTAAAAAACGAACTACAAAGGATGAATAACGTATAAACGAAAACGTAATGTGCATTGTACAGTATTATCTGACTGGGTAAGGTTATAGGTGTAAATAGAGATTATTATGCGCGTTTTCCCAAAGGTCAAGAAGGCTTTTTAATTGTATTCATTTTGCCCGGCATCTGATGTATGTACAGTATGTCATAATTATGTGAATTGTGCGCTCATGTGGCTAGTACCAGATACGAGGACAGGGCATCAGCGATGTATACTTGTGAATGCAAAACTGGGTACATTTGTCGAAGACATCTTGATTGCGACGGTCCAGCTTTTCCCAAGCAAGCTATGTTTGGAAGTCACAGCTGCTTATAGCGAACGTTTTCTGCTCTTCGTTGATCATCGCTCTGGTTGATGGCGGCTATTTTTGTTTCTCCACGGTATTCGTATACAAGATAAGACCGTCGGCCGGGTGCACAGCACTTTTGGGATCTTCGAGACTGTCGACGGAATTAGTCACTCCTTCTACTTCCGGTCGCAGAGAGCTGACAAATTGTGAGTTACGGTTTGCCGCGCAGCGAGAGATGGCGCGGGATTCACAAGCGCAACACATCTATTCTTGACCATTCGTTTTGCTTTCGTCATTCTCTCCTGAACAGCAGTCGTGCCGGCGAACATGTGCCTAATGGAGGTCAACCAGGTTCATGGATATTTATAACTATTTCTTACAAATGCGTTCCTGTGCATTACATTTCTCTCTCTCCCAAACAGCAGCAGTGCCGTAATATTTTTTACACTCCTAATGATGTGATTCTCGCGAAGTGCTGTAAAAATAGCCCCAGGTTCATGTTGCTGAGTGGGGATGCCGGCTGCATTATAATGCGCGGCAGCCAAAAAACAGCTTGGTGTTCTTAATTTTTGGAATATGGCTTAACTGACAGCTGTCCAACGATAAGCCATTAGATATAGTCCTTCGCGACAATTCTTGTCAACACATTTTCTTCTGCAGTCACACACTTTTTAACACTGATGCCATGTTAGCCAACGAATTACGACTTGTGCATGTTGTTTAATGTTAGTACAAATGTTGAAAGCTTAACATTAAGAATGTTTACACGAGTCCACTACCATTTCCGAGGTTAAGTGAACTTGGGAAAAAGAACGATCAATCCCATGCCGCCTGCGCCGCTGTATGTAGAACTAACGCGTATTGTCAGCTAAATGTAAGATATATATGGAGACAACATTATATCATTATAACAGTTTTACCACAACGCTGCTCGTAATTGTAACGTTTAATACGGAGCGAGGCGAGCGATGGAAATTTATAATCTATTTTAAACTAAAATAATTACAAAGTATGCAATTTGATGACATAAGCCTAAATACTGTGAAGAATTGTGCACTGCAGGTTTATATTGTTACAAAACTGACGTCAGCTGCAGGTACATTCTTACGCGCATAACCGTAAATAAACTGGAAGATACCGCAAGTTATCCCTAATAATCACCTTAACTTGAGGATAAAGGGCAGCGGTAACAGTTCTGTGGCAAAATTATCTCGTTCCGCCTTAATATTGTGTAGGTTTAACCCGTTGTTTACGCAGACGGTAAATTCCCACGTCGTAAGCCAACGTAAGCTCCGGGAAGCGTGGTTAAATAATCTAAGCAAATCTGCAAGACGTTTTGCATCCATGTGGAGCATTTTACGGCATACCTGCTCATCGTTTGACCTATATGTATCCGCATCATGGAGCGGCTGCACGATAATTATGAATCCCACATACGTAGCTGAGAAAAATTACTGTGCCCAAAATAAAGTACGATAGATATATTTTTAGTACTAATAAGGAAGTTATTCATTATTTTTGTATAACTGTTATTCCTTTAAGTCTATTAATAATGTAGACGGGGAACTGTCTTTATTTAGTCAGATTGGACGGCATTTATAGGGTTTCTGTATTTATCTCTCGTACTGTGACGTGGAACTCTTAATTACTTAATCATGCTGTCATTATTTACAAACATCCTAAACCCACGGTTCCGGGCATATGCTGTGCGGTTCCGGGCAAATGCTGTGCTGACATTACGGTCGGTCATACAATTTGAATGAAGTTATGAATACATTGGTCAGTTTATTGTGCTAACTGTGCATTATTTTTGTACTACCGCAACATAATCATACAGGGAGTTTTACCGTCAAATGTTCGCTGCATTGGAGCAAGGGAATAAAGTTTACCACAAATTAAGCTTTAATTTTAAAACCTAATTTTTTATATATGTTATTTTACTGAAATATTTTATCGGTTTTGTAACTAATGAACTATATTTGCCCATAATGATATGCACAATGGCGAGCAATCCGTAGAGTTTCCGCACATAAAAGTATTGATACTGTGCAACGGTTGGCTACGTTTGTGTTTCGCTTATCAATTACAGTAGAACTACAATATATACAAAACAGAGTGTTTTAAAATAATTACCGTTTTTTAATTTTTAATAATTAACGTTTTTTACGTTTTTTTTATTTGCTTAAAAAACTTTTCGGTCGAGTGCTCACATATATATTGTAACAACAACCAATTATAAACTGACAAACAGCCATGAGATGCATATAGCAGCATGTTCTTCAGTTGATATTTGATTTGTTCTCCATATTTGATTATGTATTGCAATTAATACTGTACGCGAACGCAGACATCCTATTGTTAAGTTTACATTTTTCGAATTGATGCGCGAGTACTGCATGGCTGCTTCTATAGGTGTTTAAACCTAGAACGATGTGGTAGATATACCTAAATACTTGAAAAAGAATTTAAACATTGAACTAGTTGGTTACCATCTTCTAGAAACCGTTATAGCAAGATAAACATTTTAAGTAAGTACAGTAATAATGACCTTCTTAATACGCAACTGCTTTATGGAATTAACTGTTAATAAACGGCGCGCTTCGCGTATACTGTATGCGAAACGCTTTTGTCAGTGTGCATATGCCGGTTGCACCCGCGCCAGGAACTGTATTAGGGAGATCATTGCATTTCTTTGGATAAAGTGATACATCAGCCGATTTACACGAGGAGGAGCCTGCGGTGAAACCGTGTGGTGGGTGTCTGGTTTAAGACTGATTACGTTAGCAGGCACGTCAATGACTGGCACGATGACGCGGAATGTCCCGGTGACGTCGAGGAATTTGAATGTAAAAAGCCCGCTTTACTGCTCGATTTAAAAATCATTTTCCGCTGGGTTTTCCGCACTTCACGCCAACTGTGCAGTACCGAGTTGACTTAACAAAAACATTATAACCGCATCGTTATAATTCTTTTCATTTACTAGTTGTAGTTTGTCTTCCTTTTCTCCTGTATCAACCTGGATTAATAGACCATATATATATGACTCATACTGCGCTTAAGTGCAGAATCGATGACGGTGGGAAAGTTATCTTTAGCTGAGCCGCACTAGACATATGCCGATCGTTGCAAACGTCCAACTGCAGCTGGCAAGTTGGGCAATAATTTCCAACATCTGATGTGTGGTTCATGATCATATGTTTCCATTATCAACGAAGTGGGCTCACAATCATTGAAATTTATCCAATTTCGTTATTACCGGCTTTTTGTGCGGATGCTGTTATGTTCGTACACGGATTAATTGCGCCTTGCAGATTTCGCCGGCACTATTAATTACTGCCGCATCTTATCCGATATACCGTATCAAATTATTAATATGCCACGGATGAACTGAATCCTACCGGACAGTTACGCAACATCTTGGCTTGCATATCCACGTCCATGTTAGTGCAGAGCGCCCACATTTCTGCTTGACTGACCGAAATTCAGTAGGGGAAATACCGGATAGGATTTTTGCCGGCAACACATTTTTTCCCATTGCCACGCGTAGTATGCTAGCACTGGAGGTCAGTACCGCTGCTGTGTCCGATCAAAAGCAAAGCTTTCTCTTAGATGTAAATTTTCCGGGCTATCAACTGTTTGTTGAGCGCTCACAACCTCCTTCCTACCTGTAGACGCAATCTGCACATCACGCAATTAAATAGATTTAGTCACAAAGTTTTGCGTTGCCCTTTAGTTTCCCCAATGTCCACCCAGCAGTCACAGTTACGTGACACAAATATCTCCCTCTTCTTCACCCGTCTCTAATGATGGCTTTTTCTGGGAGCAGAATATTAGCATGTGCGATCCGCCGCCGCCACCCTTTTCTTTCTCGTCCGAACACAGCACCAGCAGCAGCAGCACCTCCGGCCAACTCCATCAGTACATTCATCACCACCACCACCATCATCACCGCGGAGGCGAACAGCGTCGATTCTCCTACGCCGGCACCACCGCCTCCAGCGACAGTGGTGCATACTCCGGCTACTCGGTGTCCTCCATTCTCCAGCCGGCCGAGAGCAGCGACCACCTGGTGGACAGTCTGAGCAGTATGTCCGGCGGATCCCACCTGTCCACCGGCAACACTCCCGAAAGCGACCCCTGGACCACTCACTCCACCCCGCCGCACTCCGCCCCACCCATTCCCCACAATGAACCATTCGATTACTTTCAGCCGCATCCGGTTACCTGCCAAACATCGCTGCCGGCATTCCAGGAGGCCTACGTGAGCAATCCATCCATGCCGCTGCGTCCCACACTGTGGCCCATGCATCCGTTCCGTTCGGCGGCTGCCGCGACGACCAATGCACTGAATCAGGAGCTATTAGCGTCCTGGCCCAGTTCGTCCACTGCCGCCTGTCCACTGCCCATGCCGGGCGATATCAGTCCGTATAATCGCATGGCACTGGGCTGGCCGCCGCAGGATCCTGCCGGCAAATTCAGCCTGGATCGCTCAATGGACCCCGTGACCATGTTCGCTGCTCAGCACGCAGCGGCGGCGGCTGCTCAACACGTCCATCCGTCGTCCGCTGCGGCAGCGGCCACCGCCATGCAGATGCCGGTCTCCTCTGGTCACAGTGACACATCGTCCGAAGCCGGTTCCCTGTCCAGTCCCGTCATGTCGCCGTCCTATTATGCCAGTTCCAGTGCGCAGTCGACCGCCGCCGCGGGGAGTCTCTTTAGTTTTCCCACGCACTACGGTCCAGCGCATCCTGTACTGCATCGGACCAAATCCACGCCGACCACTTTTGAACGCATTGCCGACACGGACACCAGTGGACAAGTCTGTGCTGTGTGTGGCGATCATGCCGCATGTCAGCATTATGGAGTGCGCACATGCGAAGGTTGCAAAGGGTTTTTCAAGGTGAGAATTGCACATTTGTTTACTATCTCAATGGCTGATTTTTATCTGTTAATACTGTTTTTTTTCCAAGCAGTTAAGACGATTTTACCAGAACTTCTACAAATCGTATTATACTTTGTGTGATAATTGCAGAAAAAAAACTATTTGTCGCGCATGAAACTGAGGGACTGGCTAATTTTAAACTAACTAGTCGCTCAAAAAATTCTCTTCTTTCAGTTATAATTAGTTTGCATTCTTCACACGTGTAGCCTAACATTACTAACGCTCTTTGCGTCTGACTGTTTTGCAGTGATCGATGGATATTGCGTTAATTGTCATCCATAAGCTGTATCACAATGCGCAAATTCCAGATTCCCAAAATAAAAACAAATAGGCAGTAAATATTTATAGACACGGGCGTACGCACTTAGGCAGCGCAGTAATATGCGTAATCTCTTCGTGGGGGCGTGTTAAAGGTGAATTAAGGCAGTATCATCGGCTGACCACAAATACCTGCTTATTGTTAGCTCTGCCTTAAACCATTGATACAACTCCAGACCCTTATTATCTTTTAGTGTCATTGCAATTGATTTGCTCAGCTTTGCTCCATGGCTAGAAACCGAAAATACAATTGTTTTTTTACAGAGAACGGTCCAGAAAGGATCGAAATATGTTTGCTTGGGGAATAAGGATTGCCTGGTGGACAAGAAGCGCCGCAATCGTTGCCAGTTTTGCCGCTATCAAAAATGCTTGGCAGTTGGGATGGTTAAAGAAGGTGAGCCATCGACTGTGTGTTTGCAAAAAACGCCATAACTAGGCAAGCATAACGAGGCAGGTGTGTTGCAATAATCTCTTCACTGATGAATTTTGCTTTACTGCATATAACTTATCGCAGGAAATTTTACTGTCTTTCCCTTGTCTAATGGCTAGTTGATTTAATATTAATACGGCTATGCTGCTACAAAAGACGATATTCGTTTCCCTTTTTGTGTGTATTTAATTTTATGACGTATGCTTCTGGGGTATAAATTGTATTCCCGATTTGGCACGGTTTCCCGTTAATAAGTTACTCTTAGTAGCAGCGCAGCCAAAATTAACAGCTATTAGCACGTGCAAGATCGGATGTGTCCGCCGGTGCGTTCTGCGTTCATCCGGGGTTTGTATTATTATTACCATTTCCTGTGTTAATACACTTTTCAATGAACTTTCCCCATCTACCTAGAGTACTTACTTGTCCAGTGAATGTACCTATAGCGTGGGTACGTCTGAGTCAGCATTATCAGACGGTTCTCTGCCGCAATTAAAAATGATGCTACGGCAAAATTACTGACAGAGACTGGGCCAAAGTCAGTCTACTGAATTAAAACCTGAATAAACAGCTCGAAAAATAATGGAAAAGGATATATGAATAAAAAATATTTGTGGTAGGCGAATGATGGTAGTGGAATAGTTTAGAGAATATCTGGATGCAGTGTTGACAATTACAGCTCTGTAAAACTCTAATTATTGTAGTGGTGCGAACCGACAGTTTGAAAGGTCGTCGCGGCCGGTTACCAACTAAGCCGAAAACGGTTAGCGAAAGGGATGCTGCATCGAGCACCGCATCTTCCTCACGTGCCATATCGAATAACGCCCAACGTACCACCGCCACCATGTCCAAAGTGGATCTAATATCCCATTTAGTACGATATCAACAGGAAAGCAATCCACAAGTCTGTTTGGATTATCAGGTACACGTTGCCTTTAGTTATTTAATTCACACCGTGGTTAATGTTCGCGTAATATTGGCCGTATTAGTACACGCGCAGGAAGATTATCGACCTAGCCCAGCCTGGTTTAGGCTCCTGCCTATGCGTTCGAGTACTAAATATTGATGGGTTTAATTATAGAGCATCGGTTCATCGGCAATTAAAACTACTCAGGAGGAAATTGAGCGCTTTTTGAGTATATTGACGCACTCTCTGACGGATATTGTGCTAGTATGGGCGGATAGAATACCCGGCTTCCACGATGTGCCGCAGGATGATCGCGATATACTAATCAATAGCAGTGCACTGGAATTAATATCATTGCGCCTATCCCACAGGTACGAGCGAGCGCCGTGCACGCTTTCCTCCTATGTATAGGGTTAACGCGTTATCCCGGTTTGCGGTTACGCACAAGCGGCACTGCCTTTCTTAATATCCTTGCCCGTCAGTTGTGCGGCTTATAACCGCATATGCATGTGTAACTGCGTGCACACAGGGCGAGAACAGACGTCGGTTGGCGCTAAAATTCCCACATACATAGATGGACATGAATTGGGGACTACGGTGATACGCAAATCCGCACGTTAACGACGTGGGAATTTTTCCCGGTTGGGGAATATGTCCACGTCAGCATAGACGATTTTGAAGGATTGCGCAACCAACGTATATGTGTATGCCGCCGCAGTATACAACAGCCGTCATATGTTTTTGTCAATAGCGATTTTCCATGCACGCATGAAAAGCTGCTTTTTGTTCCTATTGAACAATCTTTTGCATTTGTTATTGCCAGGTTGCTTACCGATGCCGCCACCATGGGCTCTATTGACCGCATCCGCTTCTGCAGCGGCATCACTTATCCCAAAGATGTGGCCATGCGTACCATGGGAACATGGTACATGGAAATTGAACAATTGTCCCGATCTCTACAAATTCTCGATCTCGATAATGCGGCTTTTGCATGCCTGTGCGCACTGGTTCTCCTGCAAGGTACATATGACATATCCGCAATAAGCACATGTGAGAGCAAATTAAAACATAACGCACAATTTAGAGTAATAAACAATACAGTAAGTACAGGTTCCATATTGGCATCAGTACCAATAGCACTAATTTAATTTTGTAGTTGTTCAGCATATTAACGTGAACAAAAGCTACTATTTTTCTACTTTACTGATCCTGATAATGGTTTCGTTCTCTAATGGCCATGAAAAATTACAAATGCTAATTTATATAGCCAATAAAATTTGATAATTTTTTCAGTTTAACATTTCCATTCATATATGCGGCAAATTGATCAGGAATTTCCGCATTAATGAATACAAATCGCACATTATTGACTTTATAGAACTATCGAATACATATTCAAGACAATACATTACGCAACGATTAAACCATTGATATCATACCAGTTATAAATCCATACGTTATTGACTCTGAATTTCATACATGATTTTGGATTATTTACAGATCGTCCATTCTTGTCCAATAGTGCTCCCGTCCTTAATCTCCAAATCAGAATTATTGATTCATTACGAGATTATACTGCTTGTAATGCTCAAAGTTTGCATAACTCTTTTCCTCAAATACTCAACAAAATCCACGAAGTACGCGCCGTTGGTGAGCAAGCCAGACGCCGACTGGCTTACCTCCTGAGCCACTATCCCACCAGTGTCCCCGTGCAACTACGCAGATTCCTGACCAGTGAGGAAATGGAATAATGCAGATTCTCTATCTTTTCTAATTAATTAACGATATTATCTTTTTAGAATTTTCTTGCCAGTTCTATTTATTCACTTAAGAATTGCTGTATTTTTATGCACCTATACCTGATTTGTGAAAAAAGCGTATCAGAGAGATTTTTTTAGAGATTTTACTACAAACTCTACGAAGTCCGTGGTCAAAGCACAACAACAATGCCGGTGTTTATTATTTATATCGCTCTAAGTCTATATAGGAGTGGAAAAAATACAATGCCATTCATACTTAGAAGCTACTGAGTACAGAACTACAGATAGTTAAAAATTCTTGTCATAGGTACCGAACAGTATAACCACAGAATTAATTAAGTAACCGTTCTGCGCGAACTTTATCACATCAATCAGTGCTGTACAAATTACTACAAGTGCTCAACATAAAACCACATAAACAAAAGCAACGTGAAAATCAGGGCACGGTAGTAACAGGCACCCGATTAGAGGAACCAATTTCTTTTCGACTCTCCACAAATCGCTGAGCCGTAGGATGCCACAGACTCCTTGCACGTATGATGCTGTATGTTGCCGTTGGTACTGCAATAGCAATTACATAAGTGCACCAAAGAGTCCAGCAAAAAGAAAACAAAACAGCGTAAGAATTATAAATTTTTATCACGCGTAATGCCAATACTGCAAGGTAGTACTTCTACCGATACTGTATTCATTTCCTGAAAACCTAGCGCTGCATTAATTCTTCGCCAATTGTCTCTTATATGTCTTACATACACATACCAGTATGCATGAACATAACAGTGGAAGGTTGAACATCCAACATTTTCGAAACATTCGGTATCGATGTGCACTGGCGAAATGGAAGGTAAAAGGTCCCCAAGAAAAATCTCACCGGTGTCTCCGATTCCTCCTTCCACTGGCTCGGTACGCAGTACATATGACATGACAACAATCCACACGGTAAGATGTCAAAAACCGATTGCTCAAACGCGGACTGGGTAATCTTAATACTGCATTTCATTTTCCCAAAAGGGGCAGTGACACTCCGTGTACCCGGCGAAAGGTCATGACTTGTGAGTTGCCCGTCACTGACGCTTACGAATAAGAATTCCGGCACTGCGCGATAAAACATCTGCAGCCGAAAAGGCTGAGTCATCTTTTGCAGTCCATGATTTTCATATTTCAGCACTTCAAAAATAAGCGTGTTTTTTTCTTGAACGTAACATGCCAGAAACCGGGCGGATCCCCGAGAGGAATCTTTGGATTCGTTAATGCGGTTCTGGTGTTGCAGCTGTTCCAGGTAGTATGTACTGACCAATTCCGACACGGTTAATCGTCGTACAGCATACAGAGCTTCCACCGAACGGTACATGTCGTTGAGCACATCGACCGCCGGCAGTCGGACCACGTTCAAAAAGTAGTTGCGCATGTCCACGATGGCCGCGTAGACAATCTGGAAGAAAACTTCACACTGGCGCAGTGACTCAGCCACTTTATCCAGTGCCACCACACCGTACTGGAACTCGCTCAGAAGGTACACCCACACCTCCATTAACAACAGATTAATGACGTCCACCCGCAAATTATTCTGCTGCATCACGGCCCGGATGGCGTTGATTTTATTAATAAAAGCGTCTACGGAGGCCTTCTGCGATTCAACGGTGAGCGTCAGTTTGCAAAAACTATAGACGAACATCCTAAAATGCAAAAGAATAACTACAGTTAAGTATAATCCTACTTTATCGCATTAATCTCGTCTCCGTTACTTTTATGGCGCAGAATCTGAAGATTTTACCAGCATGACAGATCAAGGAATAAAAAGGTGTAAATACAGGTACAACCTAATCAACCATGCGATAGTACTCAAACAGTTAGCGATAGTTGTAGCTCACCGTATTTCATAATACAACTGTTGACCATTAAGCCAGATTTTGATGAACCGCAACAACCTGGCTAAAAAATTCTCGTTGGCATCCGCAATAAATTTCCCGACATTCCTCCGGACAGACTGTGCTCCGCTGGTGTCCTGCTTTCTTTCCAAGGCGGCGATAATCCTTTCCGAATGCAGCATACTGCTGGCACATAACATCTGTGTGCAGACAAAATCGCCGGACTTAAGAACTTTACACATCCGCTGAAGACTCCATGCGCGCGGCTCGTCCAATTTCTCACCATTGGCATGCGTGAGAAAACGGGTGATCAGGTCAATGTATAGCATAGCGCAGTCCACCATTATCTAAACTTTAATGCACACACCACACGCGATTATTTTGACAAAATCTCGAAAACGCCTCTGTAAAAACCAATAAAATCCTGTAGGATATACCTCCATGGTCTGCATTAAAATGACGTAGTTTTCTTGAGGGTGCGGCCAATCGAGCTCCTTAAAATAATCAGCAACGCGACCAAACGCCCCAACTATGGCTTCCGCCGAGGATAGCATCGCCAATGAGGGAAAATGCTTTTCTGATTCTTCCTCGCTAAATGTCAGATAATCCTGAATACAACAACATTAAGAACTGTATGGTTCTGGTAGCGAAACACAGAATAACATTCTCCGCAGACAATAAATTCAAAAACATGAATTACAGAAAAAAATAAAACGACTTACCGCGTCAAGGTCGACAGCGGACGCGACATCTTTCCGGATGCGTAATTCAATCGCGTGCAACCACACAGGAACAGTTGCTTTAAAATGCAGATAATATTCGCTGCGAAACTCCCTTTGTCGAACAGGGGAACACATTCGGCTGAAATGTTTTGCACGGACAAAAACCTCGAACAAGCAGTGCGCTAACGGTTCACCAAGGACACTGTGCGATTTTGCATACTCTTCCAAACTGCCGGTGACAAAATCTAGCTTGTCGTATATACTTTTGGCGATCTGTAAAGCACAGTAATCTCATAAAAATAGCACACCAACCGGTTCACAAGGAAAAAATAATACGTGAAACTACAGGGCTTAAAATTTAAATAACCTCCGAAATCTTTCCAAAATAAAACTTTAACTCAGCATGGCGAGTAGTCGCTTCTTACCGCTGGCAATAAGCAGAAATCCAACTGGGTCTTGAGTTGCGTAACAAAACGATATCTGGCAAGAATATGGTCCAGCCTCGCTGCTTGCTCCAGTTTCTGTTCGGCGTACGCCAACATTTCTTTCCATCCACTACAGATTTCCATCGCATCATTGGAGAAAGGCCGCGAAAATTCACTCATCCAATCGGAGCACACCTTTGCACTGTCCTAACACACCCTTGTTCGTCAATAGCATCTACGGAGAATGGCGAGCACTGTCTACCTGAGCGGCAAGCACCACCTCGGTACTGGTCAGTGCTTCATAATTCGGTAGTCGCGAAAGACTAGGTGATCTCGAAACGATGTACAGATTTCGTATAAGACTGCCAAAATTTTCTAAAGAATTTTCATCAGGGAAAAAATGGAACATCCGTGATAAAATTTGGAGTAACGTCTGCACCATCTGCTTGAAGGCAGCTGAAAGGTCATCAAGCTGTAACGGGAGAAATATGCAACAGATAACACTTAAGTATTTATTTAGATTTAGTTTACCTCGCCAGAAAATTTCTGCAGTCCTGGATCAGCAAGCGCCCGAGCAATGAACTGGACGAGAACGGCTGTTTTCGTAGCGTTCTCGTGATTGACCTTAGCTAACTCTTCGATCCATACCCTAAAAAAGGAAAGCCAGCACCATCAATTACATAGACAAGTCCATGCAGTACAGATACTTGCATAAATAATGTCATAACATCTGTATTATCATTCTGTAGATTTTCATTCGCACATACGCTTTCGATGCGTTGAATGTCGACTTCGAAAAATGCAATGCGGATTCTCGTTTCTACAAAGCGTAAAAACAGCATTTTAGGTTTATATGTAACACACAAATAAGTAATAACCAATATGTTTGTCATAAGAAGATTGCGTACAGCAGCCACTTGGAGTTCCGAAGTAACGTTTTCGGCAATCTGAAAAATACCATCCGTTTTGCAAGCAGCCAGCGTACGGCCGGATCATTAATTTGTGTTTCTCCAAAACACCAATATGCTACACTTTCAGGGTAAATGCCGAAAACAAAAATATTCGCAGATTCTGGGCCCCCACATAATTTCGATAGCACGTGAAGATGCTGTACACTGTATACCAGATAAAACGCTTGTCTAGTTCTTTGTATGCCTGTTTTTGTAGGTCCAGTTCAAACTATTGTAAGTACATGATAATTGTAATAATTATTCGACTAGGGTTGTTTAACTTTGTACCCAGTTCTCAGCAGAAGACACACTATGGCTTATACAACTGATTGACTGTTGAGGAAACGAACTCGTAGATGAAGAAGTCGCCGAAGGCACCGCACCCATTTATTAAACTCTGAAATGCTCAGCTGCAAAATTTTCTACTCAAAATTTTAGAGTAAGGAATATGACGCTCCCAGGAAAGAAGTTAAGGTGTTCTTAGAACTAGAATAACCAAAACTTGGAGGCATGAAGTAAGTAACAGTTTATCACTTTGGTATTTATCTAACACCTCCTACGGTTTCAATTTGCGGAGACTACTTACAGTACAGTAGTAGTTTATGCAGATCTCCTTAATGAGCACGCTTCAGAGCCTGACTTTTACACACGATGGGTGTCACGGTAACACACTCAGCGCACGGAGAGGCGTGCGCCAAACGAAATTCTGTTCAACAGCAAAAAAATTTAATCCAATCAATTAATATCGCAGACATGTCATTAGGAAAAATTAAGCGATTAATAAATGCACAGTATCATATTTCAATTACACACTAAGCCAAAATTCTGGTAGCATAACAACACCTTGCTTTGGAAAGAGCTTATGAATCAAAGTACTGCTGGTCGAAAACGTAAGAAAAAAATTAATAATACCTCTAAAAAATGCGACAACAAGAACAATCAGGGTAATCGACATCACAAATCACAACGTTCCATGGGATGTTCCTGGAGCAAAAAACTGTATCCGACGCTCTTGAACTTTGTACTGCAGGATTTTATTAGTTTCGCATAAACTGCCGGGCTTGCGAACATAAATGCGGAGCTGTAACAACAATCCTGATTAAATTCCAAAACTTGCAATTGATAACGTTGACATAACTTTATAATGTCGACATATCTGTACTATTAATCAGAAAGTTATTTCGACGCACCGTGTCGACACTCAACATGGAAAGTTTTTTTATATACTCGGTTTGTTTTCGCGTTTCATGTTCCGTAGAAGTACTGTTCGAGTATGAATTTTTTTTATGTGCATCATGGAACATTGGAACTGGATAAAAATCGCTTCGTGAAGCGCTTTTCATCTAGCAGTCGCAAATCTATAAATCAAAGAAATACCATTGCACGTATACTGTTTTCGCAATTACAACTTTTAGATCTTCTGTTTCACACGATTAAATAAAGGTCAGTGCTATGCGCCCCGACAATCGGGGCGCAAAGCAAAACGGCTGTGCGCCCCGATCGGGGCGCGAAGTAAATTGGCTGTGCGCCCGGTCAGGACGCGAAGTAAATTGGCTTTGCGCCCCGAATTTTCGAATTTGCGCCCGAATTTTCTACGCCAGTAATTATCACGTAATACACTGTGCAATGGGTATTATAATGTTTCCGGAGAGACAGGTGACCTTGAAAGCACATAAACGCATGAACTACAGGACATGTTGATCAGAACAGAAATACGAAAATATCCAATAAACGAGGAACTCAACATGAATATTATTGCTTAAACTGTAATTTGCGTACTAATTATTCAATCATGGAAATTTGCGCAATCGATCCAGGCCCAGAAATGCAGTTTGAAACTCTACGGGATCTAGAAACATATATGGAGGCATATATGGCGAGAACAAACCAGCTGTTCATCAAAGGAAAGAGGACAGATATACTCCGTCCTTCAGACCGATTTTATATCACCCATCGGTATTCCGGCTGCAGGTGGGCTCTTCACCGACGCCGTCATCTGCGCTTACTTGGCAATAACACCACTAACCGCATCGAGAGATTTTTCGCAATGGTGAAGGCCGTTATGCGCGGACAAGGGCGCAGGGTCATTAAACGGATGCATCTTGCTGAATGTATTGAAATGGTACTGGCGGCAGTTAATTCAAAGGTTACTCTATCGGACTACGGAGAATACATGAATAACGCAAAGAGATTAATCATGCACGACTTTCCGGATGTCAAAGTGGGAGAGATGGTCGGCAGACTGTTGACTAATTTTGCCGCTTTGGTGGTGAAAGAACAGTACAAGTTGCTGGCCAGAGAATTCTATACCACAGTATCAACTGGCGCGGATACTTACGAAACCAAACATAAAAAAACCGGAAAAGTGTATCAAATAATTTGCAATCCGGACAGTGGGGAAATGTGCTGCAACTGCTATGTTTCCTGCATGTTTGGCTTACCATGCCGGCATGTGCTTGCAGCAAGGCGGTTCCAAAGTATGCACACATTTGATATTAAAGACTGTCTTCCGAGATGGCAGCGATTGTCATCAGAAAGCTCCGGAGAACAGGTTGACCTTTATCACGACGTTGTGCTTGACGCATTAAGTGGTCACATGGATGAGAACGAAGAAAACCCTGAAGTCGAAAACAAGACAGGAACCAACAGACAAGAAACTGTCTCGTCCGGCAGCCAAGTTTAATGAAGCCTTCAGAATTCTGTCGAAGATCTTTCATCTGTTGTCGCAGCGCAGAATTCAGAAAGATACCAGTATATTTTGCAACAACTGCAGCGTGCCTTGGACCACCTTGATCAAGGGTATTTGTTCCGCGTGTTACCGGTAGTTGAGACGGCGTCAGTGTCCTGTCAGACAGATTTAACTGGAAAAATTGTTGATAATCCTGTGCAGTTACTGGAAGAAAATGCACAAAAAGAGACAGAAAAAAGTCCAAGAAGGAGTTTACCTGAATTTAAACTGTTTCGCGATGCCAGAAATGAACGCGGTCGACCACCAAAAAGCGGCTTAGGATTTTATCGAATTATAAAGAGGAAACAGAATTCCGACAATGGCTGAAACAAATAATCGAAACTGAAATAGTATCAAAACCGCCAAAGAAACGTGGACGATTTACGCACGAAACCAACAAACCGGAAACACCGAAAATGACGCTTTCGGCTGAACAAGCTGCTAATTTGCGAGTTTCTTTGAACTGCCCGCTAAAAGATGATCTTGAAGAGATGAACGGTGTACCATTTTAGTACCTTATTAGAAGATTTCAGTAAATTTTGTAATTGGTTTTACCTGTATTTTGCAAACCCATTAAATTCGGGGCCTGGACGGTTTTCGTTTCCACATAAAATTCGGGGCGCACAGCCAAATTATTTCGCGTCCTGACCGGGCGCACAGCCAGTTTACTTCGCGCCCCGATCGGGGCGCACAGCCATTTCGTTAAATAAATCCACATTAATATTGTATATACCAACCTCGCCGTCCAATGCTGAAGATAAACCACTTCGAAGACCGTATGTCTCCAAATTCCATTCAGCATAATGGAAAAGAAAATTGCGCAGTTCAACATCGGTCTCCAGATCCTCTGATGCACTGGTATAAAGGACTAAGCATCCGTCTTCTACCAAGGAATGCAGAGAATGCACAAAGGCGATGACTGTTTTTAATTCACAGCCCAAATCCAAAATCAAGCTCAGATCCTCGATAACAATGCAAGGGGGACGGTCCGGGTATTTGGCTCGCATTTCAGCAATCACCAGCGAAATAGCTCGGAAAACAGTGTGTAAAAGAGGAGCAGGATGTTCCCCTAATAAATGCATAGGAGATGGTTGGCCAGTACATTCGGTGCCAGTGCAACTCTTGGTTTCCATCATTCTTATGGTGGATACGCTCGTGAAATCCGGATCGTGAGCGCTATAGTACCGAAGCAGTCCGGAGCTGACATAATTTTGAAGGGAAAATCCGCACTTCGTGGTTATTATCTTAGAGTGAATGTATGCTTCGGAAAACGATAGGAAGCAGCACGGATGGCTCTGTTTCAGAAATAAGGACAGAAAATGTAAAGGGACGAACGAGCCTTGGGCTCTGGGCACTGGCTTGCCGGAGTACTCTAAGTCGCAAATGGAAACCACACGGCCTAACAGACTATGGAGGTTTTTTTCATCGATGTCCAAATATGAATTCATCTGGGGGAACATTTTTAAATGAACAGCAAATACTGGTGCGAAAACCTTCAGTTCTGAGCACTTTGTAGTTTGTAGGTATGCGACATGCCCTGCTACTTGCTCCTTTATTACGATACTTTCGTCGTTTTACAACTTTTAATCAGGGCAGGAAAGCCAGCTGGCGAAATGTCGTTACACTCACCATACGACGCATACGTACTTATTTTATTGTGTTGCATGCTGGCCGTCTCCCGAGTGCGGTCCAATGCAGGTTCGGTTTAGAAATGTCACGGTGCTTGCAGTTGCGGTAGTGTTCAACTATTCGGAATATCTCTCCCACTTTTGTGTTTCCGTTCCAAATGGATCAACGGTTTCGAAGCCTAAAAAGGATGAGCGGTTTCGAAGCCTAAAAACAGAACAATGAATTATATGCGAACTACTGCGGTTTCCGTGACCTTCCCTGCTCGGCCTGTACCGCAGCTGCCCCTGCCTGGTCTTACGTATACGAATGTTGCTGCAAAAGAAGTTCTACGTACACGACAAAATGGACCAGCTGCAGGCCATTGTACGTCCGGCATGAAATGTTCCGGTGGGTTTTGCTTCAACGATTGTAATTACTGCTAAACAGCCAGTCCAAGTTTTTATCGAAAATTCTGAAGCAGAAGTACCGTATCTGCTAGATCCCGTTTACTTAAAGTCCCACATTTTGCGGACAATTTCGGTTCTGTAAGAGTTTATGACCGATTGGCTGACCCTACACCATAAAGCTATGGCAAAATACTAAGGTATTAATTTTGATTTCAGACATTGAGTTAAAACACTTAGAAGAACCCGTAGAACACGTAGAAGTAAAAAAGAATACTACATATGTTATAGGCTACGTATTTCCTGCGTTTTTTACTGCAGAGCTACTGAGTAAGGTTTTGTAGTGCGCAGGGCCGGACTCTGCAGCTCGTACTGTAAAAAAACACTCTGTGCCAGCTCGAGTACAGACATTTTACTGTACTTGTATATATCGATGGTTAATTACTGACTTACTGTTACAGGTATGCTTTCGATTTGCTTTGCGACAAAACCGCCCGAAATTTTTTATTGCTTACCATTATGATTAGCTATAGGAGTATATTAGTATTTATTTTTATTATTTATTTTTATTATTAGTATTTATTTTTATAGGAGTATATTAGTATTATTTACCGAGCCGACAGAGGTGCTGGAAATGACACTGCTGCAGTGTTGCTATACTGTAGCTAACACTACCAATCTTCAACAAGAAAGTCGCGATAATTCTGGTTCGGTAGATCGTTAACGCGTAATACTTGGGCCAAAACGATTATGAGTGAAGCGCAGAGGAAATTAAAAACTATACATCGCCGCAAGGTTGCATATTTTTCTAATTGCCAGCATAAAGTGCTGATATGTGTTTAGACGCATTAGTGGGCCTTTCTGAAAGGATTACAGTGCTTTAATACGTTAATGTACCTTAACGATTTCTTAGATGTGCTGAAATGCCTAAGTACTGCTGGCTCCGAGTCTAATTGATTTAATATTTGATAAACAGCAGTATCGCATAGTATTATTAATTCATTTCACACCTCTAACCAAAATATGTACCCACTACCAAGACCACGTACGCTGTCACACAATACCAACCAGTTAGCAACCCTAAACATGCAAAGATGGCATACAAGCGGCAACCGAAGTACTTACCAATAAGTCAGTGTTCTCGCCCAAAAGTTCCACAAATCACAAGTTGCATTTGAGCATTAAAAAGTTGCATTTGAGCAGCCAACATAATCAGACGGCTTATAAACTTATGCATCCTTAACTAGTATATAGCTTGAATAAGTATATGAAGGTTAATACGCTTTCACTGCTCTGACAATTAGAACCCGCGCGCAATTAAATTTAGCAGTTTTGTGTGGCTTTTTGTAAAACCGCTTTTATCAATTTTGTGTAAAATCAAATGCAAGTAAAAAATGTTATACTGACATCGTTGTATGGCAGCTCGATTTAATGTCGTAAGCATACGAGTATTGATACTTTTCCGAGATGTATTAATGATGTCGAATGGCCTCACCACGAAACTTCCCGCTGCGAACGAAAATGCCGACCACTTCCCTGCCTGGTCGACTGGACTGCATTTAACGAAAAAAAAAACTTAAGCAACTCAAATGTCGTATTCGAATTTACAACACTTCCTAGAAATATTTGTTTATAAGCAAATGTGTGATATTTTTAGGGCATAAGTTTTTAAAAGTTTACTTTGAAATTTGAAAAAAACTGGAACTTTGGTTTATTGCAAAACTTTATAATTACGCATGTGCGTTCATATGCATATTTTAAAGAAGAACTGTCCATATAGAACGACATTTTTGGTGCAACAGTTTGTGTTCAAGTTCTTGGATCTTTATACCCGTATTTCACTCATATCTTCCCAGCAAAATCTTGTATCTACATGTATGTATGTTTTGTAATTACAATATTATTTTAATAGTTCTCGACCTAGTAATGGTAGCAATCATACAAGTACGAACGACAGAACTTGCATACGTACGACGTTACTAAACAAAATAAAAATTAATTGTAATTAATTTTATGTTACAGATAGCGTACAGAACAATGTGAATATCAATTTCCTGGCACTATCTATCTGTATTTACAATTCAAGTACTTACTATGAATTGTAATTGATCGCATCATTTTAAAGTTCTTTGGGTGCTGTTTTGACTTAATATAGTTATTTACACACTACGAGTAGTAAAGCCGTCTCTGATTATGGATACTTCTACTGTCTTCGGGTTTGGTTCTTGCAGTGTGCCATACAAAAATTAAAAATTATTTGCTGGTGTTGCTGTAACTTCAAACAAATGCTATAAGTTAACAAAACGGTCATATATCACTTATGTGAAGTAAAAACTGGACAAACATAATATGTAAGTAAACAATTTTTTGTGGGAAATTGTTTACAATCAGTGGAATGAATTTGTGGACCCGGTTACATCAGGACACATTATGTAAAGGTCACTTATCAGACTTTAATTAATACGATGCCGTAATTAATTAACGTCAGCCAAAATACATCACCGCTTAATATTGCTGTAGTGGATGCACCTGTCTTAGGTCAAGCCTATCGTTCCCTTCAATAACAATTTGGAACAAAAGCTGCTGGTAACGGCGGGTAAACGTACTGGAGTGAGAACTTCGTTACTGAGGACACCTTCCCCGGAACTGAAAGACCAGTTATCTCCAGACTGCAGAATAAACACTAAAACTTACAAATAGTCCAACTACAACTGACTTTCTTGGCTTTAATAGCACGATTATCCAACAATATTCCTTCTCAAACCATTAGTGTGTACTTAATTAACAACTGGCGTTTGGTAAAAGAAGTTTAAAGGATATATTTTCTCATGTCATATTTGACCTTTCTGCTTTCAGTTGCCGTACTAGCGCTTTTTGTTGAACTGAGTGAATTTGATACCAAGTTTCTTAACTATCAAGGAATCTGTTCCACTCCAGCAAACACCAAAAGGTAGCCAATTTGTAGCTTACTGCGTCGGCTGTGCACGGTATTAATGTCACCGCTGCTGAGAAAACATGTCTCAAAAACTAGCACCTACATTATTTCCTGATCATGATAGTTCTTTGTGAAAGCTGGCAAGGATTTTAGCTGTCCAAAGATGATCAGAGATACTTGAACAAAACACCTCGAGGGCAATGAGTTTCTTCACCCGAAAGGAACGTTTAGTTGGACCGGCAACGCTAATGGTAGCTGGCACTTTTCTCTTTTGCCGTCGACGCACAGTAGCATGCCGACTGCGCGCAAGCCGACGGTCTACCTTTCATTTTGCTAGCAAAATGCTGTAACAAATTACTGAATTGTCCATAGCATCACTTCCATTGCTGCGGCGCCGCATGGGTCTTAACAAAACCGGTTTTGTTTCTGCGCCATAACTGGCTAGTATCAAAGAGTTACTATAGTACTTAGATAAACTTGCCGTGTTGTTCGGGCCGAAAGAAAAATCGATGGCAGTGATGGTACGCAATCCATCTTAAACCTTAACCAGGGCACACGCGCACGCCACTGCACTATGATCCGCCTGTTTATGGCCTTCACTGATTGTCAAGTGGTTAGAAATAATCCGTAATCCAATCATACACTGCACTTAAAGACCACCCCCTCGCTGTGATGCCACCCAAGTTTTGGTTTATGAAAAGGATTAGCTGGCACTGATGACGAACAAAACGCACCAATGATTGGATTGTCAGTCAAAATCTAGCTCGTACAAACGGCAAAGTTATACACTTGCCGCACATAACGGTTTGTATCATCGTACATATGCAATCGTTCTGCATCAGGCCAAAGAGAATTTGTAACGAGCGACATGGGGATACGCATACATTGAAGAAAATTATACACATGGTACAATTGCAATGTCACTGGTGCAGATAGAATATTTCGCGGCAAAACAAGTGTTATATACTGTCCAATGCTGCCGCGAGAACGATAGTGTCATTAAAAATTCTCGATGTTGCGTATTTTCAACTGCTTCCCATTCAGGACCCTTATAAACTGATTATCAACTCAAATATCGAATTGTTAAAGAGCCGTTGATATTTATACGTGCATGGTGGCCCGGTCTGGCCGGCAGCACGCGGTTTATATATTGGTTTATACTGGGACCGGAAGAAAGTGCGAAAACGGAATTTTAAATAATCATTTTGTGGTCTGATCTTGCATTTTAATTGGCTACTTACTTGACTGCTTCTAATCGGTGGAGCTAACTCACTTGACGATTCTTATAGCTGTCCTGTGCTGCTGCAGCCGCCGCTATCTGATTAATTATTATTCACTGGGCATTCGGCGCGGTGTGCATTGATAATAGCCGGATTACTTGATTGGGATTTCCTTATGTTATGTTAATGTCACCGTGCGCCATGGCCTCGTCGGCCGGATCCCCCGCGGGGGGATATATTCCTGTCTCGCGCACTAACTACAACGTCCCATCCGTAATGTCTGAACTGAAATATTCTGACATCAAATATCCGTCTTTTACATCTCCGTCGCCGCATTCCCATCCGGGTAACAATCTTAATGGGCATTCTTATTCAAGTGTACCCTCTTGGATTCCTAATGCTGATCCCAGTACATTACAATGGTCCATGAATGTTAGTGTTAGTGCGCCGGTTAACGGCAACGATATGTACTCCGGTCGGCAATTGCAACCATACTGGCCGACCAATTTCTCCAACACATCGCCTGTCAACGTTTCCCACACAACGACCAACATGGGAATGCCCGTGCAGTCCTGCTACAATACGACACCGCTGTCGTCGGGCCATCCGGGACATGCATCACCTTACAGTTTACCTCCCAGTCTGCAGCCGCAGAATCAGCCACAATCGCAGCCAAACGCACCCATACATCCGCATCTACAGAATTCCGCCTCGCCGCCGTCGTTAGGGCATTATGGGAATTACAATCCCGAACCCCCCCGAATGTTTTCGGGTTCGCCTAATTTGGGCAGCTGCCAGTTAAATGATGGATCTCTGTCGTCAGGAGAAGATCAGGAGCTCGTGGGTGACGCTCCGACATCGGAAGATCTGGAAGCCTTTGCTAAGCAGTTTAAACAGCGCCGGATAAAATTAGGTAGGCTGCCTGGCGCTATGCAGTATGCAAACTGGTCTCTATACTGTACTTAAAGAGATCAGTTTATCATTATTAATTTTTTAATCTGGTAATTGACAGTTGTCGTTTTTTCTGTTTACAACAGGATACACCCAAGCAGGTAAGCAAACTGGCCATCCAGTAAGGTTAAAGCGGTCGGCATGCCGTCGTGAGCATCCTTGCGAAAGGCACACACTGGTAGATTGTATTTCGGCATAAGAGCACAGCAACGGATCCGTCGAGCGCGGCGGCGGCGGCGCACGGCTGCTGTACAGTAGCCTATCATTCTCTATTGACATAACAATGACAAGTAGAAAGCCAACCGATATTTTTTCTCTGCCATCGACAGATGTCGGATTAGCCTTGGGAACACTTTATGGCAACGTCTTCAGTCAAACAACAATCTGCCGATTTGAGGCGCTGCAGCTTAGCCTGAAAAATATGTGCAAACTTCGGCCGTTATTAGCCAAATGGTTGGAGGAAGCCGATAGGTAATTTTTGGTTTGTTTCGACAACTTTTAAACAGAATTTCAGCTGAAGTATTGCATAAATTCTAGCGCGACCGGCTCTCCGAGTTCAATTGACAAGATAGCCGCACAAGGACGAAAGAGGAAGAAGCGCACCAGTATCGAAGTGACAGTTAAAGGAGCACTGGAAAATCACTTCCAAAAACGACCTAAACCAACTGCACAAGAGATATCAAGCCTTGCTGACAGCCTCCAACTTGAAAAGGAAGTTGTACGGGTGTGGTTTTGTAATCGCCGACAAAAGGAAAAACGTAAGCAGCACAAAGGTTGTTTGTAATGTTTGTATGCCATCGCGTAGCACTTCTTTCATTTTCCATAGTTTTGCCCAGCTTTCTTTAGAGAAAATAGTAAAGGCGTAAACTTTCATCGTAAGGAAAATTATTTTGTTTACCTACAGAAAATATCGGACTTGCTGTAGCAGTATTACATAGATTTTAATTCGTCGGAGCTCCTGCTTTATAACGAACAGAACCTACAGCTTAAATTTTTACCGTAGACGAGACAGAATGGTGACAGTTTTGAGGTTTAATTAATTCAGCTGCACTGGCTAATCAGCTGCCGTGATGCGAATTTGCATAACGATTTTACGATGTTTATTGTGTGCATTATAATGTAAACCGGTTTTTATTGACCATGACTGTTATGATTAGTGTTAAACTCTTTGTTACGCGAGGTAAACTATTTATGCTTATCACAATAAATAAGTGTGATCTTTATTTATATTTAACGCTTGCTGTATAGCATTACGATCTAGTTAGAACCAATTTTGCTGGGTTCATTATTAGGAAATAGGAACACTTCACTTGCAGCAGCATATTTTTCGCAATGCTTCCGAAAACCATAGTTAACTCAGATAACAACAATTTTCTGGTTAAATAGTCTTATGTCAGTTTTTCCAACAAAATATGCATAAGTATTATAACTGTTCGTGATGTTCAAAGTTTGTATGAACAGCTGGCAGCAATCTTTATCGGCTCCTAGACCTGGCTAATTGACGCAACTTACCTGTATTTTGTAACTTTCATAGGACACCATGAACACTCTCCGATAAATGAGCATTCACCTTCTCCTGGAGCTGCGAACAGTCCCCATCCCAATTAAGCAACTGTATTCAGATGTGTGAGCTCTAAATTTAGATGGCTTGGTGACCTTACAAGAGTACATTTTATGGTGCCGTTGTTGAGCGGTCCCGTGGATCCAGTCACTGTGACCTTTTGTTGCATACCGATGTGTCTCTCTGGTTTTCTGTCACACAAATTTAAATATGATATTCTCTTTATGATGTAATCATTGATGTTGTTGTCAGTAAAGTATTTGCAAAAAGATTTTTAAATTCCTTGTCTTAACCGCGTACGTTTGTTAACAGCGTCATAGTCAATAAATATTTTAGGTTGTCTGCTGTTCCAGTTCTCCTGTTTACCTGTTGGCTATAAGATCTTTTACCTAAACTGTAATACGAAGTACTATGAAAGCACCGTAAAGAAATGTATAACATTGTTATTTGCTATTTGTAATAGGCATGTTCCACTAACTGTGTTTATTTCAGTCGGCATTAAAAATAAATTATACATTCGTTCGTGCAGATGTAAATTAAATGGCAATTTTGACGCACCGCGACTTTTGTTACGAATAAGAAAAAATTGTGTTTCCAGTTACATATTACACTATAAATGCAAGAATCGAATGCAACTAAAACTGATAATCTTAACTGCGCTACGCTACATAGTGCACACGGATACACCGAACAATGGAGCACCTAAAATTGGTAGTAATAAACAACTACACGAAAGACTTTTATTTATCGTTTACGCTCTTCTACCGAGCAGTTTCGTCTGCTGCGCTCGCACAAAATCCCTCGAGCAGTGCTAGCTAGATAAAGGTCACAAGCGCTTAACGGCAGCTCACTATATCACTTTTTATGTGTTGAAGTGTGTTCGCCAAACCAACCATTGAATGGAAAACGCATTTTATGAGTACGCTTTATTGATTGATCGGCAGGATAACAAAAAAATGCCTGGCAGCTTTTGACTTGGACAATTAAAAGAAACGTGTCTGGGTTTTGTTTGCGCAGTTTCAACATTTACGACAAGAAAAAACTTAATTAAAACGCAGTATATTTCTCAATCTCGGCTATAATTATCTACAATTTAGGGTTTTGATGGTTATTGATAGCATTCATTATGTCCATCTGTTCTCTTCTTCGACTGTGCAGTGTGCAGTATGCGTAGCAGTTGCGAATATCAGTACGTAATACTATCTGTTTCACAGGGTATAATATTGTGCAGTAGTTGCAGAAGCCATATTGCTCTAATTTGTGATAACAAAAACAAACAATTATCGATTTTCAGTTGCAACCATAAAGTTTAAAAGAAACGCAAGCGCAAGCCTCCACTAGAATCCTGTTTTGTGAGATTTGAAATTACTTTTTCTTATTTTTTAAATGTAGTAGGCGGAATTTTATAAAGAGAATTTAGTATCCACAATAAGTCAAGCCGAAAATTTTACTAACTTTTACTGTAATATTAACGCTAGCAGTGATAATCAAACTTTTAGCTGCATGTAGTGTAAATTCCTAATGCTTCGGGTCAATACGATTAGTGGTGGCAGACAAGTCTGTAATTTTCTTAAATGATTGAATGAAAGATGTGGCTTGTTAACGATGTGTTTGTTGTGGATAATTAGATGCTGCTCCTGATGGGAGCGCGCACTGTCGATCACCATCAGGATAAATAAGGACACGCAGGAAGATTGAGCTAGATAGCGGAGGCCAACGCATTGGTCCATTCAGTGCGTTCTCACTACTCTCAAAGGGTGTCCTGACTTGCCCAGACTACACAGGCAGCACAATGTAAAATTAAGAGACGTCGACGCAGATAATACACTAGGCCAAATCAGGATACGAACGCAATCGACAGTCGAAATGCAGCCGCACAGTAGCACGAAGATATTAATATGATCGCTGACAAGTGGAAAGAAATACTACAAACGGCGCCATGGCAAAGTGTTTATTTACGCAGACGGTAGTTGGTTTAGTGGCAGTGATGCCTCATTTTAGGGATTAACATAGTGAATCAGGAAAATTGCGCTGTAAACGCACAGCTACCGGCCCAATTTGCAATATATTCAAACATGGTTGTATTGCTCGATTGTCTATAAATGCTGTAAGCAGCAACCAGCCAGTAAATCCACAGAGGATAACACTATACAGATTCGTACAACTCATTATCAAGTCGGCTGCTGAATTTTTAAGTGTAAAATGATATGTTGCAGAGAGTGAAAAGGTACTTACACTGGTACACAACGACAAGATTGCTGGCGTTTAATTATGTATTCTGTGGTTAGCAGTTGATACCCGTGTGCTTTCTTGCGGAATAACAGAGCCCTTTTCCTAGCGACGCTGCGCTACACTACTTGACCAGATGCTTTTTTAAAATTCTAAATTTTGTCAAAGTTTACATTAAGGTTTATTATTTTTGCGTCGCGCTCGTCGGATATAAGTGCCCAGTAGCTTGTGTCAAAAGGTCATGAACTGGAAACGAAAAACTGAGCAACCGCAACCTGCAAACTCTTTAGTGCGAACATTATAGGTATGGCATAGTTTCGTACATGATTCGATTAATACGAAGGAAATCACTGGAGAGTTATAATTAGTTTTCAGACAAATTATTTTGTGCGTAATGAATTTTCACTAAAAAATTCATTACGCATCACTAAAAAAATTATGCATGTATCCCATTCTGCGTTCACTTACTTCGAAGTTTGATAGATAACTAATTATTTTTTTAATCATAAAATCTATGATAATATAAGGTAACGCTTCACTTTCACCACATATGGTTAAAACGCTTTTTTTTATTAAAGATTTCTTGATTCAAGTAGTAACTTGAAATTAGTATTATAAACATTGAAAATTGTATAACTGCTTTTGTCTAGCCATAATAAAGCTATCACGGGGCTTATGAAAGAAAGTGTGGTTTTATTTTGTTCGCCAAAATATAGAAGTACGCCTTAAATAGAATCATGTCGCTGCTACGTCCACAGCGAGGAGAAGATTCGCAAAAGATGACCCGGGCACCATGTGCTTATGAGGCAATAGCGCGATCAATTAATTGATCTAAAATCAATACTATCTCGTAATTTCTAAGATTATTATCGGAACCCCGCAGCTCGGCACCCGCAGACGCAATTGTACTGGCTCGCATACAACAGGAAATCTCGAAATGAAATCTGGTTAAATAAGTGTGTACTTGAACCTATCGTCGTTGGACTTTAGCGAATGCTGACCGTCCTCCGAAGCAGTCGACAATAATCTTTAAAAAATCGTGCTCAAAGGATACTGAAAGCGTTTTATCTGACAACTGCGCTTCCCGAGTTTAATCAAAAATACCTGCTACAATAAAATTACCAAGATAACTGGAATAAGCACACTGAACCAGCGCATTTATATATACGTATACATGTAAGTAATACTAAAAAGATAGTTTCAGGCTTTATTACAAATGTCTGCAATGAATGTGCTTTTACTGATCAAGCGGTTAAGAAAGAAAAAATTGAAGGCACGAAAATGATGAACAATCCCACATTGTAGCTGAAGGTAAACTGAATTTGCCTTTTATCAAAAATATCTTTTGTAGGCAAATTTACCAGTGCTTAAAGGGTCTTAGAAGCGCGATTATGTGCTTTGAATTCAAAATGATAATGATACCCTATATCCATTTTGTGGATCGTTTAACACTGTCGAGGGTCAGTTATCTTCACCTTGATTTTACTCTTAAATCTTTACAAGCAGCTCTTCAAACTGTCGTCTCGATTGTGGCGGATCAAATGTATTTTTGAAATTCCTAAGCACGCAATCGGGTCGCCGTATTGTAAGTGCTGAGGAGGTGTAGAGTGGATATGTCAACAGTAAATCTTTGAACGGTAGCAAGAAAAGACTTTTTATTGCAAATCCGTAAAAGTACGTCGTTTTCGTAAAATGGCAAGGCTATTAACATCCATACAGCATTCTTTTTATTTTCAACTTGTATTACTACAGATACTGCAATATTATTAGGACATTCGTAATATTTATGCTTTCTTAAAAGGAACTGCTGTTTTCTATGTGCAGGCTTCAAACTTGCCAAATTATGCAGTCTATTTGTCATCGTTTTTCTTTTGATCATAAGTTCTTTCGTCGCGATTCTGCGTGAAGAAAAGTAATAATCACATTTTATCAGATATTATTTACTGGTTTCACCTACAAAATACATATAAAATAATTATCAAGATTTAATTATTAGACTAAAATTTAATTAAGGGGCAGTTAAAATTTATAAATAAGTGTGTCAAGTAAAATGTGGTTACCTCGCATTTGTATGTGCATCCGAATAGTTTTGTTTTACATATTCTTTGTACTAATTACTGTAAATTCATCACGATGCACCAGGAAAATCAGAAATTACTTGCACATCGGTTACAGGTGACCTTTCTCTTTCAGTTCTCATAATATTTTACCTTTAGCTGCGGAGCCGAACATTTGATAGACCGCAACCAGGCAGCGTTGTGTTATCCTTTAAGTTAGTATAATTGGATTGCGTCATTACAAATAGCGCAAGTGATTTCCGTTTGTTTATGAAATTCACTCAATGCTGTACTTGCACCTGGATCTCAGCAAATAAAATACGGTTGACAACGGTAGAATAATCAACAAACAGATCCCGCAATGTGGATCGCTTATCACTTATCCATATCTATATGTTCGTATGCGTAGTCTGAACAGGTAAGTGACTGTATTTGTAGCCATATAGCGCTAGTTGTGGCTGATTCTCCAAGTGACACATTTGTTTGTAGCATTAGTGGTACAAGTTTGGGCGGATATCGGTTTAGGGTAGCAGCATCCGTCATCTCATCTGGTTTGACACTCTTTTACGCCCTGATAAAGCTGTTACAAATTAGCTGGGTCTTGGTGCGTGTAATCTATAGAAGATTCCCACTTGGTACGGAATGATGAATGACAGTTGACAACGCGCGTGTCCCTAATGTGACTTCCCACTTGAGCACCCAATTTCCAGCACAAACACAGTAATGAGACACCAGTACCAAAATTTGTGTTTTCGTTAACAGTTGTAGCGTCTTATTTTTTTATAATTTGGTATTTCTTATTAGACAGAGAAATTCACTGCAGAATGAGCACACCACGAGACCAGTAATAGTTGTCAAAGTTTTATCAAAATTAAAATTTTTATTAGCATTATTTTGCATAAATGCGTTTTTCTTAAATTTTGCAATATGTACCTGCTGCATTATTTATTTTTCATTCGCATACACTGCCATACTGCAAAGGAACACAACTATTCAATACATGCAATATCGTAGACATAGTCAAACACTAAATTACTAAATACTCGTACGATAGTA